CTGGACAAGCCCCCCCAAAAAGAGGACATGTCCGGGTAAAAGAGGACATATGGTCACCCTAGTTTAGCAAGTACGCACAAGATATTAAGGTGTTCAAATATAAGCAAATTAGACAAACAAAAATCATATTCACCATCGGGACCATCACAGCCACAACCCTAGAGTGCTACAGCTCTGAGGTTTTGCTCACAATGCAGCCCATGGTTTGTATTAGTTTCAACAGAATGTCAAAGCTAATTAGTTTGCCAGTAAATGAAAATCTTCATTAATTCTATCCAGACTCAATGGCAAACCAAGGATTAGGCTGTACACACATGACAAAAACTAATGTATTTGTGTTTTGGACTGACAGAACTTTGGATGGCACCAACGAAACAAAAAGTTGAGGTTTGTGAAACTGAGCTCGACTACATTACTGTGTGTAAGCAACAAACACATCATGATCTCTCCTCTGTTTTCTCTCCGAGCTTTGAAACAAGAGACGCCAAAGACAAAATTCCCAGACCGTTTGTGTGCATGTGTGTTTTTCTTCTGCCGACATCACAGCATGAAGGAGAGTCATTGAAGTCTCTAAATGGCAAACGACACCTGCACACCCCAAACAAAATGCTACTGTGTGAACTACAACTGTTGATAAGAGGGATGGTGGAGAGGAGGGGGGGTGAGAGGGAGGGTGAGTCAACAAACCCGGCTCTCCCTGCTGACATGTTAAATCTCACACTTTGGGAATGAGACAGTAGTAAGGACTTCAGCAGATACTTATCAGTGACAGTTAGTGCAGACAAACACTGTCACCTTCTGCTCAGCTGCCAACTGCTGTCACACACACACACACACACACACACACACACACACACACACACACACACACACACACACACACACACACACACACAATGTTAAGTCATAGACAAACACAATGTCTCCATTGTACTAATGAAAGGTTTGATACTTTGGTGCCATAAATGATCAAGAGTTGGCACAAAAACATATATCTGTTCTCAAAACCAAGTGAAAAAGATTTAGTTTTGTTCAGGTTATATGCCAAACCAGCTGTTTGACCCGTGGTTTAAAGGGTGATTCTGGTGTTTTTTAAAACGCGCTTATTTAAGGGATATAGATCAATTATCTGATCAAAAGTTTTGGAGTTGTTTCAGTAGATTGCACAAACAGTCTACAGTGTCTGCAACACAATCCTTGCAGGTACCAAACTTTTGTTTGTAGTGAATGTACTAAAGTGCTGTTATAGTCACTTACAAACTTCTGTTGTTTTTCTGAGTGAAGGACAAGAGTGTAAAGGAGATCCTTGCAACAATCAACACTCTTTTTAAAGATTATATCAAGGCATTTTGCCTTTATCTGTAAGGAAAGCCTTAGTGATAGTAATGTGAGGAGAGAGGCATGCATATTATCATGATGGGACCAGGAGTTGACCTGCATCATGGACTGTAGCCTCTGTGCTGGGTGGAGGTGCTTGCTATACCAAGAAGGCCAAACTACATTTAAGGAGTAAGAAACTCTGAGTTCTCTTTAATGAGACAGAATCTGAGTTATGAAATCTTGTAAAAAAAATAGTAATAATGATTCATAAGATACTAAGGTTACATCAGCCTATAATTTTACACCTATAAAAAGCATTACTTTGTGCTTGCACCTTGCACCTACACTGCATTTGCATTTGTTTGCCTCCAAACTATGACTTACCAGACCCATCAGCCAGCAAATATTCATGCTTGGGTCCTTCTAAATGTTTCCCATTAGTGTCAGATATACTGAGCCGATCACAGTCCTTTACTCAAGATAAAGACACAGGAGCTCCATTTCATTGTGTTTGTAAACAACCAAGATGGCTGCTTCCACTGTTTGATGGTCTGGGGAATCTGCTGTGGCCACTATTTTAGACCAAGATGGCAGCCTTAGGCAATCAGGCACTAATTTAGAAAAATGTATCCCATTATATATTTCATTCCTCCCAGGTCTAAATACCACACACTGTGCCTTTAAAGAACAATTTAAGGGGTTTAGGTTTATCTTAGTGGTTTACCGTGTTTGCAGAGGCTTTCGTCCTTGAAGTGGGCTGCCAGGGCTCGGATCTTAACCTTCAACCCTTTGCCACATTACTCCTCACTTTCTCCTCCTAATTTCCCACTTGATCCCTCAATTAAAGGCATGAAAAAGGCCAACAGAATAATCTTAAAAACATGTTAGCTGCAAAAACTTTAAGTGTATGTAAGTCTACTTGATTGTGCACCATAAAGTTTCTGCACCACTGCAGCTTGTGTGCGGCTACAGACTGAGGAGTTTAGCACAAAGGGGTCCAAGGTTTCAATATGTAAGCGCTACATTTGGCAGGGTCTCTACTCATTGCCTGAACACCTTGCAAAAAAGTTGCAATTTGGGATTTTCAAAGCTTGATTTCCTAACGGAAAAAGCATACTGTGTTATTTTCCTATTTGTGTCATTTTTGCTCGCTTTAAGATAAACCAAGTGCCGTGTCAGATAAATATTGAGGATACCTGTAACAATCAGAATTGTTTTGGTTGTTTTCTTCCTGCTTCGTATGTTTTGGTGTGGTCTTAAATCAGCCATTATCCCACATACAGTATTAGTTCATGTCTCCTCCTCAAAGTGACGTCAGCTCTCTCTGCTGACACTACATGTCATCATCGGCCAAGCAGCACCAACAGAAACTCTCTAAAACCATCACACACCCTCCAACTCCTCCTGACGTGACATTTCTCAGTGAGCTTAAGAGTGAAAGAACGAAAAACTAAAGTGATGAGAAAATTGAGGTCGAGTGGTTTGGCTGCAGGAACCTGCTGATGAAAAGTGAACGTTTGTGCCAGAAAGAAGAGATTAGTGAGGTTTTATTTAGTCTCTCATCCTGCTCATTATTGCACAGATCAGTGTTTTACAGCTCATGTGAAACCCATGTTTGGAGCTGTCTTTCAGCGTTGACTCACACACACACGCACACACACACACACACACTGGGAGCCTGTAAGTAGAAAGGAATGAGAGGAGAAATTCATGTCAAACAGATGAGATGATGCAGCTTGTAGATTTATAGGCTGAGATCATGTTTCAGGCCCCCGAAGGAAACAGTTAGTCCACATCCACACTTCATTTTTGTCTTTGGTTGGTGTGATGTGTGCTGAAGTAAAAACAATCAACAAAGGAAACGATGTGTGTTTTATGACTCTCAGTGATCTGCTTTTGCAGTAAAAAATTCAATTTTTTATCCAACATCCTTAAAACTCATGTGAGGAACTTGAGCTTTGAGTCAATCTTGGCGCCCCCTATAGACAAAGCAGTCATTGCTTATCTTTTTTATGCTTAACAGATTTAATTTTGCTGACTTTCACAGTCAAATGCACAATTTGTTTTAAAAATGTATATTTGATTAACTAATATTTTATATTGGAATTGTACAAACATGGCAGTGTAATTAGCTGCTCGGCTGACACCTATCCTCTGACACTGTTTTGAGGCATCAAATTTACATATTAAAAATTGACACTCTTGTTGATAATGGCCTCATTTGCTTTTTTATATCATAAAAGGACATTGGTATGAATTTCAGTCTATTTTATACAAGTCTAAAAACTCACCAGAGGAGCATTAAGTTTGGTTGTTGGAGGGCTAATGAAATTTAATGACTTAATTTATAATCCCATTGATTCAAAAAAGAAAACCTGCGGTGATCATGAGACCTGAGTTTGTACATATTTTTTAGCTAACTAATCCTCTACATAATTCAAGAACTATTTTACTCCATGCTTTAAAATATATAAAGCTTTTACAAAAGTTTCAAAAATCTGAGTCTCCAATTACAGAAAAACCTACTTCTAAAAACCAAAAACAAATTATTTTTTCATAAAGTGCTGCATGCCAAAATAAAGTGTTGTTGAATTTTGGTTTTAAAACTGTACAAAAACCTTTAATGTGGCTGTTACTATGAATTTAAATAATAAAAAAACACTTTTCCAGCACCCCACACTGCAAACGAAACATTATTTTAAATCTAGGATTGAAATAAAAAGTAATAAAAGTAAAAAAGTAATATTTTAATTCAATTACAGTTCAGATTGTAAAGTAGGATTTAAAAATCTACAAAACTTACTGAAGCTTAAAACTAAAAAAAAAAAAAAATCTTAAAACAGTCTCATAATGTGAAGAGCGCCAAAATTTAGTTTTGTTGTATTTATTGTTTAGAAGAATCTTTGAGCATTTATGTGATTGTTTTAGTCAATTTAAGTTGAATTTATGGCAATTTTCCGACAACACACACTTACAGTTAAATATGAACAATTTAAAATTAAGGATTAAAGCATATTCACTTACACATTCTGTCAGAGATTATAGTTTAAAATAGGTTTAAATATCTACGATGCCATTAAAAGCTGGTTTCTGCTTCACAAAAGTTTCAAATTACAAAATAAATGGCTAGAATAATTTTATTTAATTTTTTTAATCCATTCAAAAGCTGCATGTGGTATTTTAGTTTTTGCATAAATCACAGAGAGGTACATTTATAACAATAGACCGTCATTTATCTGCTTACATTTGCATGTTGCTGATATGTCTGATAAGTCCCGCTCGCTGTGAGGTGCTTTGCTGTGTGTGTGAACGTTAAATCCATGCAGATTTATTAGAGGGCGCAGACTAACTTCTGACCTAAACAAAAACCTGCTCACAGTTAAACGTGTCATAACGTGAGTGTTAAATGAAATACAAGACTTTTTATGGAAAGAGTTCAGTCTCTCAAAGTTTATTGACATGAGGAAAACATCGGGATAATGTTTAAATACTCTATATAATAAAGTTATCAAACATGCACATGTGAAATATTATATACTGTACATAAATATTACAAACAGGTTTCGAGCTGGTCTAGTTTCTGGGGCAGTTCCTGTGAGTTTAAGATCCTGATTGACCCCAAAACCACAAGTGAGCCACCCCCAAACTGAGATGTTTTTAGTGCAAGGTCTGAATGGAAGTTAATGGAATGCTCGACTCATTGCAGGTGTCGGCCTCTTCAGTATGGCCTCCACAGAGAAGGACAAAGACTCGCTGGATGCCATCTTTGTCCCCACAGGTTTGGACAGAAAGTCTTTAGCGTACCTGTCGCTCATTTTGACAGCCTGAATGTCCTTACTGGAGCCCTCTTTGAACTTCCGTGCGGCCTCCTCTAAGAGCTCTTTGCAGTACGGTGCCCTGAGCTCCGGCCCACCGGCACCAACGCTCATTTTTTCACTCAGCGAGTGCTGGATGAGGGAGTGAAAGGAGTTGAGTTTCATGGAGAGCTTTGCACTGTCCTTGCTCAGCTTGTTCAGGACTTGGCTGGAGTTGTGGGAATGGGAGTTGTTTGGGAAGGACTGTCCAAAGCTCCTCTTAGGTGGAGAGAAGGCCGAACACTCTCTCTGCCCGCCCTGAGAGACGACAAGTTTGGGATCAGCCCGTTGAGGGTCTGAGGAGTCCTGCAGGGCAGCAGCTCGGGACCCCTCCAGTTTAGCAGCCAGAGCAGCCGCGGCCTCCTGCTCGGGAAGCTGGCTCTCTGCAGGCATCGCTTTGGGCTCCCATACAGCACCTGGCTTCATGTTCTGCACCGCCGTGGCGTTGAACAGACACTGCTGATACAGCAGGGCATCACCCAGGTTAGCTGCGCCGCGGGGCCACATCATGAAGTTGCCGCGTGATGGCTGCAGCGGATAGTGGCGGTAGGTGGTGGCCACACTGACATTAGATGCGATGAGCTCCACGTTGCTGGACCCGGCTGGGTACTGCATGGACAGATCCAGACAGTTTGGACCCAGGAAGTTGCAGAGCTCTTTGGGCTGCGGTTCGGCCTGACCTGCAGGTGAGTACGCCGTTTTATAGGAGTTGTACTCAGTGGCGTGATGGATCATGTTGTTAGGAAAGAGGAGCGAAGCTGTGCCCGCCTGGCTGTTCTCCAGCAGCTCTCGTTCTTTGTACTCGCGCTCCAGCATGATGGTTTCCAGCTCCTTGTCGGCGAAGGCTCTCCTTTTCCTCATGCGGTCACTCAGCGGCGGGGGAAGGGACGGGTTGGCTGCCAGGAAGGGATCAGACTGCACTGGACGGTATCCTGTCAGCAGAAGGAGCCAAGTTTAACTCAGGCGTTTTTATAATCAAATGATTACAGCTGATGTCAAAGCATGCATGCAGAAAGATCACAACACTGACACACATGCATTAGAGGGGAGGTTACACTTCAAATGCTCAGGAGTTAAATCACTATCGTATGTTGTTTTTGTGAGATGATTGCATACCAAGAGTTTATCACAACACCACTCAGAGTCGCAAACAAGCTCTTATCACAGTCTAGGATTTGCAAAAGGCTAAAGATACTCTTTATATCCAAGGTGCAGGAAGAACAGCTGATCAGTTGAAAAGGGAGCGGAGATGACCCAAAAGAAACAGGAAAATACATGTTTGTATCTGATCTTTTACCTTCAAGGATGCTTTTGGCGAGCATGGTGGACGGTCGAATGTGCCGCTGATATATCGTCCTTCTTTCTGCTGGAATTTGTTTCCCAGATATTCCTTTCTTATCCTGAGAAAAGGAGGAAAGAAAAAAAAATTCAAGACATGATTTCAAGATTATTTACGGAGCTAAAGCAACCGATTTGCCACGGCTTAGGCTGAATGCGCATCTGTTTGGATAGTCTTATCATATGTCTTTATAAAACCTACTTCTAAGGATTACAAAATATTCTCTGAATAGGATTAAATATAAAGTTACAGCAGAAATCTGAGTGGGGTTGCAGGTAAACACAGGGTAAATAAACATACAACAGCGTTTGCCTTGATTTCAGAGCAACTCCTGAAAAATGTTCCTTCAGTTTGATCACTACATCTCATTACACTACTTCAGACTGCAACATCGCACAAGGCCGAGCAATAACAGTCACTCATTTAGCTTGACAAGCCAAAATAAGAACACACAACGAATTACACACCCTGAACTAACACACACACGCACACACACACATTCAAAACATCCATCTGGTATCATCTTTAAAATACCACAGCTGACGTGGTTCATTATTTCACCGCAGACACTTTCACATATTTGAATGTCACCACAGTCAAAACACACACACACACACACACACACACATTTATCTATAGTGCGCACACACACTAAAAATATTTTTGAGACGATAATAAGAGGGGATGAAAACAGTCATTTTTTATTCTCTTGTAAAGCTTCTATGGCTCTTAAACAATAAACATACCAGGAATCAGTGTTTAGTATTTTTCAAATGTTAGCTGCAGCATTTAACAGTCACTTCATTTTAGTTTGATCCACTACATCTAAGCTGAAACTTGAAATTAACAACAAAATAAACCCTGCTTCCAAAATGTAGAGTTTTAAATTAAGCTGGAAGAAATAAAAGAGCTTTTTATCAGCTGAAAATGGATAATAAAAATGAAGACAGTGACTTTTGGGTGTATTAATGAAAAGTTACAAATTCAAATACAACTGCTCTCAGAAAGCACTAATGCGTAACACAAACATGCTTCATACTGAGTTCAACATGATGATACACTCTCAGCTCAGCCGCCTAGTTTTTCTTTTGCATCTTTCAGTAAATACAAGAACAAGTAGTAGAAGAAAATAGACCTGAAATAAGGGTCATAAATTGTGTTTAATAATGTAATGTAATGTTTAATAATTTAATGCTTCATGCTCATTTGTTTTGCATGTTTTACCATCATTGTTTCTGTTGTACTTGTGTTTTGTCACAGAACATATACGCTATAACCCAAATATACCTTCAGTTGCATGGTTGGATACACTGCTCAGAAATTAGGCTGGCCTCTTTAGTTTTCAAACTGTGATTTTTGTGCCCTGATGTCAAAATAAATAAGCCGCTTAAAACAGGAAAATAAGGGAAATAAGAGTAAATTTAAGAAATGAGAAAATAATCCAAACACTTTTGGAAATATACTAAAACAAACAAAAAAAAAAAACAACTGTGGTATGAGAGCCAGTCATCTACGTGAGAGCTAAAAATAATCATGTAGCTGCTATATATATGTGTGTGTGTGTGTGTGTGTGTGTGTGTGTGTGTGTGTGTGTGTGTGTGTGTGTGTGTGTGTGTGTGTGTGTGTGTGTGTGTGTGAAATATGTTTAGTGTCATGGTTATTTCTGTTTTTTTCCCCTTTTGTATCAGAGGTAGAAGCTGGCATTTACAGCATGTGCAAAGATCAGAGTGACAGAGCCACTGGATTGACAAAGTAAATAAAACTGAGGAGTAAGATCAACATCCTTACAGAGAAGAAAGCTGCTGTCAAACTCACACTACAGGCCGTAGAGAAGAGTCTTCATGCAAAGTTCAATTTGAGCATGCATGACTTGATTTATGAGGCTGGTTTATCTTTTTGATCCTATTGTTCTTTACAGGGTTAAGGACTAGAGGACAGAATTGGAATAAAGTAAAATCACTTTTTTATTGAGGCCTAATGTGTGAGTTACACGTTTTTACAAAGCTTGAGAAGTATCAGTGCCTGGTCTTATGAATTTAAAGGTTTATAAACATGCACTCTGAGAGTCGGGGCTCACCTCTGTAGCTTGCTGCCTCCTCAGGGCCACCTGCGCCGCCATCACCCGCTGCCTCTCCACCACCAGCAGACAGTTGGCACACTGGCAGTCCCTCCAGCGGCAGAAGCGCTTGTGTCCCTTCAGGCAGGACACCACGCCGTGGTTTCGGCAGCGGGCGCACTTCGGTGTCCGGCTCAGCTTCCTCTGGTCCCCCGTACACAGGCCGCTGGTGCCCGGCTTGTCGTCGCTCTTCCCTCCGTCTCCGTCGTCCTCCGAGGCGGCAGCGCCGAGCGGCACCGAGCCCGGCCGACTGGAGGAGTCCGCCGGGTCGTCGCTCTCCGTCTCCAGGCTCTCCACGTCGATTTCAAACTCGCAGCCGGCGATGTCTGACATGGTTACCCTCGTCCTCCACCGACTGTCCGTGAAAACACCTCTTTTATGTCTGCGGACAAAAAAATAATTATCACTATCCATAAACATAAAAGGATTTGGACCTGGGAAACTACACTATAGGGTTTGTAGTGACCTAACCTAACACTGACGCATTTCTTTATGCAAAAACCTTTAAAAACAAAGAGCAAAAAATGCAAACTCCTGCTGTGCACTGTACTTGAATGGCAGCGTTTCAACTGGATCTATCCCTGTATAAATGCGCAAAAATACTAAAAATATCAAAGAAAATAGGCCCAATCAAAAAAAATGATCACAGGTAGAACAGTCTATTAGGCTTCTATCAATATGGACTAAATGGTAAACCAGAATGACTGTTTTTAACTACTTTAAGATGATATTTTAACACTGAACTTGATTTTATTCACAACGCTTTAAATCTTAAAAAGAACCTTTAAAGATGAAATGTGAGGATTTACAGCTGTAAGTCATAAATAAATGAGCACGAGCTGAAACCAACAGCTATAATGACAGACCAAATGATTGATCACATCAGCCAATTAACAGCCCATAATCATAATCTTACTATCATACTAGGACACTACACAAAATTTGATTGATTGGTACCCAATGTTGGTTAAATCTTCTTCAGTAGTTCAAATAAGTTAGGCAACAAATAATTCTCTCTAACAGTCGCTTTAAACTGTAAAGTTAAGACTCCAGTTACCTCCACAAGTTGTCCCAGCGCTCTTTTTTCCGGGCTTTGTGCAGCTGTGTTGTTGTTGTAAAGTGTTGAACACGCCGTCTTCTTCTTTGATAAATCTCACAGATAAAAACCAAGTCCAGACTCCACAGCAGGCTCGTTATTGAGAGTTAATTGAGTGGATGAATGAGTGTCACGCTCCGAGCAGATCCAGGTTTCCTCTGAAAAAGACACACGGAGCGACACTCCTAAGAAGAACTCCACTCTGCGCTCTCTGCATTCTGATTGGCTGCTTCCAAACTCGCACCAGCCAATGGGATTACGAGCGGTTATTCGGGCGGATGAGGTTCACCTAGTAACGGTCAGCTGCGATTCTCATAGATTTAATTCAAAGTCACCAAACAACATAAATATACGTGTTAATTTTTTATATCTTATTTTGAATTTGGGAGACTTTGTAGCAAAAAAAAAAAAAAATTGTCGAAAAAAAATCACCACTATCACATTAACAGGCTGGTGAAATTGAGCGGTAGGCCCCACATAACTTATTCAAACGATTCTGTGGGCCTACATTTTTTTTAATCTTTAGTCTTTGTGCATTATTTTTCTCGATGCACAGTCACGCTTGTATCAGACAGGTGAGGCACAAAAACAAAAAAGGCACAAACAGCAGATTTAAAACTACAAGGGTGTAAACGCAGCATCCAAAGTGCAGTGATAAAGCGCCTGTTCTGAAGGTGTCTTATAGGGGAAATAGCTCGAGTCTTCAACACAGTCGTCTCCAGGAATAACTGTTTTATATGTAAATATAAATAAATATGAGATAAGTGTTTGAGCTGTCATGTGATAGAGGAGGTGAACATGTAATGTGATAAATGTGTCCTGCAGGTTTTTGCAGTTTGTTCGGGCATAGCCAGGAATGATTATCATGTTTTCACAACAATCACACCTGAACAAAAAGCACTATGTCAGCATAAGTGAGTCCCACATAAAAACAAGTAAACCCAAACTTAAAATATCCACACAGCCTTAACTTTTAATAAATACAGGTTTACCCTTCTAAAAATAAAAATCCAAAGTCAAACAAACTTCATCGACAATTGTAAAAATTATAACCTCTAATATTGGGATACGTTTTTGCTCATTAAAAAAAATGCCTATCAATAGATTTTTCTTCCTGTAAGATTTCAAAAAATCAACTTTTCTTTTCCAGATGTATTACTTTATGGATTGTTTATTTCCATCTCAACTCTCTGTCTTTGTCCTTATCCCCAGTTGTTCGCCCTTTCAAAATAAAAGTCTGACATGGTTGGAGTGTGAAGGTGGCGCATCGCTGGGTGTGATCATGAATTCAGAGAATGTGGACAGCTTTCTAAGTTTGTCTCTTTGTTTGCAGCTCGCTGAGTGAAAGTTATTCTGACGCAAAAAGAGAAAAAGGGGAGAGACACTGCAGCGTTTGCATAGAGCTGCATGGGAACTGACTTCAGGACAATACAGCCCTCCACGTACTGTCGAGTTAAAAACACTGGTTATTTTTCACCCACTTTGTTACCTTTATCTGTCTGGTGATGTGAAATGAAGGAACAAAGCAAACTTTAAAAGGTTGTAAGTCATGGTCATGTAAAATATATAAATAGCTGTTCAGTCTGTGGGCTACACTAGATCATCTTTTCATACAAAACGGAACAAATGACTAACTTTTAACCTGTCAGGCATATGCAACACTTGCAATTAGATTTATGTTGTTTCTTAACTTCAGATAGAGGTATACTCAACTTTCATTCTCATATTTTTTTATTAGTTTAATTTTCCTATGTGTCTTAAAGAAAAAGTTTCTTATAGGCCAGTGTTTTTTTATTATTTAATTTAATTTAATTTTATTTTAATTTATTTTTTTATTTTTTTTGTTTTTTGTTTTTGTTTTTGTTTTTTACTTTGTTTCAGGCTACCATTTTTGTAAAAGCGTAGACATTTTTTTCTTTTTATGGCACTTTAATAATATTAATAGCCTTAAAAACAGATTAATGTAAAAGACTTCTACTCGATAGGCTACACAGAAACGTTTAATTACATTACATTTAATAGTCGAAGTGTGTATTTTACATTGACTAAATTTTAAACCTTCATTTTAGTTATACACTTCAATAAAATACTTAATTAAATACATTAAGTGTTAGTAGACTAAACCGCATTTATTTTGTATTATCCCTCTGTCTCTCTCTGTGTCTCCAGATGAGGAGGACGGCTCAGATCTTAAGGGCTCCTCCATGTGTTGGAGGTGAAGACGTCAGGCCTGCAGGTGCAGCTTTATTTGCCACTTCGTCTTAATTTATTACGGAGGTTACGAGCGGCCACCCCGGGCTGCCGTTTCCCCGTCAGGAATGCTTTGATGTGGGGGTGCAGGCTGGTCGGTAGGACGAGAAGATCCACGCACACCCGGACCCTCCAGGTGAAATGTGTTGTCTGTGTCCACGGCCTCGTAATGGCAGAGCAGAGCAGAGGGAGTGGGGGGGCTTCAGAGGTCCTTGAATGGGTTTCCAGGAATTTTTTTGGGAGCATCCAGGCATCCTTTAAGGACTTCCAGGGGTATGTCAGCGAGTCTTTGGAATTTAGAAGGTGTAATGAATACCTATAAGGTGGTTCCAGGGGTCCTTGAGGTGGCTCTCATTTAACCTGAGGGAAATCCACGTTCACGGGTTCTACTCTAGGGTGTGGAAAAATCTAAGAGTCCATATCCCTGAACTCATTCTGAAAGAGTTGAGGTCTAAGTTTGATTATTTTATAAGAGTGCTGGAATGTATAGAGCCCTTTAGGTCCCAAATAGTAAAAATATTTAAAGCAACAAGAATTATTATTAATATTGTTGTACAAAAAACCTGGAACCTTGAAAACTAATTTGTGCTCATGATAAAGTGAGTTATTCCTTCGGTGCACATTTTATGAGGGAACAACTTTTTTATGATGTGCACACTCTAATCTTGCAGGAACAAGTTATATTGTGCCCACAAAATTACATTATGCACACAAGATAATCAGAAAACCCAACCCACTGAAATAATGTAGTCTGCACAAGAAAATAGTGTGTACGTCCAACTTGATATCTTGTGTGCATATATAATTTCACACACACCCCAAATAACTGTATTTTGCACACAAGATAGTTATTTTGCGGGGGCAAGTTTTTTATACACAAGATGATTATGTTTTGTGCAGAAGATATTTTCTTGTTCGGAACGTATGAATATATTTTTCATTTTTGGCACTTGAGGTGATCCTTTGTGATTTGACAAAGGCATAGGAATCCTTAAAAAATTCCAGTCACCCTTTTTGATTTTTAGGATTCAATGCAGCTGCTCCTTAGGGTGTTTCAAGGGGACACTGAAGTCAGTTTCCAGGGTCCCTGAAAGTATCTTAGGGTCCTTGGTCAGAGGATTCCTGTAAGAACTTCAAGGTGTCGTTCTTGGTCTTTTTCAGACCTGTGATGAGATTCCAGGGATCCTTGAGGAAGTCGCTGACCTAAATAAAGAAACTTGGTCTTTTGAGGGTTCTTGAGAAGGGTGTATAGAATTCTTGAAGCAAGTTTCAAGGGTCAGATGTTCCTTAAGGCGATTCCAGGGATGTTTTAAACAGATTCAAGGTATTATTAAAGTGTTCTTTCCATGTGACCTTGGGCCATTCAGAGTCCTGGAAGAGATTTCAGAACCCTTAAAGGAGATCCAGTTATTTTTGAATATGCTCAGGAGTCCTTGAATGGATTCAAGGCAGCACTACTGAAGTTCTATTTACTCTGAAGAAAACTTTCAAGGACTTTTCAGTGTCCTATACTGGTTTTCAAAACCCTCAAAATACTAGTAGTTCTAGTCGGAGTAGAGACGTTTGATAGATCATTCATTGTATGATTTCCAGGGGGGTTTACATGGACTTCCTTTAGTGTTTCCAGGATTAATTATGGACGGAACAGTGATCCTTAATTTAGTTCCAGGAGTCCATAACTGGTTTCAGGGAACTTTGAAAAGATTAATTAACTCAAGGGAAGTGTCTCTGAAGGGGTCTAGGCACTGTCAAGGGGATTTTGGTCGTCCTCCATTGGTCTTGAAATTTCTGGGATACCTTGAAGAGGCTTCATAGCCCCTGAAGTTGTCCAAGGGTGACCATGAAAGGAGTCCTGGTGATACTGGGGGGACTTCAGACCTCTCTGATGGGGTCCAGAAATCCTTGAAAGGTGCTCATGAATCTCCAAAAAGATTCAAGGTATTCATTTAATGAGACTAGGGTCTCAGGGGCAGAGCTCATGTGATAGACTTTAAAAGTCCTTGAAAAAGTTCCCAGAGAACTTCAGGATTCTTCTGTGTGATGACTTGACAAACCAGACAGTCTCTGAAGCTCTTCAAGGGAGGCTTTCAGGGTCTTGAATAATCATTAAACAAATTTCACTCATGGGAGTTGACTGAAACAAAGATTTCCAGGTAAAATAGAAAGGAATTCAAAGGTCATTGAGGGTTCTGGATATCTTTTGGTAGTTTTGTGATGTTTGAATTAAATTCCAGGGGTCCCTTTAGAGATTCAGAGCATTTCTCAAGAATTTGGATATTCAAGGCTTTCCAGGTATCCTTGAGAAGTAAATAGGGAATCTGAAGAAGTTAAAAGGTTGACAAAAGTAGTTTCAAGGAACCTGGAGTCAATCAGTGAATCATTGATTAGATGAAATCTGTTAGGAAAGGGGTTTGAAGGAGTAATGTGAGATCATTTGAAGAGCAGTTAATGGACATTATTAAGTAATCATAGGGATATCTGAGCATTTTAGTGCTCAACAATGGCTGAAAAATAAAATACTGGCAGGAAAAATGAGCGAGGGAACAAGTATAGGAGGTTAAATATATTGGAGCATCTCTTTTGGTATTTATTTTTATGTTACCTGTTAAATAAGACGGGATAAACTTGCTCTAACTGATCACATTTGTCCTTTCCTTTTTAATGAGCACAACAAAGAGAAAGACACAGACGTATAACAACACTTTCTCACCGCTGTCAGGTTTACTTTGGGGTCTGATTGAAACAGCAGCATCTTGTTGGAAGTGTCCCGCTGAGCTGGCCATAAAGTGTAACTGGAGCTGTGTATAGACAGAGGAGCAGAGTGTGGGATCACTGGGGATCCTGTTATGTTAATTAGCCTCTGATGGAGCGACAACACATGCAGCTCAAATACTAAACCAGGCGGGCGGCATTTGTCTCTGTCTAAACACTCTGACACCTCGACCTCTCCTCCTTCATGTGCAGCAAACAGTGGGGCGGCTTCCTCAGCTGTGGAGGGGATACTTTAGTACGAAAAAACAATCAGGACACAGTCACAGCAGAACAATCTCTCCTGAAACTCTCACACTGTTTTGTGACACAAATTCAGCAACTCTTGATCGTATTCAGCAAAGATTTCATAGATTCATCCTGTATGTCTGTCTTGAATTAATCTTTTAAACAACAAATGATTTTACTTTTCAAATGATGCATGTCTATATTTATTAACTTTTTTTGGATTGTACAAGAAAATTAAACTTGATTCAGTATTCTTTTGATATAACTCAAGGCTTAAGGATTTAAATTGTGTGTTTGTTTGTTTTTTTAATACTTGTCCGATTTGTATGCAATAGTACTAAAAAAAACAAGACAATGAACCCAAAGCTGCACCAACTGATGTTCTTGAGTAAATGTTATTGTTTTCAGGCCCCACTAACACACAGTGGAGATACACATTTTGTCCACTAGATGGCAGACTATTGCAGATTAACGAGGACATAGCCACTCTGAGACCTTAGAAGCTTCACAGATGCCAGTAAAAGGGTATTTAACAGGTGGATCATACACACTGTTTCTGATTGAAACAGCTGGACAAGTTTGCAAAAGACATTTCCTCTACTGTAAAGAGATAGACTCTGTGCTCAGTGACATCTTCAAAGTGTGCAGGATCTGACCCCCACAGAGCATTTGACATGAGGATTTCTCTAACTACTCATGGGTGACTCATGGGTGGGTATTTCAGGCCCAGGTGCACAAGCGCTCACTGATTAACTGATTTCCACTATGAGTCAGAGTGAAGGGTCATGATGCTGCACACCCTGGTGGCAGTCACATCTCATGTGAATACCAGAGCCATACAGCTCCTTGTGGACGCTCTGAGGAACCACATCTGTTTTCATTTACAACCAAAACCTCGAACTGAGTGAAGAGACTGTCTCTCCATGTCAGGGCTGCTCTGTAACCCGTTTCAGAGCCTTTAAGGTGCAGTGTGTTGAAAAGGGACTATCTAGTGATGTCTAGCAGTCAGATTATAGACTGAAGCACTCCCTTGCTCACCCCTCCTGTTAGTGAAGTGACCCCCAAGGTCAAGAAGCTTCTGTAATATTTAGGTGATTGCAGACTAGTTTAAACATACTTATAATTATTACATTTCATTTCTTTCAAGTCTGTTTTGCCAAATGTCTCTAAATTCTACACGATGCAGCTGTTAAAGAAATATCCACACCAACAGCCCTGTGGGGGTCAGTCTACACCCACAGGGAAACTGGTTTCCTGAGGGGAGAGGCACTCCAACCAGCTACAAAGTTTGGATTATACCTGAGGATTCACACTGTGATTTACAAAAAGATACAGGATGAGAACCTAAAAGGATCAGGTTTGTTTTCATGTAATTGTATGCCATAGTTATATGTGATCATGTATTATATAAGGACAGCTGCCATAGATGTATTCCTTCCCTCATACTGAATAACAAAAATATAACCCTGATTAATTATCATTTATTCATTTTTACCCTTATAGAAAACCTGCTCACCTTTTTTATTTGTAAATCTACAGTTTTGACTCCTGTACTGACACTTGGCTTGACATGAAGTAGATGGATTTCACCACTAGAGAGCAGCATTTTAATGGTTAGAATCAGAAGTGGGACACTGACTGCTGCTGCAGGAGAACAAATGAGGGAATCCTTTGAAAAATATCTGTTTCTTAGAGCAAAATAATCAGTTCCTCCGTGTTAGTATTTGAAATATTTATTTTTAGTGACAAAAACTGATGAAAGATTCCGTGGTATTACTGCATATAAAAGATTAACTAAGAGTAGGTGTATGAATAACTTCCATGAAGCAACTGAGTGGTCATTAAAATTAGCAGCACAAGCTCTTTCAGTATTTATAATCCTTTAATATGATAAGTATTGTGTTTCCACTTTTTTAATAAAGGTGTTTCAACTTTAATTAATTCATTTTTTTATTCTTGTACTAAATTAAATGCTGTGAGTGCAATACATGCATTTACCATGGTTTATAGAAGACACACAAACACAGAAATGTCTGACAACAAAAGATGCAATTTTAAAAACTTCAGTTTATACAGTTAGTAATAGTAATTCAGTTATGTTTTTACAATTGCACTTTTTTGAGGTGATGAATCAGGGTCTCAGAACAAAAATCTGCGCGTCAGTCAAGTCTGATGTTTGGTTTTTGTAGATTTGATGGAAAATTTAGAACAAGCTTTAGATTTTGATGAAGAGTCAAAGGAGTAAAGAGATCATTTAATAAATACTGTCACGTATGTTCTTTTTGAGTTTTTTGTGTGGACACTTTAACTTTGAAACATTTTGGGCTGGCAATTATTTTTTGACTGTTTCATTTTTCAACAAATTGAGTGGGTGTGTATGTGTAAAGTCACTTCCATCACATATTAGATTGGGGATCAATAAAGTTCTCCTTTAGACTCCACTGGCTGCCTGACAGCACCGCACTTCGCAGATTACAATCCTGAGAAACATTTTTAGTGTCTCAACTATCAATACCAGTGATTCAGAAAAGGGAAGTGTGTTCCTGATCTTCATTTAAAAAGGTGTTTGTTGTTTTTTTCTACCAGGAAAATACATTTTGCACCCACAAAAAAAATAAAAAACATCTACTTACTTTGCGATAAAACGTCTATTTCTCACCGAGCTGTGGACAGCTTAGTAGTACAGTTATCATGAGTTATGTTAAACCAAACTGTAAACATCTAGAGCATTAAAATGTAACATTAATTAAGCATAGATATAAATGCAAAAACACAAAGAACACTAACAGGACAATGTCACTACACTTCCTCTTTTACTCTAAATATTTCAGGCAGGCTTGAATGTAATGCTATACTTGACTAAGATTTGATTGGCTATAAATAATAGAATAATATTATGAAATGAATTATCTCAAGACCACAGCATATACCACAGCAGCTACACTCAGCGCTGAAAAAGACACATGGTAGACTTTGAAATATAATTTAAAAGAGGACTTTTCCTTCGGCTTTTACCTCTCTTTTATCTGTTTATTTTACCGTAAAGAATCTTTCATGGTTGTTAATCATCTGAATAGGATCACAGCTGCATTTTCACACATGCACCTTAAAAAAAACAGGTTTTTAACACACTCTGTGCTGTTCATTCAATCTTCAATTCTGAGGGATAAGCTTATTAAAGAGAAATAAAGGAAAGTAAACCTTTTCTCTCAGCCACCAGTCGTAAATAAGATCTCAGTCTAAATTCTGTGTTATGAAGACATCAGTCTGGGTGTTTTTGGAAACTTTGGGTTTATTTGGCATACTCTTCATGCATTGATGTTCACAGTATTTTAACATGCTTTACAGGACACACAGGTGACACATCTGAAAACAAAGCCAGTCCTCTGCATTCATCCCTTTTGGTTTGGAGTCATGTGACATCTTGACAGCTGATGTGAGGAGGATCAACAACATCAGCTGATCAGAGTGATTGATCGACACATTTCAAACTAGACACCGACAAAAAGCACACTTACACACCGGGGCTCCTTTCACAATAACACATTTTTGGTGTCCGTTAAAGTCTAGCTGGAGGAGCTGAGGATGCGGGAGTCTGCGGAGTCGGATCGCTCTTCGTACTCCTCCTCAGGGGAGTACAGGCCCGGTTTAGGCCCCAGCGTGCAGCTCTCCTCCTGGATGCTGATCCTCGGCTCCTCGGAGGCTCTGGAGGGAAGGAGAGGGGAGCTGCGGAACACGGAGCCCGCGGGGCCTGACGCGGGGCCTGCGGGGGAGAAGGGGGACACGTACTGGGCTGCAGATCGGAGCTGGTACTGCTGCTGCAGCGCCATGGTGTTCCACAGAGTCACGTCGTTGTGCACAAACGGGCTGGCCTGGCTGCGCGTGAGGGAGTTGCGCAGCATGAGCGGGTAGCGCGTGGGCTGAGGGAAGGACGGGTGCTGCAGGGGGACAGCGAGTGGCCCGGAGGCGGAGTCGGATGTGAAGCGTAGGGACTCGGGGACCCGGAAAGCTGAGCCCACAGACCACTTAGCGGAAGAGGAAACCGGGTGGTAGGAGCCCAGCGCGTGCTCGAACAGGTGTCCGTTTGAAGGCAGCACCAAGGCGTCCGCGTGAGGGTCTGTGTGCGCGTGCGTGGATCCATCTGGACTCCGGCTGGACAGCAGGACCTCGATGGCCCCCACTAGGTCCCCTCCGCAGCCCCTCAGGATGAGCTCCAGCACGGGGGGCTTGTGCGCGGGGAAGATCTTCTTCAGGACCTCCAAGGGGGGCCGGTTCGCCCTGAGGCTGAAGGGCAGGTTGATGGAGCCCGCGAGGCCCTCTATGAGCACGCTCTGCTCAGAGGGGCTGACGGGAAACTTCTGAGGACTCTCGGTTTTTGGCTCCTTTTCGGTGCTGGTGGGTTTGGGGAGGCTGTAGCGGCTCTCCTCGGGCAGGGAGGGGGTCTCTGGGGGGTCCGGGGTGTAGCAGGAGTTTGGTTTGGAGCCTTCAGGGGAGCTGGCCGGGTCCTGCTCCTTCTCGCTGGAGCTGCTGCCCCCGTTTTCACCTCCTGACACCTCATCAGGAGGGTCCTCTGCAGGATCTGCAAAAGCAGGAGAACACAGTCAGAGACAAGTTTGAGCATGAAACACACAAACGAAAACACACAAAGCTGCAAGAAAACCAGACACTTCTATCTGTTAGACACACTTAGGGGAGAGTGGGGTAAGTTGAACCACCCCCTGTTTTATCATGTGACCAAATATTTAGGAGATGGGCATCAATTCATGGAGTCTGTGAAGGTTAGAAGCACATGGGTGAAGGGCTTAGACATTTATCTCCAAAAAGACATTTTTCACTCTTCAAAGTAAATTAAGTCTGTCATACGTTTTATTAGAATTGTGTTCAGACCAAAAAAAGATCATTTTAAATTTGTTTTATACATCAATTGTGGTATATATGAGCTACAACATGAGGTCAAAAACTGAGCATAAAAGTCCACCATTTTTGTTAAGAGGACTAATAAAGTCATCATAGTAGTTCTGGGGTAAGTTGAGCCACTAGCTCAAGAAGTCTGATGAGAGGATCAGAGTTTCAGTTCAGATTGTTAAAATGTTTTACTTTTTCTTATCAAAAATACAGCTGTAAATGTTGTAAATCCCTTAAAGACATTCTCATGTTGAAATGGCTTTTTACAAAACAGCTTTTTAGCAGTTATATGCAATAATAATAATAAAGATAATTATTGTACCAGTTGAATAGCGTATAATGGATAAAAAATACATATGAATGTGAAGAAGTGAATGTTATTTATAGAGAGAGAAGGTGAGGGAGGGCTTGGGTGGAGAGTGGGGGGGTAGTAGGGATACGACCCAACTAACCCCGCTCCAGAGTGGGCCCATGCCTCAATGGGGCCCTAAGCAAAATTTGATTTTGGGGCCCTCTATTTCTGCAAATAATATTGATTGTTGAACATTCACACACCTACTACAGTATAAATTTAATGTACCTGACATGTCTTTACACATTTAAGGGGGTGGCATATAGGTAATAACATAAATGATACCTATGCAGTTATACAAATAATACCAATGAATGACTGATGAATGATGACCACATATGGTTTTTAATCTCAAAATGTAACACATTCAGGATGCTCAGTGCATATTGCACAGCAGGAGGCACATAGTGGAGCTTTGAAATATTGGCAGTAAGAATCAAAGGCCTACATCAGCAGCAGCACCAGAATTATTTAACTTTGTTTTTACAATGATATATATTTGATCATACAGCAAGAGCATCACTCATACATGTAAAAAATAAAAAAATATTTAATTATAATCTTTTTGATTGCTCTAGGGGGCCCCCTACTGGTCGCGGGGCCCTACGCGGCGCTTAGTTCGCTTATGCCTTGGGCCAGCTCTGCCCCGCTCCTAAGGTCAATTTACCCCATACTCAGGATTTAGTTGACCATAGGAGACCATTTTTGTCATGCTATATTATCAAGACAGTTATGTTCACTCATTCTGTTGGTTTGCAGGGATTCACAACATCTTGAAATATATGCAGATACACTAGTTAGAGACAAAACTAGGATCGCCTTGATGTAGAGATCCGAAGTATAAAAGATGTCTCATCTTGCCCCGCTCTCCCCTATCTATTACAGCCTTTAGTGCAGACTCCTCCATTCAGAGAGGAAAAGTAACATGCAATCCATCTCCTGTCAGTTTGTCTCCACCTCACAGACTGATGTGGATTTCTTTGCCTGTGCAGAGCTCTTAACACAAACTGCTGACTCCGTGTGTGTCCGTGTCAGTGTGTGTGTTTCATTAATTGTGTGTGTATGTGTGTACGTGTCAGTGAAGGATCTCCCGTCGATGCCTTTTGACCACACCGTGTAAACAGATCGCTCGTTGCTCGGTAACTTTTCATCTCAAGTTGACCTCGTGCAGAAAAAATATGGCGATTGAATTCGATCGTTGCAGCTCGAGCTGATGACGGGGATCTTTAAGGGCTCTGATGTGGAGGCAGCTGATTGGTTTTGTGGAGATAATGACTCCGGACATCGTCTCATTACAGGTTAAATGTCGCACAACAAACGGACTCAACTCTCAAAAACTTGCTTTATTCTGCAAATAAAACAGATGGTTCTGTTTATTGTTAAAGTGATAATGTAGAGGTAATACTGCAAACAGAAATCTTCATTAGGCCTCGCACTGTTTTGCTGTTTGGCGTTAAAAAGGTTAAAAGTGATCCGAACAAAATACGCAAAAGGAGGCTTTTACAGAAACTGATTTGGGCTCATACTGTAGAAATAAAAATTGTTTTGCAACTTAATGCAGAAATAGTTTTTATTCTTCTGTGCAAGAATAACATGAATGAAGATAGGCCTATAATTAGAAACATCATTATTGGTGGATCAGGCTCATGTTGGGCGTTCCCTGCGATTTCGACAAATATACTTCCATATGAAACAATTAGCCTTCATTATATTAACACGTGGTATAATCACACAATCCCTGAAGTGTTTTCTTATAAGGCGAAATATAATTATGTAATACTAATACTAATACTACTGTTGCTGTTACTGTTGCTTGTGTCAATGGCTGTCAGAAATCACGGACTGTTTCATCTGCAGCTGTCCTGGCTGGAATTTTGTAAAATCAGATAATCAAAATCAGAAAATCAAGTAAGCAAAAATTACAGTGTTTAACTTACATTACACTTAAAATCATGTGCAATATAGTAGAACATGTATGCAAATGTTCATTTCATGACAAACCTATTTGGATTTAATACCAAACAAATTCATTTTAATGATGTTTCAGAGGTAGATAAACGCGCTCACGCTTTAGTTTCCCACGTTGTGTCCCACATTACACTAACCCACTTATTCAAATATGACCAAAAATGAAAACAACGATGCAGCTGCAAGGATAAAAATAATCTACTTGAAACATTGATAAAGGAAATATATAAGTCTGAACTGATTAAAAACAATCAAACCAGGGTGAGTGTTTTAAGAGTCAATGTTTAAAAATGTGTAGGCAGAATAAAACTGAACAAAACATCCAAAAAAAAGAGAAACTTTCATTTTACTCTAAACGTTTGTACTCTGTTTGGAAACAACACACACACTCGCTGTTCGACAAGATTTCACTTCAATCAGTCCTACAGCAATAATAATTATTCCAAGTATCCTGTGCTGCCTAATTATTACTCATGATTCAAAATAACATGAAAATTCACTCTTACAGCAGCTCACAACAAGGAGCAAAATAGATGAACTTATGACTACAAGACAATCAAAATGTTTAACTATGATAGGTTATGTTAAAGGTGAAAAAGAACAACATTTTAGGTTTGATTTTTGATAAAACAAATATAGACACTGTGTACATTTTATACTGATTATTGCAGAGAGAAATTAAACCTGTTTTTTTTCTCAGATGAACATGGTGTACACCTCAATGAGATGATAAAGTGAATGCTGCAGAGTAAACACACATCTGCAACAACTTCTGTGCACAGCAAGGATTAAATGAAGAGCTCATATTTAGAGTTTCTATCAGGAAATGAATTAATCATATAGTAAATGCATACATTTGTAGTCAATTAAAATGACTCAGGAATATGGCTATAAATTGTAATCATCATATTAATATACTGAATGAACATTTACATGTATTCAATTTTGAGAGTTTTTGTGGTGTGAATGATCTAAATAATCTGAGAAGAAAGCTCAAACAAAGCGGATGTACTGAAAGATGACAGTTTCAGAAATGTGACTGACAATAAACTGTAGTGCAGGTTTAATAAAATGTAACTGCAGATAAGATGGACGAAATACATTTGTTTACTTTAGCCAAGGTGGTAATGATTAAATACATTTTGGGTTTGATATGTTTGTTTTGTGTATTGTAAACATCACACAAACAAACTAAATCTGAATACTGCATCCTTGAGTTTCTTCCCTGAACCCGAGGCTAAAGGCTCAATACGAAGTTTTAAAATAGTGTTTTAATGGCCAATAATTACGATATTTGTTTGTCTGCAAGCATCACAAGATGATTAAAAAACTGCTCAATCTGCAGCTTCATTTTCTGAATGCAAAAACTTTAGTCAAGTTTATTTTCTACACTTCACTCTCTGTAAGTGGGATTTCACTCAGAATAAACATCAGTAAAATACTCAAGTGAAATCTGTATTTTTAATTATATTTAGTATAACTTGCTTGAACGTTGTTTTAATGTATTTTGCAGTATGAGCATGTCTCTATTCGCACCATTCACGAAAATTTCCTTTTCTAAAATAAAAAATAAAATTCCAGAAAGATAAACTTTAAATCTGTTTCCCTCTTCTTACCTGTGCTTGCGCATGTCTGCACTCCCCCGGCCTGCACCGGCTCCGCGCTGCTCCACCTCAGCTCCAGCTCCTCCTGCCTCTGCGTGGCGCCCTGGGTCCCCTCGCCAGCCCCGGACATGCCGATGCCGGGCAGCACTCTGAGGGACTCCGGGATGAGGCTCTCCAGGCTCTCGTTGGCCTGCTGCCTGCGGAGCGCCACCTGCGCCGCCATGACGCGCTGCCGCTCGATGATGAGGATGCACTTCTCGCACGTGCAGTCCTTGAAGCGGCAGTAGCGCTTGTGACCTTTGAGCCACGAGAGCACGCCGTGGTTCCGGCACCGCGCGCACTTGGGGGTCCTCTGCAGCGGGGCCCGGGGCTGGGACACCGGAGCCCCCATGTACAGGTAAGGGGACCCGTAACCGTTCATTCTGTCACACGAGGCGTGTTTTCCAGGACGCACGAGAGCATCTGCGGGGTCGCGAGTGATGTGTTTGTGGAGATGGAGGATGGAGCTGCTCTGCCTCGCGCATGACACGATGAGTAGAAGAAGAGGAAGAGGAGTGGGCTTGTCGAGCAGGATCCACCTTTCCTCCGGCTGACAGCACAGATACGCATCAGGCTGACACGCGCTCCTGGAGACGAGTAACCAAACGCTGTCACTCACGTCAACACGCCTGCACGCTGCAAAAAATGTCCACAGGAGGGGGGGGGGTGCAAGTGGGGACCAGTTAATCCCTCATGTTTCTCTGTGAGGCTGCAGAGCCTGCTCTAAAAGCAGACTGTAACACCTGTACCAGGATTTAAGAGGAGTGGAAACACTGAGGTTAGCAGAGAGGAGAAGTGGCTCCTTCACTATTGCTGTTTAAACACTTTGATTTCAGGAGGCTGCACTTAACCTCAATAAATGTTGCCTGGAAAAAAAACAACTGCAGGACAGGCAGTTTCTATGATTATACAATCATGCCCCTGCATGAAGTTACCAACCCTCTCAAACGTCTAGAAGAGAAGGAAAATAAAAGAGAAGACATTTGAAAGAATATAAGGATTCTCTTTTTCACCAGCTCAACATTAGAGGGCTGTATCTCAAAAATGTGCAAGCCTTTAAGTCTGAGTGCAAGACATTTCCCTCTGCTGATGCTGTAAAAGAAATAAATAACAAAACATCTGCAAAAAAATAAAGTCTAATGACACACTCATATGGCTATATGCTGGTCAAAATAAGTGGATGTACAAAAATGCTTAAATACGGTGGCCCTGAAGGTCAACAGCACTGACTTTTCATACATTTTTTTTCTTGCATTTCATGAAACTTATCAAATATTTCTTGAAATGTAAAGAGTTTTAAAAAATGCAACTGATTCCACAAAACATTTGAATATTTTATGAAGCAATTAATATTGCATATTGCAAAAAGAAAAGCAAAAAGTCAAGTAACTTAAAACCATTTGATGTAACAGAATTTTTATCCCAAAGGGAAAAAAAGCAAAATGGTTTTAAGTTACTTGACTTTTTGCTTTTCTTTTTGCAATACGCAATATTAACTGCTCATAAAATATTTCAATGTTTTTTAATATTTTAAAAATGTTTTAAACATTTCAAGAATTATTTGATAGTTGTTTTTTTTTTTTAATGAAATGCAAAAAGAATGTATGAAATGTCAGTGCTGTTGACCTTCAGGGCCACCTTATTTAAGCATCTTTGTACATTCCATCATTTTGACCAGCATACAGCCATATAAATGTGTCATTAGACTTCATTTTTTTGCAGCTGTTTTGTTATTTACTTCTTATACAGCATTAGCAGAGAAAAATATCTTGCACTCAGACTTAAAGGCTTGCACAGTTAAGTTTTTGTCTTATTTTAATTATTTTGTTGTTTTGGACTGTTTTTGTTTTATTAAAGATTTTTGTGTTTTGTTAAATTTTTGCAAAATGTTTATATCCCATATGGTCTTTTCACTTTAGCATTTTGAGATGCTTATGAATTCTGTGTGATGTTTTTATGTGATCATTAAATGCTTTGACAGTTGACCTTCAGGGCCACCATACTCGAGGAATCGATGCACCTCTTCTGTTAGCATCCACTTGTGCAATATGACCTCCTCACTTAAAAATAAAGTTTAAATGTATAAAAAGCTCCACAAATTCCCAGCAGTTATCTGAGCAGGTATTCAGTCCAAAATCAGAGTTCAGAGGAATAAAAAGCAAAATATTGGACACACCAGCTGTCAAAAGTGTCATATAAGTGTCATTTTGTCATTTGTAGAGTAATACATAAAACTGGAAAAACATCTATAGTACTTTAGGTATGTACATGTATAAAATGTGCAACATCCACAGACTCCTGTATTAAAAATCTGTCATCCAAATACTCAAAATGACTCAGGTAGGACAGACACAACTCCTGCATGTAAAGCCACCAATCAAACATGAATCTTCCAAGAATCTTCTGTCCTAAAAAATAAATGTGACAATACAACAAAAGTAATTTAAGATGAAGGTTGATTTCATGTAAGAGGTCGGGATATTTGTCTCCATTAGCTGTCCCTGTTTTCCTGCAGGTCCTCACACTATCAGGCTTAATTCAGACTCCACTCTCAGCCTCGTGCTCCTTTAACACAGTCGTACATAACTGAGATGATTAGCTCTCTGCATGTATAAAAGCCCTTTGGGAACTATGTCGAGGACGCTGATATGTCCCTTCTGCTGGACTAATAGAGGGCATTGAAACATAACACCGGACAAAGCCGGGGCCCATTTCTGACCGTAAAAAAGGTTTATTCAAGCAAATAATGGGATCGGAGGCTGCACGGCTTACAGAGAATAAGAGCATGGTAAACTTCCCCACATGAAGCCCGTCTCCAGGGCTATTAAGCTTTTAATTGGAAAATAGCAGAGGAAATTTCAAGGTGACTAGAGTGGCTTTGCAGTTTGTGCCGGACGAGTAGATTTGTGGGAGTGGGAGGAGACGAGTGAACGCCTACACCACAACGCATAATAAATTTATTCATGTTGTTCGTTGATAAAAGAGTAAAACACAAAGCGGAATAAAAGTTTATACTGCAGGATGCATCAGTGTTTACATCAGGCCTGCTGTGTTTTTTTACTCTGATGTGCTGCAAGAGAAGGAATGTAAAGATTTAATGCTGCAGCAGAGTGTTTCCAGTTTCAAGTTAATGAGAAATATGTTACCTTTATTAGATAGTTAGAGCTTTAGAGAGAGAGACATAAAGACAAAGAGTTGAGTTTTCAATGCAGTAGATATTTGAAAAGATGCACCCCCTGAGCATTTTTACTCTTTTTCAATTTCTGACCAAGGCCCACATCAAATTAAGAAATTCACTCTGGTTTATTGGAACTAATGGCTAAACTTTGGTAGTTTTACACTGAAGCTATTTGAAGGTTATATACCAAACCATAATTAATACTAAAGCCTCTTTATAACCTGCAAAAGCAAACAAGATCACCAGCATTAAATCTGATTATTTCTATATAGTCATCTTTATAACTGCAACAGAGAATGTGCCTGACAAGTGGAGTTACTGTACACCATCAACAGTCTTTTTCAACTCAATTTTCTCCGGCTAATTTTCACATTAAAATATTTTTTTGAACAGGTAAGACTATTGATGCATGAAGTTAACAATTTAGATTTTCCTCACAGGAGCTTAAAAAATGATAGTTTTGTTTGACAGGGAAGGTTGAAATGAAAAATATAAAAAACTTAAATTAAAGTTTGTCACAAAATGGCATGAAGGGGAAGAAATGTGAGAGTGGGGCATTCAAGGTTGTTGTAATGGGAGGTAAGGGGACAGACTTTTGGTTTGGACACACTACTGCTACAGTTATAAAAGCAGTTTTTTTGTCATCTGCATAACAGAGAGTGGTTACAATAACTGTGCTAGTGGTGGTGGGGCCCAATTGATATCTTCTCACTGGGCCCAGGATTATGAGCAACGCCCCTCAAGACATAACAAATCACAAGAAGTCATTGCAGGGCTGGGAATCGGTCCTACGACAGTGTGATGAGCCAAATCGACGCCCCCTTTGAGTCTAATCTTAACAGAGTTTGTTAATGTTGTTCTTGTGTGCTGTGTCGTTCTGAATGCTCGTACGAAAAAAAAAAACGGTTTGAAGAAGTAGAACAAGACATAGGGGAGGGGGCTTTTACATTTCAACCACTGGTCTTTGACCGCATGTTTGTATAGGCAGAGTTTACCCCTGCAGAGGAGGCCCCCACAGAGCCTGATGTGGAGAAGGAGGAGCTGACCTCTGCTGAGTGGGGTTATTATTAGGTGCTGATTGGGGGCGTTTCTGCCACTCTCACGGCCTGTCACAGAAACGCTGATTTAACACTCCCTGGGGAGGCGGGACACTGAGTTCCTACAGGGGAAATTAGCCGGATGTCTGAATTAGTGACAAAAGCCCTGAACATCAGTCAGAAACATGCATATCTGGGGAAAAGAGGGAGTCTGTGGGTTTATTTAGGTCACTAGATGAAAGGTTCAACTGAGAAAGTGATACAGACTATTACAAATAAGCTAAATAAACTACGAGTCACCACACCTATGATACAAGCGTTCTGTTATTCAGCCTATATTCACGTTTCACACTGCATGTTTTTGATTGGCTGTTTGTCACCTCCTTTTCAAAATACAGGCTTAAGCCGTTATTATTAAAAATTGAAATGTGATATACTCTAGAGCGAATCTTATTTCATGCCTGTGAGCCACTTGTGGAGAAGAGTGTCGTCCTCCTGAAGGCTGCCTCGCTGTTCTCAGATCAGGTGTAAAGACAAATGACGGGTGACGTCCTCAGATTAGTTGTGGATGCACAGCTTCACAGCGGCCTGTTAAGTCGGTTTAGTCCGTCAGCCTCAGCCTGTTTATTGGTGCTCTGCTCTCAGGGTGGGACGTTTATGACCGCAGCGCTGCCTGTCCTTCAAATCCTTCAGCACTGCTCAGCAAACACAAAGACAACTTCAACTTAAACACACTGCCTGGAGGTACAAAGATGGCATTTTAAAAAAATTATTAAAGACAAAGTTTGCTGTTGTATTTATAAACTCAGAAGTGTGACTAACATATGTTGGTATGCTTTGCCAAAGCTGCTCAAAACAACTTCATACTGTATTTTGGAGGTTTGACATCCATTTTTTTTCTCTATTTGACAGGAGCTGGCTAGAGCACATGTAAAAATAATACTACAGGACAAAGCTGTCTGATTACAAGATAAGGTAGTTAATGTTTTGAAAAATACAGAGTGTGACTCATGTTACCAAAATCCAGGAGGTCTGTTTTTTTTTTTTTTTTTAAAGGCGTGTAGATTTGCTGTAACTCCTCATTGGGTTGCTTCAAAGTCAATAAAAAAGAAAAAGTTGGGTTTTTTTGTATGTAAACTCTTTCTGTTTTTGCTTAGTCAAGAAGTAGCTTTGCTCATGGGGTCTGACTTTATTTTTGTAATAATTGTCAGAGTATATCGTTATTTATTTAAAAGTATGAAGATCGCATGTCCGGAGAGGTACTTTTTTGTAAGCCATGTTTGAGAAGTTCCAACACTTGGAAATTTCATTTATTTTAACTTTAAACAGCAAACACCAGCGTCACTTGGCCCAATAATGATCTCTAAACTAACAAATTACAGTAGTTTGATAAGACGTTGCAGACGTTGCTATACCAAATTGCACTTTTTTTTAGTTTATTCTCATGAACACAAAATGCAAAATGCAAAAAAAAAAAAAAAAAAAAAAAAAAGCAAACAAACAAACAAACAAAAAACCAAAACAAACAAACAAACATACAAAAAAAAGGCAAGAGTGGGGAGGGACAGAAAAATTCCCGAAATTAACATCCAGCTACTGGCTGTTGTGCTGTCTTTACAGCGAGGTTATACAGCAGTTTGCTTAGACTGGGGATTTTGGCTGAACGATAGACCATCCACAGACCATAAATGTACCTTTTTTGAAAAGCTACTCAAAAGTTTTTCCTTAATTTCAAAAAGCAGGTGCCTCAAAACCAAAATCCTCCTTAAATGTCTGTAATCTGAGAACAGTGGCAAACAGCCTTCTTCAGTTAACACTATTTAGCCCAGATTATGATATTAGAGATATAAAGTATGCTGACGATAATGTGGTATTTGTCTGTATAAAACTGCAGCACAGTTTTACGACATGAGAGACACGATCTCAGCTGTATCTGACACCTGAAGCTGTCCCATCAATAGAGACCTCTCATAAAGGCTCAGGACCGTAGACTGTATATAGAATAGACGCCGTCTGCCTCCTTGCTGGGTGAAGCCACCGCGAGAACAGCACCCTCTGGTGACAGGCTGCAGTATAGGTCATAAATCCCGCCTCCGCCAGCAAAGCTTATGGAACTGTGGACCAACTATAGAAATTTATTACTAAGAATATCCATTTTTTTTCCCACCTGCTTGCAATGTTGACATGTAGTTATTGTAAGACTGGTTTGTGTTCAAGTCCTCTTTTAACCCCCTTAACCCCCTTAACATGAACCCCCTAAGTTATTAGGGAGTTCATGTTATCTATGATTGACACTTGATACAGCCTATGGGCGTACAAAGATTGCATAGATCACTCGGGGGATACGCCGTTTGAGCCGAGTGTCATCACAGCGACTCTCAGCGACTCTCCCATAGAATGCGTAAAATGCTACTGTGCAAGTTGTGGTTCCAGGAAGTGGAGAAAATCCCGGAAATATCTAGAGCATTCAGCTTCAAATTTGTATAATAATGGAAGGCGCAACCAAGTTGTGGTCCATAGTATATATAGTCTATGCTCAGAACCATGAACTGAGTAACATCATAACTAGAATAGCTAATATATGCTGATGGGGTTAATGGGAAGCCAAGTGGACACAAACAGCTATCCTCAGATGCGGTCTGTAAAGTCATAACTTTTCATGACTATAAAGCTGTGTAAAAAGTAACACCTACAATCTGAGTCTAATTTCATGACAGTAGAAAAGCAGCCAAAACAAAGCATTTCAGTCTGAGGCTCGGATAAGGAGTTTTTTTTTTTTTGAGCTGCAAATCCCACAAAGCTGTTCCATAGATGTCCCTGACTGATGTAATAAAAGGTAAAAATGAGCATCATAGGTCTTTTAATATAACTTAGAGACCTAAGGTATAAACAGTTTTACTTTCCTCCCTCTACCTCTCAGCCAACAGTCTCCTCTTCCTCACTCCTTGTCTGAACCGAGCCCGCCATCACTCCATTCAGAGGTGTCACACTAGGATCCCAGCAGATTTTATCTATTACAGGACGGCATGATTCATGGAGGCAGAGGCAGCTCAAGGAAAACCAATCCTGTGACACTTTCCCCCCTGCGCCGTACACGGGGCAGCAGCAGCTACAGAAGGACAAGGCAGCGGCAGCCGTGATAAAATGGCCTTCCTTAACTAAACTCGTAAAGCACAGGGCAATAAAACTCAATCTTCTGTAAAATCCAATTAAGTCATTATCTGACTGATTGTATCTTTAATTGAAAACAGAAGTGACAGTAAATTTCTGTGATATATCAGGATCAATCGATACTGCTGCACAATCTGGCCTCAAGAGGTGATTTATAATGTCAAAGTCTTATAGGTAACTCCACATTCTTCTCTCTAAAACCACTGGTGGATGAAATTAAGAGTAAGTGCGTTTCATAAAAAAACAAGATGGTCACGTTATTGATTACAACAGATGGGGCAGAATCCAATGAATGTTCCCCCGGCGCAGCAGAAAGAAAATACAAGTAATTTTCTTTCTCTGTTTTATATTGTTGTTTCCAGCACAGCATCACATTTACACTCTATCACTTGGGAGCGTTTTTATATGCCGAAAACTTGTAGCGACATAAACTCCAAGACTCCAAATGACTTTTGTTGCTGTCTTATTCAAACATGAACACAAACAAACACTTGGAAAGCTTGCAGAGAGAAATGAATCTCCATAAAACATATAACACATAAACAGCGCGCAGTACAGCGTGTAGCTTCACAGAGGTGGAAAAGTTGGGAAAATGTCACCAGAGTTGTCAATTTTTTTAACCAACACCTCAACAAAACTTAAAAGTGGACAACACAGAATAACTTAAAGTAGAGAAAAGCTAAATTATATTTTGAGTTGATTATTCAGATAAAATGTAGCACTCATAATAGTGTTACAAAAATACAACTTTAGAGACCACAGGGCTTTCTGTGTTATGCTCAACAGCAAGCATCTGCATTGGGTTCCTTTTGTGCCGCTTCAGCTCTGTCTGACCTTACAAATAGATGCCATGAGTTTTCACTTAACCTGAAGCCAATAGATTCAGAGCTCCCCCTACTGACTTAAGTGTAGGCCCTGTAGTACAGGTCCTGCCTCCCCTGTTCTAATAGAAGTAGCAGAGGGCAAACTAAGTTTTTCTTAGATGGTTTCTGTTATTATAGCAATCTTTTTTCATGCTGCAGTGTTTCTCCTACGTTCGTTCAGCAGCAGCGCACCGCAACTAAAATTTCACATGACCATTAATATCAATGTGCCACAAATGATTTCTACTTGCACTGTGTGAGCACAACAACACACAACATTATTTTCAACTTGTTTTGAGTCATCAACAAGCGCATTAAATCCTGTCGGACCCTCTTCTATCAACATGTAAGGTAACGTTCAAGCTTATACACTATCTATAAAGCGAGTAGCGGGGTTAAAGTCACGTAACCAGACTTGTGGAGAGTCATAGCGTCAGGTCTCTCATATGAAGATGGTTTGTGTGCTTTAACAGTTTGCTGAACGTCTTTGTTTTAACTTTCATCTGTGCTAAGTAACTTGAGCTCGTAAGCTAACCTGTTCAGATACAACATACCATATGTATTTTCACTGTCTCAAACTCAGTCGCGTTACTGTCACAGCACCATAAGGTCTCAGTTGTTACCTTACGTTTATGGATTATAGTTTAATGTGCTCATCTGGTACTGGCCCCGACTCAGTTCATGCTATCATGACAGACAGACATCTCAACACTAGTGTCTGATCAGAACTGAAAAACAGTCAGTCTGCTGTTGTGTCAGTCTTCTCGGTTCCACTCGGGATGCGTCTTTCTTCCCCTGAAAGGTTGCAAAATCGCATCACGCTTGATGTGTATAGTCAGGCACATCAAAATTCTCCTCAGAATTTTTCGTAATTTCGCGTTGTATATTTGCATCGGCCCCGGTGTGTAAGGACCTTAAAGGGGTAAGAGAGAGCTCGACAAACACCAACTCGAAAGTCACTGCGTTTCATGGCAGGACATTTTGTACAAAGTCAGTGTTTCTTTTCATGTGTTTATTTTGCGCACAGGCTCCGGTGAAAATGGACTGTGCTATTCTTTGATAGAGATAAATCTAGGACAGAGCTGAGACATGCCGCAGCACTGACTGGATTGAGAGTGGATCAGCTCTAGACAGCACTTGCTTGCTGTGGCACCAAGATGAAACTGTTGACGATGTTAGGGGTTCATTAGTGATCAGGGAATGGTAATTGTCATGTAAGACAGTGAAAATTAACCATACATAGAAATGATTTGTGGTACCCAGAGTGGCCACCACACAATATAGAGGCTCAAGACATTTGATTCATTATGATTGATGCCAAGACTATGAATCAGATACTAGCATTAGAGGAGTGTTTGTTTAAAGTGCCTCAAACAATAAGCACATGATGTCAGTATTTGCTGTTTTATTTTTTCTGTAAATGTTTTTAAAGAGTCATTTTCGGGTCTACACTCTCTGCTTAATCTTTCGGTCAGAAAGGGTTAACTTTACTATAGACATGCAAATTCTCTGGTATGAACGATGCCACTGGATTGGTGATATAAATAAGCAGTGTGTGCTCCTTACATGCCAAGACTGCAGAGGGAAACATGATTCATGGTTCCTTTGTCTCCTTGCTATTCTTTAGGTCACACTTTGTCCCCATAGAGGGAAAGAACTCGAGTCAGAGAAGTCCTCTAAACTTAAATTAGTCACACATTCATTGATATGAAGGAAAACCATACTGTTTTAGAGGTTTTTAAGAAAGTTGACTTCTCCAAAAACAATCTGATATTATTTAGGGAAGATTTGGTTTGCCTTGGCATAACTGGCTGTTAAGTTTTAAAGGACTGACCCTTTAGGTTATAATTATGCAATTAATAGTTTATGCTTACTCCTCTCCTTTCAAACTTGTTCCATAGCCAATCTTCATCCCTCTTCACATTTAGAAAGGAGGGTGTAGGGTAGCAGTAATCAGCTGGCTGCAGATTTTCACCTGAAAGACTAAACTGAATCTTTTACATGGAGCAACACAAAAACACATCCAGGCAAGTATATGAACAATTTAAAATTTATTGGAGAAATTGTGACACAAAGATGCCAAATTTATGATTCATGTGGAAACACCTGTAGATCATGTTTGAGAAAAATACTGTTAACACACTTTCAATCATTGTCAAATATGTTTCTTTTATCAAAGGAACCAACAACAGGTTTCTAGAAAAGATCCTGTCAAATTTCAACCAGGACTTTGGTTTAATTTTGGTGCAATATTTGTCAATCCTTCAGGACTCTTAAAAAACTAGGGAGTGACCCCGTGTCACTTACTTTTAACCTTACATTTTCTAAACAAGTGCTTTAGGTCTTAATTAAGTGATTTGAAAAACAGCAAAAAGAAAACTAAGCCTGTTTTCTGATTGTCAAACTCCTGAGCTTCTAAACACACCTGGTTTTTGTGGGTGAAAAGACATGGTGACTGAGATGGTGTGAAACCACGCCGGTCAAAAGAACTGGAACTGGAATTTTAAGGCCATTATTCTCCAGCTTTGGTACTGAAACACTGAACGTAGAACAAGCTGTTGCTTTGAAAGGTTAAAGCAAGTGTTCAGCTGCACAAAAAGACAAGTCACTGTCAAGTCTGAAAAATTTGGTTCACACTTGATTATCAGAATCAGAATATTACTGCTGGATTACAGTTAGTAGAGGCTGTGAATCTAACCATCTGTTGAAGTGTCTTTTTAAAGACTGTCTGTTAAAAAGACCTCTATCTTTTAGAACAATATTCATTATATTTGAACACTTTCCATGTTGGTGAACTGGATTGAACAGAAGATTTGCAGGTTTGAGGCTAAGGATGAACTGCAGTAGAAATGTCAACCACCTGACTCTTTCAAACCATTAAGAACGTTTTCAGGCCTCAAGGATAGAAACAGTGAAAGCTGCTCAACATCAACTTGAAAACTATTTTGTACAACACTAAACTTGGCTTCTCTTGTAAAGCCTCTGTTATGAAACATTATCCTTAGCTTCTTTTATTTGGTAGCATCTCCGTTCATGATGGAGTCAACAGTGAAGTTTGGGGTCTCGCTGCTGGCCTCGCACTCGGTGTTGACGGAGCTGACCAGGCAGCTGATAGACCTGTAGGCCAGGGTGGAGTCTTGAGTGGTAGAGACACCTCCAGGTGAGTAGGCTACAAAGACAAGAAACATTTATGAGATTAGATCATGCCACACAAAGCTCCTTTTTCATTGGTTAAAGGTGTATTTTGTATTCTCAGTTTAACAAAATCTAAAACACAATGTTATATGCTGAAGAAAGGTTATGAGAAGAGGTTTAAGACAGCCCACTACATGACAAAGCCAACCTACAAATACGACTGCACGTTTTTGTTTTGTTTTGTTTTTATGGTAAGAAGTTTAAGCCAATTTTGATTCTGGTTGAATTTGAATTTGTAGTGTAAAATTTCCAAAACTGTGGGGAAAAGCTTCAGAAAAGTTGCTGTCATTTTAAATCCCTCAAATGTTGCTGTATTTTTACAACTTGCAGATGCGTCATGCATTTGTCAACTTTTTGTTGTTATATCCCGTCCCTTGTAATATCTCAACATCTCCTACAACACATCCACCACCCGGGCTATCCTGAAATGTATTTTGCTTCACCTCGGATAACTTTTACCAAGGCATACAGAAAAAAATACTGATTTTTTTTGTCGCACTTTGATAAACTATGTTCATTTATTTTGAAAAGAAATAGACTTCAAATATTTCTCCTCTCTTTCAGATATTGAGCTGCAAATCTTCTCCTTGGATACTCCACAAAGGCATTAATATGATAAATTTCTATTGGCCGGTGTAGGTAGACAGAACAGCAGCTCCCATAAAATAAAAAATGTCTTTGTATTGTGAGGCGGGTAAATAAAAATGGTGAATAGAAAATACTGTAGTGAGACAGAGAAAAGAGCAGAGTGGTATCATCGGCACTGCAGAACAAATGGTCCTCTCTGCTATTGGCCTGATATAAATTTAACTGTACACTAAAAGCATTCTTACCAAAGCTCAGGATTTATGGCAAATTGAAGCAGTCAGCAAAATGGGAAGACAGCGCACACTAAACAAAAACCATCAGATCTTTTACAGTTAACATCAGAGCTTTGTGCACCCACCCATTTTAACACTTGTCTACAGATACTGCGCTGCTCATACAGTAATAACAGAAATAAAACTGGGAGGCCAGCAGACATTCGGCTATGAACAAGCATTCAAAAATTACTCTAGTTATAATCACTGTGGACTCTTAACACACTTGAGAAAAACTGAACACAACATTGAAGCCATGACAGTCAACAACACAGTTCAACACAGATTTCATAACTTCAACTTTAAGTCAATGTGGATTGAAGCTTGGTGATAAATCAGTCTTATGGTTGGTTCATAGCAACAGTCTGTTATTTCTTCACACCATTGTTTTTAAAACCACACTGAGTACAGTGTTTCCCACACATCAACTTCAATCAGTCTGAGGGAAGGAGTCCAACACATCTAATCTCTGCCTGGCAAAGTACTTTGTTTTTAATAACATTCAGCAATATGGATAATACAACATGGATAATATTTTTGACCTTCGTATTATGAATTATTTTAGGAGTGAAAATTTAGAGTGGAAAAAAATGTTTGAAGTAAGTATCGGGGCTTAACGATTAAAAGCAACAACTTAACATGCTTCAATTAGGGGTGTCCCGATATGATATTGATATCAGATATCAGTCCGACATCAGCAAAAAAATCAAATATCGGGTTAAATCAGCTTGCATCTAAAATCTCTGATACCAGCACTCCAATACAAGCAGTCTATTCCAGACTCCACTTTGGTACCTTTATCCAGCAGTGCCTGGATCCAGCATGCAGAGCCCACGTGATCACAACAACAGTGTGCACTAAGGTACTAACAAAGTAGCAAGGAGTTGGAGTGATGTCGGCCATGTGGCAGAAGTGTTGCAGCTGAGTGCAAAACTTGTCATGCACAATTTTGTGCCAATATCAGATCAATATCAGTATTGGCCAAAACTGAAGGCTACAATATCGGTATCGTATTGGGAGTAAAAAATGTGTATCGTTTAGGGTCTGACCGATATAGATTAATCGATTAACGATTAATCTGCCGATTTTTAATACATATATATATATATATATATATACTGTAGGCTAATGCTCTTCATGCCAAAAGGAAGACTGACTGATCAAACTTGGACCAGAAATGTGTTCTGTTGTTTATTCTACCATTACTGGCACAGCTAACAGTGAAGCAAGGCTAATAGCTGGTGGCTAACTCTAACTTGCAGATTACATGGTGCTTCACCGTTAACTCAGCGTGACTGAGACCAGCACAGCAGGGAACATCGTGAAGTGGGTTGAACTGAAACTTGTTGACTTATTCTGTATTTCACAAACTGCTTTATTTACCGATGAGGCGGGCCACTCTCCTCTGTGTGTCCCTGAGCTGCCTGCTTCAGATCCGTCACTCTGCTGTGCTTTGAGGTAGTTAGTGGATGAAGACTGTCACGAGGTTGCTGCGTCATCTACAGGTTAAGTCGGGGAACTTTTCAAATGGAGAAAGATTTTTGAAGTGAAACCGAATCTTATCCTCCGCATTTTATTTCTGAAAATATTGGCGAAAATCAGCGAGTTTTGGCCGATTACCGGTTAGTCTCAAACGGGCTAAAATTGGCTGATTTAATCGGCTCGTCGATAAATTGGTCGTGCCCTGGTATCAGGACACCCCTAGCTTTAAATTAACCTGTTGCTAAAGGCCTCAGGTTTGCCTCTGTGGGAACTTTGGTGTCAAAGAGCAGCAGAAACTTCAGCTGTGAGCACCTATTCTGGCTTTGAAAACCAAGGTGCTCGCAGCTGTTGCTACCTGATGGAGTAACACCACCTGTAGTGACACATGATATCACATTTTTTTTAGTGTCAGAATGAATTCGATGTTGAACTTTTTTAAACAACCATTAGCTGTAAACACCATGATTATAAAAAACAAATATATGAGTATTTTTACAGGATATTTTGAGCCACTTTTTTCTCTCTTCTTTTAATTACACCATTGGCACGGTAAGCTGTGACCCGAGCCGTGTTTCAATATGACAGAAACAGTTCCTTCAAAGCTCTCAGTGATCTACAGTAATCAAGATGCAATTTAAGACTTGCTGCTTTTATCAAGAGTCAACAAAAGCTGATGTCAGTTCTTTTCTCAGACTCCTAGGACATTTTGATTGGCCACTATTCCCTCCCCCCTCCCTCTCCTCCTCAGCAGTGGTGGGAGGGAAGAGTAGAGGAGTAATTTTTCTCCTCATTAACTTCCTGATTGGTTTCAGACTCCAATTTTTGCCCGTCTGCAGTATGTCACCAATTCCAAACAGGCAGCTCAATCGTTAATACTAATGTTTGTGTAGCTAAGTGCTCCGTGCTCTTTCGGTCTTATCCCTCAGTGGTCTACTTGTAAAGCAATAACAACGTGTGGGTGGGGGGAGAGCGGCTGTGAATTAGCCTGTTCGCTGTTAATTCTCTGCCTGTTCATCAGCAGGAAATCTATGATGTAATTAAAGGCTGGGAGCAACTGGACGTGTTAGTTTCACTGGAGATGTTAAATCATGACACGCTGCTCTACACATGTTCTCTGCTGCTTCTGTCTGTCCTCTGCTCTCCTGTTTAATTCAGATTAATGTTGCTGAAACACCACAAAGCCTCGTTCTCAATTAGCATCAGAGCACCTCTTAATGACATCATGAAACTAATTAAACACAAACAATTAGCTAGTTATGTTTTATTGTAAGCTACATATTCTGTTGAATTTAGTTTTTGGTCTCAGTTATACTGGCAAAACTGAAAAAGCACTTCTCAGACACTAAAATTAACCTTTTAGTCAAGTCAGAAGCACAAAAACATTTCATTTAGAGCCATGTGAAATAAAGAAGATCAACAAAGTGACATAGCTAAGATACATGAATTGAGGTTTGAAAAATTTCCTGCATTTTCTTTTCACAGCCTATCTTCCCATCCATCATAATTCTCTGCTGAGAAATGTGATAAAAAAAGCCGTTTTGTCAAGATGCTGTTAATCTCAACTGACACCTGCCCTGTAGAGGCTTTGACAGCAATTAAAACTAACTATAAAGAAAACATAAACCTTATTTACAGCCTTGCATGCTCTGTAGGTCATGAAGAGGCATCAGTATTAATGTTAGTCTATTTCATATCTAGCTAAAAACTTCTCAAAGAAGCTTTAATATGAACTTATTCCATCCACTCTAGGCCCTGGAGTGGCATTTCTCTCTCATGGCTATTCTGTCCACCTTTGTTGTATGACTTTAAATGCCAGAATGCAGCACAAGAGCAGAGTAGCTGCACTTGCAGATATACACTCACCGGCCACTTTATTAGGTACACCTGTCCAACTGCTCGTTAACACTTAATTTCTAATCAGCCAATCACATGGTGGCAACTTAGTGCATTTAGGCATGTAGACATGGTCAAGACAATCTCCTGCACTTCAAACCGAGCATCAGTATGGGGAAGAAAGGTGATTTGAGTGACTTTGAACGTGGCATGGTTGTTGGTGCCAGAAGGGCTGGTCTGAGTATTTCAGAAACTGCTGATCTACTGGGATTTTCACGCACAACCATCTCTAGGGTTTACAGAGAATGGTCCGAAAAAATATCCAGTGAGCGGCAGTTCTGTGGGCGGAAATGCCTTGTTGATGCCAGATGTCAGAGGAGAATGGCCAGACTGGTTCGAGCTGATAGAAAGGCAACAGTGACTCAAATAACCACCCGTTACAACCAAGGTAGGCAGAAGAGCATCTCTGAACGCACAGTACGTCGAACTTTGAGGCAGATGGGCTACAGCAGCAGAAGACCACACCGGGTGCCACTTCTTTCGGCTAAGAACAGGAAACTGAGGCTACAATTTGCACAAGCTCATCGAAATTGGACAATAGAAGATTGGAAAAACGTTGCCTGGTCTGATGAGTCTCGATTTCTGATGCGACATTCGGATGGTAGGGTCAGAATTTGGCGTCAACAACATGAAAGCATGGATCCATCCTGCCTTGTATCAATGGTTCAGGCTGGTGGTGGTGGTGTCATGGTGTGGGGAATATTTTCTTGGCACTCTTTGGGCCCCTTGGTACCAATGGAGCATCGTTGCAGCGCCACAGCCTACCTGAGTATTGTTGCTGACCATGTCCATCCCTTTATGACCACAATGTACCCAACTTCTGATGGCTACTTTCAGCAGGATAATGCGCCATGTCATAAAGCTGGAATCATCTCAGACTGGTTTCTTGAACATGACAATGAGTTCACTGTACTCAAATGGCCTCCACAGTCACCAGATCTCAATCCAATAGAGCATCTTTGGGATGTGGTGGAACGGGAGATTCGCATCATGGATGTGCAGCCGACAAATCTGCGGCAACTGTGTGATGCCATCATGTCAATATGGACCAAGCTCTCTGAGGAATGCTTCCAGCACCTTGTTGAATCTATGCCACGAAGAATTGAGGCAGTTCTGAAGGTAAAAGGGGGTCCAACCCGTTACTATCATGGTGTACCTAATAAAGTGGCCGGTGAGTGTATGTTAAAGCTGTCATGAGGTATTGGCCGATGGATGCAGGATAGCACTATGTTGGATGGATTTCCCACCCTTTAGCACAGCACACAGATTTTTAGGGCCTGTGTCCACTAGCTGCATTTTTGTGCTAGCAGTGCCTACAACCTTACTGGTACTGGCCCCGACTCAGGGATGTGTCCCCCCCCCCCCCCCCCGTAAAGTCGCAAAATCGCATCGTGCTTGATGTGTTTAGTCAGGGGCGTCAAAATTCGCCTCTGAATATTTCATAATTTTGCGTTCTATATTTGTGTCGGACCCGGTGTGTAAGGACCTTCACTAGTAAATAACTAACCATTAAGTTGGTCCTAAATTGATCTCCAAACTTGACATTTGTCTACAGCTCTTCTAAGGAACTTAAGGAATTTTGGCTCCCCCTGTGGACAAGGACAAACCTTCTATCTTTGCTGATTTTGTCCTGTTATCAGACAAAACAAATCTCATCCGGCTTTCTCATAACAGTCAAATGTATCACCTATCATGAAAAAAGTTTACATGGGTTTTTTCTTACCATGCTGTGACATCTACCCCCTCACACAGCCATTACACCAAATAAAGACAGTCAATCTCTTGGCTCATGATCAGGTTTGTTTTTATAGGTCATAGAGAAGAATCAATGCTGTCTGTTTGATGACAAGATAAATTCAATTTTAAGAAAACTACACAAAAAAAGTTAAGAGCAACGGAAAGAAATAGGTTCCTAGGTTTCGCAGCTGTGAAAAATGGCTTCTTGATTTTGATTGGTCATTGAGACGGAAGTGACAAAGGGGCCATCAGCACCTTGGGCACTTTTGGTGCTGAAGATCAGAAAGATGCATTGGTTTTGTTTAGAAAAATGATACTGCCAGAGGCTAAAGTCACTATTAGTGAGCACAGCAAATGACTGCAGGAACACACGCCGTCAAAACTGCAAACCACAAACCAAACACTTTCACTATCAACATTCACGTTTACAAATTCTGTAGTTTTCATTCTGAATGCATACTTAGTGCCGAACTTCAAGGTATCAGGAAATCATTTTGATATTTTTAACCCTAACCCTAACATTAAATAATTCTGATCTTAATTTTAAGTCCGCAGCAACCAAAAAACCTTCCAGGTATCAGTGAGATCTCTCAGGTTTCAGGTGTGAAAGAACAATTCTGCACACAGCACAGTATATGTATTAACTGCACTTACTGCATCTCTCTGTGTGAACCATAGAAACAGAGGCGCTTTTGTCCGTCTACATCTATTTGAGGCTCAGGCCGTGTACAGACTAAAACAGTTTGTAACAGGAGAAATTTTACCTGTTAGCAATGTTGAAAGAGAGTTTATTCTCCTGAATGAACTTTTGCCCTTTTCCCAGTCACTCAGCACTCTATATAAGATTTCAAACTATTAAACAGTCTTTGTGTGGACTAACAAAAGGAAGCTTTTTTAACCTCCCACTTGTCCTGCTGAAGGAGAGGAGGGAGGGAGCGAATGAAGGTGCAATCATTTCTACTGCTGCCAAGCAGGAGAACAAAAGCCCAGATGTGAGAGGAGATGGTAATTCAGTCTGATCCAGTAAGATAAGCTTTCTCTGTGGGTTTCATACTCCACACTCATCCACCGCACACAAGGGTCATACGGGCTGATAACACTTAAGTAAACACACACATGTGCACACTCACACAGCTTTGCATTAAGAGGTAGGGATGTGAATGAGTTTCTTCAGTCACTGAAACTTCAGCAGTACAAATGCAGATAATATATCCATTTAAAGATGATAATCATTGGGCAGAAAAACATGAATACTTTAATGACCCTCGGTCTTGGATCACTGGAAAATTTAATGCCATTAAAAAGCCTGCTCTTTATTAAGACTAGGATTTTGGTTGAAATTTGTTTAAAAGTAATGAATCAAATATTTAAATGGTACCTTTTTGTAATGCCGCTCAAGTGTGTGTTCAAATAACAAGCTTTGTTAATTCGGAGTCTTCTTGAACCTTGTTGATAAATGAAATTCGTAAAAAGGTCAGATACATAAATGAACAAGAAGCAGCAGAAGGCAGGGCGGGACATTGCTGTTGTGTGTACAAAGAGAGGAAAGCTGTAGGTGTGGTGTGTGTGAATGTGTGAGGGTGGGCGGTGAAGCAGATCTAATAAAATCTGCTGTGACTCGGGTTTTGCTACATGATCATCACCAGTTTGAATACACTGGTGTTTGTACACACACATTTTGGTTCTAGTCTGCACCCAACCGAGATTAACTTTGGCTGATGCAGATGCAGCCACAGTAGCAGGTAAACTAAGTAGTGTAATGCAGTGATTTGTGACAAAGATGTAGTCTGGATGTACCCCCTCTGTTCAGCTTTGACACTTCAGACACATCAGAGAAGAGCTAGGCTCACTCACCTGGATGCATTGTCACTGTTATGGCACATTTATCAACCAGGTAAACTTAGGTGGTCCTTTCTTTACAAGTTTGAAATAAGAAATCAAAAAAATAAAAACACGGATGCAGGAGAGAAACTGAAATACTGAGCAACTTATTGACACAAGATATTGAGAACTAGGGTTGCAAAATTCTGGGGATTTTCAAAGTTGGAAACTTTCCATGGTAATTAATGGGAATATATGGGAATCAACAGGAATAAATCAGAAATTTACTAAATCAAAATTTGGCCCTCAACAGGGAACTTAAATATAGTTGGGGAAAATATATTGTAGCATAATCTTGGCTAAAACAACCAGATTTAATGCAAGTACACTCCTCAATCACATGCACACAGCACACTGCTTACTGCAGGGCTATTGAGGCCACACCCCCTACATGCACTGTGCATTCCTCCATCACACGCACAGATGATTTCTTGAACTATGGAGGCCACACTTTTGAGCCCAGAGCACAAGACATTTGAGCCCACAGACTATATAAAGTCAAGTAAGTTTTGATAATATTATGGGGTAAATAGATTTGATCTAAAATAGTGTTAATATTTAACTTGCGAGGAAAATTACATAAAAAAGGTGCTGAATGTGAGTTATTTTTCATTTTATTGACCATTTAGGGGCTAGCTTATTATGGGGGTGGTATAGTAGCCTGGCTGGGCCATCCTGTTGCGTGAATCACTTGACGTTCCTTCCCACAACAGTCTGGACTTTGGCCCATTGGGAGCGTGTATTCCCGATCAGAAAATAACCGGGCCAATCAGAGACCGTGTTTTCACTGTTACCCGGACAACAGGGAAAGGCAGCCCCTGATTGGTCCATGTACTACTGTGACCAATCACCGTAACCAAGCATCTGTGATGATGTCAGATGCTTGGTTACGGTGATTGGTTACAGTAGTCTTTCTATCAAGGAAAGTACTCCCACTCACTTTCAGGGCTTCCAATGGGCCGAAGTCCAGACTGTTGTGGGAAGGAACGTCAAGTGATTCACGCAGCAGGATGACACAGCCAGGCTAGTGGTATGGGGATGTGCGCGGTTATTCGGATATCTGTGTAAACGGGCCTGTCCTTACTATCCGTTTACTAAATAATATTTGTTTATTCTATTAAAAAAAAGATTCCGTTTTTACTGTCATGTCTTAATAAAAGTGCGCATTAAACGAGCTAAAATGTGTGGATCATTTGCATGCGACTCTTTCTGCCTGGCTCGCTGCTCTGGGCTCGCAGCGCTGGCCTGCAACATGCATGGCATCGTGGGTTAACATCCTCAAAGTGAATCAACACATGTGATCAGCCAGAGCAATGTCGGTGAGAAAAAAGAGCAAAGTTTGGGAGTATTTTGATTTAGATAAAAATGGCACACAAGTGGCTGCTTGGCTTGAGCGCAGCAGATCGGAGCTTAATTGTTTCAATCTTTCATGTACTTTATGTCATTCTCCAGCGCTGAAATACAATTCTGTAACATATTTTTAATATTATAAGCATGGCTTTCATGTACTCTTAATATTCATTTCAGATGATATCTGGCCATATCGATTGACATGTGCTCAATTTGGGCTATTTCAAAATAGTCGTTTAAACGTCAGTGAAATTAACCGCTGGGAACATCCCTAGTAGCTACCTCAAATGTGATGCTATTTTTTCTGACTCCTGCAAGACGGTTTTCTGAAACCATACAATAATTTATAAATCAATTGTCAAATATTTTGAAAACCATTGCAGTTGTTTAGCCAACTATATTTCTGTTCATGCCATTGCATTAGTGTTTTTACAACCTTTCTGTTATTTTTATTCTACAGAAAAATGCCACGTTCACGATCTGATTTCACACAAGCTAATTGTTGAAGGAAAAATATTTACATTTATGTTTGGATAGTATACTGTTTGTTTAAATTACCCCCAATTTCCAGTTAATTCCCATAATTCTCATGGAAAGTTTCCAATTTGGTATATTTTCAAAATTCCCAGGCTTAACTTCCCATGGAAAGTTTCTGGAAATTTACCAGAAATTTTCCGCCCCTTTGCACCCCTATTGAGAACTAAACATGGTGACTTTAAAACACCTTTCTGTGGTCTCATGCACAGACATGAATATTACATCGTGAGCTGGAGGACCCGGCACAATTAATATTTACACTACCCTATTAAAAGAACAAAGAGGCCGATGATATGAGCTAAAATGAACAGGGTGATGTATCTCAGCATTTTCAATAGACCTTTCTAGATGGAAACGGTGACCTTTCCAAAGCTCTGAACCATGGCTCAGTTTTGATCTGCAGATTCAATTTGCTCAGTGTGGCAATATTCAACAGCCAACCTAGAAGTTACCAGAAAACAATCAGCTGTCTGGATTTGTGGGTGCTGCATGAGGACAAGAGCACTTAGTGGAGGCCATCATCAAGGGAACACAAATTCAATCTTAAGAATGAAGAGTTGCCTGTCACATGACAAGGTTGGCCTGGGATTAAATGGCCCCCATTAAAATGATACGAGCTGTGTCTAAAAAAATTGTCCCAGGCCAGTTTGAGAAGGTCTTATAGGTGTCCAGCTGAGGACAACCCCTTGTAGAGATGGACACTCCCCTCTCCAGAAATGACATGGATGTCTGGCTCTTCATCAGCCAGCAGCAGGAATTAATGACCCAGAAAACTCAGTCAAAGAGCAGACAGGCAGGCAGGCAGGCTTTAAATACTGAGCAGTGAAGAGTGGAGGCTCAGGGCTCTCAGCTGATGTTCACACTGCACACCTTCACCCTCAGTTTCAAACCACTGCTCACACCTGACCTTTTTGAGAGACTACTAATTCTACAAGGTTTGAAGGAAGAAACAGTTTCTGTTCATGATTTGAACAAGTCAAAGGTAAAATGCACTTTGTGTCAAACAGAATAAAATAAAAAAAATAGGAATACTTCCGATTTTGCCCACCCTCTAAGAGCTAAGTAAACAGGTGAGCAACCTCATCACAAAAGCCACTGTTTCTGAGAAGGCAAACTGCGAAGGGTTATTTCTGGTTATGAGTACAGTTCATTTCATTTGCTTCCCAAATCAAGACACTGAATTACTTTACATCTAAATAGACTTTTTTTTCCTGCAGTGTGTGTGCAATTAAACCGTCTATGTATTTCTCATTCTTGTCTCAAAGCTGAGGATCTGTTGAGACAATTGCTGAAAGGGATGCAGTCTCTTATGCAGCCATTACAGGGGTCACAGACACTTAAATGCTCATTATTGGTTTCTCATGGAGCTGACAAGCTGAGGGCCAAACGCAAGCTGACAGGAGGCATCAGTGTTTGGGGTCAAAGGCTAATTAAGCAGAGAGGAACCTTTGCTCCTGTATTGTTAACCAATCTGTCCCTGGTGAAGATGACTGCCGGAGAGGCGTGACACAGCCCTCGTCCCTATGCTAAATCTCCATTTCGGCTACTGTGCCCCATCAACTCACAAAATGGCCTGTCAGTCTATCGCCTGGCTCTCTGATGCCGTCCGTCGAAAAGTTATGGATATGCAATAATGAGCTGAGGCGGGCCGATCAATATTTGCGGGACTTTTCTATCACTACATTTTAAACATGAGATTCATTGCGAGTCGACAGGGTAAGAAAAATGCCAAAGTAAAGGACACAGGAAGAGTGAAATATATTGCTATGGAGAGAAGGACGCCTCCCGTGGGTGCTAAAGCTGCCATATGTGTTTATCCAAGTCGTTCAGCTGTTTCAGAGAGCTGCCAAGGCAACATCATTTATCAATCCCTGCTGAGCCGCTGCACAAAAACAGAAAAAACAAGGAGAGTGGCTGAAAGAGCATGATGAGGTGAGGAAACTGTGACTAACAGAGTTAGTTTGGAGCAGAGATACTGAGAACACAGCAGCTCATTTGTGTTGGGAAATGTGGGTTTCTTTTATCAAGGGTGTGAAGATTTCTATGTTACATTTTATTCAAGCATTTTATTCGCACGTGTTCTGTGTCCGCAGTCCTCTGTTTTCATTGGACAAATGCAGAAATGATTTCAGGCTTTACAATAAACCAAACTCTACATGTGGTTAATAATTATAATTTTGACATGACTGATGACGATTACAGATGTTTAAACTGTGTGCACTTGTAGTAGAAAACTATTTTGAGTATTTTAAGAAATTATTATTCAGTGGTAATAAGCAGCAAACGTCAGCTTGTGTCTAAGCAGTGATAATGATGTTTAATATCCGCATGAAACATAAATAAAAAGCTGAGGGCCAAAGGGTGTATGATTAGTCATGTCTGTGACACGTTATGCAATTCCAAGTAATTTACGCTTTAATACCACTCTGAAAAAATACTTTAAAAAAGTAAAAGTCTTGTGTTCATTATGAAATTACATTATTATATAAAAAAGTAAAAAAGCTGTACCTGGTTGATGCTTATTAGTACCTTACTAACCCAAATTAAAGTTGGGTTTGTTACATATACTGTATTTATACAGTTGAAAAAACAGGATCGTTCTAGCTTTAGGTTTTAGTAATGAGCGCAAAGACAGAGGATGGAGCCACTTAACTGCAAAGACTGAGATCAGTCTTCACTCACCACTCCAGTGCTAGGCTGATGGAGGATGGAGAGGCACGTGGACAGGAGCAGAGTAGCACAAAAACTGAGACAGAGTCATGATGCCTTCTTAAAGAAAAATCTAATTAAGTTGAGATGTTAAACAACCATCAAATGAGCTGAGAAATATGAACCCATGAAGTGAAATATCTAAGAATGATGAGCTCATCAGATCGACTTTGATTGTATTTTAAGTACATTAGTGAATAACACACTGAATGTAAAGCAAACTGTAACAGGGAGGGATATTTCTCTTAAAGGTTTAACATTTGATATTTGTCATTTAACAAATTCTGCCTTTTTTCTATGAAGGCCTTGTTAATTCTGTGTTAAAAAAAATGTGGATTTCTATCAACCTAGTTTATTAGCAAACAAAATATTACAGTTACAAGAGAGTTATACCACCATAATTAATGCTAGGATTTTAAAAGGTTTTAGGTAAAAGGAAAAATGAAAAGTGAAAATACTAGTGGCTGCTTGATGATTCATCAAAATTAAGGCGACTGAAATAACCTAATTAGAAATAGAAATAATTCTAGTGTTTGTAGCAGCGACGCTCTGATCTCATCAACTGAACCAGAAGAGATTATTACCTCCACCAAGGAGGTTATGTTTTTGGTAGCGTTGGTTTGTTTGTTTGTTTGTTTGTCTGTTTGCAACTTTACGGAGAAAGTTACAGACAGATTGACCTGAAATTTTCACCAGAGGTGCGTCTCAGCCCCAGGAGGATCCCATTACATTTTGGTGGTGATCTGGATCACCTTCTGGATCCAGGAATTTTTTGAAGGATTCTTTATCATTGTGAGATAGGGCAAATTTTGGAATTTTTGCATTGAACTCTATAAAAATGTCCAGAGTCTTTAGTAAAAAAATCACACAAAAGGATCTCAATGGGTTTTATGAGGTGTCAAAGGTTGATCCTGATCCAGACAAAATTCCGGATTCTATGATCCAGAACACACAAAAAAAGGGGGGCATTGGAATTTTCAATGCTGAAAGACAACCAATGAAGATACAAGGAAGTGTACGCTTACAAATATTGCATAATAAATCATGCATTTATTTATCTAATATGAGCTTTGTTGTTTTAGGAACATTATGAACAGTGAACATACCAGTTTAAACACAAATAAAAGTTAATAAAAGAAACGTAACAGTAAAAGTTTTGGTGTGAATCACAATATAAGGGGGGGACATGAGCTGCTTGGCGGAGGTCTGCACTCTCCGAGTGCTTTTCTAGTTATTAATGATTTTAACATTAGAAAAGTCTTCTACAGACAAAACAACTTTAATATGACCTTTTCTTAATTCTGCAAATACTGCATGTACATAAACTGACTCGATTACACCAAAAATTCTCTAATTTTTTATATATTGCTGAGCATAGAAAGACTCAAAATAAAAAGAGTTAAAAAAGGCTTTTCATTTACTTCCCTTTCAGGTATGAGTGTGAGTGTGTGTGTGTTTAAGTGAGAGAGAGGGAAATAGAGAGTGTGGGGAAGAGGACATAAACTACACAGCCCCGGCCATTTAATGTCCCCTCAGCCTCAGGCCGGTGTTAATGGTGGTGTTGTACAACACATTACAACAGTGCTTGTGCCCTGAACAGACAATTACACCAGTATTTAGCCCATCCATAGCGCCCCGGGTTATCAGAGCACTTAGCAGCACAGCAGGGAGAGACAGACAACCTGACAGGCCACACAGGACCTTTAAACTGTAACCAAGAGGCAGAGAGACACACAACAGAGCCCTCGGGGGTCTAACAGCGCTCAGCAAGATCCTTTCGCCTCCCTGCTGCTGGCCCTTACTTACAGATTGAATCACTGAGTCATTACATCCACCTGAGCTGCATTTATTTTCGGAGCGACTGGGAGGGGATGTGGAGATTTTCAAGGGCTTTCATGGAGGCAGCATCATCCCTGCTAAACATTAAAATATTTACAAGTTTTACTACGAGACACGATGATATAAAGCACTAAAACTTCTGCTGGAACGATTGCTATCAGGCTATCACTGCCTCCACTCATCCCCCCATTAAAAAGTGAACATTAGTGAACAAACTCACAAAACTATTGCACTTTGTAAGCTCCGAGCCAGAACATTTTTGTTATGAAAAAAAAAGATAAAAAGACAATAAATTAAAGGTTTGCCAGATAGGGTTAAAGAACATGCAAAGCTGTTGTGTGTTTTTACTGTGTCCTCAACTAAATCCTGACTCTGAGCTGTGACCTTTCACTTTGTTAGCTGTTGATGACCTTTAAATCTTTTTACATTTTCTCATTATAGCTTTAAATGTTTGTAAATTTCCTGCCTTTTACCCCACTTTAAAGATACAGTGTGCAGTTTTGAATATAATATTCACAAGTACATTTAAAATAAACATTTGATCTCCTGAATAAAAAATAATAATAATTTTGTTTATTATGAACTTCAAATCAGCCTCTTATAAATAAACCGGAGCTGGTCCTATTTCACAGAGGACGCCATCAACAAACATCATGTCTCCACAGTAGCACTGAATGGAAAAATGACTTAGTGAACAGCTGTGAAAAATGCATCTGCGGAAAAACAAACAGAAATGTTGCTAAGCTAAGATGGATTTGTCAAATCATACATCACAGGAATTTTTTCTCGTCAAAGGCCACCGTCACTTCACTGACCAGAGGGGTTAGCAATAGAGTATTTCAATCTAGGATCCTACTGCTAAGATATTGTAAAATATTTACATTTCCAGCCAATGTACCAATGACAAGTGAACTTCATACTCTCAAGTTGAGAAAAAAAAGACATTTTAAGGGAGTACTTTGAGCTTTAACTGACTTATTTGTTTTATAGAGCACACTTAAAAAAGGTCCAGAGGAACTCAAATGTGTTTCTTTTTGTTTGTTTTTTAAGAAATGGTGAAGCTGAGCAAAAGAAGCATGCAGGCTTTTCTCTTTGCAAGGATGTATCTGGACATCCTACGAGCCTACTGCATGAAATAACTGGATGTCCAGATACATCCCTCAAAACACTAATTCTCTAGACCAATACCTATTAAGAGAGACAGAAAAGTGGAAAATAATCAAGAAAGGACTTTTATACTGTGAGTCAACATGAGTGCTGTAAAACAGCTCTGCAAACACTCTAATACTGATCCCACAACAGTGTAATATCATTACACATATTGTCATTGACAAATGACCACAAGTGTATGATTTCACACTGTGTTACAACATTACAGAAGAGCAAGAGGTAAAGTGGGAGCTCCACATACAAACACCCAGGCTGCTCAACCAGCCATAGTGTCTCTAAATAATAAAACCTGAAACACCTTCAAACTTCCTCCTGGTTTTTGCTTTTCCTTAGACTGATGTTCCCGGTGTGTCAGTGACCAAGGAAATGAACTCTTGCTGCTACATGACATGAAACAGCACTTCCTTTGCAAAGGTCACCTCTGAGGTTGAAAGTACTGATTTGTTTCAGGTTTAATAAATCCTAAAGAGTGACAGGCCTGGCTGACTTCAACAGAATGAGTGTGGCCACAACTGTTTGTGTGAGTACAGCACATGTAGTTTGAAGAAACAAACTCCTCTGTTTGTTTGTGTGTGTATGTGTGTGTGTGTGAGAGAGTGTGTGTGGGTGTTTGGAGTAATCTGTTCTGAAAGCAGGTAAAGCCCCTTTTTGCACACGAAACAAAGAAACTTACTGAAGGCAATCTCTCTGTCGTTTTTAAGTTCTTTTTTCAGTGCAGGCGGAGGACCTGAAACGACAGACTTTATACGCAGTAACTCACTTTGGTGTACAGTACAGTATAGATTGAAGCCAGAAAAATCAATAAAATATCATCTAGAAAGATAGTAATGGATTTCTAACTTAATGGGCTCACACAGGTCTATCGATTAGCAGGATTAACATCTGCAATACCTCAACAATCTGATTTGCATTTAAATTACTGTACGCTCTGCGCTGACACCAATATAACAAAACAGACAAATGTATAGCCAGCAAGGCACTGCTCGATTTTGAGGTCTCACTTAGTATAAATTCGGTTTTAAAAAAAAGTAAGACCGTGATAGGAAAAGTTGCTCGTCTTGCAAAGTTTGCGCAGTTTTTAATTTTGAGTAGTCTAGACAAGGACAAAACAAAAACAAAAAAAGGGGGGAGAAGATAGAGCATAAACTCAGACAGACTCGGCTTGAAGCTGTCTCCGGTAAGACTGAAACAGCCATAACTCTCATGGGGCAGCTCATCTGAGCCTCTCGGGTAGATCTTAGTGGAGAAACAGTATGAGTGTGTGTGTATATACGAAGGAGGAGGGGTGGGGGGGGTTGGCAGTGTGAGGTGAGATGTTGGGAGGGCAGAGAGGTGGGGTGGGAGTTTGATGGACTGCGCTGTCACCTCCCGCTCTGCGATTTACGGCGGCGGTGCTGCTGACGAGCGCGGGGCAGTAAACAGGCCGGCCGGGGGCGTATTTCACAGAGAGCTGGCTTTTATGAAGAACACCAGGACGGCTCTACCCACAGCTCCGCCCGGCCCGCCGTGACGGATGGAGAAAGACGCATGACAAGCTTCATCATTGTTTGTAAATCTTAACTGTTCCCGCTCACTAACTCCAGAAGGCAATTTTGCGGAGACAGCGGGGCCTGCGGAGGGGGAGGGCAGAGAGGGGAGGGTGAGAGAGGAAGAGGAGGTGAGGAGAGGAGGGGGAAAGGACAGCGTGGCACTCCTGAAGGTTATTTGGATCTCTGTATTTGGCCAACTGATTAGTCCTATCCTGGGAGGGAGATAAATCTGACGGAGCGCTGCTGGCAGTCAGGTAGGAAGGGAGGGCAGGTAGGCTCAGAGCTCACAGCTATTTCCTCCTCCAAGAAGATACGGAGCTACACAAACATCAAAGTGACACAAATCAGAGATTTGCAGCTTAAATTGAAAAACTAACCAGGAAAATAAACACTTTTGTATCTTTACTTCCCTATTTTGAGTTACAAGGATATTGCTGAAAATTGCTCTGCGAACTTCTATGAATCCTTTAAATTAAGCTGACAGTTTTCCTTTTTGTTGACTTACGGGTCGTTACATTTACAAAGTCAGGAGAAGAGATTTATTTTACACTAACAAAGGGTTCAAAATGTATATGAGGGGGATGAAATAAAACAACTAATTACATTTATCCCATAATCACTGTTCAAATATGTGGCATTAACAATAAAAATAAAAGAGTAACTCCTCTACTGATGATATTTTCATATGGCTTTGTTAGTCTGTAAATGTTTTCAGGGAGCTAGACTGTAAATAGAAAAATCCGATGAACTTTTTTTTTTATATATATATATTTTTATCATATTGTCATTTTTTCCCTACAATCATTATATGCAGACCGAAACATCTGAGTAGAAACAGGTTTGTACTAATTGTAGTAGCTTTAGTAGTAGATTTAAAGAGTATTTGGCACTTACAGATGGAGATGACCTGACAGATCTCCCCTGGACTTGTATAAAGCTTCTTGTCAGTCAGGATAACAGCCGCCCAAAGTGATGGGAAATACAACTAATTAGACAATGACTGCTGAGTCGTACCCAAACAAGAACAAAAGTTAAGGAATCGGAATCGTGCAGCCACATTACTCCAGATAAAAAGTTTGCTATTTGATTGTTACAAGAACAACTCGCTTGTACCCCAGCAGACTGATTCATACTCGACTGATAAGATGTGGATTAGCCTTGAATCCACGTCAAGGACACAGTCCAAGTCTTACGCACACACAGTGAAACAGACAAGCCTCTGAATGTTTCACACAGCTTCATAGACACTGAGGCTCGAACAATGAGCCTCCTCTGCAGTAACAAGGCTCATCTTCAGCCTCACGTGGAGATAGGACACACTCCCACACTCAGGATTCGGCTGTGACGAGTATCGAGAGAGCAGCAGAAGTTTAGTCTGAGTCTTAGATAACACAACGCTGAGTCAAACCTCTAACAAACCATCAATCGCAGCTCTGTAGAACAGCAGATACTGAGAGCTAATTATTTTCATCATAGTGCTCAATTTCTTCTGAGACACATTACAGAGAGAAGAACAAATGCTCAAAGCTTTAAATTTGAGTGCGGGTGAAATAAGAGACTTTTTACAGCAAAGATGCTGTAGCACTTATCGTAATTAGCTTTATCCTGCTTTTACCCTACCCTGTGAGGTTTTACTGCACCACTTTGTAGTATTTTAATGCAACTCGCACACCCTGAGAATTTTACAATAAAAAAAAACTTTTAAAGAAACACACAAGGGAGGGATAAATGCCTCAAAAAAAGAAACCTAAAACAAGTGTTGCAAGTGAAGACTGGTTGGTTTGAAGAGGTCACAAGGCAAAATATTTTAATTTTAAAAAATCTCAGATTCAGTGAGGTTTTATTTTTGCTTGTGTTGGGAGTCTGAGTTGACACCAAATGTGAGACCACCTGCTGAGATTATTGTTCCCTTGTAATGGAGCGTGTCATTTTCACGGCAGGAGGGCTGAGGTGGGACCCTCACAGGAAACGGACAGGTGAAAGTCATAAACAAATGCAAGTCCAAGGAGAGTGGGATGCGGGATCTTTAGGGTTTGGATGCTGGTGGTGCCAGGCATGTATTTCACCAAGAGAGGACTGTTGATGATGATGATGATGATGCAGTGATATTGGAACTTAGTCCATCAGAAAACACACACTCAACATGGGGCTTTGTTGAGGTTTTAAGGGCATTCATTTCTGTTTTTAATTTAAGTTTAAATTACATGATAAAAGCTAGATAGAAGAATATGACTTCAATGAACCTATAATCATACTTTTAACAGAAGGATAACAAGTGGGATAGGGATGGGAGAAAAAATCGATACAGCATAGTATCACGTTATTTTGTCTGGTGATATACCGTATCGTCTCATCTACCAAGTATACATTTTTTTCAAATTAATTGTCAATATGAAGTCAACTCTATGGAAATGGAAGAATCAAGTGTTTGTCCAGTGAGGCTGGCAAAGGTGACATCATAGAGCAAGAGAAAGTTAGTGCAACAAATACAGCAGCACCTGGGAAAAGACATTAGGATTGCAAGCAGGGCACAAATGAGATGAACCTGACACATGAGGTTTTTAAGATGTGCTACATGAAAATAAAATACAGTGTAAACAAGACAAACATAAAGGACAGACAAATGCTATATCAGCTAAGCAGTTGAAAAAAGTGTATTAATCGCAAAATGTTTAAAACCACAATAATATCGAATCGTGGCCCAAGTATCGTGAAAATATCGTATCGTGGGGCCACTGGTGATTCCCACCCCTAATAGTCAGTACATGGGTTAGACATTAACACCTGAACGTGTGTGTCTGACTCATGAGAAAATGTGCGCTTTACACCTATGGCAACAGTTCTGTATGAGAGAGAGTGAGTAAAAGTAAAAAAGTAAGAAGAGTAAAAGTTAGAATAAAAAAGCTTTGCTCTGTGCTTATTTCAACTTATAAATTTTATGACACACTTGTCTTAGGTGCACTCCTCCCTTAGATGTACTTAACCACACTGTTGATAAAATCTGGGTAAAACTTTATGGGGCCTGAGAAGTGTGTGTGTGTGTGTGTGTGTGTGTGTGTGTGTGTGTGTGTGTGTGTGAGAGAGAGAGTGAGAGAGAGAGAGAGAGAGAGAGAGAGAGAGAGAGAGAGAGAGTGTGAGTGTGTGTGTGTGTGTGTGTGTGTGTGTGTGTGTGTGTGTGTGTGTGTGTGTGTGTGTGTGTGTGTGTGTGTGTCGCTCACAGGCTGCCATAGTCTCAGAGCAGTTGTTGTTATTGTTGTTGTTGTTGTTGTCCTCCACGCTGAAGAGTGGTGGTACACAGATGGTGGAGCTCAGGCCCTGGGTCAGGTAGGGGGCTGCTGGGTAGTAGGAGTGCATGCGGTACTGTGTAGACACATTGTGGCCGGACAGGGGACTGTCTCCATGGGGCATCTGCTTCAAACAAGAAAATACAGAAAAAAGACAATTTATCACATGTGGGTTTCATGTCTTGTCACACCATATTTCATGGTAGTCCACTGCTGCTCTATTTAAAATGACAAATTATAAAATATGGCCCACAAATCTGACCCACAAATTTTGCAAAGGAGCAGAAAATATTCCCAGTGAATAAGATGAAAAATTCTGCCCATGTTTATTGTTAACGTCCAACATGTCTTGTTTATTTTTTTCAATTATGAGAAGTCATCCTCTTTCTAACCCGATGGCATCCCTAATAGAAAGACTGCATTCGCTACGTGTTACATCTTCTAGCTACAGATTATTCATGCATACTATTTTCAGCAACACCAGGAGATATATAAGATTTGTATACACTACACATTTGTTAATTAAAATAAAAAAAATTAAAAAACATTGCTGCTGGTCTTCGTCTTTTTTCAATGTTTGGCGGTACGATCCTCAAAATCAGGCTTCAAGTGTTTATAGGCTGCACCTAAAAACCTAAGTAGGAAATATGGGAGATAAAATAATACATGACAGAGAATTATAAGTATTTGAATTCACGGGTCTGTGGTCTGCACTAAAAATGGTCTGCAACATGCCACGCTGGTTTTCTCCAGTCCTCTGAAAACTTTAAAACGAGCTGTCTACTCAGCAGCACGGCTGCCTCACGGAGGGTTTTCAATTTCACTTTTATGGAATTTGATTTCTGTCAGCCTGTAATATGTCACCCGTATTGTCCACACCATCAATTCTCCGACAGCTTTATAAACTGTTATTTAAGCTACACTCAGCTCCTGTATTAGACTGTGAAAAATACAATCCAGATTGGACTGGGGTACTGAGAGTGCACAAAGCTTTCGCTTTGCAGGACACAAACAGCAGCACCAAACAAACCTGTCTTTGTGAGAGTTGGCCACAAAATAGAAGTTGGGCTTTGCTCACAGAAAAAGGTTCACATGCTAGTAAGATTGTCACACAGCTTTTTAAGTGATTACTGCTGAGGAGCAATTTTACTAGAATAAAGGTAAGCACACATATTTTTATGACACATTGTTAAAAAACAACATTGCATTAAAATGTAAAAAAAATTGTTTAAAAAAAAAAATGGAATTTTTTTAGGTCGTTATTTTGTTGCTTTGAGTAAGACTCATATTGTAGACAGAAGATATTTATAGGTACAAGCTTGGTTCAACAGGCCTTAAGTAGGTCTGAGGACTAATTGCATGTATGCTCATTAGGATGTTCAAAAGCCACTGATTTCCCTGACATGTAAATAGGCATTCAAAGTGAGGATGCACCAGTGTATGGGTTGAATATCCATACTGGCAAATATAGGCTTTGTTGACAGATATCAGCTCATTGGCAAAGCCTATGCCGATGTGATCCCTGCTGCTTTTCTCAATAGCTGCCTCAAATCCTTAAAACTGCTACTTTGTGATAAGGTTTTAAACTGCTGGGATCATGCGAGAGGCTGTAGGGCCCTCTCTGATTTTAAAAAGAGGGTCCTATTTCCCCAGTGGATTTGAGAGACACTGAACATGAACTTGAGACAATTATGAGTTAAAAGAACTCAAAAAGTTTTTTTTTTTTACTAGAAGTAGTCTCAATCAGTGTGGGTTGCCTCCTCTTCTCCTCTTCTTCGACAAAGGCCAAACTGATAACCAGTTCCTTGGGAGTGTACACCACTTCAAATATGCTACAGTGCTGTGAAAGGCCAGGAGTCTCTGGGATTCGCTCTGCAATAATGTTGGCCCACCAGCACAGAGTCTCACATCTCCATTTGTTTGACTGACTGGTTAAATTGCTCAAACATAAATGGCCTCAGAGCTACAGTAAAGTGTTTTTTGAGATGAAGGAGAAAGAAATCCAATCTTGTGTTTGTACCAAAATCATACTGCGGTGACCTACAACCTAGTTGAACCATAAATCCTCTAAACTGCAACACACCTATTACTAACAGAGTGGGTGGCAAAGTTTGTCTGACACTGAAGGTACATGAGGGTTAATACACAACAACACTGCAGAGTGTAAAGATGACCTAATGATAACTTTTATAAACATATCTTCCCAACCTGCTCTTTTAAAACTAAACATTTTCCCTGCACTGGCTTTTACTCAGTAAAATGTTATATGAAATATATACAGTACATGAAATATGAAAGATTGTAGTTCCAGTTATTGGTTGTGGACAGAAAAACATTTTTAGACTCTTGGCAACAACTTGGTAACACAGTTAATATGTTTTAAGCACGAAAACCTTTGGTGAGATGATTTGTCCTAGCTCCTGGGGGGGCTTCTTTACCTCCCTGACAGGGCTCGTCTTCTTATCTGGCACCATCACCTGTCTGGAAGCTCTACCCCACCCTTACATTATCATCGTCATCCACCTGCATGACTGCCAAGCACCACTGAGTGCACAGGAGAGCGGAGGATGAGGTAGATGGCCTCATGCTGATAAAGACCACAGTGTTGACTTGTGGGTTTTGATTAAGAAGTGGGAAAAGCTCAAGATCCCTTTGTTGTGACAACATGTTACATTGGTTTGATGAATTATAAGGAATCATTACACTGCTGAACTTTTTGCAGGTAAAACGGAGTGGATGTGTTTTGTCCAAGTGCACTTAAGCTGACTAAGAAAGAATGACCACTTCTGGAAATCCTCTGCAATTAGTGCAAAACATTAAACTGATACTCCTGCAAATCATTTCCATGTAGTCCGGAAATGTTCTGAGATTGACAGCTAATGGACGGCTGTCACAGATAACCTTTAGAGTATTTAGATAATAGGAAAAACTAGTGTTTCAAGTTTTATTTCTGGGATGCTATTACAAACCTTCAGATGTTTTTTACAGCAGATGAAGAGCAGTTCTGGTATGTTACAAAGACATCATGAAATGGTCTCATACGGTTATGTCACACACCATGCACAGTTGCAATGATCAGCAAATTAGCAGTGTTTGTTGCTGAAGTGGGATTGAGCACTGGCCTGTTACTGCATATTCATTTCTTTTCTTTGTATTAGTTTTAAAGGTTGCAGTAGTTGTCTCGAAAGAAATACATCAGTAAACGAGAGTAATATTTTCTTAAAAATTTGTACAACAAGGCCTCCTCCGTTTGGGACAAACAATGAACTCATAAGTGACCCTGCCTTTCAAAGTATGCTGACACATCATGGGTGTTAATTGCAATTTACATCGCAAAACTGATTCAGATAGTATCAGTTTAAAATAATAAACTATACACAGGACATGTGCGGGATGTTTGAAAGAAGAAAAGAGAAGCACCCTGAGAAACTCACTCAGTAAAAGTGATGGAGAGAAGACATTACAGCCCAAAACTGTGTCCACAGCAAATATGGAGACAAAATCAAATAGAGTCACTCAAGGTTGGCCACATCAGTTTAAAGTGTAGCCCATCAAACTGTGAAGGTTTAGGGCAGGTAAAGGAGACACAAGAGAGAAGTCAGTGTAGTCGAGACAGTTGTTCCAATTTGGTTAAAAATACAAAGATTGGCTGCTTGTTTTGTCTCTATTTTAGCTATGATTTCCCAGGAGATATTCAATCAGTTTTTGTGATTATAACCTTACATTTTGAGTCAAAAATGTACAACAATTTAGTTGTGGCACTAGAATTTATCTCCTTATAACCAGCTCTTCATGCAAATACAAAAAAGTGGTCTCTGAATTTAAATAACCGTAGCACGTAGCTCTCTCAACCTGACACCTTCACTGAAAATATCATAAATCACTAAGGAGGATGGCTAAATTATGCTAAAGAGTGCTAACTGATTAGCATTAATGTGCTCACTTTCTCCTTCGAGCACTGAGGCATAGCGGTTTGTTCTTCTGCCGACAGACAATACCATTAACCTTTGCAATTCAGGCTCTGCCGTGTGCTGGCAGGTTAGCGGAGGCAGTGACCCCAAAACTAGATGTTGCTATTGGGGGAACGTGGAGGAGGAGGAGGAGGAGGAGGATGAAGGGGGTGGTGAAGAGAGGAGAGAAAGGATGAACAAATGCTCTTCATAAAAAAATCAAACCAGCTCATCTGAGATCACAGCAGAGTTATGGATCTAATTTGCTTCACGCACAAGCTCATTTCATTTGACACAATAGAGATACATTTAAACATAAATCAGTGTGAGTATAAAGATTAGTGAAAGCAGGGCTGCGAGTGTGTGTGTTCGGAGAGAACGGGATAATTGGTACTGTCTTATTATTGTCTCTTATGGTGTAGCAAAAATGTAGGTATTTGGAGAAAAAAAATCACTCTATATGGTAAAGAAAGTAAAAATACATTTTACAAAAATTAGAGGCAAAGAAATAAACTTCAATATTCCACATAGTTTTCTGTTTTCGCACAGTTGCATTCTGTGAGTATAATTAAATGACCTTCACAGATAGATACCATTTTTAGAAAAATAGCTATAGCTCCCTTAAAAAGATGATTTAGGTTCTGAATTTAATCATTCCAAGAAACAAACAGGGGTTAAGAAATAATGTTGCTGCTGTTCTCTCCCTCTTGACCAAGTCCAATAAAAAGTTTTGTTTGTACAGAGGTTCAAAAGAATTATTTACTTGTAATCGTACTCAGTTGCTCTGACATGTAAAGCTTTAAAATTAGTTGTCCATTAAACTGAAATCATACCTGGAATGAGCATTACAGAGATACTAAAAAGCCAATTTGGACAAACCATCTATTCTTTGAAGTATATATTGTATTATATTATAGCTTCATATAAATTATTGCACTTTTTAGAGGTTAAACTCACCTGAATAAGTTCCAGCACTGAATCTCTCAGCATCAACGCAGAGTTTGTCAATATGTGGGAGTTTTCATGATTCAACCCCTTTTGTCTCTGATGCATCAGACATAAAAAATTGCAAAATTGTATTTTGCATCTAAATGTCATTAAGAGGGACAAAATATCTCACAGACAGACAACATAAACGTTTCATATATCAATTTGTCTTCACATGGCTGAGTCTGCTGGCCTGGAGTATTCAGCTTTTATATAACTGTGACAGCTATGAGTTCACAGAAAGTAAGCCTTGTTCATGCTGAGTTGATTTGTAGCTGGGAGGCTTATCTCATGTTTCGGTGTGCATGAAGCGGCTCATATGGGAAGTTACTCCTCTAACCCACACATGTATACACCCAGACAGAGACACTCAAAGATATTGTGCATTTTGTGTTAATTACAGTAGTAGAACAGTTCCCTTGAAATGTTATGTGGAAAATGCCCAATACAAGCTCTCACATGTTTTGCCAATTTTCCTGCAAATTTATTCAAATGTATACCTTGTATTATGAGAAAAATTATGTGCTCATTTTAAGAACTGACCCAAATCAATCACTTTCTATGTGACTCCAACAAACACATTTCCTCCTTTGAAAAAGACCAAAAATCAGCATCAAAAACTTGAATTCCCTAACAGGGACAAATAATCTGCTACTGGCATGTGTACTAGGGAGCTAGTAAAAGTTAGTAAAATAACAGCATGAATGCCACTAAATTAAAGGTGAGTGAATATTGTTGGTCACCTGGTATTGTTGGTAGTTGTAGAGGTTGCTATAGTAGGGCTGGTAGCGTGATGGCTGGTATAAGTTGTAATAAGGGGTTTCCAGCAGTAGGTCTGATGATCCCTCAGTATGAGAACGGGAACCAGCTGACAGGTTGGGGGACGAAGCTGAGCGACCCCCTGACGAAGAAAATAAACATACAGATGAAAGATAAGAAATAATACCTGAGTATCTACACTCATGAGTAAAAGGTCTGCACAATATTACTCGTCTTGTAAGACAAAATGCGGAAATTTTTTTGACTACATTTTAGTATATAAAGATCATTTTTCAATTTAACATATCAATCCAAAAGGAGTCCAATTATATATTCATTATTACATTTAAATGTTGACTAGCTGCAAAATTTAGACCCGGGGGTCATCATCAGATTAAACTGTGAGGCCAAGAAACTTATGGGAACCAAGGATAAGTATAAGGATTTCTCCTCTCCTTCCTGCTGCTCTTTATTAATCACCCTGCAAATACTTACCATCTAACCACATTTTGATGAACATTGCACCAAATATCAAAGCTCAAAGAGACATATGTTGAAGTGTAAGGTTTGCTGATGCAGAGCAAAAAAAAGAATCAACAGAAACATTGATATATACATTGTCTACACTGATCAAAACTTGCAGTAGATCTGGAAAAGAGAAGACAACACTTGATCTTCACAAGATTTTTCAATAGTAGGCCTTTCACAGCAAGCTCAAACTGCTATCAACAGCACCATCTGCAGGTGACAAGTATTTTTCATGTCAGTTGAGCAGACCAATGCAACATAAAGTCACAGTACGTAAGTAATGAAGGATGAAAATGTCCATCAAATCATGCTCATTATCAGCTGTTCTTTCCTTATCGACAAGGCCACATTCCTCTCAGGCAGACTGTGATCTTTTGGTCTTTCACAGTGAAGACAATGTTCACTAGTGAAGCCAAAGATAATGACATTTGTTGTCCCTGTTCTAATTCTTGTCATCAGTGAGTCACAGAGTGCTTGACTCCTTGTTCCTCCTCGGTCTTTCCTCTCTGTTGCCAAGCCAGGGGACCAAAGTTCGTTCTCACAAGAGCACAATGCAGAAGACATGGGCAGCCTTGACCACAGTCAACTCTTCATATGCGTTATCAGGCCGGCAAAGAACATGATGTCTTTGTTTAATTCTTCACCCTGCCTATTTATGCTGGTGCAACCGCATCAGTTTTCATTTTCACTAATTTCCCAGAAAAATGTCTCGTTTGATGACAGAGTCTCACAACCTGATGCTCCCTCTAATGAGCATTAGATAGGTTGAAGAAGCACATGGGAGTGTGTTGAAGAATGGTTCAACTAGAGTGCAAGATTTTTACTCTGTTCATCCATGTATGTTTATTTAACTGGCTCATCCCTACTTTCTTTGGTGATTTCAGTGGGTTTACTCAAGATTTCCCTTTTAATTTGTTTGAAGGATCAAAATCAAGATGCGCTTGTCAACTTTAAAGATGAATAAGTAGACCGTTTTATAGATTAAAAAAATACATTTTTCACAAAATACTTAACTACTTCAGATTAGAGGGATTTTCACCAAGGTGCCAGCTTGTCCTAGTATTCGGATCGTGCATCTGAAGTACACAGGCTTTAGTACCTGAAGTAGGCGACCCAAGTCTGATTCCAACCTGTGTCTCTTTGCTGCATTTCACTCTCTCCTAAACTTTCTGAGTGTAAGCACGAAAGCCTGTCATACAAAGGATCATACTTGGATACTTTTCATTTAGGTATATCTGTTACTATGAGGGCATCGAGGCAAAAAGCTGGCACAGGAAACAAGGTTATAAACTGCTGCAGACGGCGCCAACTCTACCTCTTCATAATTTAAGTATGGGATAGTGAGCAAGATGCAGTTGACAATACTTAACCTGTGACAGTCAGTAATGACACAGACATACCGTTAGGTGTTGAGGATCGTCCCTCCACAGAGAACAGACAATCTGGTCCTGCTTCATTCTTCACCATCACCTCAGGGCCAGACAGAGTCATAGGACTACAAATCCCAAGCTCCTCCTCCTGAGCTTGCTGCCTTCTCAGGGCAACCTAAAGGAACAGAAGTAAAATCTATCTCTCTTTCTTCTACTGACTTTGTGGTTCAGACTCAATATCTGCTTTTGATTAGTATTTTCCAACAATTTCTACACCGAAATACATAACTGTGAATTATGCAGAGCACAGTTATAGCATGAAATGTGCTAAAGAAATTCTTTTTGATTTTATTTGAATTTCTAATTTACTAATTCTGGGGCGGGAAAGTAGTTAAAAGCTCTTAAATCCTTAAATCGACAGGGCAACGTTACAAAGTAATGAATATGGGGGGGGGGGGGGGTACTCTTGCATACCTTTTGATTTAGCTCTATTTATAAACTATCTGCTGTTAGCAATAAGTGTAGCAATACATTCAAAATACAATATCATAACGTTCAGTGAGCAAATCCTGCACCTATAGATATCATAGTCATAAATGACAACTATGCCTTTAACGCTCCAAGCTAGGTTAGCTACAATTACATCGAAATTGCCTTGGCGACGTCGTTGCAATTAAAAAACAAAAACTAAAGAAAAGTTGTCCCTATAGTTTCAGAAGTATAACAAAATATACACATAGTGTTTAAGCATTTACATGTAGTATTTACTGGCGCAATGTTTTTTTTTACTACGAGCCTTGACACTTAAGAACCGTTACTTTGCCCTAGCTAACGTCACGCGCTAATTTGAATCAATAAAACGGTGGTTACCTGAGCCGCCATGACTCTCTGCCTCTCTGCTATCAGTTTACATTTTGGACACTGGCAATCTCTCCAGTTGCAGAAGCGTTTGTGTCCTTTCAGAAGAGACACAAAACCGTGGTTCCTGCAGCGGGAACACTTGGGCATCCTTTGGGGTTTCTGCCCTTTTGATGGGCTAAGAGGTTCGGTGGGCTCAGGCACCTGCTTGCTCTGCTTGTCCTTGCTCATGACTACTGGTGATAAATCACAGATAAATCTTTTCCTAACTCCTCAACCTGCCAAACTGTCCCTCTGTAGCTACTTTGTCCCTGCAGGGCAGAATCGGCTGATTTAAGTCTGAACCGGGGCCAAGCTGGAGGCTGTGAGGTCACGGTCTTTCCCCGCCCTGGTGATGTTGGGATGTGTGGGAGGATTCAGGCTGCTGGAAGCGGGGGAGAGAGCCGGCGAGATAGTGGGGGGCCCCTCACTACTGCTCCCAGTCTCATTCATACTCACAATATGAGTAAACATAATAGATAACTGTTCAATTGAGTTTTATAAAGCTCTTCCCCCCCATTTGTTTGTTTATTTTGTCTCATGTTTCTTGGAAGACTACCAAGGAGGCATGACAGCCAGATAGGGGAGAGTGGGGTCAGTTGAGCCACCCCCTGTTGCTTGGAAATGGTAAAAGAAATTGATCATGTGACGAAATATTTAGGAGATGGGTGAAGGGGTTAGACATAAATCTAAAAAAAAAAAAAGGACAATTTTTCACTCTTGAAAGTGAACTTAGTCTGTCATAAGTTTTGTTAGAATTGTGTTCAGACCAAAAAAAATCATTTTAAAATTTGTTTTATACATCATTTGTGGTACCTATGAGCTACAAAATGAGGTCAAAAACCTATCACAGAAGTCCACCATTTTAGCTTAGAGGACTAAAGTCATAGTAGTAGTTCTGGGGTAAGTTGAGCCAGTGACTTGACTGAGAAAGTAAAGAAGTCCTGATCCTAGTCCTGATAAACTCTGATCCTAATGAGAGGATCAGAGTTTCAGTTCAGATTGTTAAAATGTGTCACTTTTTTCTTTTCAAAAATACAGCTGTGAATGTAGTGAATCACTTTAAGACTTTCTCATGTTAAAATGGCTTTTTAAAAAACAGCTTTTTAGCAGTAACTGTATATGCAATAATGATAAAAAGAATTGTTGTACCAGTTGAATAGCATATAGATAAAATACACATGAATGTGAAGAAGTGACTGTTATTTAAAGAGAGAGAAGGTGAGGGAGGGCTGGGGTGGAGAGTGAGGGGGTAGTAGGGATAAGACCCAACTTAACCCATACACGGGGTAAGTTGACCATAGGAGACCACTTTTTTTGGCATGCTATATTATCAAGACAGTTATGTTTACACTCATTCTGTTGGTTTGCAGAGATGCACAACATCTTGAACAGTGGCGGCTGCTGGTCTTTCAATGAGGGGAAGCTCATTTTTCTGGCCTACATCATAATTGTATTTGTTTATTAGTATGAAACAGAACAGAGTCGCCAAACACAACGGCAGTCGTTTTTAATAAAGACAGAAGTCGCTGAGGATCGGTAAAGTCTCCGGAGCAGTTAAGAACAACGGAATGAATGACTTGGAAAATGCTCTGGTAGATGTTTTATTCTTCAAGATCGCTGATTCGCTTGTTTAGCTGTCAATCAAAAAAGGATTTCGCCTCAGACAGCTCATCCAATCATGGATGCAGAAGCTTGCAGTCCGGGAGAAAGTCGGGACCGCCCTCTCGCCATAGAACTCCAGTGAAGCTTAGCTTCCATTGGGCGGGACAAAGCCCAGCATTTATCCAATGAGCGTCTAGTTTCGCTGCTGGAACAACCCACTTTTAGCTTCCACATTGAAGTCAGCAGAAGCCCAGCGTCCGGCTGTTTAAAGCGCTGAGGCGCTGCGAGGATGAATGAGTACGAAGTTATGCCGGTTACCTATAATTATCAGCTTCTTATCACAGTGTCTGAACAAAAGATGAAGGCTTTCTAGTGCGTATTTAGTTAATGAAATGTACACACAGCAGTACGTATTTCACCACTTTTTCTTTTTTTGGGGGGGTGACATTTTAAGGGAAGCCGAGCTTCCCTTGCAGTCTTAGAGCAATCGCCACTGATCTTGAAATATATGCAGATCCACTCGTTAGAAGCAAAACTATGATTGCCTTGATGTAGTGATACGAAATATGAAAAATGGCTCATCTTACCCCGCTCTCCCCTTTAATTCAACATTTCCCCGATAGACTCCCTAGAATAAGTAGGCCTACTGCCTTTGTTTCAAGAAACCCATAAAGCAGCTATGGCTTTGGTGATCATGAACCATCTACAAAAGTACAAAACTACAACAGTTGCAGCAAAAATATTTAATAACTTCACCCTGGATGGGTGCTGTCAGAATCACTTTCATTCACATTCTTACACTTTTTTAAAGTTGAAAAATAGATATGGCAGAGTAGTGTAAAAATTTAAAATTTCATGGAAATGTAGCAGAAAAAAGGAGGAATAATAAAAGAATGCATAAAATAATTAGAACAAAAACTCAACCTACAACACCTCGACCAAAAACAAAACAACTTGAAAACCCATATTCTGGTCATCGTAGTTTTAAAAGAGAAAGTGGACTTACCTGGGCATGGGGTGACAAGGAGGGTTAAAAAATACAATATCATTTTTCATATACGCTCCATTTCATTTGTGTCAACTGATGGTACTGCACTTAGTTTGATGTAAATGTTTGTTGCAGGCTCCCACACCCATAGATTTCCACACCTGCTGCAGCATTTCAAACAGCCAAACAGGAAGAGAAGATATCCAATGGGCTTTTCAGGAGAGCTTAGACTGTACCACTACAGGGGCAGGGGGGGGGGGGTTGACCCTTGCCAGAGAAAAGTAAAGTTTTCAAAATACACCACTTTTGGTGCTTCTTAGTAAGGACAAAGATTTATGATCCTGAAGTGACTTGTTAGTTGATTTATTTATTTATTTTAACTTCAACTTTTTGGTAGGCTAATAGTTTAAATTTTTAATGTAATTACTTCTTTTTCACCTGGAAATTGTAATTCCAACTGGACTACAATAAATTGGAGCTAATGAATATTAAATCTAATTAAGGCTACTGTTGCTCATCACAATATTACTTTAAAGCAAGTTGACAGCACAGAAACATTTCTGCTATAACAATATTTCAGCCATTACTATCCCTATGAATCTTGAGGAGCCGCTTAAATTGCCCTGAATACATACTGTACATAGCATGCTTTTAGATTTTACATTTCACATAATTATATTGTGAAACAACATGATTTCATATCCATTTTTCAAGTGTCGAAGTGATAGCTGCAGAAAGGTCTTCGATAAATCTTCACCAGCTCAATAAAACATAATAGAAGAGTTTAGAAATTGGGAAGAAATCACCTTATACCGTTTATACACTTGCTCAAATCAGCTGGAGAAAAAAGATTTGATGTATCTGTGAAGTCAAATTTTACTGTGTCTGTAAGGTGTCCAGCATATAATAGTCAGCAATATTGCTGTGAAATTTCCAGTGGGCTTGTTGCTATAATACCGCACTAAAATACATTTACTGTTACAGTTTTTCATAACCACTGATACTGCTGATTTAACACTCTATTATTAATTTACAGGCTTGACTGAGCTGAAACTGAGTTAACCTCCTCACAGGTCATTCAGTCATGCCATCAGATTTACAGGCAGGCTGTGAAATGGAGGAACCAATTAAATTCCCTGCAGCCAAATAGAGGGGCGATGAAAAGTTACCAATTAAAAGCTGGCATTTTCACAGCTCTGGAACATCACTGAAGATTAATTACTGCTACACCTCACTGGCTGAAGTGTTGGTGCGATGGCCTAACTGGAATCAACATTGCAACACTGACTTTAATTGCCTCTGGGGTAATAATGAGACATTATAATTCTGTTGTTATCTAACACATTTAACCTTTCTGTTAGCATGAGTGCTTTCTTGGACATTCTGTAATAGATGATAGAGGTCAGCCACCCAGAGAAACTCATTTTTTTATTACAACTCCAGTAATTGAATAGATGTAAGGGAAAATAGAGAAACAGAAATCTGATACTACATATTGTGACATTTCCTTCATACAAGGTTGCCTGTATCATGCAACCAGGTTAAGTGTGTATGGGATTCTGGCTCAAACCACATAGGGGGGCTACTGAGTCTAGAATCATAAGATGGACCAGAGGGCCCCTGCAAAGGGGGGTCAGTTTTAAAATACCAATTAGTTCTTAAAATCATTTGGAGATTAGTTTCTTGTTATTATTTTCATGGTAATAAAATGAATTTTTACTTTAGAGTATCCAGTATGATCAGTTTGCATACTTCATCAGAGGTAAATATTAAGGATGGGAAGTTGGTTATGTTGCCTGTTAAAGGCAAACAAGGGAGGACTCAATATCTTAATCGCTGCTGTAAACATTCACAAGACAACCACAACGTAACATCAAAACTAAACCACTTGACTGCATGAAACATTGTGGGCATATACTTTTATGGTTTATTGTTTTTAATGAATTTATATTTAAATCATGTTACTATCCCCCAGGTGATACATCCGTCCGTACAGGCAGGCGGTCACCAGTCCAGCAGTCATGTCTGAGTGTTTTAAAGTCACTCTTCCATCTGCAGATTTTCTAAAATGCTTTGGATCCTCCAAAACCATCTTACTCGCCAAAACTGATGGGTACACATGTTTGGTTTCAAACTGTCCCTCCAATATAAAGTCCATTTTAGTCTCAGCTTCTTCTACTATCTGCCCACAGGAGCTCTGGTCCGACCCAGCACAACAGACGAGGGCACACACCTGTAAAAAAAGGAAAAGTTAAAGGTGATAGAAGTGTTGCAAAGCAGTTTTACTTGTCCATAAAGCCTTTAGTTTGTACCTGCAGGGCGTAGCGTCCATTTACAAGGTGAGTTCCTGCAAATGCTCCTAATGCGTATAACTCTCTACTGCCACTCTGTGGTAATTTCAAGTACTGCAGGTGACAGCAAAAGGTGCCATCATACACATGAACTTTTCCTCTTGTGTCATTTAGGAGCACAAATGTTGGCGTGTCATACATCATAGATGCAGTAAAAGTGGTGAATGATGGAGGGACTGAAGATGCATCAGAGCAGCTAATAATAATTTAAAATGCTGTGAGGAGACAGGCTGTAAGTGTGTGCAAAGGGTTCAAGAACTTTCATCTTTTGAAAACATAACTTAAGACATGGTTTAAACAAAAATGTCACAATTTATTTGCATGTGCAAAATGTGGTTCAGCCTCCATGTCAACATGGCTGCTCTCCTTCCAGAGTTTCTTCTGTCCTTTTCCGTCACCAGCTGGATAACTGCTGTGTTAGGAGGCCACTCTTACACTTGTTAAACTATAATGAAAAGACAGAAATATTAAAATACAATATCCTTTAAACAGATATCCACCAAAGTATGTAGAGACCAATCTTTAAGATGTGATTACATTCTAAGAGAAAAGAGCAGCGGATGCAGTCAGTGTACCTTCATGCCCTGAAACTCTTGTCCATGTTCACCATCAACAGGTTACCATGGAGATTTGAAATGCTGTTTAATTTAAGAAACCCCTATACTGGAAGATTATATCTAAAAGTTTAATATTAACTTTAATTTACTTTAATCTCAATGGAATATAAATATCTCGAAGTAAAGTGGGGGTTATTTTTCGTCAACTAGTTTAAGAGTATAAAAAGCATTTAAAAAAAAAAAACTTCCTTATTTCGGTACAAAACGACCCCTTTTTGAAAACTATAGCTTAGTAGGCCAATGTCTCATAGGTAACCCGACAAAACTGGAAACTTTGTTTCATTATAATTTCCACTGAAGCCTTTACTTCAATTAAATTCAGTCGATTTTCTTTAGAAGGCTACTAAAATTAGTCTATATATACTCCTATCATATCAATATTTTAGTGCAGTAACCACATCTGTAAAGCACTTTGTCACCCTTGTTTTAAAAAACACTTAAAGTTGATCATTGTTATTTGACAAAGCCCATTATAAGGCATCAAAAAGGCCATAAAGATATCGAATTTTGAACTTTAAAAATTAAAAATATCACATCAGCTCTGAGCCAAAAGACCCTTTCACTTAAGTAAAAAGAGGACTATTTTCATGTGATGGTACTTTATACTAATTCACACAGAGAGTGAAGTCATTACATGCTTTTTTTAACTTGAACAATCTTTCTAAATCGGCATAAATAATAAAAGATGTTTGGCTGAAAAAGAGATTTGACAGAATATGAAATATAGGCTAATCTAAAAATACTTCAACAGGAACCAGAGGGTGACAAGATACATCCTTGTTTCACACAGCCCATGACTTCGACATATTTAGATTCTGAGGTAGGAAAAAAGAGATAAAAAATAACGAATGCATCTCTGTTTTTGGGTTTGAATGCAGGCGAAAGGACTGTGTTAGTTATTTGGTATCACTACTTTTACAGCTGTGGTTCTTAATCTGATGACAGCTCTGGATGGTAATTTACGGAGCAGACTTTTACGAATCATCCATCAAATCTGATATCTGCAAAACGAATTATTCATCATTGTAAAGTAAAGCCCGATTTCCATAAAATCTGACTCCTATCAATTTTGCTTTATTTTGGTTGCAACCCCATGTCCAGCTTTGAAAATAAAAATTGAAAAGTGCAGTTTTTGTGTCGCTGGGTGTTCAGTTTAATTTGAATGCAGCAGAAGAATAATGCTCAATATTGTATTTGCCAGATGAAAACAACAACTGGAAATAGAAGTAGTGACATTGTTAAGATATTCCCAAAGACACGTTTGTGACCTGATACTTATCCAGCCATATGGAGGGGGGAGGGTATTGAGACCATAGACAGTGTATAGAATGGACTTAGAATGGACTTATAGGTCATAAATCCCACCCCCTCCAGCAAAGCTTATGGGGGCCCCAACAGCACCTAAAAATGGAATTGGAGGAAAAAAAAGCCATGATCTCAATACCATGGTTCAGCCCATTTAAAGTCAATGGTTCAGCCTGGTCTGGTCATAGCAGTGATTGCTTCGAGACTTTCAGATTTCTCAAGCTCGCACTAGAAACATCAGCAGTTCGCGCTAAATAACATGCAAAAAGTGTGGCACATTTGCACAAGCATTTATCTTCAAAAAGATTATAAAACAAAGAACTTTGATTATAGTTATGACAAGCACTTTTCATGACGGTGCAATAGAAAGCACCCGTGTACAGAAAAAAAGATTTTTTGTCCCACAAGTCCCTGAATGCAGCATTGCCTAGCAACAGTCTAGTTTGGGTTCTCTTCCGGTCCTCAGAGAGAACTTTTTGGCAACTTTCCTTAACGAAATGCCCAAGAAAAAGGTTAAGAAAGGCGGTGAAAATCAAGATGAAAAGAAGAAATTATCAGAAAAGGAGATTTTTGAGTCTTCTAGAGGTCAAACTGCTTCCGACGACAGGGAAAAAGAGTTATATTTGATTCAATTACAACATTTGGACGAGCAGTTGGAGAGGTGAGTCTGTCTGATACAAAACGCGCTTCTCTATCCCAGCTGGGTTATAATATAATTAAACCAAAATCGATGAGGAAAAAGGTAATTGTTTTATATTTAAGTGTGTTTTTTAAATCTTGTTTTCATGTCTGCACAACTTTCGACGTCAAGAGCTTCTAGCTGACGAAGTGTTGTTATAGCTGGCGTTGTGTTCGCCATGTGCTAGTTAGTTGCTGTTGAGATTTTCCTCTTAATTAATGTATGAACGATAATCATATAGGGGAGAGTGGGGTAAGTTGAGCCACCCCCTGTTGCTTGGAAATGGTAAAAGAAATTGATCATGTGACCAAATACTTAGGAGGTGGGCATCAATTCATGGAGTTTGTGAAGGTTAGAAGCACATGGGTGAAGGGCTTAGACATTTATTTACAAAAAAACATGTTTCACTCTTAAAAGTGAATTTGGTCTGTTATAAATTTTATTAGAATTGTGTTCAGACCAAAAAAGATCATTTTAAATTTGTTTTATACATCAATTGTGGTATCTATGAGCTACAACATGAGGTCAAAAACTGAGCATAAAAGTCCACCATTTTAGCTTAGAGGACTGATAAAGTCATGATTGTAGTTCTGGGGTAAATTGAGCCACTAGCTCAATGGAGAAAGTAAAGAAGTCTGATGAGAGGATCAGAGTTTCAGTTCAGATTAGGTAGTAGGGGTGCGGCTCAACTTACCCCACTCCTATGGTCAACTTACCCCATACACAGGGAAAGTTGACCATAGGACACCACTTGTTTTGTCATGCAATATTATCAAGACAGTTATGTTTACACTTATTCTGTTGGTTTGCAGGGATGCACAACGTCTTGAAATATATGCAGATACACTAGTTAGAGAGAAAACAATGATTGCCTTGATGTAGTGATCCGAAATAGGAAAAATGGCTCATCTTACCCCACTCTCCCCTACTGTATACAGTCTGTGATGATGACACACATACAACAATTATCCCAAATTCAAAGATTCACTTTTTACTATAGCTCAGAGTATGTCTTTCACATCTACACCTAACTAAAGTGAGTTTCAGAGTCCTATTATTTTTTTCAGCGCCTGTTTACATGATCTGAAAGCCTCAGGAAAAATGCTGTTATCCACCATCATTTTTTCCAGCCGGTTATTTCCTATTATTCCTCTATTCCTGGGAAGGCTGAGTGAACATATTGTAAGTGATGGTGGGTTTACATTGCTGCCATTTGAATAAAGTCTTATTCCTTTATTATAAAAATGATCTGTAATATAGTGCTGGGAGAGGCAGCATAGCCCAGCATGGTCTTAAATTCAGAAAAACACATCACTCTGGGCTCAAATACACTGTGCACAGTGGGAATCATCGAGGACTTTGTGAATAGCTAAACTCTGTGGTTCCTCCTTCAGATACCAGCAGAAAAATGATAAACTAGAGAGGGAGGAGAATGACTTAAACGCTCAGCTAATCTCTCTGGAGAAGGAAAAGAAGGACATCATTGATTATCTGAAACGCTCCCTGCTGGAAAAGGAGGAGGAGGTGGAAGAGCTGACCGAGCGGCTGGCAAGTCAGCAACAGGCTGCAGATCAGGACAGAGATGCCGAGCAGCTGCAGTACAGTCAGCTGAGAGAAGAGCTGCAAGACCGGATTAAAGAACTCACGGCAGAGAACAAGAAACTTGGTGAGACAGCAGCTGGCAGGGCTCATATGGCAAAGATAGGGTAACTGTTCAGTAGAGTGAAGCTTTTTTCTGCATAAAGTTGAAATAAAGCTATTAATTTATGGCATAGGGCCAGTATTGAAAGACAAAATGACCTCTACGCAACCTGAACTTGAAATTTTCGCATATTGTGAAACTGTTACAGCTATTAAAAACAAGTCAGGTATGTTAATTTCAAACTTTGATGCACACCTGTGTTTAAGTCCTAGAAATGTTTCAAATATAAGGTAGAATGAATAGATAAGGTTAACAGTTGAGTCAACCCTCACTGAATAGGACGACTTGCTTTATTTCTCCTCTTTCCTCTCCTCCAAGCTGCAAAGCTGGATAGTCTGGATGAGTTTCAAAGGCAGAAAGAGGAGCTAGAGTCCAACATGGAGTCTCTTCAGATGCAGCTGACTGCCCTGGAGCAGGAACACAAAGCTGGCATCCACAACCTGGAGATGAAAGTGCTGCTGGAGAAGAAAAGGTAGAGATATTGTTAAGAGCATTGCAACCAAAATGATTTGCCTTCAACAATTACATCATATTCTGGTTTTTAAAAAAAAGAGGAGATGTTTTAATAATTTTTAGATGTTTATAATTTAATGGTCATACTCTTGTGTTAACAGTTTACAATTTCAAGAAGTCCCTTTATTGAAATTGTAAATGCCAAGGTACAGTTATATGATAATCTTAACTTGCTTTATGTATTGTTGGTGTTCAACGCTGAAATGATTCACCCCTCTCTTATGTCCAACTTTGTCTTTGCCCACTAAAAGGTTGGAGAAGGAGATGGAGAGCCAGGTTGCAGCCATAGCAGCAGATGTGCAGCACCAGGTGGATCAGAAAGTCCCAGAAACAACAAGAACCGCCCTTCAGGAGAACACAGTACTTAAAGTTCAGCTCAACCAGCTGTCCAAAGAGACTCAGGTCCTGATGGAGGAGAATTCTGCTCTGCTGCAGCAAAAAGGGAGGCTGATTGTGGATGTGCAGAACCTGGAGGAAATGCTAAAGGAGACAACCTGCCGGAGCTGCATCCTCCAGAAGGTTAAAAAGAGGACGAGATAGACGACTTAAGTTGTCATATCACTGTTAATTCGATTCTTGAGCTCCATGTAGGATCAGCTCACAAACATGATAGGTTTTAGTTTTCTTGCTTTACACTGAAAATATTTTGTTTATCAATTTTTGTCCAGCATTTTTTCTTTGCAAACACCTTTGAGACATCACATTAATTTTACCCTCTTGGCCATGGTTTTAAGTCACAACCTATACCTTCTATCTTCATCAGGTGGTGGAGCAGCTCACTGGGAAGTGTGAGCAGCTGCAGACAGAGCTGAAAGAGCGCAGCCAGGATCTCGTGCAGCTTCAGACTCAAAACACAGGACTTCAGGCTGAGATGGAGACACTCAGGTCCATATGTACTCTGTTACTCTGAACAGGACCAGACCTATACTGTAAAGGATTTTGGTTTTATTGTCAGTGTGTCATGTCTTCAGACAGGACGAGACCTCCCTTATGGAACAGGGCCGTAAAAACACAGCTAAGGTGAGTAGGCTGGAGGAGGAGCTCCAGAAAGAGAGGAGGAGCAGGAGCAGGATGAAGAGCATCATGCAGGAGGGAGCGAGGATGCTCAAAGAAGCTCTGATGGTACAACAAAAATTTTATGATTACATTTCTGATTCTAAACACACAACAACTATAACACAATAACACACAAACAAGTACAAATCATAGACTGTATACACTTTGGACAACTTGGCTCCGCCTTCCGTCACTGTACAAATTTGAAGCTGAATTACTCTCGGTATTTCCTGGATTTTCTCCACTTCCTGGAGCTGCCACTTGCGCAGTAGCATTGTACACATTTGGTGAAAGAATCACTGTGATGACGCTCGGCTCAAACAGCATTTCCCCCAGATGAGCTACACAATCTTCGTACGCCCATAGGCTGTATCAGGTGTCAATCATAAAAAACCTGAACCCCCTCATAACTTTTAAAAATAGAGCTGCAGTCTTACAATAACTACATGTCAACATCACAACCAGGGGGGAGAAAAATGTATATTCTGCGTCATAAATTTCTCAAGTTTGTCCAGAACTCCATAAGGATTGCTGGAGGAGGTGGGATTTATGACCTATACTGAAGCCCGTCACCAGAGGGTGCTGTTCTCGGAGTGGCTTCACCCAGCAAGGAGGCAGACAGCGTCTATTCTAGATACAGTCTATGGTCCAAGTAGCTTATTTTTAGATGAGATAAGTTATAATGTTTTCATATCTTCATCAGGAGGCCCCTACTGAACAGGACTTGGTGGTGGACTCTGTGGTCCAGTGGAGGCAGCTAATGCAGAGGCTTTTGTTAGTGTTAGACAGACAAACGCTCAACAGCTCCACCACTGAGGGCGACCGACTGGATGAGCAGCAGATGTCTGATCCTGCAACAGCCGGGTAAAATGAAAAATAACTGTCATGGGAAAACTCGTGGTCATTTGTTTTTAATAAATAAACTGAACTGGAAAAACTCTCAGGTTTGATCGGCTCTAGAAATAATCTTTCACTCATAACAGAGAAAGCTTTGAGAGTATTTCTACAAGAAGAGTCCTCTCTTAAAAACAGGTGGTTGCAGAGAAATCACTGTACTCCTGGTTTCTTATCTCTACAGAGAAATAACTCTGAATCCAGCTTTAAATTTCCAGTTTGAGCTGGCTCGTCATAGGCTGGCTGATCTCGGCATCGTACCTCGTCCCTCAGCGAAGAGCAAACACATGATCTCCAGCAGCACCAGCGTCCCTCTGTACAGGTTGGTTCAGACCTCAAAGTTCAGGTTCTGGTTTTGTAGAGGGGGAGCTTGTGTGTGTGAGGAAGTCACCCCTGACTTTCATGTTTCCTGAATGCTTGTCACATTGTTAGGCTTCTTTTGTCTCATTACAGATTATGCTGAACAAAAATTCAGTTTTATAACAGATCAATCCCTCTTTAATTCATGTTTGTGTTTGAGACATTAATCTAACTCTTCATATATCTGTTATTGTCTAACTCTTTTTCTTTATTACTCTTCTTCTTCATCATCATCCTTCAGGAAGCCCTCCTCTCATCAAACAACCAGCTCCTATAACCCTCGTGATTCAACTGTCAAATTTCTGACCTCCAGAAACAACTTCAGGAAATCTAAACCACAGTAACTGAATTCATTTCTGTCAGAAAAAGCCGAGGAACTAATCTGGTTTTGTCAAGTGTCAAGATAATTATTTTTTCTGATTTTTTTTTATTAAATTGAAAAGAGGGATCTGAGCTTCTCCACTGAGGGCAGAGATTTAAACGGATTTTTAGTAGGATGCAAGTGTGATTCGAGATTTTTGAGGCCACTTCTCTTAATCAGGATAAATAAATATCATGTTTGACACCAATACGCTGTTTCCAAGTGTACAATTCTCACCAGCTGCTTCTGTTCATGGTTGTGATGCTGCTGAGCCAGACTGTGATTAAAAAGAAGAATCTAGATTCAATGACAGATCTGTAAAACAAAAACAAGTACTTAGCTGACTCTTATAGTTTTTCAGCTCCATATGAAAGATGGTTTTACCTTTAAGTTTAAAACTGCCCAATTGCTCCACCTCCTATCTGTTGATTGAAAGTGATTTGATGTTTTCGGGACTTCTTCTACAACCATTGTCTGAAGGCAAAATCTTTCTGACCATTTATTGTCTTGTCAGTGACTGTGTTTTCCTTTCTTGCTTCAAAGTTCAAACTTCAAGTTTTCATGCAGGTGTTAAATATATGAATTTGTCTGCTCATTATGTTTGCAGAACATCTAGAAATATAAGATAAAACCTAAAAAAATGACCAGACGCTGCTCTGTACACTTTAATTGATGTTTATTGTTATATGGCAAAGACTCAGGCACTTCAATTCTCATTGGAGGATGAAAGTCAGCACCTTGATGAACACTAAAAGGAGGACAGATGGTTTATTTTACACACGAGAGACACATGAGAGAAAGAAACTGGACACAAAAACTAAACTCTACTGACCACCGTATGTACAATGAAATACATATATCTGCATTAAAAACTATACTTTGATAAATATATAACTTCATGGGTTGTTATGTAGGAATAGGAAATATTCAAAATACTGTGATTCTTCTCTTTAAATAGATACAAAGGATTTGTATAAAAGTACAATTTCTCCAGTCTAGGTCTTTGATGTACTCGTCTACATGAGCTGGACATGTGCTGAGGAGATGTGTGCACATGTGTGAAACCGAGGCAAGAGATTTATTTACAGGAAATACTTCCTCTAGCGTGTGTGTGTGGATAATTCTCCATCTGTCTTCTCTGATCTGCTCAAAAAGAAAAATAAAGACAAATAATCACAAATGAAGATGTTTTGGTGCTCTTGAATGATCAACATTGAGCTCTGTAGGAATTTAAAAAAAAAGTTTGTCAATTTGCAACAAAAAATGAGGAAATTCAAGAACAAAAAAGTATAAAAGAAGAAAAAAAATGGCCTGTTGTAGTTGGATTTGAGTCCATGTTGAACATTTCTGAACAGAAAGAGATGGGACTTGAGGCACCGGCTGGTTACATTCATAGTGAAGGGCACTTTGGGCTCTCATGTGTGAACATAAATAAAAAAGGTTTGTAGAAATCTCTTTATTTGGTTGGTTTGTTGGGATTAAGTCCCTCATCCAGCTGGGGGTAAGGCTTCGTTCAGCGTGAAACAATAGCAGCACAGGGTTTGTGGTGAGAGGCGGGCCCTCTACTCGAACATGCTCCTCCGTGTGGGACTCGGTGACGTCTTCCTTCCGAGTCGAGGAGTCCCCTGGAACAAAAACAAAGATTTTCCTCAAATTTAAAAAATGAATTCCAAAACAATTCCAGTAAGAAAATTTAAATCTTCATCATGAGTTTAAAGCTCCTATGCTGAGTTTTGATTTTTATGAAGTACACTGAAATTCATATTTAGGACTTGTACTGACATCCAAAAGTGATCAAGATCATCAACTACAAGATGACTGATTTCTGGATACTCTTTTTTAAAACCTGAAACCAGTGCAAGGGTAGGTGCTCTCAAAAGACAGCAGGCTGAGATTGTTTTCAAAAATCATAGCTTAAATATGTAGAAGACCAGATGAGCAAAGAGTGCTTAGTCCACAGGAGGGCGCCAGAATTGGGACAAACTAAAAGTTCCTCATGTTAGCTACATGTAACGTTAAGAACAGAGTAGTTTTGAGCAGAGGGGTTTATGGAAACGTACCGGGGACTGGGCTTTGGAGAAGTTGACGTGAGCGTAAAGCAGCACGGCGATGTCTTTGTGTCCTGCTTCCAGAGCGATGGACAGGGCGTTACTCTCATCCTGATGAAATAAAAAGACAGAAGGAGGAAAACAAAGATCAAAACATATCCTTAAACTACCAATATGACGACCTATGGGCCTGTTTGGTTGACTGTTATCTGCTCTAGTGTTGCAGGTACATGTGATTGGTGGATGTGGTCATTTCATAGAGACACTCTTCATGCACCTTCTGGGGCTTCCAAACACCTGCACAATACACTCTCCACACAACCCCTCACTAATACCTCTAATTTAACCGATAACCACTTCTCATCTTCTCTGCACAATACTAGTTTTTGTTAATATGTATTTTCAAACTGTTTGAAAGAATGTAAACTAAAGGCTCTAAATGCACTAAAAGAATAAAATCCCTCATCGCACACTCACACTGTCACTCAGCGTGGCGTCGCAGCCCGGCTGAGCCAGCAGCAGTTTGACGATCTCCACGTGTCCGTGTTCACTTGCACACATCAGCGCTGTGGAGCCTTCATCATCCTGGATGTTAACGTCGGCCCCGTGACCCAGCAGGGCTCGAACCATGTCCATCCTGCCATGACTGACCGCCAGCATCAGCCCCGTCTGACCAGCCTGTAACCAGGACGATAACAAGGTAAGGGGGCGGGGTTACACAGATTAATCCATACATTCTCAGTTTAGTGATATATTTATCTGCATGTTCCTGAATGAATTTGATTTTTCTGAATAAATATGAATGATCTCTGCACTGAAATGTGTCCAAAAATGCTGTGTGACTTTTCATATACAAAAAAAAAGTTTAATATGAACAAGTTAAATTTTCCTAACAGTGTGCTGTAGTGACCTTTCTTCACCACATGGTGTCACTAGAGCACAAATTAAAAAAGAGTCAAACTCAACTGGGTTGGAAACATTTTTGTTTTTCATCAACAGTCTGCAGAAGTTTATTTTAATTATCAAAGTGAATCAGGAAAAAAAACAATAAATTTTATTCCTTAAGTTGTTGGTGCATCAACCAGATATGGACCTAAATTCAGCTCAAACCTAGGAACAAAGAGTCTGAGCTTAATCTGACCCCACAGATACTTTATTGGACCCTCCAAGTGTGTGTGTGTGTGTGTGTGTGTGTGTGTGTGTGTGTGTGTGTGTGTGCCCTGCTGCTGCCTTCTGACCTCTGACCCCTCAGACTCTCACTGACCTGGCTGGCTCGGGCGTTCACGTCCCCTTTACTGAAGAGCTCCTCCACGATGTGCATGTCTTTGGGCGTCTCCACGGCGGCCAGCGCTGCCAGCATGATGGGTGTGTACCCGGCCTTGTTCTGCTGGTTCACGTTACACACATCTGGAAAACACACACACACACACACATACACACAGCATGTTGAAAGCTCTGTGCAGCAGCTGGGTGGTCTTCAGGAGAATCAAACACTCCTAAACTCTGATCTGTGATTGACTTGTCAGCGTCTCCACCTGTCAGTCAAACACACAGCTACGCACAAGTTTCAGCTCATCACTTCAGGCTCTTACTCTCTCCGTCAGCAGCCGCTCAAAGACAGAAGAGTCTGTTTGTCAGGGGAAAGGGGGGCGAAGATGAGGGTGGCTATTCTGCCTCTGAGGGGCGGAGAGGTCTAAGGAACCAGGATGGAGTGAGGACAATGGACACAAAGAGGACAAGGGGGGTGGAGGTGCTGTCACAGGACACAAGGACACAAAAGGCGGAGGGGACAAAAGGCTTTTAGAGCAGTGAGTGAGCGGGACCTCATAACAGTCTATTGAACCTTCAGAGGAGGCTGCACGGCTGAGGGACTCTGATCCCCAACTGAAATCTAAGTCCTGATACCGTGCTGCATGAAATCTTAGTCACTAAAAAGTTTTGATTTGAAACTTTAAAAATAGGTTATTGATGCTGACTTTCAGCTGCAAACTGAGGGACAGCAGAGATGATGGATGATGATTATTTGTACATTTTCAGTAGAAACCTGCCGCTCTCACCTGCATCCAGCAGCTTCTTCACCACCTGGAAGTTAGAGTGTGACACGCTGTAGTGCAGCGCCGTGTTGCCATTCCCGTCAGCCATGTTGACAATGTGACGCAGCACAGGCGGCGAGACGGCTCCAAATCCTACCAAGTAGTCCTCTACCATGGCTGCCGACGCGGCTTTTTGACTGGACACACGGAACCACTCGTGCTGCACCGTGTTCAGACAGGCTCTCTGAGGAGGGGAGGGGTGGTGTGTGATTAAATACAGGAAGTGTGAGGGGATGGAAAATGCATGTCTGTGATCTAACCTGAAACTTAATCCTTTGAAATGATAGTAACATATACATACATGGAGGGAAATATGCCAAAATAACCTAAAAACACAGAGGACAGAGAAAAATCTCCTCACCACATCTTTACTGCTCACAGCTTTGGGGTCACTGAGGTGGTTTTTGAGAACGTTGCATGCAGCCAGCATCTTCTCACTGAGTTCACACCTTCAGATACAAGATAAAACATTGAAATAATAAATAAATGACAAAATCTGGAATTGTTTCCCTCACATGAGAGTGACAGGTGACATCTCCCACAGCTACCCATATAAAAGCAGGGAAATGACAAAATCTGGGATTGTTTCCCTCACATGAGAGTGACAGGTGACAAAAATCTGACCAGACAACAAAGATGGCTTTCTTTCCATTCAGCAGTTTTGTCGTGCACTTTAAACACTAATCAATTCCACACTTTTTTATTAATGCTAGGGCTGGGCAATAAAACTATAATGATATTTATTGAAAATTAATTTCCCTCAATATCAATATAAAACATGGTCAATTTGCTTTTCGATAGTCTGCATTCTGCCATGTTTTCATAGACTATACAAATAGCCAATGAAAAGGAGAGCTGCTCCAGGTCCGCTTCCTGCTGAACCAATCATGTGCTGAATTCGAACAAAGTAGCAAACAACTGCGTAGTAACAGGCCTCAGCTACACGCAACCATGGTGAGAAAAAAAGAAAATGAGTGCTACACCCGGCAGAAATGTAGATGAAGGCTCAAAAGACGATGACCTTGTCAACAACTCTGGCATCAAAACGTAGGTGGTGTGGAGGTATTTTGTTTTTTTGAGGTCGGACATCAGGCAGAGTAATGTGGACTACAAATAATGTTGAGTACATGTTCTTGCAAAGTCGGGGAATACCACAAATCTTTTTCACCACCTGAAGCAGTGCCACGCGGCAGAGCACACGCAATGCAAATGTTTACAAACCCCGAGCGGAGCAAGGAGCCCATGGTGCCTGTGCAGCCGAAAAAGCTGACCATGCAGTCCGCTTTCTCTAGCACAACGCCTTACGACAAAATGTGGAAGAGACAGAAAGACCTCACAGATGCAGTCGCTTCTTGTATTGTAAAAGACATGCTACTAATAAGCACTTTTAAATGTCTTTTTCCCATATCGCCCAGCCTTAATTAATGCTTAATCTGCTCAGCTCCGTCCCCTTTCCATAAATGCTAAATACAAAATCTAAATTGAGAATAAATGTGACTGAAGCATCATGAGTAGAAATTTCAAGGAGATAAATGAGGCCTATTGTTTGCAGATGACTTTTAGTACGGCTTCTTTTGACTCTGGCTCAGACAAACTATTGAAGATATGTAACAGTATGGGTATGATATTAGCAGTTGCAGACGGTGATATTCTTGGACTCACCTCTCTCTCTTCTCTTGCTTCTCTGAACTTTCCTCTCCGCCCCTCTTATCCACATCCTCATCTCCCTCAGGCTGAAACTCTTCCCCGGCGCTCTCTCCCTCCACGTTCCTATATCCCTCCTTTCCACCATACTCCTCCTTCTCCTCATCCTCCTCCTCCTCCTCTTCCGACCCCGAGGAGCTGCTGTCCTCTGAGCTGGAGTCGTCGCTCGATGTTGTCTCATACCTGGAGGACAGAACCACAAGGGGGCGACAAAACACACAGAAACATGAAGACTCAGGTGTTTGCAGTAAAAAAGATCAACATGAGGATGTTAACAAGCTCTGAGTCAAGAGGGAAGAAACTCCACAGGCTTGTAAAGGTGAAACACAAACCTTTGACCTCTCTTTCAATAACTACAAACAGTCACATCTGGGTAGTTTAAACTTTCAACAGGTGTTCGAACATAGAAAAAGGGTTAGTATCTATAGTATTAATGAGTGTTTCAAACAGCATGTGGATATATTGTCCGTCTCACCCTCCATTCACCCCGACAAACTGCAGGTTCTTCTTGGTGCCGTTGGAGTCTGGTCGGCCATCTTTCTTCTTCATGATGGATTTCAGGGTGCTCTGGCTGCATGGCTGCCCTGCAGGAGAGAAAACCAACAGAGGCAGTCTTTAGACAAAGAATATCAACTTATAATAATAATAATAATAATAATAATGCGTCAGATTTCATATAGCGCTTTATCAGAAACCCTCAAAGTGCTTTACAATGGATACATCATTCATTCGCTCACACAGTCACACTTAGTGAAACTCTTGTTTGTCGCCTGTTTTCTCACAGGGGCTTTAAATAAAAATACATAATAGAGCTTTTAATTCCATCTTCCCACCAATTCTGCTTTAGACGCAAATGTTTTTATCGTTAGCTATAATATCATCATTATGATTAAAGCATAAAACGGTCAAAAGTCAGTATCATACCATGTTGTGTAGACATTTCTTCTCAAACCCTCCTTTGTATTCTTGGTCGTTAGCATTACAGTATCCTCCCGCTGAGTTAACATGCTCAGTCAGTTCATTACTAACAGTCTGATAACGCCTGAATGATCCCCTAAAAGCCCTCTGACATGATCAAGAGCTCCAGCAGAGAGTAAAGTAGCCAGTAAGTGTCCGTCTGCTGTTCTTTCTAAAGCAATCTGTCAGAGAGGCTTTTCTGGAAGTTTTCCCCAAACCCTGAACTATCTCAGTCACGATAAATAGAGGCCTTACAGCCCAAAATACCAGCCCAGAGCCAGGACGCTCTGCACATCTGCCAAGACTTGCCCTGATAAAAGGAGGGTGGAGGTGGGGTGGGGGGGCTTCTCTTTCTCTGCTGCAGGGGACAAGCTGAGAGATAGTGTGTGATCGTGCACCAACATGTGTGGAGCTGCGTGGTGAATACACCATCAGTAGCTGCTGCACAGTCATACAGCACAGGTTCAGTGTTTTGACAGGTGGCAGCGTGCAGAGCCTGACAGGAGGAATCCAGCCTGATGGAGATGTTTTTGGTTGTTTTAACCGGTTGCCAGGTTTCAAAATGAGGAATTTCAGACGCCAAATATGACAACCATGTACAGGTGGGACAAAAGGGACATATTTGGATTTATATAGACTCAACACTTTTGATAAGTAGTGACCACTACAGACAGGAGCTGCTGCTGGACATGCTCTGATCTGGTTCTCTAACCACCACAGTTTGGTTCTTGTCACAGTTTCTCACATCATTACGCTTGCTCATCTCCCTGCTTCCAACTTTGAAGACAAAACGTTCATTTGCTGCCTGAAATATCCCACCCACACACTGCTTTGTGCAGACACAATCAATGATTGTCTCTGCACCCATCAGTGATCATGATTTCACAGCTGATCAGTGTATGAGACGAGTCGTTATGAAATGGACCTGATCTATGATTTTTTAGCGGCAGTGGAAACAACGTTTTACTTTTCCGCTCAAAATCCTTCCATAATTCCATAATTCATGTTTTTTTGGTTCCTTTTCGTCTGAATCCTGCACTTAAGAGTTTGTAAAAGATCCTAAAAGCAAACCAAACAACCATTTTACAAACTAAATACTCTTCAGGTCTGACGGCCGTACCGTGCAGCGCTGTAGACATCTGCAGGTCCATGCGGCTCTTCTGCTCCGCCGCGCTGATCTGCTGCTGCTGTGCAGGTGTGCTGGCAGGGTTTTCTGCAGAAGTCAGGCTGGATGAAATCTTCTCCATCTGTGACCGCTCCATCTTAACGCAGAGCTGCTGAGTGCTCTCTGAAGAGGGAGAGGAAGGACGAAATCAAACACCGACAGCACAGGTGGGGCAAGAATGCAGTGAATGTGTAGAGCTTTTAAAAACAACTTATGTGCAGATGTTTATGAACACTAAAGACATTTGATGATATATAGGAGCCTGTGATGTTGAACCTGTGCGTGCTTCGAGCAGAAGAATGAGCAGAAAAATCATCAATGTACTCCAGCTATTTTCTCAAGAGACTTTTCATTGTTCATAATTTAAATACAAAGTTGTAAGTGCTGGGTTAAGTGTTTTTAATCAGCTCTAATTTCAGGATTCAGTGTTCAGTAAAGTGCTCAGGGGAAATAACTTTAACTGTTTTGTGAATTGGAGAATAAATAAACCCTAAAGATTCTGGTTTTATTTTCATACGGCTGCTGTCTTTGTTTCTGTTCTTTCACTCCTTCACTTTCTTTCTTTCATATTTAAAAAGGGTGCTGTGATTTGCTGCATGTATATTTTAATAGTTCAAAGTCTTAGCAGGAGTTAAAATGAGCTGACAGCTGCAGGTTTGTACTTGAGATGCTAACTGCTACTGATTAAATTTCAGTACAGAAGAAAGAAGCAATACAAGATAAATTGCCGAGCCATTTCTTTAAAAGATTATTTCTATACATGATCCTGAGCGTTTGAGATTGCAAAATTCTACATCTGCATTTCTAAACAAAATTCAGCCAATTTTTTTAGCTGTCAGAGCTCCTACTACTACTACTACAGTTTAACCTTATCTGTGATTGTTTACAAGGTAGTAGAGCTTTACAGCATGCACTACAGCTTGAAATTATTATATGACCAGAATTTTGGGACTACAGTTAACAGAAAAGAATTAAAAGTATGTAGGACAGGGCGATTATATGATCGTGATTAATGATCAGGATAAATTTCAGTTCAATCACGACGATCAGCTGTGAGCATATTTACTCGATCAAACATGGCAGAAACGTGCGTGACAACAGCCAATCAGAGCTGAGCTTTTCCTACTTACTTCTGTAAGTTACAGGAGAAGTAAACAGGAGAAGTAAATAGAATGACCGAACATGGAATGAAACACGGAGCTAAGGGAAGCAAAATAGATGTCAGCTGTGACTTTGAGTCATCCTCCAAAGATGCCAATGTGCCGATGTGCAAGGTATGATGGTTCCCTTAAAAATCGACAACACAATAAATCTGTTTAATCATTTGAAGAGCTACTTTCTGAATGATTACTCAGAAAGCATGAAAATGCGAGCGGGGTCTGTGCACAAGTAGCATTAGCAGTTTAGCCACAACTAGCAGTGCAGCCCCCAGACCAAAACAGCAATCAATCGTATCATTTACATTTACATCATCTAATGTTTACAGGTTAAGGTGACTTCATTAACCCTGAGGGGGGCATTTGTTTATTTTGGGTCTTGTATACCTGCAAAAACACTCAATACTGTAAACTAGTTCACTGTATTATTTAGTATTTATCTACATTTGTTGTACTGTTAAGTTAAAAATGTTTTTTATATTTTTTTATGTTTATCTTATTTAACTAGCTTTCTTTGTATGTTAATAAAACGAACTAATCTCTAGTTTCTTAAGTTTTTAGTACAGATGCTTTAAAACTGGCAGCTTAAAAAAAAAAATTGTGAAAATAATCAAGATCAGACGATATGACAAAATATATCCTGATCTTTTTTTTTTTTTTTTCCCCAAAATTGCCCAGCCCTTAAAGTTAGTAACAGCTCTATTATCCAGCTGGTAATCCTGTTACTGATTGACTGCAAAGTTGACTGAATGCACGTGTCCCTAGTTTAAATTTCAATCAGCTTTTAAACCCTCCAGAAGCCAAGAGAGTCCACTGACAGTTATTTTTATCCTTTTATCTCAACATTAAAGATTAATTTCTCTTTATCACCAGGAAATGGGCTTCTTAATCTTGAGGTAATAAATCTGCATCACAGGAAAACAAAGGTCGTTTTCTGAGGTTGCTTGTCATGGCTTGTCAAAGATCAGGAGTGCAACGCCAACACACTCTGACTGAAGCTGGAAATGTTGGATTAGAAAGTACACATCAGTTCTCAGCTCCTCTGTCAATCAGCCAGTGTGTTTAGAGATTTTTGTGCCAGAATAAAAACAGCTGCAAGATGACTTCATGTGATAGCCTGTTCTGGTAGTTAGAGGCAGGAAAGCATTTAGGAGAGAGGAAAAACACTGCTGAGAGATGTGAACACTGATGGTAATGATTTCCTGCAAGAGTTCCAGTAACCCATTAAACTCTCACCCTCAACATTTGGGGATTTTTTTTAAGATAGTTCTCCATTTACTGTAAAAATCTGAGAATTGCTGTCTTTGCTGAACTTTTTAAGTTAAGTGGCATCATCATATCCACAGCTACGTGGAGAGACAGCACGTCTACATCCCCCGAGAGAGGCCAGCAACTGACAAGAAACAAGCTCCCACAAAACTTAGACAATCAGCCTGCGTTCATGTGCCAGCCGGCATGAATGCATGTTATGTAACTCAGAAGGAGCCATGAATCAGCATCAGCATTGAGGTGTGAGTGAAGGCAGGGCGGCCCTGCTAAAACAACAAGCAGCCGATTGGTACGACGTTACTGGTTCCCAAAATGAAATGAGCTCATTGTTGGTTCACGTCCAAAGCCCCCGCTGCATATTTCAGGGTCAGAGATAACTTTGGCCTGTCTGATCCCATCAGGGTTCTCTTTAAACAGTGTGTGAACACAGAGCAGATCCTCTGCAGGGCAGCGGGAACAGTCCTGAATGTCACCTGACTTTGTCTCTACACTGTAAGTGACTTTGGTGTCCTCTGAACAACCTGCAGATCTTCAGTGAATTTGTTTAACATCTCATCAAACAACAAAAACATGCATTATAACCTGGTATTGTACAGCGACAATAATTTGTTCCCACAAGAAAACTACAATTTTCCTAATCCTTAAAACAAAAACACACGCAACACTGCGCTTATGACGTGAGACGTTAACCGTCAGGGAAACTGCTAGAATATCTTGAACCTGTCGACAAACTTTTGCAGAATCTTAGTTTGTATCATGGACCACAGTGAAGACAGAACTCCCAGAGCTCCTGCAGTACAGGTTCTACAGCCCACCTACTCCATGTAAACAGATGCAACATTAGTGAAACTTGAGAATCAAAAAACGCAATAAAATCTTTCTGCTAGACCGATAAAGGTGATTTATGTACTTTGTATTTGCACGCACTGTACAGGACATTCACAGAGACGGGGTGAGCAAGGGAGCGTTTCATCCTAGAATCAAACCTACAGGGAAAACGCCTTTGTTTTCCCATATTCCCACTATTTAACATTAAATTCTAATAACTTTATTCCAGATCAGACACATCGATATATTTCAGCTTTAATTAAAAAAAAAAAAAAACAACTCAATCATCCCATTGAGAGAAGGATAATTGACTTCAATTTCTTTCCCCTGCAGCCACAGCCCCCTCTTTCTTTTTTTTTTTTTAGAATATTTTATCTTCAGTTTTCAAACTTAACACATATAAGAAAATGTGAAAGCAAAATTACAAACCTCCTTCCCCATATACAAACTAAAAAGAAAACACAACCAAAAACAAGAGGCAGGAAAAAAATAAATAAACAAACAATTCTTACTGGTGACCAAAGGCTTGTTGATTCTAATTCTCTTTCTCCATGCTGCCCACTATAGAAGTTGGAAGGGTGTCTCTATGAGCTAAATAGGGTTGCCAAATCTCTATAAAAGTTTTGTAGTCATTTCTATGTGAGTATGTGATCTTTTCAAGTGGAATACAACTGTTCATTTCTGAAATCCATCTTGCTGTAGGGAGTTGGGAGTCAGACTTCCATATAATGGCTATGCACTTCCTGGCAATGTACAAGACCAATGCAAAGAATTTCTTTTGTGTCTTTCTTAATTGTCCATCAATACTCTTAGAGTCTCCTTACAAACAGATTTGAGGATATGATGGGAGATTTATGTCTAGAGGTTTTGACATGGTGTCAGAGAAATTATGCCAGAATGTGCCACAGCCCCCTCTATAAAGTTTCTGACATTTTTTAACAAATTTACTTTCACTAGAGAACCGTCTTTCCAGCTGAGATATTCTTCTTCAATCATAAACATGGGAGTTTAGCTCACTAGAGGCCCTATAGGGGACTTTCTTTTGCTTGTGTGTCAACAACACACATAACTGATTGTGGTTTCACACCATATTACTTGTCCACATGTGGTGGAAATGCTTGGCTACAGAAACTGAACAACATGCAGACAATGATGGATTAAAAGGAACAGCTGCGACCGAGTGAATATGCAACAATAAATGTAAATAGTGTTTAATCAAAAGTTCATCAAACACTTTTTCCAGCATCTTTATCAGATCAGTCAGACTGTGATTTAAGTGTCTTAGTAAGTGAGCCATAAAACTTTTAATCTAACTGACGCAATCTCTTTTCATGCCTTAAATCTCTTCTACCCATGAAATCAAACAGACGACTATTGATTAAAAACAGTTTGATTGATTGGTCTATAATGGAACAAACTTACACACACACTCTTTAATGCACCCACAGGCACTGAATCCATGACAGTTCCTTACTCAAACAAAGTAGCTGGCAAGCAGGCTGTGTGTGTGTCTGTGTGAATCTGTGTGTGTGTTTTTTATGTTGTCTGCCCTTGAAACTATGCTCCAGTTGCCTGACATGACTTGGAGCCAATCGCCACAACAACCACTTATGCTTTTGCAACACTGGTGAGCATGTGGAAACATCAGCATCTGCAGGACTGTGAGTGCTTCACCTCTCACCTTTGTTTGAGCTCATGGCGTCCGACTGCAGCTTCAGGATGTCCTCCACGCTCCCGTACTTCATGACCGTGTTGATGGATGAAAGAGTGCTGACCAGTTGGCTGTTGATGGATCCAAACTGGGACTGAGGCTGACCAAATGCCTCGGCCAGCTCGCTGTAGTTCTCTGTTAGCAGCATTTGTTGCTCTTGCAGCAGCTTCTGCACCCTCTCGATGTAATGGTCCAAACCAGCGCCCCCTTGAGCTTGAGCCTGAGCCTGCAGTGGTGCAGCCTCAGCCTTTGTCTCAGTGCTTTTGCTGCTTGCTGTGACAGATTCATACGGCTGGGAGGGTCCACATGCTATGTTCCTTGTTTTCAAACCAACCAAGAAGTTCTCTTGAATGCTAACAGGTCCCACCCCACATTCTTTGGTTTTAGCAGAGCTTGACTTGCCAAGGAATGACTCTGCGTCTGTGCTGGTTCCAACAGCGATGGAGCGAGTCTTTGCTGTCGAGTGAACCTCTTTCACAAGTCCCTCTCCAGCTGCAACAGTCCGGGTTTCAATCACAGCCGTGTTAGTTTGCTTCTCGCAAGTGAGTAACGACATATCAGTGAAAGAGTCGGTCAGGACGACTGTCTTTGTGTTGGTGGATTTACTCTCAACTTCAGTCTCAGTGTTAGTTTCCTGAGTGGCTGAATCAGGGGTAGCCATGACACCAGAGTCCACTGTGCTGACTAGATCTGGGTCGGTTCCTTGCGACACCAGAGTCTTGATAGGACTGACGACCACATCCACGGAACAATCTCCACAGCCCACGGTTCTGGACTCTTTGATCAGCTCCCTCATGGGTTTGCAAAGAGCCAAACTGTCCACTGATTCCTCTGTGTTCACTCCAGCCTCACAAATGTTGAGCTCCACGCCCACCTGCTGGTCACACGTCTCCACTCTTCTCCCCACACACTGATCTTTTACCTCCACTCGTTCGTGCACCACCCAATGGTCCATGGGGATCTCTGGGCCTGAGGACACACTCTGCACACTGGGGTGGCAGGACACTCCGACTGTGTGGCTTTGAGGAGTTTGAGCTGTGCTAAACTCAAAATGGTCTCCCACCCCCTGGCTGCGCATCTGGACTTTCGCCTCCACACAGGCGTTGTACGTCTCTGGCCTCGCCATCGAACCTTTGTCCGCCTTTTTCTTGTTTGACCCCCCGGCAGCTTGGAGCTCCAGTTTCAGCTTCCCCATCTCTATTTGGTGAGTGGATTCTTTCAGCTGCACCTCAAGGCGGTAGATCTTCTCCTTCAGGGATTCAATGGTCTGCTGCTGGAGCTCGATCTCCTTCTCAGCCTCGGTCGTCATGCCCAGCATGGCCTCAGTGACACCAACCGCAGCACTGCGCACTTCCTGTTGATCCGTCAGTACTCCTGCATCACGGAAACACTGTTCACTTGACAACTTCCTCTGAGCATCAGGTAAGCTGTTCATGTTCTCATCAGTAACTACTCCAATAGACTTCTGGTGGGCTTGGTTTTGTGTGATCTTATGAGGCTGAGTTTCGTTGACGTTATTGTCCAGGGATGTCTTCTCCAGAGCTTGGACCTCAGCAGCCAGACGCCTGAACTCCTCCAGCCTCTGAGCGCTCTGTTCCTGGGCTTCAGGCTCCATTATGTGCAGTTCTGTTTCTTTTTGGATGGGGGCTTGGTTCTCCATTTGGTCAGCACTGCCTACACTGTAAGAGCGCTTGCGAAAGCCACCGAGACCTTGATTTTTGGACTGAGCAGCCAATTGTCTTTTCTCTTCCTGGAGAACAGCGATCTTAACCTGTAAGATAGGAATGGTTTTCACCTGCTCCTCCAACTCTTTCAGCTTCTTGAGAGCCACCACCATCTGATCTCTGATTTGTTGAAGGTGCAACGGGCTGACGTTTGTGACAGGGGTGGCCATGCCAGAGCTCATGGGGCTGTGGCGGATGGAACTGCCCACAGATGGAGGGTAGTAAGGGTTATACTCTCCGTTTGGGAGGTGGCCGTTGATGGGGAGAGGGTGATGAGTGCCAGGGGAGATCTGGCTTGGAGCCATGGAGCCTGAGTAAGAGGACAGCGAACTGCTGGAGCCCATGCCGCCGAAGCTGGCAAGACGGCGGCGAGGCATTGGCGGGTCACTAAGCGGCTGCATGAGCAGACGTTCCTGTTCGAGCCGCAGACGGGTCTCCATGAGGGTCCTCTCCACTTGGGGGTTATGACGAGGGACAAATCTCGGGGAAGGAGGAGGCAGAAGCTGCTTTTGCTCCGTGATGCTCAGGTAGGACTGCTGCAGAGGGGCTTCACAGGCTGCCCTCGGAAGGGTTGGGGTCTGCGGTGCAGAAAGCTGGGACCTGGAGCTGAAGAAGACCGGGGACTGCTTGCCGTCACTGTTTGAGGAGGACAAGGAGTCTGTGGAGGTCCATTCAGCATGAGTGCTGCCCCCTCCAGTGCTGCCCCGAGGCACTGATAAGGTTTTGGCCAGTTTGGGCTTCCTCTGAATACTCAGCTTCTTGATGGTGTTACCCCTCTCGATGTCATCGACATATTTGAGGAAGTCCAGGTCTAGCTGGTAACCATAGGGAGTTTCAACATAGTAGGGGGCCACGGAGTCCTTCTGGTCTCCTGTGCTTGGGCATCTTTGTCCTTTTTCTGAAACAGAGACCAAAGTACATGAGGTTAGTCTAGACTCATGATTTTGGTGGGGTTTTTTTTGAATGGGCTTTGACAATCTGTTTGTTGTTGATAAAAAGGGACTGTCTGGATGGAGGTAGAAGTTGATACAAAAGCCATATAAGTCTTTGGTATTAATAGTGCTCTAACAAATATATGAACTACCCATGCCACGGACTCTTACGCATCCCTGTACCACCAAGGATCCTGGCTTTTGACCTGTTTGTGCTGATGAAAAAAGTCCCTTTAGTCTTAGACCAGGAGATGCAGCGTCCATGGTTTCCAAAAAGAACATCATATTTTGTTGTTCGACAACAAGACAGTCGCAGAAGCCAATGACATTTCTGGATCAAGGTCTTTTCGAGGTACACTTTTAACCTGCATAAGTAAATGCACAAACAGACTGTGGCTTTTGGATGTGATTCCAAATCCATGCAGTGATTTCCACTTCGGGGTCTTGTCTGTTTTTTACAGCAGGGCTGCCAGAGGGCTTAAAGATAGAAGTATCAGTTATTGGCCAATTTTTACAGATTTCTCAGGCTTCTTTGAATCTTAAAATGATATTACAAACTAAAAGTGATGAAATTACTACATTCTTTGAAAATTTTACTCTCTGAAATTGATGATTGAAGTCCTCACCCATCCTCTCTTCATGTTAACTTTGGAGAGACTTGGCCTCTCTGGTACACTATTTTAGGACCAACTTACTAGTCTGTTTCAAATTAATGCAAATAATCAGGAAAGATTTAAGATAATGGGTTTTTAATGTTACACAACTTTTCCTGTTTTGTTGCCCTTTTTTTAAACATGTTGCTTGCATCAAACTTGGAATGAGCACATCAAACAATTCAATTATCCACTTACAACATCTGACATGTTGTCTTTGCACTATTTTCAATAAACATATAGGCCCTAAATGACACGCAAACCATCAAACTGTCTTTTTGTCAACTTTTTACAGCCCTTGGGGAATTGGGGCTTTAAAAGGATGTGGTCGTTGCCTCTTTCAGGAAGCCTCTAAAACTTCTTGATTGTCAGTTAAAGTGTTAAGTGTTTCCTCGGCTGCTGACAGTCGCCTTCATTTGACAGAGCAAGTACAAACACGTCTCAAGTTTCTCACATCCCTGCTGGAAAGCGTGAGTGATAATCATTTTGGCACGGGCTGGTTTTTAGTCAGCCCAAAAGTATGCGAGACCAAAGAATGCAAAGCGCAAAACAGCACAACAGCAGGAGGCTGAGAGAACTCCAAAATAACAACAAATATTAGTCAAATGTGTATAAATCACCCTCATTAGGTTTATGGAGAGTAGAAAGTGTAAAGCCTGTGACAGATAAACAGGCTGCTGTTTACAAAGCTTGGAGAAGATGTGAGCCAAAGAGGTCAGGGAGACAGAAAACAGACAATGTCAATATTTTCCAGTCCAAAATCCATCCTTAATGTCAACTTTTGAAGTTTGACAGATAAAAATGAGCCAAAAACTCTGACTGTGAGCTCAGACACTGAGGAAAGAGATCAGAAATATGCCACACTAATTCTCAAAGTCGTACAGATCTTACAGACCAATGAAAGCTGCTTAGATCAAAGTCCAAACTCCACACATGCTGCTGAAAATGCGCCTTGTCAGACAGATCTGGGTGCACAGAGCCAGTCAGCTTTCCAGGCCATTAGGAGACTCCACTGCGCTCTCTCACTGTGTCGGCTAAATGCAGCGTCTTGTTCTTGGTATGCCTGGAACTCTGGCCGACTAAAGCAAACACAGGCTGGAAATAAACAGCCCTGCTCTTCCTCTGCAGTCCACCCAGCTCCTGCCACTTCTCCCGTCACTCCTCTCCATTCACAGGAGGGAATTACAAGACTAAGCCTGCTGCTAAACCCTCACAGCCTGGTTGTTGAAGCTTCACTCACCTCAGACCAACAGCACACTCTGGATCTCACTCCTTCTCTCTGCCTCCTTTTTTTTTCCCTTTCCAGACACACACAGCACTGAGATGAGTGTTTCTGAGCTGCAGATCTGCTGTTTCTCCTCACTCTCTGCACTCTTTCTCAATCCTCTCTCCATAAGGGGGAAAAAAAAAAAAGTTCCACTATGGGTGTAAAGTAAGCACAGCACTCTGCTCAGGCGCACTATTGGACAGCTGCCTCCTCCAATCCTGGGAGGCTCTGAGACCAACACTTCCCTACCCAAATAAGAGTCCTGTTATTCAGAGGAGGGGGGGTGGACTCATGACTATAACAGCCTGTTGTTGTGAGACGAATAGCTGAGCTGCTGAACATGTCCAACTTTTGTAATCTGGTTCACACTGTGGCCCACTTTGCAAACACTTTCACTTAGATTAACAACTTTCAGGGCCACATTTTAAGATCAGCTCACTTGTTCATTAACTCTTTCCTGATCTGCATTTTCTTTTTAAACATAGCTTTAAGTTATATATTTAAAATAAAGGGCTTTATTTTATGAATTCTAAGAGGGAGATGAAACTAAAAATGTAAAACAGTCTGTATGGATTCGGGCTCCCACGGCACCCACTGTACAGGAGGTGAATTCATATGTCTTTTTTTTTTTTTTTTCAGTTATCCAGGTTACAAGATCAACCAATCAGAGGCACAGCTGACTTGACTGACAGGTGTGCACAATGAAGCTGTTTGTGAGGCGGCTAATGACCCGCCTCTGATAGGTTGACTGAAAATGAGGTTGAGTCAGCATTAACCATCTGGTGACCACTTCTGAGAGGCGTGGAAACTCTGCTGCAGACACAGATGGGTGACATCCAGTTATGATACAGTCTATGCTCATACCTGATCAAATCAACTTGCCTTGACTAATAATCAAATTATTGATCGGACATAAATTAAAGATAGTTCACCTCATAGACACTAAATGAAATGAATATCAGAGATTTTCTGAGGGGGATCCCGGCTAGGGGTCTACTTGGAGTTCTTGTCATGGCAAAAATTAGGAACCCCTGTTTGGGACAACTGGTTGGACAACTCCAGAAAACAATGATCAGCTGTAGCTCCACACCCTAAACATCACTCCTCAGAGTTATTATGAGCTTCTCCAACAATATCTGCAAAAAAAGGCTCTTTCTTTTTAAGGTAAGCGCAGCAGAAATAAGTTTAAGTCACATCCTGTTTCTTTTTCTCAGTCACCGTCACCGTCAGTCACCGTCTTGTGCTGTCTGGTTTTGTTGACTCTCCCTGGCACGAGTGAGTGAACGCTGACCAGCCCCACTCATGCTCAGACGAGTGACATGCAGCCCTCTGGTACCACCGAGACCTTGAACAGCTGAGCGATGACCTCATCAACACGGGACAACTGAAGGGGGTCACGCTCCAGTGACGGGGGTAGCCAACAGTGACAATGAGAGCGGGGAGTCTGCTCCAGTTATCAGCAGCTGTTACTCTATTATCAGTGTGTGAGGGATTACGCAGCAGATCGACAGGCAACACTCGGCTCTGTCCTCACTTATACAAACTTTTTCACACAAGCGGCAACAACTTTTGAATCTAAATGTATAAAAATATCTGAATGTTTCAATGATGCCTTCAAAAATCCTCCCTGCTTCAAACTTTATAAACAACAAAAGACACATTTTTTGTGGATGAAGTGATTTCCTAAGAAATAAAACCCAACTCCACCAACATGACTCAGCACTGTTAGTATTTAAGAGTCTCCACCTAGTTTAAGATCCTCTCTGCATTGTAGGACAGAACAAAAGAAAAAGAGAACAGTAAACATCTGCAGTTTGATGTTGGATAATGTCCGAGCTTCCTTTCAGAGGATGGCTGGGCTTGGGTATGGTTTGGGGCTTGGACATCCAGAGGAAGCTCTGAGAAGGTGAAGGCATCAGTTAAGGTGGTTCAAGGATTTGAGATCTGACTTTGGATAAGTGGAAGAAAAATCACACAGCATAGCTCTAACTTTGGCTCTAGAAGGACGTCCAACCTCTAGTTTCAAAACAGCTCAGTTCAACTGGCACGCAAACTAAAATCTTAAGCTATAAACCTTTTTTTGTAAGAAATGAGCTGGGATTTACAGATAAAACAGGTGCCACAAGATGAAAGGAACAACTGCCTTAGTGCAGACCCTGACCAGGCCGAAATGTCACACTCTAACAGCAAACATTCAAGGCCTAAATCTGGGACTTAAAAGTTATCTAAACTCCAGGCTGGAGCTGCAGACTTCGACCTGGTTGGATTGATAAAACGTGCTCCTCCTGACAGCCACACTATCATAGTCTGGGGAAAGTGCAAACATCTGTCTGGTCTGTGAACGAGATCTGACTGAAAACTGAACAGTTCGAACCTTAAATATAAATATACAGGTAAACATCACCTGAACAGCTCTGCATCGGCTCTCTAATCTAGGACCTTTAAATATACATGTAAACAACACCTGAGGCATTACCTTCTTGGTTTTAAGGAATTTAAAGAACACCCAGAGTCTCAGGAAAAATTCTCATTTGCGTGTTTCCAGAAGCTGCTTGTTGGTCTGACACAGATGATTTCCAGGCTCCAACAGGAACCCTGTGCTGACTGCGACCCACAGATGATCTTTAAATGAACTCAAAGACTTTACCATGTGAAGAAACAGCAGCAATCTAATTCTTCACACCCTCAATGAGGTGACACAGCACATGTTAAAGCCATCACCAGTTTTATAGACATGTGCTCTGCTGCTCAAACACCGTCAAACCAAACTCTGAAGTCCTGAATAAAACTATTTCTTTCACTTTTATGTTTATTTTGCTACAAATACCGGTATATTTGAAATGCTGTACACACTGACATCTTTCTCTAACTCTGTTTTATGACCGGTTGGAACCCCTGAACTCTCCTCTCCTCCTTTCTCTCTCTGTTTGCTCTTCAAATATTGCGCTCAAAGGCTGGTCTGGGCCTTGATGTCAATCTGTGAGGAAAAATATACAAGCAGGGTTCGGCTTATTTTTCCTGAGCTCTGTAAAAGTTTAAATTTAGTCCTTACAAAAGCCTTTTAACATCCGCAGCATCCCCAGAGACAGAAGAACTTCAGCTACTGGTCTAAATCTGTCTGCCATTATCACGTCACAGAAATGTCTCATCTTCAAAAATAAATCTGTGTATTTCTATCACTTTATTTCTACTATCAAGAAGCTCAGAAACACTCATTAAGTTTACTACACACTAAGTAAGGACCTCTTAGTATTTGCAACAGTACATATTTCTTGCTTATCTGCAGAATCATCTCCAGATAGTTCATTACAATCACACAGACAGAGACGCTGATTTACGCTGTTGTTGTCACACACGCAGCTGCAAAGCAGAATAACACAGTGTGGTGCTCACACTCGGCGCATTATACAGAATGAGGCCAAAGCATGACGCAAGGTCCTGGGTGGAGGGGGGCTCTGGCAGCCACACGTACCCTACACACGTACACACTCATACACAAAACACACACCTCCTTGTCTCACACAGGCGGCCTGGTATTTCCTGGCTCTGCCTGCGAGCTCTAAATGCTTAATTACTCTGCAGAGAAGTAGTGCCAACGTTTGATCAACACCTCGCGCTGCAGTGGCCCAACACAGCTAAGAACATGAGGCACATCCGTCCTCACGGAGCGAACCAGGAAACTTAACAATGCGCACGGCAAAGCTGCACATTCCTGCTCTTTGCAGACTGTACAGAGGCAGGAACGACCGACTGAGATCCATCAGAGGCTCCTAGAAAGTCACAGGGCCGCGCCAGGCTCAGCTGCCAAATTCAACAACTCAACTCTGGACATGATGATGCAGACGGAGGAAATGTTTGGCTTCCTCTGCAAACACTGAAGCAGCCTGAATCGCTTTTCTCATAGATGGTCAAACTAAACAGCCAAGCACGTTAAACACAGCCAGTGTGCAGGCGGGTTTATTTCGGTGAACGACTCAGCATGTGAAAAAATCTGTATCATGACTCAACATCATACAACAATAAAGAATGAGACGTGTTTTATACCTGCTGGGTGCACCTCATCACATGTGACTTTCATGTCATGTTTATGTGTTGTTTTCTTCTTCTATTCACAGACACTGCAGAGTGAAACATCCAACCAGAAACATGCTAATAAGCTCGTTCGGTTGTGAAATGGTCTCATTATCTAACCCGTCCTGTAGATTATCACTGACCTTTGACAACATCACCCTTCAGCCCTCTCGGCTACAGAAAGCACCTTTTCAATTACTGACAATGAATGAGTGAAAACACAATAAGATACAGTCTGACTTCAACAAACCAGCCCCACATCTATTCATGAACAGTGCTGTGTAAAGACACTGAGAGTCCAGTCTATTAAACAAACACTCTAGTTTACAGAGACGCAGCGCTCTGGATCCTTTAGCAGACTATAATAACCCTCAGCACTTCCATAAACACAAACACACTAAAACAAACACACACAAGGAAAGTGAGTGATAAGAGAACTCAGTATAGGACTGTACCATGGGGTGGATTGAGCAGCAGCTGGGTCTGTCCACTCTGAAAGAACTAAACCATTTCTGTGGGTCTGACTGAGCTGCAGGGGTGGAGCCGGATTTCTGGACTCTGACTGCTTCCCTCTGAGTTGTCTGATCACAACAGAACGTGGAGTTCATGGTCTGCTGTGGGCTGTGACTCTGCAATCTCTTTAGGGTTAATTCAGGACAAGAAGACTCTAAAGGAGGAGGGAGGAAGGTTTCTGTGCTGTTCATTTTAATGCTGATTTGACAGCAGACATGATAACCATACCACAGACCATCCAGTCTTTGCTGTGGAGAAGGCCGTAGGTACCAGATATGTTTGGGGTGCCAGATCTGCTCGGGGTCAGATGCCTATTGATGACGTCTCTCTACAGCAAGTCCACTCGGACAAACTACATTGCGCTTCATTTAATAAGTCAAAAATTACATTTGACACATTAGTTTTCTTTATTTCTGTTTTTTCATTTAATTGACCTCGAAATTTTCCCTCCATATAATCCAGAGAATTACAACTTACTGCACTGTAATTTTTAAATGGCTTTAATTGTATTTGTTAACTTTTCTTAAGACAAAAGAAAAATAATGGTCACAGGATCTTCATTTATCTTTAGATAGTTTTGCTTTTATTCCACATTTCCTTTGGCAACCCAAAAGAGACGATAGTCCAGCTGTTGTAAGTCCCCTTTGATAAGTAGCAATAGATTGTTTCTTAAAATTCGTCCATGTTTTCTCCCAAGAGCTTCATTCCCATGAAACCTAATCTGGCGAAAACTGCTTCCATAATGTCCGGTCCAACCACAATCTTCTACGTCATCCGAACCAGCTTCCAGCCAATCATATAGTGTGACGTCATCAATAGGCGCCAGACCCCAAGCCGATCTGGCAGCCCGAACAGATCTGGTATCCACACCGTTTCTGCTGCCTGCTGTACTTGTCCTGATGCTTACCCTGCACCAACGGGCACAAGCAATTAACAGTATAGATGATACAGATAATCAGTCTGGTCATAGATGGTCTTGTTTGATTTTTATTGTGCAGTGATGAGGATCGATTCTGCACATCAGGACTGATGAAAAAAGACAGGCAGAGGTTAGGTGATATCACCGTCTCTATGCAGGAACAGACAAAAATGTAACACCTCTCTCTACATGAGACGCCAAAAGGGCTTGTCAGCATTTGCCGACCTCGAAGTAAATGTGTCTGGGGTTTGAGAGAGCTTCAGAGTGGAGGAACATACATACTCTACACATACAGTATAAATTGTCTAACTAAGCAGAATAAAGCATCTTTGCACAGATTTCTGAATCTTATTAGAGTGACCACTCTGACAAAGATGGAAAACAAACAGAGTCACTGCTTTGGGACATGCTCTCTCTTCACATTCTTTTAATTCAACTGATCGCAGCGGCTCGTTTAGCTTTGGATTGAAAATATAACTTTGAATCTTTTTCTTACGTAAGTCTTTCTACTTTTTTCATAAAAAAACAGAAACTATATGGTTTTTACATCTGTGGTATTAAAAATGGATTAAAGTATCAAAACATTTGACCCCCTAAGTTTGTACTGATACTCCCAGGCTAGCTTTGTTTGGTTTAAGGTGCCTGAACAGTGAGGTAGCTTGAAAAGTATGCTCTGAAGGTGAAATTTTACCGACATCTGACTACAAACCACCCAGGATGATCCTTAAACTGAAGCTCAGCTTTCGCTTTCTTCTTCAGATTCCTTCAGCGCAGCAGGTGACCACGTTGTTAGCAGCGAACTCTGCAGAGACTATTTTTAAGGTTAGCTGCAGGAGGAGGAGGAGGAGGAGGTTGGTAGTGTTTATGTGGCATTCCTCAGCATTTTTCACATTTCCCTCTGCAGATACTTGATCCCAGTACTAAAAAAGGGTATCACGTCTTAGGGTTCAAGTCCACGTCGGTGTCAGACTGACTCTGAAGACGCCATTCAAGTGTCCTGGAAGCATCTGCTGTGCATGCTGTGCATTCCTGGAGGGATTTGGGAGTAAGGAGCTTCACTCTCTCCTGTTAGTCTGCTCAGGAATGCGAGCTGTCTGCAGGTGTGTGTTCACAGATCCTCCTCGCCTGACAGTGTTCATTTCACACTGAAGCGTGGAGATTTTTCTCTGCATGTGAGCGCACACTATCTCAGAGGGCTTCAGATGGATAATTCTGCATAAATAAATATCAGTTATATATCTCAAATCTATAGAAAAGCCTGATGTGTTTCTGTTTTTTATGAAGAAAATCAAAATCCATCTAAAACATGTTACTGGCTAAGATTATCATGTATGGTGGTTTGTACTGAGCAGAAATAAAAGAAGTTATTATGGCTATTTTCAACAACCTGATTAGAATCGGCTGTTAGAATAACAATATTGGTCAACCAACAATTAGAAACCAGAAGGTGCCAGCCGCTATACTGGAATTGCTGACTCAACCTGACTTCTGATCAACCTAGAAACCGGAGAAAAAAAAAGGAGGCAGATACCCATAGCCCTCTGGTAAACACTTTAGCGACATCCCTAATAATGCAAAATTATGTACAACTCTCAGCCTTTATACCTAAAAAATATTTGAGTCATAAGAAAAAATTAAACTTCCACAGTGTGCACAAACAAGGGGATGAGCTATAAAGACCAAAACTGTTTTTGAACCAGGCTGTAAACAGGATTAATCCTGCTGTGAAAGTGGGCACTTTAACATGGGATCTAACAGGAATTCTTTGGCCTTTGGCACCAGCCTCTAGTGGACACTCGAGGAACTGCAGTTTTTTGCACTCTTGCCCTGGTTTCCATTGATTTGACTGGGAGTTGCTGCTTGCTTTCCACATTTGTAACACCTTATTATGAAAAAGTTTCTGCACAACAAAAGTCTATGTAGGAAATACAAAGTAATAGTAAAAAAACAACAACACAAGAGTCGCTTGTTTGGACCAAATCCCAGGTCAAACAAGCGATTACCTGGTCTGTCAGCTGCAGCTAAGTTTATAGCCATAAACATCAAATCAACACAAAACCCCTCCCAAAAAAACGTTACTTTAAGTCTTAAGGTAGAAAATATAGTAGAATCAACAGCTCGCACCCATGTATTGGGTGTTTAGACAGAGGCAGATGTGATGCAGGAGCCCTGCAGTTAAATATACATGCCTGATGTAAGCCTGAAACTGGACACCTGATCTACATTTAGCCTCATTGTATTGTTAGACAGCCATGTTTATTTTAGTGAGCATGAGCACACATCGTCCACGGGGCAGGACGATGTCGTTCTACATATTAAAGTCTGTTATTATTAACCAACAGAGTGAATTCAATCTGTCTGTCTACATTATGAGAGTGATGATTCAGCTTCAGAATAATTAGCACAGCAAAACTTGGTCAACACATTCTAATATGGTTTAGCTCCACTGGTACATGCATTGAGGAAAACAGTATACAAACAAAGAGGTTGTTTACCTGGGCCATTGCCATTCACGTGCATGGTTTGAGCCATGGCTGCTGCTGCTGCGTGCTCTCAGTCCCACAACAAGACCTACTGCGGTCATGCAACTGCCATGCATCAAGTCCAGATTACCATGCAACCTGCAATCTGAGACACAACAGAGAGGGAAACTTTTATTCATTTATACAGTAAGTACAAAAACTTCATTGCATTAGATAATTGTGACACAAGCATGACGCACTGACAAAAAAAGGGTCTTAAAACAGAACTCTGAATGACATTTTTTAAGACTTTTCTTCAGTTTTACCTTGACCTTTATTTACCTTGCTTTGAAACCATCCATGAAAACCTTGAAAAATGAAGTTCAACACTTAACACACACTTTTACAAGATGCTTCCGTTCAGCATGTATTTTTACGACACATTACACAAAGGCCTCTCTTTTTATGCAGACGGCACTGACCTCTGCTTTTCCACAGGTGTGTTTGCATCTGACATTTATGAACATAGCGCTCCAGTGTGCAGCGGCCTGCTCATTATCAAAGGACACATTATGCGCAGGAACAAAAGGGCTATTCTCCTCTAATAAAAAGGAGCCAACACCGGGGGAACAAGTCAACTTCATGAGCTGCAGAGAGGAGCGTCTGGAGGAGTAAAGACACAGACAAGGTCGGCCCAGATGGCTTCACAGTGTGGATACACCCCAGCTTTTTTTATACACTCTGTGACCTCAGACTCTATTTAACATCAAGTGCTGCTAATCACAAGCTCTTTAGGAGGAACTTAGGCCCCCTGGTGGTCCTGAAGAGGACCCTTAAGGGCAAAGCAAAGCTGATTTCAACAGCACAACAAGAGAAGACCTAGGGGGTCACTATCTCAGGTACTCCAAAGATCTAAAGTACAAAACTACTCCCTTTTGTATGTCCTAAAAGCACCACAAAATCCAGGGCAATGTAGATTAAATGAATTCAGTCTAAATCTGACATAGGTCTTGCATTTGACTAAAATGATGTGGTCCAAGTGTCAAAAAAAGCCTACAAATTGTCCTCTTTTTCAAAACCAAACTCAATGATGGATTATCATTGTAGGTACGAACTCAGATCCAAGAACATTAGGAAACTGTGGAAAATTCATGATATAGTTTTAAACCGTTTTTATTGATGCAGTGATGATCTGAGATCGGTTTTACTCATGAATAATGATCCCCTGCTGAGACTTGCACTACAAAGCCACCATGCCTATTCCTAATGCAGAGCCACCATAGGACAAATAGTATTGGTTTTCAGCCTTTGTCAATAAATTTCTCTGAATCTCTCAACGATACTGTAAATAATTAAAGCCAAGTTCTTTGCGATTTTAGGCTAAGACTATGCAGAAATTGTTGAACCATTTATTCACGCAGTCTCTCACAGAGTGATAAACCTCTTTACTCCTAAGAGGCTCAGCCTCTCTGAACACCCTTTTCATACCCAGTCATGGTGCCAACCTGTTGGCTATTAATCAAATTAGTTTTGTTTCTCCATGTTTGTATTGTTTTTAAGCAATGTATTTGTATTTTTGTTTAACTCTTTTGCATTTTGATGTCACTATCCCAACTTTTCTGAAGCATGTTGCTAGTGTAAAATTAAAAATAGCATAAACTTATAAGACAATGAGATTTTTCAACATATGTCTTGTTTTTGCACCGTTTTCAATCAAATACAGAGTTTAAATAATTTGCAAGCCACAAAATTCTGTTTGCATCAACTTTTCACACAGTGTCCCAACCTCATCCCAAAATCTTTGAGAGAACACACAACGGTTACTCTTTAGCTGTGACTTTGCATGCAGACTCTTACTCATCTGCAGCCCTTGTAAATCCATGTTAATAGCAAGCACCCAAATAAAGCGGCGAAGCAATGTCATTAGTCTGATGTGTCTAAATCCTGACTGTCCGTCGTCTCCTGCACTCATTATAGATCTGGGGCAGAGAGGAGAGGGATATGAATAGAGCGCACTGGACCCTGAAGACAGAGAGGAGTCTCTTCAAATGAACTTAAACATGTGCAAAACCATTACATACTAAACATCCACATCAGTTCACCTCAACTTATTCTTAGCCTCTTCACTACAACTGCAAACTGCTAAGCTAAATCGTATCATGTACATCAGAAGTGGGAACTTGAGGGTCATTTATAATATGGTATGTCACCCAAAGGGTTGCCCAAGATGATGAGAATATCATCCTGTATCTTGACCCATTTGAAGGGCTGGAGCCTATCCCAGCTGTCATTGAGCCAGAGGCAGGACAGGTCAGATATTCATAGAGAAAACAACCCTTACACCTATGGGTGATTTAGAGTGACCAGTTGACCCCCATGAGCATGTGTTTGGACTGTGGGAGGAGGCCACAGGGGAGAATATGCTAACTCCACACAGAAATACCCCCACTGGTCAAGGGTCTGAACCAGGAACCTTCTTGCTCTGAGTCAACAGCTCTAAACACTGCACCACTCTGCAGCAAAACATAATCAGACTGATTTCAGATTACAAAAGTTTCATAAAAAGTAAACTGCAGGATATGAAGTAAAGACAGACAGTCGATTAATGGCATCTTATTGAAATCTGTGTCATTATCAGCATTATCTCTCTGAATGAAAAAAAAAACAAAACACATTTGATTTGACAGCAAAAACAGTCGCTGGAATGTCTTTAACAACCCTCAAGCATGTCACACTGAAGGATAATCCCAGCTTTACAAGCCAGTGAAAATATTTCATGTGCAACTTTAAACCATTTCAACACGTTCACTCAAACACTGAACTTCAACACAAGTCGAGCTCCTCTAGCAAACTTCATGCAAAAACATCCAGCGGACCAAAACAAGAGACTGACCAAACATCTCCCACGTGTCCTCTTCCATGAGCTGCAAGAACTCAAACCTGGAGGAAGGAGCAGGAAACGCTCAGATATCAGACAAAGATGAATATGTCAATTGAACGGGATTGAAGACATTTGATTTCTCCTTGTTTCCCTTGTTGCTGCAGATTTAGCAAAGAAAAATGATGCTTACATTGTTGGGTACGGTATTAAATAGGGGTGTCCCGATACGATATTGATATCAGTCCAATACTAGTCCCATATCAGCAAAAAAAAAAACGAAAATCGGATTATATCGGCCTGCATCTAAAATCTCCAATCTCAGCACTCCGATACAGGCAGTCTATTCTAGATTCCGCTCCGACACCTCTATCTAGCAAGATCACAACAGTGTGTACTAAAGTACTAACTAAGTAGCAAGGAGGAGGACTAATGTCAGCCTTGTGGCATTATTTTTCATTAAAGTCCAATTAAGACATTGCAGCTGAGTGAAAAACTTGTCATGCACAATTTGTGCCAATATCGGATCAATACCGGTATTGGTCAATATTGAAGGCTTCAGTATCGGTATTGTATCGAAGTCAAAAAGTTGTATCGGGACACCCCTACTATCAAATAGGATTTATGTAAAAGGACCTTGTGTAAATGTGACACCATGTGTTGTACATTAAATACAGATTAAAATTGCAAAATATGCACTGTATGCTTGTCAAATCTGAAGTATTTCTGCTTTGTGCATGCAAAAATTAAACAATTAAGCATTTTTTCTATATCTATTCTTCACCGAAAACCTTCCAAAATGCACTAATATCAAAAAAGATATTTTAAAATGTCATCTGAACATCTAGGCTGTCTTTGTTTCCTCCTCATTTTCTTGCACAACAGCAGCCTGACGCTCAGTTTAGACAAGCCTCTTTTCCTTTTTTACAACTCAGTTGACTTTTTTTGCAGAGATTCTATGAATATCTTCAAGAAAACATGGGCCTGTTGCAGTAAAACTAGATTTACTCATTTCAAAGTGTTTTTTTTTTTTTTGTAAGATGTTAAAGTCACACAGCCGTGAGCTCTTGGTTTAAATAGACACTACATTACATATTAAATTGTTCTCCAACAGTAATTTGAGGAGTTGTCTTTAACTTCAGCAGATTTTAGCATTTCTGACCTCTGGATCATGTGGAATTCAAAGTAAATCCTACTGTTTGTGACAACTGTAGGATCTGACGTGCAGCTTTCTTTTTTTTTACTTTTTATCAGACTAGCTCCTCGATGTAACAACACGATGTAATCATCTCATGCAGCTCACCTGTAACTCTCATTCTAACTTCCTCCCGCAGCGTGCAGGTAGCAAACGCGACTGAGTCCACAAGACTCCCAACAACCAGCCTCTACCCAGCAGCCTCTCTAAGTGAGAGGGATAAGTTTCACGGCTAAGATTAGACGATTCCTCAGATGACAGCCAAACGATCCCTCTCCTATAAGAGGAAACAGGACTTTAGGCTGTTTGGGTTGAGCTGACCCCTGCGCTGGGCCTCCAGGTAGAGCGCGTGGAGAGCGAATGCGAGTAAGAACGGGCGGTCACTCCTCACAGCCCTGACCTTCAACTGAGGGCTGAAAAACAGCTAATGAGGCAGACAACGGGAGTAATGGAAAGACTTTCATGTGCGGTTACACATTAACAGACGTGACAGCGTGACCCTTCGGCCCTCTGAGAGCTGAGGGTAAAAAAAACAAAAAGTCATAAATCACCAAAACACCATCAAACTGAGTAAGGACACCTCTTTAGACTGAGTGGTGGGTCCTGTTTCAGCAACTGCACATTTAAAATTCCACTATTTTGCATTTAAATTCAGTTTTTCGATCTATATTAACAATGTGCAGTAATTCTTACCAGTGTTTTGATTTAGGAATCAAATTAATGCAATAAAATATACTTTATGGTCTTGATAACTCAAATTAACGCTGAAATGCTTCACCAGTGTTCATGGAAACTGTGACTTAGAAGCATGCAACAGTTCTGTAAAATACAATAGTTATTTTTACCTTTTTTAAAGGATAAATCTGTCTCACATTAAGAAGTTCACTTAAGTCGATCACACTGACATCTGAGGATTCCTGGATAATGTCACAGCATTTGCATTTCTCTGGAGTTCCTCTGTTTGCTTTCTGTTTCCCTCTTTATTTTAACACTGACAGCCTTAATGTGGATGTCACACATGATAAATGTTGTGTCAAATCATTTATTCATTCAGTCAGAGAATCACCCAAAACCTCAAGATATTGATTTTTTTCAATCTTTTACAGCCTTTCATCTTCTATTTCTACCATTAATATGAAACTGTGTCTTAAATATTCTCAGGTTTTGGACGTAAACAACCTTTTGAAATGATTTTAAGCTCTATGAAGATATGATGGGAATACAATACAACCTAACTTTTTATACTTGCAACCTTTTACAGAGTCACATTTTCTCTTATCTTATTTCATCTTCTTATCTTATCTCACACCATAGACCACGTGTTGTCCCAGTATCGTGACAATGAACATTTCTAACTCACCTCTTACAGTTAATATAAGGTTGCTATATTTCGTGTGTCAAAAATCTGGTTAGAAAACAACTTTTTAGAGCACTAGCTTGGCCTAAAGTCCTAAAAGCTTGGGACAAGATTCCATTCCAGCCAGCTGCCCTTGACCACATCATTATCTTATCTTGGTAGTGGCCCCAAAACAATGATATGCTTTCTAACAATTTTCAGTGTAAAAGTATCTTAATTATAGAAACTTAGACACAGATTTGAACAAATATCTACAAAACACTGAAAAAACCTCTGACTGCATTATGGTTGATTTTAAAAACATGTCATATCATCTCAGTTTAGAGCTTTTTTTGGTTATTTCCTGTTGTATCAAAGCAGGTATAAACTCTGGTTGTAGTTTGACGACAGTGTCATCGAGCTATCTGGTTCAAACCAGTCCTTTAAGATCTTTTAAGCCCACTCTTACAAGTTAGTTTGTCATTTAGTTTGAGTAAAATAGAAAATAAGGAGTATGGATAAACTCACCATTATCTTCTCTACACCCATCAAGACATGTAGATTCATAACTATCTGAGCCGAGTTAAGACTCAGGACATGACTGAAGAAGTGATATAAAAACAAACAGTCCAAGTCAGAGGCTTTAAAAGACATAAACCTGACTGACTGGTTTTGTTCCTCCTCTGCAGTTACATGAATACAAAGCGTACACGTGGAGCTGTCAGTGTGACAGGAGATGAAGGTGTAAGTCTGCTGATTTACAGTCAGTCAGGTTAGGTTACCCCTCACAACAAGGTGAGTGTGTGTTAACAAGGCAAACTGCCAAACTTAAAGTCGAATCTGTGTTTTTCTCAGTGTGAAAGGTTCAAATCACCAGACTGTCCAGATCCTTTCTTCAAGGAGAAGTAATGATACAAACCTGCCTCAACAGCAGCACTTAAAAAAGTTTATCAAAAGTATATTAATGCTCCATGCAAACCTGCAAACATTGTGTTTGCTGGTAGTCTGTTGGCATCTACAGTAGCACCAATGCTTTTTTACTTTCACATTTGTAATTATCTGAAGTATTTATCTGCATTATATCTGAATTTCATGGAACGATACGAGCGAGCAGGAGCGTCTGTTTTCAGGGCGGGGCTTGCTGGAGCAGAGAGGAGAGGAGGAGCTGAGGGGAAAACTGGTTGGAAGGGGTAGAGTTAACATTCTCCTGCCTACCTCACCTATAAATGTCAGATTTCTCCTGATACAGGCTTATGACATGACTCAAACCACTTTAAATGATTTGGCAGTAAAATCTGACTGCAACTGGCAATAAAACTTGAAACCAAAAAACAAGCGAGAGCCAGGTCTTAATTTGTCTATTCTGGGCAACTGCATAGACAGGACTGCCCACATGGCAGGCTTCCTGAAAAATATGTGCCCCTTCTGAACACAGAAAAACTTCAGTCTTTCTGAATTAAAAAGTTTGTGTCATAACCACAGAGGGGATAATAACTTATATAAGCATATTTGTTTCAAGTGTTGGTGTTACACCACAGAATGAAAAGTTAGGACAACTTTACGCTGCAGGTGACTGACATTTAGATCTTGAGTTTGAAGCTTCAGTGAGGAGTTTTTTCATGTTGACAGGTTGATGGAACAGACTAAAATTCCTACTGATGCATTTCTATAATTAATAAAGAAGGGGGGGGGGGCACCATTGGTCAGTGAGGTGGTTCTATTTAAGGACTTTCTTTTTTCTGTGGGGTAAATTTTCAGGTTTGCTGTTGTACCTGTTTTACCTTCCCGTGTAATGGCTGCTCATCTCACTTAAAGTTTGTTCTGACCTGCAAAGTTTGCGTGGTTCTCCTTCTGCTGTGCGTAAGTTACCACATAATTTTGGCGATAAGGTTATCTACTTTTTGTTGAAGTGAGCGTCTCCGTTTTGTTTTGTTATTAGCGCAGCTGGGCTTAAGTGTGCTAGCTAGCGAACTAGGCAGGTGTGCATGAGTGGCATGGCCGACAACGGACGACAGTGGTTCAGCACATTACATGTGCACATCCTTGTTCCCAAAGTTGATCAGCACTTCTTGGGTCCCAATTAAGATCCCTCTTTCAGGTCTTTAAATGTCACTTAGCTGTAATAAACTCATTCACACAGGACTTCATGTCTGCAGGATGTCTAGACTCATTTGTTTACCAAATAAAGTGACCGACTTCTGAAAAGTCGCTTCAGTAGAAGTGGTGGGAGGATTCACATTTTCCACTGTGAAAGTCCAACACACCAAGTTTTGGTTAAGTAACTTGTGTTTCAACCGTAAACAGCCTGAGAAGTTCAGAGAGGGCTGTAAAGGTTACAAACCCGCTGTGCTGAATATTCAACAGGCTGGTTTTTCCCCTAATAAAAGCTCAGGCTGCAGCTTTAATGGAGGGAAAAAGCCTGCAGAGAAGGAGAGATATTGTTATTCAGAGCATCAGAAGGAGCTCATGAGAGGTAAAACAGTGTCTATGTGCACAGAGAACTTTATCTCCCTGTGGATAATCGGCATGATTGTGCACAGGTGTATCTTTGCTTCTGGAAAAAACAACCACAGCTCTCTGTAGCTACACAGAATCTTTGAGGACTGTCTAGTGTAAATGTGTACAAGTGCATGTTGATGTAAATTCAGAGTGAGCCCTGTCTACCTGTCGACTCAGCTCTGCATCTGGCCCTCATTAAGAAATGCCTTTGAAGCTTTGCAGAAGAAGCCGCTGTGCCGTCCACGGAGAAGACTCGGCTCACTCAGAGCTGTAGTTCACTACTGTTTGGCAGAGTGAGCCGCAGTGTTGACCTCGGCTTGTGCTGTCCCACTGTTTGTTTCCTCTTTGAAGTCCACCGTAAGCCTGCTGAGATCAACCCTGGAGATCTTTGCCCAAAGCCTTTCAATTATCCGGTGAGCAGGGAGGAACTTACGGGAATGAGAGGCCAGCTGAAGAGATTTTAGTCTTCAGTTTTATGAGTTTAATGTCACAGGGTCAGAGAAAACTTCCAGCTGAATCCAACAGGCTCAAAGAGAAACTTCCTTTCCTTCAGGAGTTCGGAGAGATTTTCTGAAACAACTGAGCTTAGCTTTACAAATGAATCTGGTCTGTGTGGACATGGATTTCAAAATGCTAAAAAGTAACTTCAGTAAATGAGACAATTCATAGACAGTATGTACCCAGAATTAAAGGTGGGGTAGGCAGGATTCCGTTAAAGAAACATCTTTTTTGTGGTGTATAAAAAAAGCTTTTAATATCAGTCAATAGTTATTAGAATTTGATTAAATTTGGGAATATCCCAATATCGCTGTGTTCTGTTATGTCTGTGTAGTCAACTTTTTTAATTTTTTGAGCGGCCCGCTCTTTCTGACTGTAAATGAGCCATTCTCCGCCTCCCCCAACCTGATTGGTTGTGAGGCAGACCCTGCTCTCTTGTGTTGTGTGGTACGTTACAAGTCCTCAAATAACTTTCACGAACCCAAATAAAGTTAGCGTGCTACAATATCGGACAGTAGAAACCAACAAGAAAGTACTAAAAATTTTCTGAATCCTCCTTTAGCCACGACTGCCAACACAAGCAAGAAAACAAAGTAAATACCGGAGACTCTGGCGACATAACGGGCGCTTAAAAAGAAGGTAGACCACCTGGACAAGAGCTAAGAAACTGGGTCAACATTAATGAAGCTTAAACATGGAGGACGCTTCGGGATCTTACAAACCCTGTAACCTTCCTGCTGGACAGGTAAACCACTTTAACAAAGTAAGTCAAGTGTCTGTAACAGAAGAGTTTCTTGTCAAACAGGACCTGGAGTTTGTCACTTGATGCTAGTTTTAGAAGTCCTGCAAACATTGTGTTTGCTGGTAGTCTGTTGGCATCTACAGTAGCACCAATGCTTTTTACTTTCACGTTGACTGGGCCCCATTTGTAATTATCTGAAGTATTTATCTGCATTCTATCTGAATTTAACTGGAATGATACGAGCGAGCAGGAGCGTCTGTTTGTGGGCGGGGCTTGTTGGAGCAGAGAGGGAGGGGAGAGGAGGAGCTGATGGGAAATCTGGTTGGGTGGGGTCGTGTTTACATTCAAGATTTCTCCCAAAATCTGGCACTTCCTGCCGACCCCACCTTTAAAAGAGACTGCAAATGCTAAACTAGGAGCCACATTTTCCTCTCAATTTATGTAAAAAAAATTTTTGTGAGTTAACAGGTGTGATACTGATTTAAATAGCTTGGTAAGGTACTATGGCGATGGGCTGATCCATGCATTCCAGTTCTACGCTAGTCTGTAGTTACCGCAACAACCTGTGCCATGCAGGGTGTAAATGGTGCACTGGAAAGCCTATGCATTTATCAAGGTGGAGACAACATAGTACAGAAGAAGCTTAAAGGCTGTCTGTTAGTACTAAGTGTCCTCTCCTTTCTCAGCATCAAACAGGAGTACTTAGACAAAGAAGATCTGTTGAAACAATAATGACAGGTGTGATTTGAAAAAGCCAGAGAAAGTCTATCTACCTTGAACGATGCGTTTAGCCCCACAGTTCACATCATCTCGAGGACGGTTTAGATGCTAAAACTGAAAAGTCACAGAAAGTGAAGCCTCCACACAGTGCGCTGACCTTACTTGCTCCAGCAAATGTTAGAGAGTCTGAAATCTTGAGTCACAGGAGACTATAACAGCAAGGCAGTTCATACAGTGAGAGGATGAGTCAACCTCCAGTCTGCTCTGTGTCATTATAGTCACACATCAGGTTATTTCTGACGCTCTCACTTTCATCCCTGTGCTATTTTTCCTCTGCTGCAGCCACAGACTTCATGCACGACAGTAAACACAGCTTTTGACAAGACCTTGGCGCAATATTGCAAATCAAAGTCACGATACGCACAACCCTGTCATTATGTACATTCCTCTGTCTTACCATTTCCTTCTCACTGTATCATATTCAGAACACTTACAGACTATATACAATATATAATGATGAAAAAGATGCCTGAAAAGACATCCTTTATATAAGAAGACAGAAACTAGCTTGTATCTGAGGGTTAAATGATTTCAGGAATGAAGATTTCAAGTTACAGAGGGAGGACCATTGGAACCATCTGTAAGACACATGTAGAAATGCCTGTGCAGCTGGATCCAAATCTACCAAACGTATGACTGAACTGAGGTTGCATTTCTTATGAAAACACTCAAAACTCAGTGCACAGAAAATGCCAAAAATGTGGCAGCTCATCACGAGTTTCAGAGGAGGAGAGTGTTCTCCACAACAAAAAACAAAGTAGCTATGGCTCCAAAGTACAAACGCGACCCAAAACGATCATGCTTTTACACACAAATAGGCAGTTTTGCATTTGATGTCTTTGACGCGCTGGCTCACAGGAAATAATACGTTCTACTTGGTTTTACCTGACACGGTTTTACCACCATGTTGCTACCAGCTGCTCCCGATGAAGCAACCAAGAGGTTCAGAAGTGGATCTTACTAAAAAGAAAAAACCCTTCCAATTCGGCAGAGGGTATGTTGGTGAAGAAAAAGGCATGACAAATGGAGAAGAATAATGTGGATTTACATCTGCGTCGCTTTCCCTCAATGGAGAGCCCTGAAGGAGGAGATTGGACTGAGGTCTGACAGCGATGTTGCCTTGATACTGCTGGATAAGTAAGTAACTGTTCATTTCGAGCAGGATGTGTTGCTGTTACATGTACTGGACAGAGTACTTTATTATTTATTTTGGAAACGGTGCTATGAATGTAATGTATTGTTAGCAGCCTGGTGTTCGCCACATTGTGTCACGTTAGCCTAACGAGTAGTAAGTTACAAAGTGTGTAGCACATGTTGCTGTGTGTAACTTACTGCAGGGAGTCTGTGTGCTGTGATCAGTAACTTTAGTAGCCTACACACTGTGTACAGAGCTACAGTCCGTGTACTATGACGAGTGGTATGCAGTAAGTTGCGAGTGTTACTCCGTGTACCGTGACGAGAAGTACATGTTGTGTGGACAGTTACAGTCTGTGTACCGTGGTCCATGACCATCAGCATATGGTGTGTTCTGGGTGTTTCTCCGTGTAACATGACACGAAGTACATATTTGTAGTCAGTGTTATTTTGTGTACCGGGATAATAATGTGACGCAGTTGTTAACAGGAAGTTAATTAACCTTTACACCGACTGAACCCTTACAGATTTCACCTTAATCTTACCTCACAGAGCCACACCTGAACTACCTGTAGTAGAACATAATGTATAGTTATGTTCTTGTGTAACTTGATATAATTTGACCATAACCTAACCTAACCTAGCCTGTGTACATCACAATTTCAACCATGTCCTCCATGTGTCTGCCTTGTTATTTCTGATGTTTAAGCTTAACAAGCAGTCACATTCATTAAGTGTAAAACAACACTGATATGGTGTTTTAGCACTGACTGTCAGTTGGCCTATTTTGTCTGGAGGACATGCTGTAATGACTAAATGGGTACAATAAGACTATTAATACCACACTATAAAGCCCTGTATTCAGAGTGTGAGTACACTTCAGTCACTGTAAAAAATAAACATGAACAAAGGCCGCTGCAGTCAGCTCTGTGAGTAATTTCAGGAGACAAGAGGAGGATGCGCATCGAGACGTGTTTTTAAGCGGGGCCTCTATTTTGGGACCAAGTTTTATCTTGACAGCTGCTCACCAGAGGTTCAGGATTGTGTGCAGATAAAAATAGCAAACCTGCAGGCGCAACTTGGACTTCAAAAGGCTACAATAAGACGTTAAAACATCAGTACCTCATTTATGGCGAGCTTCCAGAGTATCTCTGCAGAAAATATTTAGAGATGTGGTGATGTTTGATTTACCCTGCTGGATAACACATAATGTAGTACAATGCAACTTAATATAGTCTAAACTGACACCTAGGACTTGTTTTTTTTCTGCCAGCAGCAAAACAAGAAATAAGCTGCTTTTGCAGACCAAGATTTTCTGATCTTTAATCGGTTCAATTAGATTTAGCCTTTCGGGAGTTCACGGTTAACACCTCATATGTTGACAAAGAACAAAACAAGTCAAATCTTAACCTGCTCTAGGAGGTACTCTGGAGGATCAAGTGATGAAAGACATTCAAAACATCCTTAAATTACCGCTTATCTTGTTCATGCTTGAAATACTCCTTTCTGTAATTTCATTTAAGTTAAGATCAGTCCCTAAATGTTTGAGGATTTTGTTCAACGTTCAAATAAAACAGAGGACATTTCAGTGTTTCAGAGGAGACTTCTCTCAGCCTATTCAGCTCACTGCAGTGAAGCTGAGCCAAGTGGTGATTTAAGCCTTTACCCACTCTGTTCAGGACACACAACCCTTCTGGGACTTTTTTTTCCCCTCCTTTAAAATAAAAAAGTGATTCCTTTGGTTGACAAGAGCACCCCCTGGAGGACAAAGAGGATTTAGAAATAGAGAGTGTGGCTCTGTAATAAAAGACGGACTATATGATCTTTGTGGTGTGTACACAGGACTCCAAAAACCGCTCAGTGGGTCTTAGATGATCCAGACCGCCTGCTGTTTAAAGAGTTCTGTCTGGCAGGACACACAGCCTCTTTGCATGCAGGATGAACAGACTGAAACTCTTTTGTCTTGGCTGCTATGAGACCTTTGGGTGGCTCATTTTATTCTGAATGAAGAGCCGTGTTATCACAACCACAACACCAACCATGATCATTCTAATCAACACTGAGACCACAAAGTTAGAGGGGTCACGATTTAGTCTTTTGTCTATTGCAAGTGCTAGACTGCTAAAAAAACAAAGAAAAACTTCTGCAGTAGCACATCTTGGGATCTGAGAAACTTAGGCAAGAATAAATCATGAAAAAAAGATGCAACCTAAATTTAACAGCAGTTCTAATAAAAGCTTTGGTGTGGTTAAAAATAAAACGACAGCTCTGAACTCTCTTTTCATTGCTCACATCACACCCTAAAGTGATTTGACAGCTCCAAAAAAAAGAGGTGGTTATAATTTTTGCATTCTCGTTTACAAAGAGAGTCTAATTTCAGATGTTTGACTTGCATATAAGACCTAAAACTCTTATCCAGGGCACACATAGTCATTTCATCTCTTCAGCTCTTCTCTTCAGTCCCCTCTTTCTAAAGTTCTGGTTCAGTCCGGCTGGGACCACTTTCAAACTCCCACTGTTTCCCATTACCTTTTTCTTTATCCTCCTTCTTCTTGATTCACCTCTTCATTATTTCCCCTCCCCTCCTTCCTCCCTCCCTCCCTCCCTCCGTTCTCTGTCCAGCCTACACTTGACCAAAGGACAGACTGGAGCCTCTTATTTGTTCAGTCCTTGAGTGGAGTCACAAAGGCGGGCGAGGGGAGCCATGGGCTGGTGGATTTACCCACCACTCATCACCTCATGCAGGAGACCCCCTCCCTAAACAACTAGACACTAGACTTGGCCGTATTCAATCATTTTTAACTCAATAATTCGTGTCGCAGATTTGTCTCTGCGTAACCACCCTCTCACTATACATCCTCCCTTATTTGTAATAGCCTTTATTAAAATTAACAAACCCTCAGCATGATTATGGATCTACAAAACTAAGCACATTAAGGCAGTAAAGTCACCAGGTATGGTTTAACAGGATTAAAAAAATAACTAATAAAAAAATTTAATTATCTCAGTCATGTTGGTTAATACGCATGCCCTAACTTGGACTTTTTAATCTCCTGTCTTCATTTAAAAGACTAAACTAAAGCTGCCAAGTATTTTAATTTAAGTTTGAAATATGAACTTGTCTCTGAAGTGGATTTTTAAAGTCAGGAAAACAGAAACACTCATAAAATGTGATATTAAAACTGTCATATTTGTTTAAGTTTGCTCTCAGTGAATCATGTCTCTTCCTCTCTGCAGAGTTAGACACCTTTGAGTAAACGTAGAAATCTATTTTTAACAGGGATGAAAATAAATCTAGGTTTGAAAGGTGAAAAGAAGCTCTGGGTTATTTTTGATGAGCTAAAAACAGAACTTCTCCCTCAAACTAAAAATACCTCGACACCGATTTAAACTTCATCTCAGGAAATTCAAACAGCTCCTGATGGAGTCCGAAGCTCCGGTTAGAGACCTTCTCTCCAGTAGCTTTCACTTCTGCTGTCAGCGCTCTCAAAAGAAGCATTGTGGGAGAAATTCCCCAACCTTAAGTGCTCCCCATGTTTGCCTTTGTGCCAAGTGAGCCCACTCCGCTGACCTTTCAGAGACACATCAGCAAGATCCACCGCTGGGTCCCTGTGCAGCCCTGCTCCCTCTGACAGCAGCCAGACAATGAAATACAAGCTAATTAAAGTGACGACAGCATGAAGGGGGCTGTGAACTTCCACAAAGGACGCTGAGGTGAGACTGAAAGTGCTGAAAACAGCAGAGAAACATCACGGTAAGAGAGTTTTGAATGACGCTCCACACTTTATCCTATAAATATAGTCCAATAGATTGATCCTGTTAGACTTTAGGTCAGACGGACAAATATGTCAGGAATGTTTCACACACAAAGACAAACCTCATCTGTTTTGTTTGGACTGTTTTCGCTCAGGTAAACACTTGAGCTCTTGACTAATTATAGCGTTAATGAATAACAGGCCAATTACTGTCGGGGGAGGGGCGGGGCCGTCATGTCAGGGGGGCACGGCACGATGCAGCAAGTTGTCACGCAAGCATGCAAACAGATATGAAGGCGACACTTCAGTCTGAGTGTTTTCAGGGAGAAAATACTGCAGTTTACGATCAATCTGAGGAAATGCATGATGATGTTTGAACCAATAGGCCGGGCCATGACAGACTTTACCCGCAGTTATAAGGCTAAGTTAGGCAAATGTGATATCCTGTACGGATCATCATCATCTCTGCTCCTCCAACTTGACTTTAAAAATGACTGAAAATTAAACAGGGAATCAGGTTTTGTTTAATGGAAAAATTCAGATATCAATCAGCTCTCCCTCAACAGTTTTTCATCCCTCAGGGCCGCAGACCCAGCTGTGTCATGGTCCAGATCCTGGGAACAAAAGATGGGAGTCGAGGAGTACCAGGAGCAGAGAAACAACAACCTGCCAGCCTCAGGGGCTTTTGAACACAAAACAAGCACCAAAGAGCCTCGAAAAGATGTTTTCATTTACCGTTTAATGTGAATCATTTCACAGCTTGGCTTCTGAAAGGGGGTCGGTTTTTCAGTTGATCAAAATCTGCATTAATCAATGTTATCAGCAGAAGTGGCAACTGACTGTGTTTGCAACAGGTGGCTGGAAAAGATCATACAGAGGCCCTGAGCAGATGAATACTGCCTTTTTTTTTTTTTTTTTTTAAGTATTTCACTGAAACGTGTTTACAGTTGGTAAAATGCTGAATTGTCTCTGAATTAGGGCATTATTATTCATCGATTTTAAATTGTAATCAGATTATTTGATTATGACTATGTTAAAAAATTTTAAACCTTCGAATGGATATTGCTCTCCATTATGTCTCGCTCCTCCAGGACACCATAGGCTCCCCCTTCCTACAGGAGTGCTCCCCAGTTCCCACACACACCAGTGTAAACAAACACGATGAAGGCGATAATTTCGTGGAGAAATAGGACAGGAACGAGTCAGTCGTGTGGGATTGGTACGTCTTCGCAGTTTCAGATGAAGAGCAAACCACTCCCTGCTGCAAAGTCTTCTGAAGGCAGTATCAACCTGTCTACACGGAAACAAATTCAGGAGTAAACGCTAAAGTTTTTGTCATAGCTGCATTTTAGAAATGGCGTTTTGGGTGACTGTAAACAGTACTTTTTGAAAACGGGTCAGAGAGTGCATAAATCCGTAAACGACTACCATTTTCGTTCCGCATGGATGCCAATCTGCATCTCTTGAAACGATTATGTGACACACAGCGTAACTCTTTTTAGGCGCTTGCGCGTGTCCATCGAAAACAACCTTTAATAGCATGCGCTGTACTCTTCTTCTGTCTTTTGTACATTTCCTCAACAGCGTTACAGCGCCACTTACTGGCTTGGCATATGCACAACATCGTTTTGAGTGGTTTCGTTTTTAGAGATGATAGAAAGACTTTTTATGAAAGTGAAGTTTGGTGAAATTGTCACTAAATAATAAAATCAAAATCAAAAATAGAGTTTTTGGCCAAAATCGTGCAGCCCTACTTATTGTTTTGTAAACTAATACGCACCTTGTGAAATGTGTGTGGCTCAATATTCAAAAAAAGCTAATAGAAAAGATCCTCTGTCCGCCAAAGCTGCAGGGATTATAGGATGTTGTGCAAACAGAAAAACCTCAGTGGGAACTTGTATATGAAATTCAAATGTGATATAAAATGCATTCCCGTCCATCTGTCCAGCAGCACGTCCCCAGCTGGTCCTGAGGCTCGCTTGCTTTTGTGATTCCCGGCTCGCTCTCAGCTGGCCTCATTGTTTATCTCTGTGATGACAGGACTGCACGGCTACATGTGGGGAAGCTATTGGAGATTCAGCCTGATAAATGAGCCTCCATGTCATATGTCATCTGAGATATCAAGCGTTTTCATCGGGGGGGGGAGTCACTTTTATCCCTGATCCGTCTCTGGGACGCCAAAAAGTGGTGATAAAAAATTTATTTAGAGTTCATGGTGCAGATAAAGGTCACTGTATTTATAAGATTACACTGACACAAACTTTAAGTCACAAATCCAGTTAAAAATGAGACCCAGACCTTGAAAAACCTCCTTTAGATTCTCATTAATTCACAGTTTCCCTCTTTAAAGCTTTCTATTGAGAGGAACCACTTGTGCTTTTCCACAGAGCCCCAAAAGAGACGAGCTGAAGGATGGACTCAAGTTTGTGAAAGAAGACAAGAGAGGAAGGAAGGGAGGGAGGCAGGGAGCGCCAACTAATCCCATTAGGGTGGGAGCTAAATGATTTGTTCCACTGAGAGAGGGGGAGATAAAAAAAAAAAAGGTGTGTGTGGGGAAGGAAAAGAGGAGCACGGGGGAGGGGAGGTGGGAGCTCTTTTTGGGATGATGACAGTAAAGATGAGGCCCCCCCAAAGGGAAACCAATCTGCTCTCTCTTCCTGTTCGCATCTCCAGGTCTGGTCATTGACAGCCCTCAAAGCTGTCCACACGGCACTTTGGTCCCAAATTTGAAAGTCTAATTTATTCCCTCGGGGGAGCAACGAGGAAACATAAAAACAAAGACCGTCTAAGAGGTGGAGACATGCCAGATACGCAAGAAGACATGTTCAATCAACAAGGGGGTGTAAACACTTAAAAATTAAAGACAAATCTAGGAGAAACGATTAAAACTGATGCAATATGCTCTAGAAACGTTTTCTTTCACATCAGGGTGGCGATATTCACATCTTCTCGTCCTAAGGGCCTGTGTCCACTGACAGCATTTCTACTTTAAATTAAGTTTAGCCAGCTGCAGGCGAGGATTTAGGGCAAGTACTGCAGTGAACACTTCCATGCACAATGGTGGAGCTCATTAAGGATATGCTGTGAATATCAGTTATCTAAAATACCAGTTATCAGTTTCATGTACTACTTATTACTGGTAACGGCTCAGAAGAACTGCACACACACACACACACACACACACACACACACACACACACACACACGGTAAATACCTGTCATACACACACTTAACTCTATCCGGCTCTGAGAGTTGCTTCTTTCAGCACTGGCAGCCCACTTGAAGAGTTTCCACGCTCCAAGAACAACAACAAAGAGACTCCCTGTTTCTTTACAGTAAACTTTAACAACTTCCTGAAGCTGTTAAAAAAGCAAAAGACTGTTTGTCTCAGAAAGAGGGCGAGTAAAAGGACTTTTCTGACACGCTACTTGAGCCTTAATCATCAGATAAAGATTTAAAAGAGATGTTTTATACCTGATATGAAACACAATGTCACATTCACTGAGCTTTGCGATGTTAAAATGTGATACGTGTTCATTTTTGTACCATAAATGCTCAAAAGAAAGCAGATAGATTAATGGATACCAAACACAATCAGAGCATAAGTTGTTAGTTAAATATTTTAGACAGTTCATTTCTTGTTTCAGCTCAAACTACTGTCTCCCTGGTCATTAGACATCTAATCTTAACTTTTAGGTACCAAAATCTAAAGTTTCAGAGCGGTTAGTATTCCCTGAGGCAGTGTGCAGAGGAAGCTGTACCAACTGTGGGACTAACTAATGACTTCCGTGTCGTCTTTTTCATTATCCGGGCCCGGGCTGGCGGTCACAGGGTCACAGGCTACGAAAACAGTAGCATGCCTTCATAGCTCGAATGCAACACATTGTATTGTGTTGGCAGAGAAGAGGGTGAGGGGGTGAGGAGGCGAGGGGGGTGTCTTCCCAGTGGGAGTCACTCTGCTCGACAATAGCAGTGACATTCCACTGGAAACACTGTGGCATTATGGCCGCTCTCTGTTTTTGGTGGAAGTGGGGATCCTCCAGTCCCACAAAGGGATTCACTCCCAGGGTATTCTGGGAATTTTCGATGTCACCTTTGGGAATGATTCAGAGAGAGAGGAGAAAGAAAAACAACAGTTCTTCCAGTGCTGTCAAAATTATTCAGCATCGCGTTTGTTACTCGTGGAGTCATGTTATGATAAGCAAAAGTGTTATCTTAAGCTGTATTTGACGGGTAATAATGGGGCCCACAAACATTCCTGCCACACGAGATTCCCAAAGTTTTATGACTGACTTTGCCGCACCTGTCTCTGACCAATTTCCCAACTATGGCTCCATTGTGAGTGGGGCATTTTCCTTTTATTCATCCCTGAGTCAAAATTTAAGACTTGCTTTGAATCATCCTGATGAGTCTTCACGATGAATTCTGGTATCACTAACCACTTTTAATACAAAGACACCCCCCTACCCAGAAGGCAACGCTCAGAATAAATATTGACTTGAGTGGTGACCCGTGCTCGACTATTATTTCAGCGACACTGGAGGGCAGGGACAACCAGTACTGGCCGGTGGAGAGGTCTGGTGGCAGATGTCGCTGAATATGTAAAACAGCCACAAGAGAAAGGAAGGGAGGGAAGCTGTGGCAACAATAGATGACTGATAAACTGGAAATGTGTCATAATTTATGACATGAAAAGGTTGAATCTGGCAATGAAACATTTAAATGACCAGCTCTGTTATCACTGAAAATATGAGCTCACTGGAAAAGAGATGATAACGTTCAATAAATGAATAAATACATGAAGCTGGGAAGCACAGATACACACGCCACTTCATGTATTAAAGCTTTAGTCAAAATAAAAGACTTGAACATTATGTGAATTTCTGTTTCAAGGTGCAGTCTTATTCTATCTTAAGCTTATTTTTATTTATCTGTTTTTGCTGCACCATCTAATTTTTCCTCCACTAATCAGAAGTGTTTATTCAACTCTCTGAACGTATCCTTAAAAAAAGGTACAGAGGACTTTATGCTCTCTCTCTTCACTGAACATGGGTAGGTCAGGGGGAATGACTGCGGACAGCGTTGCCATAGCGATCTGCCCCACGCTTTGTGGAAACTGAAACCTGAGAGTGTGTGGCGCCATTGTCAACCTGACTTTACCACGGTGCCGTGATGTGGACTACAGCCACACAAATAATAAACATCATTAGATACACTAAAACCATTGAATGAATGCACATCATTGACACATGGGCGCATGTGTGTGAATAATAAATGGGACAACTTAAAAGCTCCATCATCTTTGTGCTGATAACAGAGAATTTACTCCCTGTGGTTAATGTGGGATGTTGAATCAGCCTCATATTAAAGAGCTCCCACTGTGGCGTGCTGACAGCCGGTCTTCATGTGCACAGAAGCTCCCACCACAGCAGATAAGATCAACGGTGTCACCAGGGAGTCAATCGCCACTGTAAACAAAGCCCCACTGACCACAGGAGGAAATCATTTACTGCTGAAGTCTAACAGTTTACCAAGAAACGCCCCGACCTTCTTCTTCTTCTTCTGGAGGAAGTTCAAAGAGGCCGCAGACAAGTTTTATGAAAGACCTCCTGACTGGAAACAGCTTTAAAAAGACCACTTCACACGGTCAGTGACTTTACATGATGACTGTATGTGTGAATCACATGAACAGCAGATATCAGATATTTACCTGAAGAAAGGAAAGTGAGAAATCAACATTAAAAGATGAAAAAGAAGAAAAATAAGATTTGAAAAGAGAGACAGAATAAAAGCAATGAACTACGAAAGTAAAAAGAAAGGATGGAGGGAAGGGAAGAAAGAAGTTAGAAATAGGGAAAGAAAAAAAGGAAGGAAGAAAAAAAGGAAAGAATGGGGCACGACAGAAGGAAGGCAGAAAAGAACGGAGGAGGGAAGGAAGGTGGGTAGGTAAGAAGGAAGGAAGGAAGAACTGAAGAAATAATGGGGCAAAGAAGGGGAAGGTGGAAGGAAGGGATATTAGGAAAGAGGGAGGGAAGAACAGAGGAACAGAAGGAAGGGAGACAGAAAGAACAGAAAGAAAGAAGGGAGGAAGGGAGAACAGGAGGAATAAGAAGGAAGAAAGGGAGAGAAGAGTGAAGGAAGGGAAAGTGGAAGTAAGAAAGAAAGGAAAGGAGGGTGGAAAGAAAAAAGGAAGGGAGGAAGGGTGGAAGGAAGAACAGAGGGAAGGGAGGGGAAGGAAGGGCAGAAGGGAAGAGAGAAGGCAGGAGAAAAGGGGGGTAGAAGAGAGAGGGAAAGGGGAAGAGAAGGAAGGAAGGAAAGGAGGGTGGAAGGAAGAACAGAAGGAAGGAAGGGAGAAGAGAAGGGAGGATGGAAGGAAGAACAGCAGAAGAGAGGAAAGAAGGAAGGGAGGGTGGAAGGAAGAAAGAAAGGAAGGGAGGAAAGGAAGGGCAGAAGCAAGGAGGGATTTGAAGGGAGAATGGGAGGGAGGAGGGATGGAGGGATGGAAGAAAGGATGGAAAGGACTGGTCATGTTGACTACCTTACATTTCGATCCCTCCTAGATACTCATGCTCCCTCCTCCACCTTTGCTCCACTGATCAGTCACATAAAGCACCACATGGCCCAGATTAGTAACCAAAACCCAAACAGCACTGACACCTGCTACACTGAAGCAAAGAGCCACGAGCCCCACAAGTCAGCAGCACAGTTAGTGAAAGCGCTGAAGGGTGAGTAACAGGCTGCTGTTTGGGCAGAAGTGGTCACAACAAAGTAACTCAATACATAAAACTGAACATTTCAGCCAAAGCAGCAGAGCCTGACAAGACGGAGGTCAGAGTGACACTGAATGTGTGAGGCAGCAGCTGTAGACAAAACAACCCCCCCCATCAATCCCATACCCTAACTAGACCCTCAAAACAGCTCAAGGAGACTCAGAGACACCGACAACGAGTGTCCGGCTGAACAGTACTCACCTCGCAAACTAGACTAAGATTTTGTCGAAACCAACAATTCACATCCAAGATGCAAAAAAAGAAACAATTAACTGATCATCAAAACAATTTGGTTCATGATTTTTTTCAGCCGATTAATTGTTGCAGCTCTAGTGTGTAAAACTCTACAAATGCACACAGACAATCATGGTTTTAATGAAAGCGTGCTCCCAGAAATGAGAGACGAGTTCCACATCTGCAGACAGCAAGGATGCAAATACGCAGCTCAAAAACTGGAGACAACTACAACACCATTTTTAAAAAATGACAAATATACTGTCTGCACTCACCTCACTCAGGTCTTAAAAGTCCTCCAGTTATGCATTCCTTTCAGCTGAAGTTCAGTCTACTCCCAGCACCATCACAGAGAAACCATCCCACAGAAAAATGAAGGACTGAACTCCGGGACGTCACACAGCGCTGTCTCACACAGCAGATCACAAACCAATCACAACGCAGCCGCTCAGACACCAAACACACACGCATTGTAACCCGACAATACCAGTCAGTGAGGAAGACTGTAACATGAGCAGCCCGGTGACCAGCCGGCGAGGGCTCAGCCGTAAACAGTGGCTGCAGCTCTGCTCCGTCTGCAGAGTTCAGGAGAACATGGAGGAGTAGGAGGGTGTTTTAGTTAGAATAGCCTTTGGGTAAAAGCTACACAAACCAACACAACTCCAATCAAAAGAGATACTCCACCCTTATCTTTCTTTGGAAATTCAGACACACCTTTCTTCACGCTTCAATTACAGTTTGATTTACAGTGGATTAAGACTGACAGTTTCTTAATTATAGCTTTATCTTCCAACTGTTATATTGATTTATAGTTTCCAACATGCAGAATACTCAATATAACAACCTGGTACGTGTTAGATTGTTAGAACAACATATACTCTACAGTTACATTTTGGGCCTTTGTCTTTGTTAGATAGGACGGCTGTAGAGAGGCAGGAAATCTGGGGAGTAGAGAGCAGATTAAGACCTGCAGTAAAAGGGTCATGGCTGGTACTCAAACCAACAACTACTAAGACAAGTGCCAGAGCCTCTATATGTGGGGGGTGCTTAGACTGCTGAGGCATCTGTGCCCAAATCAACAGGCATCATAGAGGTGGGGATTTTAGGGTAACACACTATGGGATACAATACGATACAATGCAATACAATATAATACGATACAATGCAATATGATACGGTACGGGATAGTGCTGCAACTAATGATTATTTTTTTGTCGACTAATCTATCGACTAGTTGTCCGATTAATCACTATCTTCTTTATTTATAAACACCTATTTCCAGGGTGTCGGCGTTTCAGGTGCTCATGCATCGCCTTGGTGCTGCCATGGTAGGAAAGCTGAGCTTTGATCAACGTGTTTTTTTTTGGTTTGTTCTCCGCAAAATGTTCCCAAACTTCTGAAGTTTTGAGTCGGAGTTTTGGAGCGTCTTTTTCAGTTTGTTCTGCCATAATGTGTGCACTCTTCTTCTGTGTTTGCTCGCGGGATGTAAACAGCGAGCGCTACTGCCCCCAGCACATCCTGTAGTGTACTGCAGTTATAGATGAGCATGAGGCGCCGGCATGTGATTCTTAACAATAACACGACATGTCGACGCTTAATTTTCGTGTCGATGAATTTGTCGTGTCGACGTAATCGATTACGTCGACTAATCGTTGCAGCCCTAGTACGGGATGATTTATGATACGATGCTGGTCATCTCTTGTTGTGATTAGATGGCCACTGTGCTGGGAGTTTTTAGTGGCAAAAACTGACCAAGGGAAGACAAAAGTTTTCACCAAAAATAAAATAAAAAAAAAGGCATATAAAAAACTGTTTCGAAAGATGGTGTCGTTAGAGAGTAAAAAAGGCTACCATGCTTAATGTTTACAACCTGCTTACAAGCCATGACAAGGACTGAGTTCTGCTGTTCCTGGATCCAACTGCCCCAACTGCCTTTTTGAGGAATGCTCCAACTTGAGTGGCAAAGTCTGAGCATGCCCGCATAGCTGAGGGATTATCACAGTATCAACTGAGCCCTGAATTCCCTCCGCACCTGCCTTGTCCTGCTTAACGTACAAGAAACAGGCGGGATTTTATCACTCCTCTTCTCCTCCTAAGACTTGTCCTTCATTCACAAGAAGTTCTGACGGGATAATAACGAGCTAACGGTGAGGCGTTTCGAAAAAAACGACACCTCCCTCTGACACAAAGACAGCTACAAAAGTTGTGAATACATCCTTTCAAAGGTTTGCCGATGCCTTTCATTTGATCCAGATTATTAAAGATCCGCTGAGGTCGCTCTGTGTATAAAGTCGGACAAGGGAAGCTGCAAAGTAGTGGCAGTAAGAACACAACTTTGATACCTGCAAAGAGGTACGAATTGAGGGATGTTGCTTTCTTTTTGCAGATATTATCTCCTCTTTGTTTTGCTTTTTATGAGCCTTTTACTGCCTTAAATAGAAACTATCTTGTTACCACTTACTCATTTATTGTAAGGTTATAAAAAAATGTTGATAATTAATCAAAGAAGCACCAAATCATTTTCTTTTGAAGTAGATTTACGCTGAGTCATAAAATAAAAGTTTACAGAACATTATTACACATTGCATTGTAGCGCAGCCACCCTCTGTGTGAAAGTGAGTCTATTTCCAGTGTTCAAGAACTGTAAGATGCATTTTTCTTGAGGAATGCACGAGGCAGTAAAAAGATAATTAGCTGTTTCAGCGTACCCTGCCCCACCACATTCTGTTTTCTTTTTTCCTGCCACTCCTCACGTTGCGGTCAAATATTTGTTTTGATATCTGACCGCAATGGGAGGAGTGGCGGAAAAATAAAACATTTACAACAAGCTGCATCAAGCAGTGTGTGAAGCTCTCAGGGCATCTTTGAGGTTTTTAATGGATTCAGTTCACAAGATCACTCCATGAGTCTCAAGCAGATCCCGCGCATCCACTCAAAGCAAGGCTCTGATACTGACTCTTTTTAGAGAGCGATCATTCATAAACCATTCTAAGCTTATCTTTGCAACTCCAATAAAACAATCATGCTGGGTGGCAGCACGCTGAGTAAACAAGAGGGTGTGATAAAGTGTTTTAAACTGTCAGAAAGAAAAGAGGAATAGAGAGAAAAGCTTTTTTTTGTTAAACAAGGAGGAGAAACTCACGATATGGACCACATTTTTTTATACATAATAGTATTTGCAAACAGCACTTATCCCAACTGATATAAAGGGCGCATGATGACCAAGTGTCGAGATGAATGAAAAAAGAGATTAACATACCAGGAAACAAAACATCTTTGTGAAACACACTTCAAGGTTTAGCCGAGGTTAATCCCGTCTATGCTGAGAAATACCTTCGCTCAATCATCCTCACCGCCACAACTTTCCTCCAAACACAAAACCTACATAAGTTAAAGCTCGCAGGAACGAATTACTGCGCTATTATTGATACAAAATTATGTGAAACTGACTTTACATAGGAGACGCCTTTCCAGGTGGCAAAGCCAGAACATCTTTAAGCAACTTTCTTATATGCTGTGATATTTCAAAGTGACAATCGGAGAGTTTGGTGCACACGTCTTGTTTGCTCTTGTGATGCACTGGCTGACAATTGACTGAGTTCATGACCCCAGCAGATGCCGCTAAACGGGGCTTCAGCTCCACAGGCCCTGAAGGTAAAAAGAGGTTATCAAGTCCATCATCAGTGAGACAAGGCTTCCTCTCATGGAGCTATTACTGGACACAAAGGAGCAGAGGAGCTTTTTCATTATAGGCAGAGTAAGAGTAGGGCCACTGAATTACATCAATAACATCTAATTTTACTTAAATCTGACCTGTGGAAGAATTTTGGTTTCCCGCGTGTCAAGACATAAGAAAGACAAGAAGGTGACTGTCAAAAAAAAAAGAATATGCATCCACTTCCAGACAGCAGTGACACCCACGTTGGGGGATCTGAATAATGTGAGGGGCCACTTCACAAATAAATAAATCCATCCAAAAAATTAAAAAAGTCGCAAGGGTAAAAATCCATCCAGGCCAAAAGCCCCCTGAGGAAGTCTTTACAGCCTCATTTTCCCATGACAGTGCAAGAGCTCAAGAGCTCACAAGATGTATCACTGATTGTACAACCTGCGGACATTTTTTGACAACGAAGGATTCAGACAGTTAGTACAAGAAATACTATTAGCAGCTCTATAGGGTTACATAGAGCCTCAAGCAAGCAGAGAGTGCATCTCACTCACCAAGAAGGAGCTACTCAGGGCTGCGTTTTCAAAGTTTTCAGTTGTCTTTTTTTATTATTTGGATAAATATTAGACTTGTGTAGGACTTGACATGACTGTAAAATTTCAAAGCTGGTATACAGTAAATTGTTTCTTTTGTTCACATTACAATGATTAAAATATCATTCAGCATGACTCAGGGTTGAAATAATAGCAGCCAAATTTGACAAATTCAAATATTATTAACAATGATGAAGCGATCACATTGATAATCCTAACTCACCGCCAAGTCTCAGCCGACACAAAGGCCTCCCAATCCATCTGAGGCCATCTCAGACTGTGTTAAGCCCCTAAATCCAGTAAGTACTGATTTAAAAAGATTTTCGGGCAGTTCTGCCAGAGCTTTGATCACTTTAATAATGACTTCCTCGTTAATTTACAAACAACATGGGGCTGGCCAGGCAGCCACACCAGGCTGGGGGAAATCTAGAAGACTCCCTGAACACCAAGTTTGTTTTTAGGGTTTTTGTTTGACTGAACTAAGTAACTTCTAAGAAAACCTGCTGCGCTGCATATTTATGATAGTTTTCAGTGAGATATTTATGGGATAGTTAATTGGACACATCAGCTAAGTGTTTTTTCACAGTTCTCAGCGACGTTTGGTTTTTGCAGGGGGAGACCTCCTTGTTTAGTTTAAGTGGATCTACTACTTAAAGCGGTTTTGATCTGGTAATAACAGGGCAGACCCCAGAGCTCATGTAGGTTTTCATCCCACACTCTCAGGCATGAACAGCTGTAACAACTCCCTTCACCTCCACAGTCACACACAGACCAGTAAGAGTGGTTTATTTGGGCTATATGTCATATCAGAGTACTGAGGGGTACCAACAAACTAATCTTTTGAAGCCAAAGCAGCCAAAAATGTTGTATTTTAAGCAGCAAAATATGCAAGAGAGGCATAAGAAGCACTCACAGATGTTCAACCAAAGCTAAAATTACAACTCTGTTTCCCTCCACTTCAAATTACAGAGAAAACACTGAAGGACTCCAGAAAAAGTGTCGAGCTGGGCCAGATTTGACATGAAACCCGCTCAGACGGGGAAGCGGAGTGGAAGTCATTTTCTCTGAGCAAACAGTGAAGGGATGGGAGTCATAATCACAGGGAGGTGGAGGTCGGGGGTGATACATCCGAGCAGAGGAGGCCCGGCTTTGATCATGTGGACAGAGAGGTCGTCTCACCAAGGTGTTAATTGAGAGACCCCTGCCATATGTCTACAGAGGCTGCATGACCGAGTCTCACGATGCTGAAGCTAAGCCTGATGTACCAACCAACACCAGGCTGTGCTCGCACCCGATCCTGCTTATGTGGAGGGGAAAACAGTGAGAGGCTGTGGAAAGCTCTGGGTGTTGCTGGAGGGAATGCACAATGTACAGATTTATCACTAAGCTGGTTACAGAAAGAGGAGTGAGCTGTGAACTTAAGAGTGATAAACAAAAAGCACGTGAGCTGCCAACATGCTACATAAACGTGACACATTGTTGCAGTTAAATATCCATCAGTCAGTTATTTTTTTTTTTTTAAACAGGCAGAAACCTCGAGCAGAACCAGACATGTTCAGGGACAGCTAGGCCAGGGTCACAGCTTAAAAAATAGGGCAAATCTAGACCTAACTTCTTAATACTATCAAAACAGACCAAACACTGATCCATCATGAGAGGACTGCCAGTGAGGGCATGGAGAAATTTAATTATAATAGGCAGAAACCTTGGGCACAACCAGACTCATATGTAGACACTTAGCACAAAAGGATGGACACTACCTAACAATACACAGCAGGTCTACACCATGTTTATACTATTTAGCAAGGCTTCATTTATAACCAATAAACTTTTGAAATTGGTTGAAACCCTCAGTACAATTGGAAATATTTGTAGACGGCCATCTGCCAGAGCTAAATGGTGAAATTACTACTGATGGTCCAGTCGTTCAGATTCTGAATGAACAGCTGCTTATACTCACTTTGGAGACTCACATTGGAAACCATATTCAATTGCAAAATTTATAGCCGTTCAATGTTGAAAAACTAACTCTACAAATTAGTAGAGACAACAAAAAAACTCATGTCACAAAAACTCTTATTCTGATCATTTAGACACCAAAATGTAACAAAACTTCATTCTTCTTGTGTCCCAGACAATACATAATGTTGTGTATGCCATGTAACGTACATGACGACAGCACATAAACAAGACTAAGCTGCTGGCTGCAGTTTCCAAAACATTTCTTGTTGGCTCAACTGCCAAGGACAAGTGAACAGAAAGTTACAGCTTTTAGCAAAAACAGCAATTCAGGCAGTTCGATTCGGAAACTCCATTTCTGAGGAGTTTTTCTACCACTTTTCTCTCACACACCAAGTCTTTGTGTTTAATGCAGTTAAGTGTAAAGACTTAGGCTCTGTTTAGACTTATCTACATGGCTTAAATCAGTGGATTATATTTGAAACACATGATGTACCACGGAGCTGGAAGCTACACACTCTTCTGGTGTGTTTGACGCTTGGTAATTCTGAAATGGGAACACCAGAAGTACTTTCATTCATAACTTACAGCTATTTGTTTCAGAGATAGGTTGGTAAGGAAGGAGGAGCCGTCACTGAAATTTTAAAGAAGTTTTCACGAGTTAAGAACAGTCAGATGGTTAAAACGGCTGTAGTTCATCGCTTGAACAATGAAAACGTACAAACATACAAATATCTCCCGGTTGGTTCCTTCAAGTTTGGATGACTCTTGGATGAAAGCACTGTTTGTTATCTCTATTCTTATAATGACCAAGTGTAGAAAAGTGGTTACAGGGATATGCCAAAAGTGCCACAATGGAAGCTGAAGAATTTCATTAAACCTGACATATCAACTCAGCACTTTATCTTTAAAAGAAAGTAGCAAAGCCTTAGAGTCCTGGAGACAGTAAAGACTCCTCTACTTGATCCCAGCTCTCCAAAATACAATAGAGGACCACCGTCCAGGTCGATGCCTCCTTTATTCTGTTTCTTCTATGCTTTAGCTCCCTACTGCAGGCTTTTAGAGAGCTTTCACCTGCCTGATTCAACCACAAACACTGAGAAAAATAGGAGGTGGCATGCCAAATCTGGAAGAGTGAAAGAAATAGTTCTGCAGTGTTGGTTTGAGGCTGGATGACCACTAAAGAGAAATATTTCAAAAGATGAGGACAGCCTATAAAAGGTACTTAAGTTATGAGTTGGGCACTTTGGTGTATTTTTCTAAGGGTTCATAAAATAAAGTGTGGAAAAAGACACTGCCTTTCTAGATGGTTGAGTAAGGTGTTTTTGACTGTGGTGAAAGGTGATTTCAGCTGTTAAATCCACGGCAAAAATGAGTCATTTCGGGTCATGTAATGGTAAGGGTTCAGCTGGATCAACAAAAAACCAATGGCTTCGTATTTTCATAGCACAAACTTTCACACAATAGACTCAAAAGTTAAATCTTTATGAATTAACAGGCTTTTCCTTCTCCACTTCCCTGCACTTGGAGCTCAAAGTTCAACCCGTGTATGGACAACCACTGAACCATGTGGGACACCTCCACCTCCTCCACGACACCTGTCCGGCCTCAACAAGTTCGCAGAATAAAAAACACGACAGATTACAAGAATCTTAGACGGCACAGCAAACGCCATATGACTTTAAACATAATCCTGCTTAACCAGCAGCGCTTCATGGGATTGTCTGGTCTGTGTCTCTGCAGCACCACCTGACCCAGAACACGCATCTGATGCACAATTCACTGAAAGACTTGGACAATCCACAGCTCGTGCATGCTAACATAGGAGCAAAAAATTCTCGAAAAGCTTCAACCTTGAAAAAGACGATAAGAATATCGTATCCTATGCATTTATAACAAGTTTCAAACCAGTATAAAGCGCTGAGCTTACCAGTCGTCCAGAGTCTCCAAAGCTGTTTTTGCGCTTGAATGCAACTTCTTCCCTTGGTTATATCAATTAGTTGTCGCTGAGTGAAATTCTTGGAGGGTAGTTCGTCCGGTTACGGCGGAAATACAACGCCAAACTCTACTTTAGCTCCCGTAGCACACAGCACGTCCCTTCTGCAGCACCAGCAGCCTCTTTGTACTTGTCCGCCTCAGCAGCAAGTTGTTAACCCGCGAGCATGCGCAGTAGGTGCCCGTGCGAGCTCTCGGAGCTAACATGAAGGTCAGCCGGGGTGTACAGGTGTAGTTAGCTTACCTGCCGAAAGGTCGACCTACTTTTGTTCTGTCTGGGGAGCTGCGGAGGACAACAACATGAATGTTTGCTCTGTTGCCTGTAGGGCGAAGAGTTTGAGTGGATCTGCTTCACTAGGGTCTGAACGCTTAAAAGAGTGAGGTAGCAACATTATAGTTATAGAAAGAGTGTATTGTTTAACCGATATTAGTTATAGTAGCCTACAGGTCTTCAAAAACCTCACTGACTATAATATTTACCGTTAAATGTTATGAATTAGTAACTGTGGTTCGATTAATCATTATTTCATTATTTTGCGACTGTTTGAAAATTAACTGAGCTTGCTCATCGTCCGCGTGAGAATATAGTTCCTGTAATGTTCCACGTTACCGAAACAAGACAGCTGTTGATTGGCGCATTAATATGGATGTTTTCTTAATTGACATGCGGCAGAGAAGTCCAGTTGTAGGGACTCATTTTAACGCTCATTTGAGCCGATAAAATCTTTCAAATAGGAAATTAACACCGAGGTATTAATGTATACTTGCAGTTATTATATTGATAATTGGGTTGACCAGATGAATAATATCTCTTGGCTAGCAGAACAAACATCAAAATAGAGTTTAAGACAGTAGAGGTCTAAGTGGTCGTCTTGAGTTCAACTGACCAAGTCCGCCATCTTGTGGCAAAGTGTTAAAAACTCAACACCTCGGTAAAAAGTAAGTCAGATCAACTGTACTATGGCTACAGGACTCGAACCATTTAGAACTGTTTTAAACTAATACTGATGTGAATAGGCCTATCACTCGAGGTTTTTCATGGTAGGCCTGGATCTTCTAGTCCATAATACTGATTTTAAAAAATGGCAAGTCTCGTTTTTTTTTAACCTTAATTTATCAAACAGCCTCTCTTAAAAATAATTTTACATTCAGGTTAAACAATAGCCTGAAATAAATTCCAAAAGCTCCTGCTAGTTTTCATATCTCCTGAGAGGAGTTTTTGAGTAATGAGACTAAAATGTACATAGATGGCTCTTTATGACCCCAAAATGCAAACAGTACTACTGGTGAAGACAGATACTATGATACAGACTAACCTTTAATGCATGCAACTGCTGAGAGGGGTCAGATGTGAGGGAACCTACAGCATAGTGACAATAGATGTATCACAACTTGCACATGTATGGGACAAAATCAGCAAGGATTTATGAGGTAGGCCATCGCTTTGTATAAAAGTCCTCAGAAGAGTTTTAAGTTCTGAGTAACCTGAATATAGAAAACTACTTTAATTAAAACATTTAATTAACTACAAGTGTCATCTAAGCCAACTGGGAACCAGGAACCGCTGAATCCCATCTGCTAACATTTTAAAATATGGGAGTAGTAACACAGTGTTCATTTTACCCATTTATAAGCAGTGACCTCGGAAACAAAGCAATCCAAGGAAAAAATGTGACACTTTAACTTTTGTCATCTGAATTTAAACAAAACTGTAAAGCCGTAGGTGTGAGAACAGCTTTAAATTTGTACTGGACAAGATCACCACGTAAAGAAGACTTACTCCAAAATCAGCCCGAACCAAAAGTTCCTCAGTGGTGCTTTAAATAATGTAATGTTTGTGTTTGTAAACCATGCTGTACAGCAGCCATTTTTGTTGGACACTGCACAAGATTTTGGTTAAAACTCAGCCCACATGTGCTGGATGAGGTTTTGGTAAATGTCTACTGTGAGAGCCAGCCAAGGTCTTCACAGATGATATAAAGTTCAGGGAGAATATGAATACACACTATCTAGAGTCACACTGACGAAACTCTCTCTTTTGTTTTCATACCTGTTGTTAAGTACACGACCGGTTTTACGCAACCACACTTTGCAGCCAGGCACGCACAGCGTCTATTATTCTGTTCACATCCCTGTATTGGTACATGTATCATTTCATCACTACTCGGGTCAGTTAGTACAGAGCGGGTCGTGTTTCCAGTGGGGCCACACCTCTCCTGCTGCTCTGGATTGGCCCTTGTGTCTACACTCCCTCCACCGAGTTCCGCGTTGCAGAGCATTTAAGTCCTGCAGCGTTTCCTCCAAATTTCTACTCTTGGGCTGCAGGAAACCATTCTCCAACATGTCCGACCGCGGAGCCTTCGACACTAACGTGGTCACCGTGACCCGTTTCGTTATAGAGGAGGGCAGGAAGGCCAAAGGCACCGGGGAGCTGACAACGCTGCTGAACTCGCTGTGCACGGCGGTGAAAGCCATCTCATGCGCCGTGCGTAAAGCTGGAATCGCTCATCTGTGAGTAAATAGTGACGGATATACCATTGTCAACTATGGGTAGGATAGTGCACACCTGAAAACTTATTTCAGCTCTTCAAATTTGCAGTAACAGACGCTGCAGAGTTGTTTATCCACGTTGGCACAAACGGAGCAGAATACACAAGTTCCTTCTGCGCCAATCAGGAAGCGCATACCTGGAATCACCACGCCCACCTTTCTATAGCATCAACTTTTAATGCCTTTTTTTTTTTTTTTTTAAATCAAACTTATTTTGATGAAGAAAAAAAAAAAAACACTAATTTGCAACTCTTGGTTCCTTTATTTATGCAAAATGAGGGGAATTTTTGTCATTGTGGTGTATTTAACACTTGACATTTCATAAAGGCATCAATGACAAAACACACAGTTTTCAAATCATCAGGCTTTAAGATAGAAGTCAATATGGGGTACAGCAAGTATATAAAAAAGAACATGGAGGCGATGTTATGCTTTTTCTTGGATTAGGATTGAATTAAAACCTGGATGTGAATACTAAATGTGGGTCAAGCTTCAGTGTGTAAGGTTAGTGTGTTAGAACAACCTCTGAATGAAGTTCGACAAGACTTACTCTAGAGCCACATGAGATCTGCTCAATTTGTTCTCCAATTTGTGCTCCAAAACGTGACCAATTCTCATTTTAACTTCAGAGACAGTGCTTCATATTATGGCAACAGTGGGGGAAGTTTCCAGAGTGCTGGATGTTTTGGAGGGACCTTGACAAGACAGAAACTATAATAACACGGTTAATGCTTGTTCAAGGATTTCCAGGGACACCAGCTCTGAAAATTAAGACTGAGCTCTAAGTTAAGAGAAGCTACTGCAAAGTTACCACAGTGACAACAGAAAGACTGAAAATAACTGAGCATTACACCACCCTCCTCAAAAACAGAACATGCTCACAAAATTTACCTGTACATGAATCTGTACCTTTGCTAACTTTTTGGGCTAGTGAGACAGACTGCGATTCACTCTAGTGGTTGAGGAAATATTTTGCTTAATCTCCTTGTCTGCATGTGAAAATGCAGTGTCATGCATCAGTTGCAGTTTTTTTTCTATTTGAAACCAAAGAATGAAGTGATTTTTTTTTCCTTCAGTCAAATTTATCTTGGAGTAAATGTAGAGCCATTTACACTTAAAGGAAGATAGAAAACACATGAGAAACTTTTAGAGAGCCTGTTTGGACTATATTAACCACAAAAGTAGAAGTTTTCATCACACACGAGTGATCTGGTTTTGTGTTTCAACCCTCTTTATCTCTTTTTTTTGTCTCATCAGTTATGGCATTGCTGGCAGCACCAACGTGACAGGTGACCAGGTGAAGAAGCTCGACATTCTGTCCAATGATCTGGTCATCAACATGATCAAATCGTCTTTTACCTCCTGTGTGCTGGTGTCTGAAGAGAATGAAAAAGCCATCATTATTGAGCCAGATATGAGGGTGAGTGAGCAGAGGGAGTAACTTTGGTTTTCATGATCAAACCGAGTGCAGCCTTGTAAGTTTGGTAAAGTCCGTGTTCATTTAATCAGGATCTTATCTGTGGAATGACCCCGTTGGCATGCTGAAACAGGACCATCCAGTTTCCTCTTGATTTGAATGTCTGTTTCTTTGGATTTTTCCTTGTAAAACTGGTTCAGCCAAGAAAAGGATGAGTTTAAGTCCCTGTCAAAGTAATTGGTTGAAATTACTTTTACAGTGGTTCTCTGGACTACTGCTTCTTGAATTTAAAGTATAAAAAAGCAGCTGAGTTTTTTTTAATAAGCTCTCATTTGTTTGTTTGTTGTACATACCCATTAGGATCCATGTACACCAGGGGTATCAATACACTTTTCTAAAAAACTTCCACTGATGCAAAGTTGTACGTAAAAAAAAAAAAATACAGGCAAGATGAGGAAGGTGAAGAACCTAGTTATAAACATGAAGAAAATCAGCTTTACTCTTATTTCACAATGAAGGAAGTGTATTTAACAACCCATTGCAGGGAGTATTGTTGATTATCATAACCTGTTTGTCTATGAGAAAAGTCCACAGGGCTTGTTTAACATCAGAAATTGCATCATCGGTTATTTCCGTCTCTCTTCCTTCTTCCTTCAGGGTAAATACATTGTGTGCTTCGATCCCTTGGACGGCTCCTCCAACATTGACTGTCTGGTCTCCATCGGTACCATCTTTGCCATCTACAAAAAGGTACTACTTAGGCTTAATTTCTATTTTATCAGCCTTATCTGTAGCATTCATGCTGTAAAATCACTATTTAAATCTTTGTCATTTTTGCGTTAAACTTTTTGTACCTAAAATGTCTCACAGACTTGGGGAGTATGTAAGTATAGAGAATTTAAATAGTCCATGTCAGAAAAATATACGAAACAAGATCTGATCCAGTCTACCCCTATGAAAGACTTCCTTCTTTTTCATTCAGATTGTAGAATGAAAAATGCAAATGTGCAAAATAAAATAAAAAAGAAAAACTGTTATTTCTATAGCCAGGGGTTAGAACAAGCCAATTTAAGCTCAGACTAAGTGATCCAGTTTCCTTCTTGTCTTTTTTGTTGGTAATAAAGTAGCTACAACACAGCAGAGGTCAAGTCAAAGTTCATTTCAGTACTCCATTTAAAAGCCACCACAGTCCAACTTGCTGCACAAGCCTAAAAACATACAGTCAAAAAGCAGAGCCATTGCAAAGAGTAGTCATTTAAAACTTTTAAGCTTCTGGACTTTGCTGATAACTTTATATTGTTTCTTCTCAGACCACAGATGATGAGCCCACTGAGAAGGATGCCCTGCAGCCTGGTAGGAACCTTGTTGCAGCAGGTTACGCCCTATACGGCAGCGCCACCATGATGGTACTCTCCACCGGCAATGGAGTCAACTGCTTCATGCTCGACCCAGTCAGTAATATTTCTTTCTCCTTTTTGAGACTCCTGCTTGTCAATTTCAGCTTCTTGCAAATTAATGATGTGAAGAACATGTAGCCCTGAGGGAAGTTGTAACTTTCTCTGCTCTTCACTCTTCAGGCAATCGGGGAATTCATCCTGGTCGATCGGGATGTGAAGATCAAAAAGCGGGGGAAGATTTACAGCTTGAATGAAGGATATGCAAAACACTTCGAACCTGCTGTTACAGAATACCTGAAGAAGAAGAAGTTCCCTGAGGTAACACCCACGTCAGGACATGCAGTTATACGTAATATCTCATATGTAAAGAGTCAGGGAAATGGTTAGTGTCAAACTAATACTCATGTTCATACAGTGGAGCAGTTTTGACATGTTTTCTTAGATCAAGGACAGTGAACATAAATTTAACCACATTAAAAAAACTATGATATTCAGTTTTAAACGAAATGTTTTGGAGACTACTTTCCCAAAACAAATCTCTTACTTGTAGAGTTAATCTTATCTCACCTTAGGATGGCACTGAGCCTTACAACGCTCGTTACATTGGCTCCATGGTGGCTGACGTCCACAGAACGCTGATGTATGGAGGCATCTTTTTATACCCTGGAAATGCGAAGAGCCCCAAAGGAAAGGTGAGAGTCCAATACTGCTTCCTCCTGCCCCCACACAAACTTGCCTCATCTACATTAAGTAAAAACCATGGTTTTGTACCTCCTGTGTCAAAGGTTCAGGTTACTTTATCTGTACCTGTTGGTAGATTTGTTTTGAGGCAACCTGATGACGCCCAGTTTGACATTCGATTACAAATCAAACTTGACATAAAACCACCCAAAATAACACACTAACGCATGATAAAAAAGGAAATTTACTATCTATTACTATCCTGATGAGTTCTTCCTCCAGTGGTTTATGCACATGACACAGCTAAGAGGTTTAGGGTGATGCTGTTTTCTTTGTCTAGTAATATCAAGATACCCCTCAAAAACAATAGCAATAATAACAATAACAGTTTGTGTCACGAGTCTCCACTGAAGAACTGCATTTTGATAATTAATTAAGAAAAATCAGCCTGCTTAAATCTGTTAATGGAGTAAATGGCTGTTGTTAAAATTTGCAGTTTCCAACGGCCCTGCATGACTTCTAACGTCCTAGATATTCCGTCAGCTGTCTGAGAGATGAGACAAACAGATATTACTCATGATTATAAAACTACATAAAGAAAGCTTAGACTGTTCTTTCTTAAAAAAAAAGTGACTCAGACTAATCTAAACATCAACTCAAAAAAAATTAATCCCTGATCGTATTGCAAGTCTTTTAGGTTTTTTGGGTTTTTCTTTGAATATTGAAACTTATGGCCAGTTTCAGAGGCAGGTTTTACTAATAAATGATTCAGAACTGCCAGTTATAACACAAAACCATCCTAGAAATCGTGTCACAATGTTGTTTCATCACCCTCCACATTCACGGGCTGTTACAAGACTAAGCCAACGTGTTGTCACATTTCAAAAGGTAGAAATCAGCTGACGTTGTGTTCATGTACTTTCACAATGCAGAGAACTGAAACTTTTCATGTTAATTCTATTCTGTTTCTTTTACACTGGATGGACTTGGAGGATCTCTTGATGTCTAAAGTGAACTAGAGGAATAGTACAGCAAGAATAAAACCCATTTCAACATTCATATCCTCACCTGACACCTATTTCAATAAGAAAATCATCAAGTTGAAACTGTTGATATATTAAGTCCTGTAGGGTTTGTTGACCTAAGGCAGCAGCTTGAGCTATAAGCGTATTTACACTCCACAACTGAACTCTGCCTCTTCTTTAAAGCTGCGCCTGCTGTATGAAGGCAACCCCATGGCCTACATCATAGAGCAGGCGGGCGGCATGGCCTCCACAGGCCTCGAGAACATCCTGGACATCCAGCCTGACAGCATCCATCAGCGGGCGCCTGTTGCTCTGGGCTCCCCCGAGGATGTGATGGAGTATGTCGCCATCTACCAGAAACACGCCAAGAAGTGAGACCACACCGACTCTCTCTCAACCATCCTCACAGCCAAGGAAGGAAAAACCTTGTACCTCCAAACTCTGCACTCTCACTGAAGATAAAGAAGTTGATGCAAATGTAGTTTTTGATCATGTCTTGAGGATTTTGAAGTGGGGCTGGACCAAAATCAGATTTGGAGTTATAAGGTTTTAAAGCCTGTCCAGCTGTGTTCATGTTCTCGTTGTAGAAAGCTGAAGGAAAAAAAGGGGAGGAGTTTCAGTGAAAACATGAGAACTGTGCCTGATAAGCTCATTCACACACAGAAACACACACAAACATTCCAAACATTAGAAAGACCAAATATGTGCCAAATACACACACAAACAAGTGCACTTAAATAAACAAAACCTGAAGACTGCCACTGCTCTGTTTACCTCCAGCTGTGCCTTATTTAGAATAAACATACATTCAATATGTGCGAAGGACCAAATACGAAACGTCTATGCAACCAAACCTGATGCCTCTCACACTGTGAACAACTACTGTTTGAAATAATGAAGTCTCTCAATAAAAGGAAATGAGTTTAAGATGATATGAAGTGTTTTCATCCTTTCAAATACAACAAACTGACCACCTGATCAAAACTAAAGTGTGTCTGATAAGAGATGAGTCTGAGACATTTTTATAATAGTATAAACAGACACAGATGTAATATCAGGAAAGGTTCAAAAAGGAGAAGACTTAGCAAGTCTGTTTAATATCTAAAGATGTGTTACCTGTAGAGGCATAAAATTTGGTATGGACCCAAACAAAACTGTGTTCAATGCATCAAACAGATGTCAGGACACAAAGAGAGGTCATATATATAATACTAGCCTTACAAAATAGTTAAATTAGTGGTAAATTATGTTGGATTTTGGGTCCCTCTTGATCAATGTAGACATTTCTTTATGTTGATGTAAATTGCTTTAGTTAATCGACAAATACAGTCACTGTTTCACTTTTTTGTCTCCATCTTTATTGAAGACTTACGTTTTACTGCATACACCAATCTTGTATGTGTTAATGGTTGTTGTATTTTAAACTCAATACTTTGAGAATTTTGTTGACCAAGTACAGGAGTTGCAAATTAGCCATGGCTAGAAATCTGCATGCATAGCCTCCACCTTCTATTAAGAAATGTTTTATACATTTGTCCTTGTCAAATAACCTAATAAACAAAATCAGCAAAGGTGTGAATATTGGTAACAGCTTAGTCAACAGGCATATGAGCAAACAGATATTTTTATACATCTGGTTAGATAGATAAGAGTCTGATCATGACACAGACAAGCCAAGGCTGCAGTAAGTTTCCAGTTTGAGAAGCCAAAATGTGAAAGTGGACCCACCTAAACAACCATACTTTTTAAAGTAATATATGTGTATCTATTTAGAGAGGATGGGACCGTGGACAGAGCAGAAAATGGAGGGAGAAAGAGAGAGGGAGGGAGAGAGAGAAGGAGAGAGAGAGTGGAAAATGAAATGCCAAAAAGAAGTCTAAGGCCAGAACCAAACCCAGGCTGACTGCTTGAGCCATAACCTCTGTATACTATACAGTATGTGTCCTGTTGACCGTAAGACCAGCAGCGCCCCAGCCTTACAACATTTTTGAGGGAAAGAGGTTCCTTTATTTCAAGGCTGTAATATCCTCAGATACTGTATAACCCATAGTGAGATATTATTTGTTAAGGGCCAAAACATAATGTTATTTAAAATGTCAAATGGATTAAAGATTTACCATGCTTGGTACTTTAGTCCAGACCTGTAGGTCAGTCTCATGGTAAAAGTGGAAATACATGAATGAAATATAACACTGAGACCACAAAGCAAGGTTAAAGCCATCAGAGTTCTCAATGTCAAAGCAATTTTAAAGACAAAGAGACATTTTTTCTAATATTTCTGAGAGCAAGTTGAGTATCACTTAGTCCCATTGTAGTTTCATTTTCAAAATATGAGTTAAAATATGAGTTACATAACCTATGCATGGATCTATTAAGCACACATAACTGTACGCTTTGAACAGACACTTAAAGATATATTTGTAACATTTAAAAAAATCAAAAGTTGGAAGATACAGTGCTTACAAAAATAAGGGGATACTTAATCCAGAGGACTCAACCTTTGAGATAAAGGTCAGGAGAAGCTCATACAGCCCTGATGACATTTAAAGCTCAGCGGAGCTGGACTAAACCAACTGTGTCTGCTCCTCCTCTCATTATATTAGATTCACATCTTTTACTTCTCATGGTCACCTTCAACAAAAAAAAATATTTACTTAAACCATTTTTAAAGCTGTGTTGTGTAGTTGAAATAAAGGCCTTTAAAATTTTACAGGAGGATCAAATGTTCATGCAGGGTCAGTGCTCCAAATGTAGTCCTGTGACACACTGTGCAAGACGTCCATCTATGCTTCTTTGATCACCACGTGAACTTGTATACTGCGTTGGTAGGAGGTTGTTGCTCTGTTGTTGGAACATCTGACTGTCTTCATGTTCGTGTGCAAACAAATGTGGTTAAAATCGTGCGAGTTTACCTCAGAGCTCTCATGTTACCCAAGTTTTGAGTTACAGCTGTCACACATGTTGCAAACCTTTCTGTTAGACCAATAACAGTACTTGTCTTGTGCAGGACTAAACTGTGCCAGTCTCTCCCCACAGCAGACACCTGACACTCCCTCACCCATCTCCAAATACTCACACACGTACACACGCATACACACTCACACTTCCACTCCGCTGCACACACAAATAGATCCTCTGGCTTGCCGTCATGGCTCTGGGTATGAAAAGGACTTGGCTGGTAATGAGGCTGCTCACTTGCTGTCAGACCTCCTCCTCTCCGGGACTGAAGAAGGACCAGAGCCCAGCATGTCGGATCAGTCGGCGTTTGACACGGACGTATGGACCCTGACCCGGTTCGTCATCGAGACTGGTCGCCAGGCCAAGGGGGCGACGGGTGAGCTGACCCAGCTCATCAACGCCATGCTGACGGCCATCAAAGCCATCTCCTCTGCTGTGAGGAAGGCAGGCCTGGCTCACCTGTAAGTACCATGGCACCTCTAAATGACATGCACGCATGATTACATAACTGACTAAATGTGAGATACCTTCAGTTAAAAACAGGCTTATGTGTATTTATATGTGTGTGTGTGATGGCATTTTATTGAACTTAACAAGACCTTTGCTGTTTGCATACCTCAGAGGAAAGGTCAGAGGTCAACATCAGCCGTCATAGAATTCCTGCTTAAGGTAGTTGACATTTTGCTTTAGTCCTGCAGTAGATAACACAGCCAAGAGTGGACTACGATTGAAGCTGGTGTGTGAATTGAGACTTTTCAAGTGTCAGGGGTGACAGAGCGGGTGGTGCTGATATGACTGATTGTTCTGTGCGGCCAAAAAGTCATGCAGCTGTGTTTGATTCAAGTGCATTTCAACACTCTGGGGTTGATAAAAGAGAGTGCTTTGTCTTTTCTTGTAGGAGATAAAATAACATAGATAAACGACTCTTTGTCAGGAGAGTTGACAAAGCAAATTAAAGTTCTGCAGTCCCTGTCAATGTTTCAAAGTTATATGCCGTTTCTGTGCTTCTTCCTTGTGTACGTTCCATTGTACTTCTATAGATATTGAAGGTTGTGCTAATTTTAACTGCAAGATATACTGACCGGTGGTGTTATCTACAGAAGGTTTACATCCATGTTATTATTGTGAGCATACTGTACATACTGTAAATGCTAAAAGAGGCCTGAAAGGAAAGAGTTGAAATTCTTCCACAATATGGATGAGAGCAACTGAGACTGAGCTAGCTTCTACAGAGCAACTCATTATTGAGTGAAAGGGTTATGTAACCACATAAATCAGCATTGTTTGAAGCTAAATGACGATAATTAGTGCTAACAAGGCAGCTAACTGCAGCTTTTACTTGTGACTGCTGAGCCAAAGCTGAGTATGGCTCAATGTGGGGAATAACTGAAGGGATAATTCTTTGCTTCCTCTTGTAACATCGACATATTGTCTCCTTTAGTCTTTATTTTTGTGAGGCTGAACTGGCTGATGTTTGGTCCTCACACAGGCATGGTTTGGCCGGTGCAGTAAACGTGACTGGGGATGATGTGAAGAAACTGGACGTGCTGTCCAACGACCTGGTTATCAACATGCTGCAGGCTTCCTACAGCACATGCTGCATGGTGTCTGAGGAGAACAAGGAGCTCATCATCACGCCCAAAGACAAGAGGGTGAGTGATGATGTAAAGCTGTCAGGAAAGGAGAAAAGACCGCACAGTGATGGATTTTGTTTATTTTCTGCAGGGATATGGTGAAGCAATAGTCCAATGTAAAGTTGATAAGACGATGTTAAGAGGCATACATAAATTAATCAGTTACTTTCAACGGTTATGTGGCCTCTACCATATGGCATCTGTTCTCAATTTTTCTTAAAGTCCCACTCTTATCTTTTTTTTCTTTTTACTTCTTAAAGTGTTATCAGTGGTCTTTAAAACGTGAGTATGAAGTTTTAAGCCAAAATCACGTTACCTGTGTCATTTTCAAGGGCTGTTCTTCAGCAGAGCTCCAGTAGCTCATTAACAATTCACCTCTAAATTGTGGCCAGAGACAGCGCTGCTCTGCACACTCCTCTTTACGCTAACTTGCAGCCTAACATTGCTGGTGTAGTAGAAGTAGCAGGTAACATAGGAGCTTTTCAACTCTCGGACACTGTCTTTGGGGACATGATGAAATTTAATATCATAATTAGCTGTCTTAGAAGCATTGCAATCCACTACCTTGGGGGCGGAGCTTGGATTTGTGACTAGTAAATCTCACTGTGTCTGAGCCTGCCGTTTGGGTCTGCCAGAGACTCACAGCGATTTGAATGCAGAAATACTCAAAATGTAATTTCACACTTAGTTGTCTTATGATGCGTCCTGTAGCATCAGAAAAATGACATATGAACATGTAGAAAACAAGAAAAGTCTGATTTTCATTGGAGTGGGTCTTTAAGATATTCAAAAATATTGTAGATGATAAAAAGTTGTTTTATTTGGACAATCATTGGTGCACTGCATCACATAATATCCTCTTGAGGAGTGCTTTGTAAAGGGCACCACATTAGTTTTTCTTCATTGAAAGCAGAGGGACCTGCATCCCCTGTGTCCCTGGAGGGCTGCCCTGTTGTGACCACACTGTGGCATCCTCTTTTATCTGCTTAATGAATATTGCAGTGTGACTGGATCTCCTGGCTGCTTCGAATAATACTATCTATAAATTATTCAGAACTGGATCACATAGAAGTTTACTATGCTTGTATAAGATTAACAGACAAAACTAACATTTGTGTCATTTACAAAATTATCTATTAGAGGTCTTCTTGTCACTTGTCGATTCCAGTGTAGAGCCCAGTGGGGACATAAGTTATTATTTCAGAAAGGTAAAATAAAGCACTATAAAATCTGCAGTTTTTTATACAATCCCGATTTTAATAAAAAGTTGGATGCTTTGTAGAATTTAGATAAAAATTTGAATGTTATTTTGGCAGATCATTTAAACTCTCTTTTTTGTGCAGGTGTCTCTCCAGATTCTCTGACTCTTTCAGTGACATTCTGTACCATAATTGATTAAATCCTCCAATTCTTATTTACTTTGTACTGAGGAAAATTATTCTGCAGTTAAATGATTTTCTCATGTCACACATTAAAAATCAGGATACAGAAACCTACAATCTTGTCACTGATGGACTTGTTTGCCTGTGGATATCATAAAAAAGTACCAGTCAGAGTTTCAGAAGTTTGGGACAAGAGTTTATCATGTTGATTTGAATTTTCTTAAGGTAACTAAGTCATTTAAGTATATTTTCAATGGAGGGTGGGGAGCGGATTTCCACTTCTGTAGGTTAACTCCCTTTGTATCAACAAAGTGTTTCTCTCATCTGTTTTTTTCTTTTTTGTCTTTTGATTTGTGTTGACTCACAGGGAAAGTATGTGGTGTGCTTTGACCCTCTGGACGGCTCCAGTAACATCGACTGCTTGGCCTCAATCGGCACCATATTTGCAATTTACAAACGGGTGAGTCTGATACAGAAAGATGCACAGATATTACAGACACAAAACTGATTCCTGTGGGTCGAAGTCAAGGGGTTGATTAAAATAACACTGTTTTTGAAATGTCATAGCTGCATGTTCAAGTTCAGAATCGATTGTGTGGAAGTGGTGGGCTGATCTGCAGGAAACGCCCTTTACATGACACATGTGTTATCCTTACAGTTGTCCAACACTTGAAGAGAAGGAATACCATAAAATAACAAAGACATAAGAAAAAAAATCAGTAATATAACTAATATAATTCTTCATGCATTGCACTGTATGAAATGTAATAATTTGAGTGTTGGAATAAACCTTTATGGAAGTAGGAAGTTTCAAAGTGCACTGATGCTCTGCAGACACAAGAGGCTGCTCTTGTCCAGGTTTCTGAAAGCAGAGGGTGTTATTTATCCTCACAAGGTTGCAGACTGGTTTATTGGGTTGACAGGGAGTGAAACTGATCAAGTAATTCAGCTTTGTCAGACCCGACAAACATGTAAATCATCCTGTCAGCTCCTTGAAAAACTCTTCACTGTGTTACTGTCATCTCTAGCAGGATGAAAGACGATGCTCAAACACATTCTGGTACAGCTAAATAAAACAGATTCTTGTAAGGGTGTGTGCGTGTGATTAATGTGGCTTTGCAATGGAGACTTTTGTCAAGTTGTGTCTGAGCATGCTTTTTGGGTCTGCCAGAGATTCACAGCGGTTTAAATGCAGAAATACTCAGATATGCAATTTCACACTTAGTTTTCTCATGATGTGTACTGTAGCAACAGAAAAATGAAATATGAACATGTAGACAACAAGAAAAACATGATTTTCATTGGAGTGGGTCTTTAAGATATTCAAAAATATTGTAGATGATAAAAAGTTGTTTTATTTGGACAATCACAATTATCACATAATGTCCTCTTGAGGAGTTCTTTGTAAAGGCCACCACATTAGTTTTTCTTCACTAAAAGCCGAGGGCTGCAGAGGGAGTTATTTACCCTTAAAAGGTTGCAGCCTGGTCTATTGGATTCACAGGCGGTGAAACCATTCAAGTAATTCAGCTTTGTCAAACATGTAAATCATCCTGTCAGCTACTTATAAAAACTCCTCACTGTGTTCCCGACATCATCTGTACCAGGATGAAAGAAGATGCTCAAACACATTGTGGTACAGCTGAATAAAACAGATTCTTGTGAGGTTGTGTATGATTGATGTGGCTTTGTAATGGAGGATTTTGTCAAGTTATAAGCATAGCTAAACTTCGTCATTATAAGTAACTATTTACAGATATGTGTTGCACCATAAATTAAGCTATGCTTTTTATTAAACATGTTGATGGTCTTTTAATCCAAAATAACAAAAACCTAATCTGAACCTTCTGCATTCAGTTACTGCACATTATAGTCCTTTTTAGCTCGCGCTCCATACAGACCTTTGCAAACTCTCTCAGTTTAAAGGGATTGGGGGAATGACACCTCCTTATTGTCGTTCATCCTTGGTTATATGACTCTCTCCCTCCGCTGGTTCAGGTTTCAGAAGGAGAGCCCACGGACAAAGATGCCCTGCAGCAGGGAAACAACATCGTATGTGCAGGTTACGCCCTGTATGGCAGTGCCACCCTGGTCGCCCTCAGCACAGGCGCTGGCCTCAACTTCTTCATGTTAGACCCTGTGAGTACTCTCCACTCACTGCCCGTCTGTATCTACACGCTGATGTCTGCAGGTTTAAGTGGGGAAGGAAAAGGAAGATCAAGTCCCTACTGCTGATCTTTCAATATCATCTTTACTTAACTTTACAGTCTCTCCTTCAGGGTTATATGCTTTTATTGCCCCATAGCAGCTTTTATTTAAGAAAACAAATATGAACCTGTCAATCATTCCTCATGCTGCATGTCTCCACAGTGCAATAAGGGATGTTGTGGGGGCTGTAAACTCACATAAACCCTCTTGTATTTGGCAGAGAGTTTGCCTAATCTTAACTTTACTTTTATAGATCTTGTAGAAATCCAGCAGGAGTACAAATCACATTGTTTAAAGATCCTGTAAGGCAAAACAGAGCAACAAATCAATGCAGGTTAAAGGATTTCAGCTCCAGATGCATCACTTACATGCTTGTTTTCTGTTAGCCAGAGACCAAAGCTCATCCTATTTTCATTTTTGCCACATTTTTCTAGTCTGTTCAACGCTTGTGTAAAATGTTTCACTCTCCCTCAGGGACTTTTTAACTCATGGGGTTCCTCCAAACTCACACAAAAAGAGAAAACTATGAAGAAAACAACAGGCCTCTTGGAGTACGTCTTTAGGAAAAGCTGCTTAGAATGAACAGCTTCACTTCATGTTACCATAAGTAATCTGCTTGTTGTTGTTGTGCGTCCAGAAACCTGAGAATACCAGAAGTCGTCATGTAAAACTTTCAAAAACAAGAGGAGAAATGTTGCAGCTGCACTCCTACACCTTTCAGTTGAAATTCACTACTTTTTAATAGATGATACTGTTGTGTTTTTAAGCATTTGTTTCACTCAAAGTCTCTCAAACATAAATCCAAATGTAGGTGACTGGATGAGAGTCATAAACTGTTTAAATTAACCCATTTTAAAGCTTTATTGAGGATAACCCCCATGTTAACATTTTTGTTTGTTTCACAGGCCATCGGCGAGTTCCTCCTCACTGAGAGGAATGTGAAGATTAAGCCAAAGGGGAAGATCTACAGTCTAAATGAGGGATATGCCAAGTACTTCCACCCCTCCATCAACGAGTACCTCAAACACAAGAAGTACCCCGAGGTGAGTGACCTTAAAAAAATCAAAGACAGTGCAGAGAACCCATGATAAACACATCAAAATGATAAAGGTAGATTTGAACCTTTTTTATGAGAGAGTGCAGAAAGACATGCATAAAAGGATCATGGGTAGAAACCTGGGCCACACACTATGAGGCCTTGAGTCTTTGTATATGAGGTGTTTTGGCATTGATTGTTTTTACTTTGTGTCTGTGGTTTGGGTTCTGGTTCCTTCCAGCAAAGCTGTGCAAAAGGACTGAGTCATGCATCCTTTCATTTCACGGACATACAGCTATATTTACTCTCAGTCCTGAGGGCGGACGTCAAACACCAGCAGCCTCTCACACCCATCATGTGAATCCTGACCAAGCATTTGCTGTGCAAGGCTGATCTATACAAGGGTTCTTCGTTGGCATGACAGAAATCCTTTTTTAAAGATCACAGTTCTCCTTTTTCTCGTGGTTTATTGAGATTTCCTTCATTACATCATTTTAAAAACATGCAGTTCAGCAGTTTGAGATCAAAGATATGAACTTGTCGCACACTCACAGATGCATAAATATCAGATAATGATATTTATCTTAGATGAGCCCTTCAGAGAGTTTACAGCCAGCCTGATCTTCCATGAATCTGGTTTCAGATACACCTGAGAGTTAAAAAGTTAAAGGTTTAAAGTTCTCGTATCTGAACTGTCAGTGATGGAGCATTCATACTCTTCCACCACAACAGATTTCTTCTACAGACTTTAGGCGGGCCAAAATTTGGTCTGTTTCTGTGATTTTCAGTCGAGAAATCCACTTCTTCTCTTTCTATAAAAAATGTTGTCTCTCACAGGTTTTCCTTTTCAGACCTTTTCCTTCCTTCTTAACTCCTCATCTTGTGTTTTTTAAAAATCATTCTAATCTTAAAGTATTTGCTTTTTCATGCAACACTCAAAACACAAGACAGTTTGCCGAAGCAAAGACCGTGAATGACAGCAAGACCCACTGCTGCAAGTGTCTGAGTAATATATTTACACTTAAACTCCTGAAACAAATAAATACAACATAAAACATTTGGTTAATGTGAGAGCATGCATAGGTGAACTGAAGTCTGAGTTCAAAGTGAAGAAACTTTAGACAAACAGGTACCACAAGCAGAGCATCATGTGATGAACTGTCAGTCAGTCAGGCATGTTGTTCGGTGAGACAGGTCAGAGGGCGGCGGCTCGGTCAGCTGAGCTGCTGGATGGTGACACTCGTACTGCAGGAAACATCGTGTTCCTCAGGAAACTGCAGCCGGTCATCTGGAAACCCTGAGCTCCACAAACACACATGCACACTCAGCGATTCTGCAGCACACTCACAAACGTGACCACAGTCAGCTCAGTCGTCAGCATCCGTCTCATCAGTGAAGCGGTTAGTTATTCACATTTTTATGAAATAACATCCTGATGGCTGATGCTGCATCTCTGAGGGCTCTTCTTGACCTGTTGCAGAATAAAGGACTGAAAAAAATATCCTTCACATGAGATTTATTCATTTTTACAGCAAACGCAGCTGTAATCTTAACCCTGATACGTTAGCTGAATTCTCAAATATCAGAGCTTGAAAGGGTCTGGTTGAATAATGTCTCAAATTAAATCATCATTTTTTTGTCTGGTTTTTGAGTTTGTTTCAAATACTTACTGAACTAGGACCAAAATACAGTTCACATTTAATGTTTGCAGCTGAATTTGGCAACATTTTTTAAAAGTTTATTGACCGTTGAGTTTGTAAAGGCCACATCACAGACTTTTTATGTCTTGATCTAATATTTTGTTTCATTTTACCCATGTTTTCTTTAATTTTATCTTCTGTTTTCTTCCATATTTAACGTACACACATAACCTCGTCCCTCTTTTCTTACAGCCTTATTCAAAAAATTCAGAACTTGCTTTTGTTGCACCTTTTATGCACAAACACAGACTATAGTTTCTGAATTCAGTGTAAATAATTAGGTAAGAAGATGCAAGTTTTCCATCTGCTGCATGACTGCCACCTGACAGGCTGACATCTGACAGAAGAAAAATACAAATGCTCTCACTCAGATCACAAGAAATTTTATTCAGAAAGTATTACTTTTACAAAAACAGCCACATCTTTCAGCCATGGTTAAACAGACAGCAACATGATCTTCATCAAACCAAAACCTACACTGACCTTAATGCACAATGAGCTGTGAACTGAGTGTGCTGGGGGAGTCTACAAGGTGCAACACTGAAAAACAATGCCACAAAAATCTTCAATAACTTTAACCTGGATGGATGAAGTTGTCATGATAACTCTAAACTAGATCAAAAAGGCCTATTTGGATTCTCGGCTTATAGCACTCAGAGTTCACTTCATGTGAAAGTTGTTCCACTTTTGGTTGACTAGATTTACAGACTGTTAAATTTACTTCTACTCAAGTAAAATTTCATCAGACCTGAAGATTCTTAAACTTTTTCCACTCCTGATGAAGTTACAGTCTTGAAAATGTTTGACTCAAACATAGAAAATGTCTGTGAGCCTCCTGTGATTTTACACTCATCATCATGTTACTCCTCACCCTCACCTTACCATTATGACCCAGCAGAACGCTGCAGTAACCACACTGTTGCTCACTGTCACCATGTGATGTGTTGTGAAAGGGCAAAGAACTTGTCCGGCAGGGTTGAACTCGAATATGTTGTTTAAAGGCCGGCGGTGAGGGTTAACTCAGGTGTGAAGGTGAAATCCTTTGTCCTTTCTTTCCTGAGTGGAGGCTGCTCTGCTTTTTTGTGAAGACGGTGCACTCTGAGACAGAAAACTCCTCAGCTGTTAATCTATCAGCTGCTTTTGGCTGCTCGTTCTCACACCATGCAAATACAGAATCATTTATAAGCAATCAAGAAGTCTGAAAATGAAACTTTATTTTTTATTCTTCTTATTACACAAGAACTGCTTTTTCCCTGAAGTAAAGAAAGACTTAAAACAACACTTCACTGATTTGCAGAAAGTCCATGAGAGAAAAACACAAAACTTGCAAACAAATATTTAAGAAAGGTCAACGCCGCCTGATCATTGCGGTCAGATCATTTACTGACTTCTATCTCCTTGTGATAAAAAAGTATTAATATATTGCGAAACTATATTTCCTGTCACATCTGCCCCTCAAACTTTCCCACACTCGCTTTTTTTATTTTAGGAAGTTTCATTTTGTCTGAAATGAGACCGGCTGAATGTACTCTGCAAGAGCGTGTGTTTGTGAGTGTTGCGTAGTGTGGGTGGGTCTGGTTTGGGAAATACTCTTGTAAAAACACACACACACACACACACACACACACACACACACACACACACACACACACACACACACACACACACACACACACACACACACACACAGAGTGCTCCCTCATGACGGCAAAGCTGTGACTCAGCAAGCACATGACTCTGCGTCACGTTGTGCCCGTCTGAACTTGAAGCTCACTTCTTGGCAACTTTTCTCACATTCACCTTTGGGACAGTTCTGTTGATGGAAGAAGTTAAAAAATAAAACAGGACACAAATGAGGAGTAGATTTTAAAAATAAAACTGTCTCTTTTCCGTGCGGTTAAGTTTGGCGTTCAAACCCTGTCATCTCAGTTGTCTGCAGACGGGCTGTTATCATAGATGTGTTGGACTGTGTCACTCTGACTTCCACAGGGTTGTTGTGTGTTGTGTTGCTGCTGCAGATGGACTTTGACCTGTCAGTGTGTTTGTTGTTGTTGTTGTAGAGATTTCCCTCAGCTGCAGGTCAAAAACTGCCTTCGATCCTTGAATGAAGTAGATCTGCTGGAGCTTCAACTTTTAAATGACTGCCTGACCAGCAAGTTAACGTGTCAGCATTTTTAAAAAAATCCAATTATATTTAGAAAAGATCTCAGGAATATAGACTTGCTTTATTAATTTATGTCTCTAGTCTAGATTTGCTTGAAACATACAAACAATTATATGAAAAATAACTTTTCTCTTTGTTGTGTTACTTTTTTAAAAACAGCAGAAGCTGAACGAAGTGCTTTAAAACTAATAAAGGACTCAAAATCAAAACAAGGACACAGACAAATGAGATAAGACAGGCAACATAGAAGTCACAGTTTATAGAAATGGAGAAACAGGTCATCTGAATAAGACAAGAGGCCTGAAACAGAAGCATGTGAAAGACAGTTTTGACGGAGGAAGACATGATTTAGTTTGGGAGGTCATTCAAAAGCTGAGAGGCCTGAACAGCAAAAGCACGGCCACCTCCAAATTTATACTTAGATTAGGGGACTTTTAGTTCCTCTTTTAGTATCACATATAGAAACTTATGTAGAGTTTTAAATAGATAAAAGAGAAACTCTCTTGTTGGGTGCAACTTTTGAAAAAGAAAAACTGACTTACAAAAATCCTGTTTCTTTTATGGTAAAGGATTCAACAGAGCAAGAGGGTATTCAAAGTAAAATCAATTGCTTTGGTGGAGAATAATGACACCATCGTGGTTTGAATGGGACATTTTCCCTTTGAATGTGCAGCAGTTATCTAAATTATATATAGAAAATCTAAAAGTGCACTTTGATGCATTAATTTGATTCCCAAATTGAGACTCTGGAAAGATTTTCTTTGCAACGTCACTATGCATTTAATCGAGGTAGAGACTGTAAGAAATCTCGTCTGATTCTTTGTGGACTTCATCATGTATCATCATCAAACCTGACAGTTTGTGCTTCTGCGTGACCAGACTTAGTCACACCTGAACAAAAACAGCTGTGGTGTTTATTAATACTGACATAAGAAAGGATCCATAAGCAGCAGCCATCTTGGTTGTTTATGAAAATGCCTCAAAGGCTTTTAAACACACCTCATGTTGGAGAACCAGGTGTGATTCTTTACCTGAATCAGGCTGGATGGAAGTTTGTTAAGGCAGTATGGGGGTGAGACGTACCTGGCAGAATAAATAAAACATGACTGTGCAGGTTTTGTGGTTCTTGGACTTTTGTGTACTTTCTATGTAATTTCCATTACATCCATATTTAGAAGTGAATGAGTGCATCATGTGAGACCAGCTGACCCTGTTAACCTGCAGCTGTTTGTATCTCCAGCTCATCAACCGTGAAAATGATCACTCATAAACACTCTGAAGTTTTGATTTCATTTACATGAATAGTTTCTGTAGTTATTAAATTTTGTTGTAATAAATCTTGTGTGGTTAAAGTTATTCAATAAAAACATCCCTTTCTTCATGAAGCTGGAATTTAATTGTTCTCTCGTCTCCTGCAGGATGGCAGCTCCCCTTACGGAGCTCGGTATGTGGGCTCCATGGTGTCAGATATTCACCGCACCCTCGCCTACGGAGGGATCTTCATGTACCCCGCCAACGAGAAGAGCCCTAAAGGAAAGGTAGACAACCATCTCCATAAAGCTTAACTTCTTCAGTGATCAGTGATATTATTTCTTTCCGGCTTTCATTCAGTTTTGCCAGCTAAAGCCAGCTCAAAGTCCACTTTGAAGCAGAGTGGGCCGCAGCTCATTTCACAGGGTTGTTTAGAGCTTTGATCAAATCTTCACATGAGAACCAGAACCAAACTACGAGTCCAGTCTGCTGCTGAAGAACGTAGTTGGCACAGTGCTCTGGTTCAGGTCTTACCTCACAGCCTCTCCCTCTGTGACACAGTGTACAGTGGATTTTAGAGTTGTGTAACCTGAGAGTGTTTTTCAGCTCCGAGATAAATAAAGCTCAGAGAGTGTTCGGGGAGGGTTGTAGAGATAAACGAAAGCCTCTCCTCGCTTTCTTTACAAACAGCTTAACTCTGTGACACAGTTTACCTGAAACAAACCATGACTATCATAGATCAGAACAAGTCACTTTTTACGAGTCACTCTTAAATAAAAAATACAGTAAACGATATATACACAAACTACAACCATAGCTCCACTAAACTGTATGTGTAACCGCACTGACTGTCTTTTTCAAACTTTGATCAAAGTTTTCTGTAACTTTTTCTGCTCACAGCTGCGTCTGTTGTACGAGTGCAACCCCATCGCTTTCCTCATCGAGCAGGCGGGAGGTGTCGCCACCACCGGCACCCAGAGGATACTGGATGTTCAGCCAGAAGCGCTCCACCAGCGGGTGCCCTTCGTGGTCGGCTCTCCTGATGACGTCAACGAGTACCTGTCCTTCGTCAAAAAGTTCCAGTAGGCTGAAGTTGAACAAGAACTCTTTCAATCAGTCCATCAGAAAGGAGATTAGCTAGTCATACCATCCACAAGGATTCATTTTGGGACTCGATAAAAAGTTATGTTTAGTCAAACTTGACACAAAGCTGAAATTGTTTGAATTCCCTGACTCAGCATTTATTTGGCTCATGCAGTATGTCTGAAACAAGTATTTACCATATCAGAGGAACAACCTGGTTATCAATGCTCTGAAATATGTCATTTTGTATCCAGAAGAATCAAATCTGGATAATAAAAGAAAGTTTTTACTCTATTTGATCCACTGTGAATATTCATTATTTTACTCTGTCAGTGATGTCAGAGAATCTGAATTCAAAAAGCACATAGTCTGCCTTTAATACAGCTATTCAGTCTGCAGCAGTGAAAACATTTGTTCAGAGCAGTGCTGGAGGAATAAAAGGGAATAACATACATTTCAAACTCCAGATTTCATAAAAAGTCTGAGAAAAAAAGTTCAGATTTGAGGTCAGAATGTCTGAGTTTAGTTATTTTAATTAAACACTCCTCTTTTACTATTACAATTTGTTTTCATTTGGTAGAGAGTAAGCCCAACACAGACCCTGTTTCCATATTTGCTTCTTTTTTTTCTAAATTCATTTCTTTTTGATCTGACCATGTCTACTTGTGTGTGGCTTTCTGTTTCCTTCTTCTATGTCCTTGTTTCATTTCCTTGTTTTCCCTGCCCTTTCCTCCTTGTGTTTACTTGTCGGTTTCCTACTTTCATTCTTCAAGGCTTAACTATTGTTTGACAGAGGATATCAGTATATTGAGGTGCTCTCCTGAAATCCTGTTGGAGATAGTACAAGCTGGTGACCTCTGCTATCGTTGTGTGCTTCAGTAGCATTTTTAAAGGTGTAATAACCTTTGTGTTCATTTTGAGAAGTTTCAGGACAAATGTGTGGTCGAAAAAGACTCATTATTGTAATCATGTTTGAAAAGTTTAATTGGAAGTTATTGGAACTGGACCTGGTGATCAAACTTCATGCTGTTAAAAAAAAAAAAACCTCAAATTTCCCACACCTTGGCATCTATGTTCTTGTCAATTAGATCTGAATTTTCGTCCTGTACAGATGAGTTGTTTGTTAAAAGCGTCAAAAATCCCCCTTCCCTTTAACATAAACTTCCCCTCATTATTTTTAAAAGATACAAAAGTTTCAGAGGGAGATTTCAGGGGCTTATTATATGACTTAAAACCAAAACAAACAACAAAACACCAGAGTCGAGCGAGAATAGGTGCAGTTTAGCGAACTGACCCTTTAACCCACCTTTCCCTTGCCTAATGTTGTACAATAAATTCAGCTGGCTTCACTGCCATTCATGCAGCCTGGACTGAACTGAAAGGGTGAAGAAAACATGCCACACTATCATACACACACACGCCTACCATCAGTCTCTGGGTCTACCCCTGGGTCTCCTACATGCTTGAAAACCTCTAAAGGGGGGCATCCAGGTGGTATCTTTATCAAATCCCTGAATTACCTTATCTGACTCCTTCCAGTTCTCAGGAGCAGCAGCTGTACCCAAAGCTTCCTCCTGATGTCCAAGCTCTAAACTTTAATCCTGAGGCTTTGAGGCTGAGCCCGGCTGGCTTTCAATGAGCTCTGGAATAAGATCGCAGATACAAGCAGCCAAACTGAGCTTCCCCCAGAGGCTGTGTGACACGATCTTATACTCAATCGACTGTATAGAGTGTGTTTTTAAGCTCTTTCAGCCTTTATTAGACAGAATAACTAACACAGAGGCTGAAGGAAAGTGTTTGAGATAGAAGAACCAAACCCTTTCAGAACCAGGCTTTGAACCTATGACCAGATGCCTGAGTTTAAGGAGGACTCATGAGTTACCTGCTCCATCATCAAACCAAAACATTTTAGCCTTCACAGCTCTGATTAGCATCTTATACCTTCAGGACTCATGTAGGTGACCCTCGGTAAAGGGTTTTCCTCATGAACCACTGCTATTGTTACAGGATCAATAATCCTATAAGATCCTGGTACCAGACGTCAGGGCGCACAGCTGCTTTTTCACAGGACCACATGACCCTTTCTCTACATCTCAGAGCAGCATGTAGGATTACAGCTGAGGCCTCCATACATGATCTGGATACCTGAAATGTTTTACATGAAATCCTGACTTTCGCAGCTTTGAGATACTTTTGTTTGGTGCAAGTTCAGTAAAAAGTTTCTGTGTTTGTCCTTAAAGAGGAATCAAAAACACTCCAAACTCCTTCCTAGTGTTTCACAACTTTAATTGATCACAGTTAAAGTAGAAAAAAAATCATTTACAATGACCGAAGCAGGTTTAAACATTTCACTCACCAAGTAGCATACACATATTTACAAAGAATAAAACACTAGACTAAAATCTTCTCAGACGAAATAAAGTGGCGTGAAAACCAGCCAAAACATAATGGCGCCATTTCCCTAAAAACAACAGTGTTTTCTCTCCTGGTGAAACGTCTCAGGATCCCGTGGATGCTCGCCATCACTGGCCAAGACATCGTTCTCCTTTCTCCGGCCTTCAGCCGCAATAAAAAAACACTATGGTGCTACAAAAATGGAGCTGTGCAAATGTTAGACTAGAGGATAACTGGCGGCTGTTGCGATGCCGCAGTGGTTCTTCCTGTCTTTGGCCATCATGATGTAGCCTTTGTCTCCCCACTTTTCACTCCAGCTGCAAACACACAGAACAGTTATAAGGTCAGAGAAACGCTCTGTTCAGTTAAGAGTTAAAGCAGTTATGTATTTTTATACATTTACAATCACAAAGATTATTCAGGAGTGATTTTTTTTTCCCCATTTTCCACTGACCTGTTCTTCACGATCCAGTATTTCTTGCCATCCACATCCTCTCCCTCGAAACCGTACCCCACCACCAGCACACCGTGGTCCAACTCCTCACTGCTGCACTCCTTCTCATAGTAGATACCTTTAAAAATTACACACATATGTAGATTTACATTGGAGCTCTTAAAAAAAGGGTTGAAAAACTGTGCAACAATGTCTGCCGACTATTCTTTTTCCTCCTGACCTGATTGGTAAAACTGGAAAGACTCGTGTCCGGCGTCGATGGCGACTGAAACGGGTCCCACAGAGGCCACAGCCTTCATCAGAGCATGCTCCTTACCGCTAGGGATGTCGACGAAGCCGGTGTCATTGGCAGAGTTGTAGCTGGGGTCATAGTGACATGGCTGGTCATCCTGAAACGTTAAGGAAAAGATGAGTTATAAGATCAATATTTTGTAATAATGAAATAATCCTGTGGAAATAGAGAAGATCAATAAAAAATGGATCTATGGGAAATATTAAGCATTCAAAGGCAAAAATTAAACTTTAACAAAAAGAATCTTAAGGCCTCATTAATCTCCCTTTGCCTTCTAAGAGATACGTACCGTTCCCAGGTAAGGATAAGCGTCCTCTGAGTCCAGGCCCTGGTTGTCCTTGACGTACTGGAAGGCCTGGTCCATCAGACCCCCGTTGCAGCCCTCGTTGCCCTCTGGTCTGGAGCAGTCGACCAGGTTCTGCTCACTCAGAGACACCAGTTTGCCGCTCTTCCTGAACTGCTGACCCTCCAGAGCTCCGGTGGTGCTGAAAGCCCAGCAGGAGCCACACTGACCCTGTGACACAGAGAGATAGAGAGGAGGGGGTCTAAATGCTGGGTTCAAATGGATGGTGCTTCATTAAATCACCAAAGATCATCTGGACTGTCAGTCTGTTTATTTTTAAACCACTCTTTTATATTTGTCTGTTATAGCTATTTTTCCTCTCTAAAATCAGCCGTTTTTATTTTTATTGTTTAAAAACTAAAAGTCCCTGAGCTGCTGAATAGTTGGCCAGAGTTTAGCAGACATATCAGAGGATAGTTCTGCTCACATTTTAGAAACCAGCTACAAATACTCTGTTTGAAACTACAGAAGCGGAGGACAGAGCCAGGATGACTTGCAGAAAAGGGCCAGAAGTTGGGGTTCAAATCCTGTCTGCTGCATTCAGGATTGCTGGCCTTTCTATAAATATAGATCAGGTTGGATGTTGCACTGCAGCACTTTAATGTATAAGGCAGTGACTCCACCCTGGTCTTGTTTACAGTAAGCTGGTTGGACTGGCTTCAGCTTACAGGCTGTTAATGTATGTCAGAGGGGTGGTGTGGACTCTCTGCGCTGCCAGGAGAATAAGGAGGAGGAGGAGGAGGAGAGGTGTGCATGAAGAAAACAGATAACAAAAACAAACTCAAGCGGCCATGTTATCTGTCTGTCCCAGCTAAACATTAACTTCTGCGGACAAAGTGCCGTCCCATTAGCAAAGCTGCGGTGATGACACTGCTCAAAGTCACGTGTTGCATAACCTTGTTTACTACACGTCTCTCACAGCTGATGTTTAGTGGTAGTTTTTTCATCTTCTTTGGTGCTAACAGAAGAATTCAGCTTGTGTTCAAATAAATTAGGAGTGTTTCACTGCAACAACATAAAAGCTGTGTCGAAGAATCACTGAAGTTCAGGCAGAAAAAGTGGCATACTCATGATGTGGAGAAAGGCTGTTGTTATGGTGACAAGGAAAAGTTTCTCAAACAGTTAGACAATATTCATTAACAGACAGTCTTAGTGAAGTTGTTTTTGTCCAACAGTACGATATGAATGTTTCAGCACACCTTACTATTTTTCAGATGCTGCATGTTAGAATTAAAAGAAAAAGGTATTACCTGGTCCTTCACCGGGGTGACATAGCCCTGCTCCCTCCAGTCAAGAGAACGTGGGAGCACCAGAGAGCTTGGCTCCAAGAACAGGGACCCTCTGACCTTTCTCTGTGCCTTGTGCTTGTAGCCGTTCATGATCTGCCTGAACTCTTCATGTGTCTGTCAGACAGAAAAGACAGCATGAGTAAAAACTTGTTGAATGTCATGATGCTGAACCATATGAATGTAAATATAATGTATGCATCATTAAGTTATGTACATCTGCAATCCTGTCAAAAGCAAGTTTAATGTTGATCAAAGAGAGAGAAAAAAGTACATTTGCAATAATGATTTCGGGCCTTTTAAAAAAGGTGTATATTTGGCTGAAAATTTGATGGGGTTTTTTGTCAAATGAAGCTCAAATTACACTTCTACCTGGAAGTAACTTGAGTGTTTTTACCCTTTCCTGTCTAGATAAGAATTACCAGCTGAATAAAAGGGATTTTTGTCCATTTCTTTGTTCGACACTTGACCAAGTCCGTGTTTTTCCTCTTTTTGTCAGTGTTTGCACATGTTTCACATTTACAGAGATTTACAAAAGAAAATCCTTTCATTGCTTCTTTTATCATCTCATTCGTGACTCTTTCTCCGAACCTTTGCACTGTCTTGTGTTATCTACTTAACCACTTATCAGGTTCATTCCCCCGCCACCCTGTAAGTTTACACCCCTTCTGTGAGAGGCCTGATAGGCCGTACAGTGACTCTGTGTGTTTAAAGTGCGGTTTTACCATGTCTCCGAAGTGGTTCATGCCCAGGCGGTAGGTGTGTTTCCCCATGGAGTGCTCCAGGTTGTGCAGCTCGATCTTCCTCAGGTTCTTCTCCCACACCATCCTCCTCCAGCCCTCCTCTTTCTACAAAAACAACCATCATTCAGACTGTTTCGTGGTAATCTGGAAGACTTGAAGGTTGCTGTGAAGAAAAATACCTCATGATATTTCTTTGTGTGCCAGCTCTTCCATAGGTCCCAGTGCTGATCCAGCTGAGGGTCCAAGCTAGGGGCTGACAGGGCTGTACTCAGGCACACGGCCAACAAGGCTAAAGGCAGCATCGTGGCTTCCTACTGAGGAACAATAAAAGAGAAAACATGTTAGCAGGGTTGGACTGAGCGCTAAAATATCATGTTTAAGAGCAAGTGATATTTTACTTCAGTAGAGGTTAAACCACCAGTCTGTATATCTACTCAAGTATGGTATAGAGCACTTTATCTGAGACTTACTTTAAGTACAGAGCGCTTACTTTTAACCCATGATGGCGGGGGATGGGTGGAGTGAGATGTGCACCTTAAAGCACATCTACTTATACTAGTTGTGGATTTAGACTCTGCAGAATGAAGTTGCACTGAATATTTTTGCAGTATCTTGCATCAGTTTAGCACTTTACGTATTTTTCTTGTGCACAATTCAGTCATGGCCGGTTGTGCACAGATTCTTGTAATCATGAATCTTAAATGAGGATACATTTGATTTGAAGGAGTAAAAAGTTTTGATCTAGGTGTGGCTGGTCATGCCAATGTGGTTTTAATCAAATATTTTGTTTAAGATTATTTGTTAAGAAAGATTCACTTGATTTTTACAGGGTACATATCATCCAATCAGCTGGTGGTCATAGAGTTGATTAAAAGCTTGAAAGTTTTTGGAGATTACTGCTTTGCTGAGTTATCAATAATGTGTAAAATATACCAAAGCACATTACTTTCCATTGAAACTGTATAGTAAAAAGTGAAGGAACTGATTTCAACTCAGAAAAAGTACACATGAACAGTAACATGAGTAAACCCCTGCACCTTTGTACGCCATTTCTTAAGAAGCTGGTAAAGGCCTGGTAAAGCAGGCAACAAAAAAATTCTGGTTTTCTTTAAACACGAGATTCCCCTTTAGCATCGAGATTCTCACATGTTGACCCATAGTGATTTTTCTATCACCGGCCCGTGAGAGAGCCTGTCCGCTCCCATGAGTCATGCACGATGAGATCAGCAATAAAGATTCCCGACAGCACAGTCATTTCCCGACTTCCCTCCTCATAAAAAGGAAATACAAATCGGGCCGAAGAAAAAAAAAATATCACATTTGTTGGCACCATATTAAATGTATGCTAAAAAACTGCAGAGATACAGGTTGTTTAAGGCTTGTTTTTCCTGCAAGTTTCGCAGCGCAAACTTCGCCATATTCCCGACAACAAACCGAGCCTGTTGGTGTTTTGTTCGCAGTCACGGGATCTGCTGCAGAGAAAACACAACAGCCCGGCCCGGACATCGAAACTATTACCAGGAAAACGAAAAGAAAACCAAAACTTTGCCAAGAAGCTGTTAAGCAGAGCACATCTGCACCGCATCCACACTTATCATATGGTTGTTTCTTCGTTAATGTAAAGAAATAGGTGCGATGAAAAGTCGTCGGCTAATGGCTGCTTTCTGCTATCCTGTGAAAAGGACGACGACAACAAAGGCAGCCGAAAGAAACAAGATGGCCAGGCTTTGCAGAAATACATCGAATATGTTACGATTTCGGACATAGAAGTAAACTCTTCACTACATATTTCCCAAAATAGTTGATTTTAAATAAGGGTTTAGGCGCTGTTACATTTATTCCATAACGCAGAATTCCCAGAGAAACACGGAATTCCCTTAAAACGTTTGCATCACACCGATTATTGAACCCTCGGACAATTCAAAATGTGATTTCTACTAACAAAGGAATAAACAATTAATCAATACTTACTGTCTTTCTTTGTCTAAGGCGAAGAAGGAGATAACTGTCTGAGATAGAGGTTCGCAAAGTTTATAAGGGCCTGACTGACAGCGATGAACGTCCCAGCGAGCTCTCTGATTGGCCCGCTCCTTGTTTTTTCCACAAATGCCCCGCCTTGAAAATGACGTCACGCGTCGGTGCACGTGATTCTCCCCCTCTTGGAATGGTGTTGAAAATGGTACATGATGTTTTTTCAGGACTGCTGCGACAAAAAAACCGTCAAAGTAGCATCTTTTAACAAGTTATTACTCGTTTCTAATCATATTATGAGAGAAATTGTCTACAAGAATGGACCAGAGCTCCAAACTATAGATAGCTAAATGTAAAACATTAATTAGTCCGTAAGCCTACAGCCAAAACAGCTTACTATCACAAAGTCTTGGTGGCCAGATCTCTGAAGATAATATTTAAATCGTTTCCTTCAATTAGATGTAATTTCCTGTAACATCAGCCTGTAGCCTACATATGCATTCAACTATTCAGGACAGGGTTGGCATACTGCAGTGATTTCATGGTGACAAAGAGCCGTTTTCTGCAGCCTGGCTCCACACTCATAGGTTTTCACGGTAGAAAGTGAACTCCTTGACTCTGTAAATACATAACCAGGGGCTTCTTATCACTTTTTTGCATGTTCAGATCAGATCTCAGACGGTAGAGTTATTTCTTCAATGGCAGCTATTAAGGACAGATAAATCAATGTTCAGTTCTGACATAACTGAGTTAAACTTCACTCAAGGTAGCCCCCAGACATTGAAACAAATCTGTTTCCACCTCCAAATATTTGTCTTTTTATGAATTGTAAACAAACCTTTGCATTCTTTTACAGTATTGCACTTGTTGCATGAACCGTGCCTTAGCCTAGTTTCGCAACCTGGTTTCTTAAGTCCATGTCAATGTTCAGAATATGGTGAACTCGAACACAACACAACACAACACAACAAGTAAAGACTTAAGATACAGAGGGTCAATGTTGTTCAGTTTGTGTTCCTTGGAGGCTGAGATGGAGGGATTACTGAGCAGGCCTACGCTGGATGCCGGTCAAGGGAGTCCATGATGGGTCAAATGGGGCCCCACTTTCCATATTTTTTACCGTACAGTGTGGGCTGTATGCAAAACCTAATGTTTAGTATATTAGTCAACTCAGAGTCCAACCTAATAGTTCTTTCCTATTTATCTTTGTCTTTGTATAGTATGCTACAAACATATCTAGTCTTTTAAGGATAACAAGACTCTTAAAAAAAAAAGGATGCCACTTAACCCTTCACACTCTATTGACCCTTAACAACTGAAACCCTGCAACTCTTTGAAAGTTGATCTGCAAATATTTAAAAAAAAAATGTGGAGCTGGATTCTTTTTTTCCAAAAATGGCCAAATTTTTGTTTTCTGTAATTTTTAATCTTGAGTAATATTAATGTGGTCACCTTAACTCTGCTTTTCTGATAGCGTGCTAATAAAAACAAAGATTCAAAAGACCGTGTTCATGTTCGTCCAGTAGAAAAGATAGTCAAGAGAGATACCCACCAAAATAATGAGAGAAAATGGTGTAAAGTTTCTAAAGAATTCAGGTTTCTAGGTTAACAATATGGGTCTCTGATTACATGTACATATTATCAGCTGTTGGAGCTAACGGATGTGTAGGTAAGCTTCCTGGAAATGCCGTCACACTCAGTGAGTGAATCAGGGTCAATCCTCATGTGATTGATAAGATTTTGAAACTTTGAACTAGGAAGGTTGTTTTTGTATCAAACAGTTCTTTTCACCAGTGTTCAGAAGCCTGTTCGGATTGAAAATCAAGAATGCTTTCTGCCTTAGCTCCACCGTTTTTCTGAGGAAATTTTTCTTTAAATCGCACTTTTAACCAATGTGCCAACTTTGGTGCCTTTGTGATACAGATTCACTTACAAAACATAATGTAAGTGGATTAGATACGTTACATTTTTGTAGCTTTAAGATAAGAGATAAGCGATAAGATATTTCTTTATAAGTCCAGCAGGGAGCAATTCCAAGTTTACAGAAGCATAAATACAAAAAGAGAAAAGAAAGGATGAAGAAACTTAGGAGTTAAAAAAGATATATACATGAGTGTTACAGCTGTGAACAATCAAACTGTGTTGAAAGGTGTCAAAGTGAGTGCTACTCTGAGCTCTAACCATAAAATGCTGCATTAATTTTAATACAAACAATATCTATACAGCAGAATCAGATTTATCTCCAAGTAGGTTGACACATATAATGAATTTGTGTTGTGATTTGTTATGAAGGAACAATGCAGCTAAGCAGGAATGGACAAGGTGATCACAAGAGCATTACAATAATTTGAAGACAGTGTGCAATGTAAACAGAGTAAACTCAAGTCCTTGACTTCAAAGTAACAAAAACATACTGTGGCATGGCTTTATGTATACACCACACTCCTTAATTTATGTTCATTGTACGAATTTTATTTTTATGGCTTCTTAGTTTTATTTAGGGGTTGAATTTATGTTGCAAACATTGGGAATTTTTTAAAATTTTTTACAGTTTCTAAACTGAAATTACTGTGGCTAAAATTTTAACCATAATTCCCCATTTTATAGTATACTTGCTATTTTAAAGGTTTAAACTAAGCTAATGGCTTTCCATATGCAAAGTTAGCAAGACATAGCTTAGCATTTGCAAGGCCTGTCAAGACTGGGAACAAGGACTTGCAAACAACCTGTCTTTGGTTTTTGTACAAATCAAACAAAGTTTAACGAGTTATTGAGCTTCACACGGGCGTATAGTGAGGAAAAGCCAGCCTGAATGTTTCCACTTTTTCCACTACCAATGCAAAGCTAAGCTGATGGCTGAAACCTGAGTTAAAGAAGACAGCAGAGGTACAACAGGTGCATTCTTACAGACAGAACAAAAATTGATTAAATTTTGACAATTCATCCAAACTTTTGCCATCCCCATGTCCACATTTAGTGCTTTGCATGCTTTGATAGTTCAGTGATTCATATTTGTAAGTGGTCACATGACAGAGCACGATGTTCTCAAAATTGACTTTATGCAAGTATGTGGTTAAGTTAACATGCAGTCATACTTTACATCACACTAAGGATACACATTTTTCTCCCCGTTTGCACGAATCAGTAAGCAGACATGCATCCTCAGCAGTTGGTTTTGTGACTTGGTTCTGTTGCTCAAGAAGAGAGACACATGACAGTAGTTGACTGGACACTTCCTGCATGAGTATGCACATCTGGTTAGCAACAGATCCATGTTAAAAACCTGTTTTCTGGAGAGCTGGGTAGCTTTATTAATCACATAAAAACCTGACAAACTGGTTTTGCTTGTTGTGTAGCATTGGTGCAAATATTTATATTCAATGTTTTTATCCTCTATACAGATGAAACAGTCAAGATATAATTGTAAACTATGCCTATAGGTGCTAATAGACTTTAATTTTGTTACCTTGACGCTTGCTGCTTCTGCCCCGTTTCTAGTCTCAATGCCAGGCTAAGCTAATTAGCTGCTAGCTAGCCTCTAAACAAGAAAGTGAATGTCAGTTTCTTCACTTGGGTTAATCCAAAGACCATTACTCTTGCAACATTTCCTCTTGTCCCCAGTTTTAATCTTAATGGTAACAGTCTGCTGTAGAGACCTTATGCTGCTCTTAGTTCCTGTATCCATGGTACATTCCTCAGATTACAGTGCAGCTAACACAAGGGCTAACAGAGGTTATCATCCGCCTGTCCTGATTCAAAGGTTAACACACCTCAACAGATTATTTAGGCTCTCTGTGTGAACCCAGGTTTATTTTTGTTGACAGAACTAAACCTACCAGATGTCTGAACTCATAGTCACGCTGACACTATTTTTAAAAAGGTTTTTCCCAGTCAAATATTTTTGGACAAAGTGTGAAAATTAATCTGAAAATGAAAAGGTTCACTTAAATAGTTTTGAATAAGTTTAGTGAAACAGATATCTACATGGTATATCCATTTTGCTATTTGATATGAACTTATTACAGCCTCCTTTGTCAGTGAAAGCCTATAAATACTGAATACTATTAAACCCAGTAGGATCACTCTGAAAAATAGAATATCCACCACTTGTATGTGCTGGATTTGTTCCTGCAGAATAAACATGAGAGATTCAGGCTCACATGACTTACACGTCACTTTTATCACTCCCTGTTCAAATGTTTTTGAAAGACAGCAAACACAGTCAGCAGCCAGGGCAGGTTGAGACAAACCCCAAAGAGCTTGAGGCATCAGGCTGGTCATGTGAGTGTGTGGGTGGGTGGGTGGGGGGTTGGATGTGCTGTAGCTGCACAATGAACCCAGAGAAGTGTGAATAACAACAAGGAATCTAGGAGGGACCAATAAAGCTACATACACCTGTAAATGACTGTCAAAATAAATCTTTATTCACATGTAGTTTATTATTATGATATTCGATTCAGCTGGCAAGGCAGAGAGATATACACAGACTCTTTCAGTAAAAGAAGTAAAAATAAAAAATGTTTATGATCAACACCTGTTCTCAGACGATGCCATCCCTGTGATGGAAGTACATCGCCTTCTTCCTATATTGAATTATAAAACAGTAGGTCACAGCATTTCTAAACTTCAGACAAGGCGACAGCTTGCATGTTTCAGTCACTTATTGGACAGAAATTTGAAATTTGAAATGCAGGGAGATGAGAGTTGAAGGGAGACATGCAGCAAAGCGTTGTGGCTGGGACTCGAACTAGAAACTTTTGCAATAAGCCTTTAAATTCAAGCCACTTATACTGCTGAGCCAAGTTTTTTGTTGGTGTAATTTCCATGAACAGGATTTGTACAGCTATTAAAAGTAAAACTTTGTTATATTTTAAAAGATTTTAAAGCACTTTCAAGGTACCTAAAACTAAGCTCTCTACATTGACGCACAGCAAGACAACTAAGTGTCAAAATAAGGAATTTGAGAACCTTAAATACTCACAAAACATGTGTAAAATCAACACTTTTTACGAGTCACTTTTCACGAGGGTGCTGGTCAGATATTTGACTCTGACTTACGTCTATATCTTGAAACTTGTTTTTGTGTATATTCACACTGATATGGAGTGTACATATTTTTATTTTTTACTGTAAAGGGCACCAAGTAACCTGTTGACCCTCTGTTTAAAGGAGTAATTAAGTTAATCACAGCAGCAGTAAGGATGACCTCCCAGGACAAAATCACAGGACTTAAAAGTCTTCAGTAAGGACAGAGGCAGTTTTATAAGGTAAAGAATTTATTATAAAATGTTTTACACTGTAAAGTGTCAGAAGTACTAAGAACATGGCATTCCAAGACATGCTGAAATAATGTAACATAAATAGTGACAAAAACTCTTGTGCAATGTGGCGATTAAACTGGAGTCTCAATGGGAGGAAACTTCACCCAGAACTTAGTTTGAGTTCATCAAATTTTCCTTTTCAAACAGAAAGAACTTTTAAGAACACCTTTTAAATCCACTTGTTTTGGTGGGACTCACACTCAGAGCCATCCAGAAAAAGAAGAGACAGTAAATGGAGACAGAGTCGATAATAATGGAGTGATTTCCAGAACATGAACAAGAAAAACATTTAATCACTTCCCTTTCTGAAACATCTCGACTCCTGTTCTGTACAAGGCGATAAAAGAGGAATGAGTCAGTGTGTTTCAGGCACACGAATGTTGGCAATGATATTTATACACAACTTTAACAAAAGTTTCCATTAAACATGAAAAATAAAATGATATTTCTGACCAGTTCGGGCGACGTGATGTTACTGTACACTTGTTTTTAATCACCGTTATACTCGATTTGTTCTTATTTGTTTACATGTTCTTAGAAGTGATGTAGAGTACATTCATTTTGCCTTGTTGGAGGAACGTTTTTGGAGACAAAAAGCTTTAAGCGAGCTGAAAACATACATACAGGACAATGGAGATGGAGTTGCAGGAAAAGGCGACAAGTATTTACATCACAGCTCGAAGTTTGCTGCGTTTATTGGCAACTTGATTCTTGGATCAAAACGAAAGAGGGAAGTGAGAAAGTCTAGTTTTTATCTGATTGAACAGACGGTAACACTGAGGAAGAAAAGCAGGGTTCATCAGACTGAAACACTCTGTTCTTAAACAAGGTACACCAAATCCACAAAGTTTCAATTTTTAGAAATGAGCCTCCTCTTCCAATATTAGGATGTATGTCTATAAAAGAAGTACTTTTTTATGGTTCACAAAAAAGTACCAGCTTCCACAAAAACGCTCTCTCTGGGAAGTGTGTGTGTCATCAGCAGCCTTTGGCATCATTTCCAGCAGCATAATCTCAAGCTTTATTTTGCTGTTTTTCTGCTGACTGAACTGCGTCGAAGCTTCATGTACGAAAGAAAGATAAACTGAAAGGAGATGTGAAGCCACGCACAGTCGAGCAGCAAGCACAGAGGTTCGAATTTAGCTCCGCAGAAAGAGCGTCACTGCCACGGTTTTCAAATATGATACTGTGGACGGTCACTGACACACAGAACATGTCGAGGAAGCGTTAGAAAGGTGCAGAGTCAGCTTTATATAAATCATCTTTAGGCCTGATAGAAAATGTTAAAAACAGACTTCTCTACTCGTCAGATTTCATGGCACTTTTTGTTCAGGTTACTAAGGATGAGTGCTCGGATTGGGGATCGAAACTGGACCCTGTCGTTCCACCCTGTGCGCCATTTTGAACCCTAACATCAAACAGCCTCAGCTGGCTTTAAGGATCAACACCTCCTCATAAGACACTCCACTTTGGGATAAAGAAGCACTTTTAATTTTCTGTTAAAATGGCTTTTAAGTCTTTTTATGTGAAATCAAAATGAGAAGATGACAAAGACAAAATACATCGACAAACTTTTTTTTTCCAGGTCCAATACAGGCTAAATTTGATGAAACACTGACTGTTCCCAAGCTGTAAACTCTTCTGAAGGATCCTTACAGGACTAATAATGTGGTTTGGCAGTTATTCTCTGTCAATATAGAGTCAGGGAGTATTTACTGATCCTGAGCAGGTTTGAAAGCTCCTGTGAGGAGTTGGTGATCGGTTATGAAGTTGATTGAAGTGAACAAAGACGAGTCTCTATGATGTTAAAAAATAAATTAAATCAACAATAACAAGATGAATCATTTCTATTTTGTAACTGAGGAGCTGTGAGGGGGTTAGGTGCGCTAAAGAAACAGCCTTTTTTTACTTTATCCAACAACAAATATTCACAGTGAGTGTTAAAATTCACTGTTTACAGTAGCACCACTTAAGTGAGGCTGAGACAAAGTCAGCAATTGTAGAGGGGTTATCCCCTGATCTGATGGGGGCGCCAAAAACAACACAGATACAAAGTTCCTCACAGGAGCTTTACCAGAAAATTTCCATACAACAGCTGAAGAAACAGTCCTATTTTACCAATTTCCTCAATTGATTTTACATTTGATGGTCAAAATCAGCAGGATGATTTGTTTGTCACTTAGGCATGTAAAGGACAAGGTAAGCAAAGACTGCTTTGTCCACAGGGAGGTGCCAAAAATGACGTAAGCCAAAGTCCCTCACAGGAGCTTTAATCAAATAATTAGAAACCAAGTGATCCTAACCAGCAACAACTCTTAATCATCGAATGTTTTAACACCACGGAACCCAGAAAACTGGCCAGTATTTGCTTTAAATTGTGAGAATTTGCTGCTTTTTCACACTTTTGGGTCAGGGCTTTCAGGTCCTTTTCACTATTTTCTGACATTTTAAAAACAAATGGTGAATTTATCCAGGAAAGGTCCGGGCTGATTTAGAGTGAATTACAATCAGGACCTGCTGGCTTTTGTCAAACTGGTTGTCTAAAAATGATCTTGACCTGCATGTTTATAGCTCGGGGCAGCAACACCAACATATTCTCAGTTTTTGAAGGCTGTATTTCGAAACACAATATTCCCTGTTTTGTTTTTGTGTATTCACTCTGACACTAACATTTAGTCCAGTTTTGGTCACATAATAAAAAACATATTTTACCAAAATTTCATACTTAATTCCGCTTCTCTCTGACAAAGGATTCAGGGTTGATATCAAAAGAGCCCTGGGCCAAAATAAATCATACAATACAGGCTCTAAAAAACTCCAGTCTCAAGATCATTCTCTGCAGGTTCTTCCTCATTTACTCTTTTTCAAATTGCACAAAATCTTTGGATCATGACAAATCTAGAAACAGCTCATTTCCACCTGCTGTGCCTGCTCTTTTGACCTCGAAACCCTTTTCAGACAGTTATTCATAGAGTTAATTTTAAAATACTTATTTTATTAATTAACATTTGAGCAAGAAACTTAAAATTTTAACCCGGTCACATAATTCTGTTTGGGAAACCTCTGAAGGAAAGACGGGACTTTGAAATAAAATGAATCAACAATGGCTGGATTTGTGTTGTTGGATTACTGAAGGGGGTATCTGTATAAACTTACATTATGCACTGATCAAACACGAATGATGATGTTTCCCTTTGTATCGGCTTACAGCTCCCACAGAGCGTCCAAATCGACTCCTCACTGAGTGTAATATAAGAAAAGATTCAACTGGTTTCCAAATATCACACACAACAACGCAGGAATCTCATCTCTGATTCCAGCTTGGTGTTGTAGAAACCCTGTAACAAGAGCAGAGCTTTCATTTCTGCCTCACGCTCATTCAACTTTAAACTGTAACATGGCCTTTTCCTCAATAGACATGATTGAAATTTGCGTTACTCTTCGTGTCCACAAGGCACAGCAAATGTTCAAATGTTTACAAAGAACTATTGTTTTTATCACAAGACTATTTGTGCTCTTAAGGGAGGTAGAAGGCCACAAAGGCACTCTGAAAAATGCTGTTAATTTACTCAACACTAAGACCAAATATCACCTCAGAAATGCAGAAGCAACAAGGAGATCCTGTTTTATGTAGCTATGTGGGTGAAGGAAAAGACGGCAGCCTCAGCTTGGTTACTGATATTCATGTTTCTGTGATTTTTATTTCTGGGCAGACGTGTCCAAACTTAAGGCCGCCGTCTTTAGTCGTTATTTGTATCCCTTTAAAAATGCATCTTTTCTGTATTTAGCTGTAAAGTGAGTGAGACTCAGAGTGCATCAGAGCAGGAGGGAAATGAAAGAGCAGCACATCAAGATTGAAAAGTAAATAAATTCACTGGATTCCTCTTTGGAGCTCAGGACAATCAGCTCTTTCACAACATTCATAATGGAAGGAAAAGTCGTCTGTACAGGTGTGGAGAGCACAAACACAACATCTGGATCACACGCCACCTTGGTGGGGTGTTTGAGAACGAGCAGCTGGACTCTGGTAACGATTGCACTTTATGTTCATTGACACACGAGTCTGTGACGGTTCAGTTTTAGGGGAGAGTCTCGTCAGGTTGTCTGACATTTGGCAGAGAGTCGCTGATAAGTTCAGCGGGATATGACAGAGCTGATGGAGTTATATGATGTTCCACCGTTACAGGTTGGAGGGTAGCCATTGGTGGCCCCACCCACCGCCTCCATGTTGACCTTGAAAACAGGAGAGGCTTTAAGCAGGAAGTCGGCGGCATCTCTGCGGCCGAGCTCCCTCAGTTTAGCCATCAGCACACCTACTGTGCTGTCAGCCCGCCCGCTCCACTCCTGCAGCAGAGCTGCTGTTGGGCTGGGCTGCAGCAAGGCTTGCTGGGAGTCTGGGTCAGAGTCCAGCTCAGGGGTGCCATTTGTAGTCCCGTTACTGTGTTTGGCCACCAAGTCTGTGAGGCCGAGGTTCATGGCGAGCAGGCACCAGTCTTTCCCCAGAGCGTCAGGAGGGTCCAGCATACGGCAGAGCTTCCTGCGAGCCAGCAGGGGGACGTCTGATATGTGGACGTCAGTTCCCAGAATTCCCTGCTGGTACACCTCAGCGCAGCCGAAAGACAGGATGCTGCTGAAGCTCTCTCTGTAGCCCCCCATGGTGTTGGTGAGCGAGGTCTCCCTCTGGACCTGCGCTCTGAAGAAGTCTTTGGGTTGGTAGATCATGATGGGGGCATGGTGCTCCCTCAGCTGCTGAGGACTCAGGTAGTATTTAGCCGTGAGCAGACCGGGGAGGGTGGAGGTCAACAGGTTCTCTGTGATACTGCAGATGGTGTCCAACAGGGTGTAGCACTTGGCCCGCTCTGAGTCGTGTCCGCGGACCTGGATCTCCACACCCTGCCCGTGGTTGACCAGCAGGATCATGGCCTCCACCCCTGCCTGGCTCACTTTAGCTCCGTTTGTCCACAGGTGGATGTCTCCATCAAAGTCTTCCCCACCCTCCTCCTCTGGCTTCTGCTGGTGGCTCCAGCGACACAGATTCACCTGCAGTTTGTGAAACAAGCCACAAGGGAAAGGGGTGAGGTGCTCCGCAGGGACGAGTCTGACCCCTCCATAGAGCAGGGAATCCTCATCCTCCTCTTCGGTCCAGGAGCGGTGAAGGCCATTGGTCTTGATGAGGGCGGGGATGTCCACCATGGAGGGGTTGGTGACATCACGGGCGCAGACATCCATGGCATCCAGGATCTGCAGCAGCTCGTCTGTGTCGCTCTCAGGAGCCAGAGCTTGCACCTCCTCCAGCCTGTAGCGCCCCCTGTAGTGGTGGATGGCCTTGGGCGTCTCTACAGAGAGCAGCTTTCCCAGCACGGTGCTGCAGAGCCAGCGAGGCTCCAGGAGAACCACATCCTGCACTGTCTCACTCTGCATGATGTTGATCTAAGGAGGAGGAAAGAAAGACGATGATGGAAGGAGAAGAGGAGGAAAAGACAGGGAGGATGAAGAGATACAGAGAGGAATCAAAGCAGGAGAAAAAAGTTGAAATATTTAGAAGAATATGGTAAAAAAAAAAACGTTTATAAAACAATATAAGATGAAATCATAAGAAGCACTTTCTTCATGTGAACCACTTTTAAAGCTCCAGTAAGGTCCTCACTTGGCCCCCTGAGCTGTGAGTCACTCTGGTTGACAAACAAGTTGTTCCAGTTATTGTGTAATTCTCAGTAATTCTCAGTAATTGTTAACTGATGTTTTCATTGATGCTTGTGATGAACAGATAGTGCACCCTTGTGGTACGCTGGTGAAACGACAGTCACAAACCTTTGGATTGATCTCAAATATTTAAATTAAACATGACAGGTGAAATATTCATGCTGCAACAAATCCTTGATTATTTTTATATCTTTGTTCTACAGCAGCAATACAGCAAATCTCTCTTTGGACCGACAGTTTCTGAGCAGCCAGAACTCTTTAACTGTGTTCAGACAACTTTGAGCTCCATCTTGGTTAGTTGGAACATTCACTAACAGAACTTCCAGCAAAACAAGACCATGAACTACCATTTATTGTCTTGGATTTACAAAACAGAGTCACTGCAAGAGATGCCTTCATCATATATCGTCAAAACTTCTGTTTTCTACATTTTTGGTGTGTGAGATGGACTTGAGATGTGCTGCTCATATCAGGGGTGTCAACGGTCTAATCTGTTCACATGCACACTGTAATGAAAACCGAGCAGTCCATGCAGCCGTCACACAAAAAGTGTGAAGCTGGCGTAATTATTGTTTGATGAAATGATCGGATAAAATCAAAATGTAGACTCTTTGGTTTCTTTTTCCTTACTCACAAAGTTCAGAGATTGTTTTATTATGATTTTAAAGCAAAAGAGGCCATCTTATTTGTTCTATTCCTTTTTTTCAATTTAATAATACTTAGTGAAAAAAGAAATCAAACAACTTAGATTGGCTTTTTTGCTTTAAAATAACTATAAAAGAATCTTTAAAACAATTTGTAAGTATTTCTATTCCTTTATAAAAAATTTTATTAAATTAAAAAAAAAAAATTGAACAACTTAGATGGTTTTTTTTTGCTTTAAAATGACAATTAAAAGTCCATCTAAGTTTTTTTTTTTCTTTTTTAATAATAATAATTAAAGTGTTCATAGTGTTTATAGTTTATATAGTGTTTAGTGTTTATAGAACAATAGAGCAGAGCTTAAACAGCCTCGTACCTCCCCCATGCTGTGCAGCTGCAGGGCCAGCGTGCGCAGGTGATCCTGGCTCACTAGAGGGTTGATGTGCTCCTGGACGTCCGCGACAAACTGTTGCCATGACGTCAGTTGGTTGGGACCGCTAAGCTTCCTCCAGTTCGGCAGGATGGTCAGCAAACGCTCCGACAACAGCGTCATGGGACTGCACCTCTGCAGAGACAGAGATGGGATGGTTACTCACTGTATTTCATGTATGAAATGATGGTGTGTCTATCTTCTTGATAGTGTTTCTAGAGCTCACAGAGATGATACTGCTGCGAAGTTCCTGCAGGTGACTCCTCAGAAGCTTCACGTCTCTAGAGTTTGAGGCTCCAGCATCCATCACAAACACTTTTTCGCTGATATTAAGATCCACACCGAACCTGAAAATGAGAAAATGACATAGAAAAATTCTTGAAAAACTCTGCTCTCGTTACAGAAGTTGAACCCTTTGATCAACTGCGCCTTTTTGCAAATGTAACACACACTTATCACATTAATCCTCACAACGAGTAATGAACAGTAGTGTGTTTGCTGAGGTTCTTGTTTGGTGAAATATTTACTCTCTCTGCTCTCGCTCTCATCTTAGGAGAGAAACATCTGCCTCTATACTGTGAGGAAAGAAATTCAACAACAGCTGAAACCAACTCTGAAATAATCCCCACATCCCTGGTGTCTGCTCATGATGGAGTCCTGACCTGTTTCTGACTTCTTTGAGCAGAGCTTTCTCCTTATCGTAGCTGAACTCTCCAGAGAAAGCTCTGGGGACGTCAGCGAGGTCAGCGTGTGTCGCCACGAGAACAACCACCAGAGGCTGCTGGATACGACCTCCAAAAGCTGGAAAAACACAAGAAAACACACACAGAGAGTCAAAACAGACACACAGACATTCACAACATTCTTGTGCCTCAGTTTATTTAGCTTGTGTCTCTAAATACCTCATCTTGTCTGTTTTTAATAATATCTGTAATTTAAACATCTCACTTTTATTTCATTAAGATCATTCTTTACCTAGTTTTAGTTTAATCTTCTGTCTTACTTTCACTGATGTATTTTAGTTCATTAAGGACACTCAGATCTCCAGACTTGATTCTTCTAGCTGTACCAAGGTCCAGATAAAAGCTCAGGGTCTAAATAGTCTAATTATTTCAATCTGTTGTCTTTATGTTTGTTTTTTTTTTGCATCCTGACTCTGTATCTCTCAATTCAACTCCAGTTCTTTTTTAATGTACTTTGGTTTGGACCGGGTTGATTTGGGTTGACGTGGGCTGGATTGGATTGGACTGAGTTGAATAGACTTGGATTGGGTTGAAGGAAATTAAACTGGGTAGAGTTAAGGTTGAATCTGACTAAATTGGATTGGATTGAGCTGAATTGGAATGACTTGGATTAGATTGGAGATTGGACTATGTTGGATTAGCTTGGACCCAGTTGCGCTGGGTTGGATCAAACTGGACTGGGTTGGACTGGATGAGTCCTTAAATTTTATTTAGTTTCTGTCCAGTAATGTGTCCGACTTTGAAAAAGTAAAATAAGTTTTCATGGTGAAGAATTTTTCGCCAAGACAATATTTGCATCAAGTTCATTAGTTTTCAGGACTTTCTGTGAGATTGAAGTACTTAGTTTCTAATTTTATCGAGCAGGAAAGGACAGAGCGGCCTCTCATCCTGACTAATCATCTTGCTAAATATGTATAATGTCAGGAAAACTGAAGATAGTTTATGACATTCCTCTGATCAAAAGTTTCTGCTGTGAGCAACTTGAAGGCTGATTTTTGGGTTGAGTTCGATGACCCCTAAGGAGGCAGGAAAGTTTAGTGATCTTTTTACATACATGTGAATGTTGTAATTTCTCAAAGAGACGCTCACCTTCTTTTTTTCAAATGCCTCATTTGCAACAAAAACAAATTGTGGCTCATCCTTAATTTACCTTGATTTAAATACAATCACTTCTTTTCTTACAAATCTCCTTCATAAAACCTGGAGTCAAATATTTCTTTACATCTCTCCCCTCTCTCACCGATGTTGTCCTGCGGCAGCATCAGGGCTTTCAGCAGGTTCAGCCAGTAGGTGATATGGCTCAGCTGAGTCTCGTACGGCTCCTCCAGACTGAACAGGACCACGTGGATGGCTGTAGGGTCATTTGCTGCAAAGTAGTCATAGGAGCAGTAATAGACCGGGTTTCCCGAAAACTCCCATACGCTGAAATCCCCGACCCCTGCAGAGCGAGAGAAAAGTGTCACCAACAGCATTGTAATGTGAACAGAGCTGTGACACAGGACTTTTTTCAGAGTGGTATCAGCAGCTTCTTTGGTTCTCACCATGAATGTTGGCGTGCTGGATGTCGATGGCCTTCGTGGCTTGTTCGTCGGCTGCAGACAGAGCGTTGTGGACGGGGGAGAAAACCTCCAGGACTCCTTTGGTCAAACTCGGCTCAAACATCATGCTGCGACTGCGCACGCTCACGTTCTCACAGCCCGGGTAGAGGTTGGAAATGCTCACTGACACTGAGCAGAGAGGATGAGAAAGATGAAAACATATAAACTTGCTTTGCCTCTTTTGTGGGTCAAAATGTGTCAAATATGGTCACAAATAAAAATTCCATCTTTAAAGTAAAAACAAAAAACGTTATCAATGTTTTAAAGAGCCAGAAGTAAAGAGTTTGTGTAGCTGTTTGTTTACTATTAGAGAAAACCCTGAAAAACTGTGACAAAACGAGGAAGAAAAACTGTTTGAGGTTTTATTAACTTTTAACAAATGGAAAATGATGGAAGAACTGCAAATATCAGTTGTACTCTTGCTTGTACAGCACATAAGTTAAAATAATGAAGTGTAAAAGTGAATTCTTCAGATAAGAACTTTATTTTTCCCCAAGGAGAATTCGGTATTTTTACAAAAACCAAACTAAGTGCAAGTCTGGATGATTGATATACTTAAAAAAATAGTATTCAGTTATTTTTCGTTATGATTGTATAATTTTCAACACATGGGGGCGCTGTTTTATTACAAATAAATCTACCTTCCAGACATAACATTAGTATTTCTTTTACGTTCTGTCAGACTGCACCTACAGCTGGTTTTCAGGGGTGGTGATAAATCTTTTAGTTGCAGTTTTAACTATTCCTTCAGTCCCACAGAACTTCACTTTAACCACAGCTGCAACTTTAAGTACGATTACTGTTTTTGTTTTTTAACCTTTGGATGTATGAGAATGAATAATCCTGGAAGGAAAAAGCATCTCAACCTTGAAGAATTACAGTCATCTTAGTTTGATTTTATCTCCACAACCCTTTGTTTTTGTTTCTTACTGTCTGCTGGATTCACTTTTATCAAATATCAGAGTCGCGCCCAGACAATCAAAAGCAGACACATTCTCAAGTTTAAGCAAAACTTCACAACGTTAAAAAATATCCCTCACTCTGGACTTTAGAAAAATAGTTAAAGTGAACCAGTTTACAGAGAAAGTCCCAAAGTCAATCTGACTTTGACTAGCAGCCCAAGGTTATCTTTTGGTATAAATAACTGAGATGGTGAGAAAAAGTATTGCAGAACATGTTTCTCATTTACAGTTCAGATTTTCAATAACAACAGCTTCATTTGGTTTGGACTTCTGGGATAAAGATGCTCATGTGTGTCATAAAGAGGAAAGTTGTTCAAACAAACACAAGTTAGCCAGACCAGACATGTATCCAAGCAAAGCAAAGGACCTCTCATGCTTTTGTGCCTTTAACTCCTATATATATAGAACATCAATCCCTCTAAAAAACAATAAGTATTTAAAATCCATGTTACAAGGGCCTTTTCCCCACCCTCTCTGCCTATTTCCTTTAAGTGTCACTGTGGACTCACACCTCCACAGATATAAAACACACTGAGTCCAGCTTGAATTGTCAGAAGAGGAAAAAAAATTCTTTCAGTCTCTCCTTCAGCTGCGACAGAGGCTGCAGATTTCCAGATAGTATGGAGGATGGGATCAGTAACATTATACGGGCTTAACCCAACTGACTATTATCAGAATATCACGGCTGTCTGGGAGGTAATGGCTGTGAGCGCCGCAGAATAGAGGGCTTAAAGGAAGCATAATGGTATACATGTGTGTGTCAGTGTGTGTGTGTGTGTGTGAGTGTGTGTGTGTGTGTGTGTGTGTGTAAGGGAGAGGGCAAACAGAGTGCAAATACAGAGAGAGCGAGGACATAGTGAATGTGTGTGCGCTTCTCTGTGGGTTTTACAGTACGCTGAACATGTCAGGGAGTTGTAACGTAGATCTGGCGCTGCATTTGTAAAGCTAGGAAGCAGAAAAATAGATCTGTACAGTTCAACATACAGGCTAGTGGAATTATTGATTAATTTGGGGAATTACTGGGTGAGCTGCCTGTGTGAACTGTGGAAAGAGACCTCTTAGTATGGAGTGTGTTTCCTTTTGAGTCCGCTGATGTCTTCACTGTTCTTAGTTGACTTTTTATTTATCTCTGGAAATAATTAAGACATCTAAGTGGAAGTGGGAGCTTTCACAGACGGTTTGCAGCCACTTCCCACTCAGTTACTCAGTTATTCATTAATGCTGCTGAGGTATTTTGAATTTATTTTGTCTTATTTAACTTTTCCCACAGTTAAAAAAGATTTATTGATTTTAAAAGTTACAGATTTTTATTTACTTCTTCAAACTTATAGCTTTACTGTCATTTTGTAACTTTTTAAAACTGTATCCACTGTTGCTCACCTCTGCTCTTGTTTTCAATCTGTTTGGCTCTGTGTACAACAATTTAGAGTGCAAAGGAAGCTGAATTGTACCGGATCAAATCATGTTTATAATTCAAAACATGATACAAAATAAGGGCCTGTATCCACTGATGGCATTTTTGCACAGGCAGTACTCACTGTTGCCAGCTTATGAAAGTTCCTGTCTCTGTTTCCCTCAAAAATGACCATTACATTCGTATTAAATCAGAATGCTCCAAATTTGCTCTAATTTAAATGAATGGGTTTTCCAAGAAAACATAAAAACAGTTGATGGAAATAGTGCTCCAGCAAAGCGGAAGTGTAGTTAGTGTCTCTTTAGAACAAAAGATGATAACAGGAAGTCTAGCTTTTTCTTGGTTCTTACACTGACAAGCATGTGTCGTTCCAATAACTGAATCATTTTCAGTAAGAGCATTTGAAACAACTCTGAACTGGGTTGATTTGTGAACACAGGGAAAATGCTGTTAGTGCACACAGGCCCTAATGCAGTTAAGACTCAGAGGACCACTAAATTTTTTCCTAAAAACCGAACTCTGCTGGTGAAAATGTTTTCCAAAGTAACCCAATCTTTGTTTTGATCATTATTTCACTCTTGTGACAATGACACAGATACTTAATCCTACAAATGTCTAACTTTTTAAACTTCATGCTAACATTTTAGTTTCTTCAAACAATGACTGTACAAAAACAGAGAAGTCCTGCTTTTATTTGTGGCTTTACTAAATCAAATTTTTGTGGCACACTATTCAAAGGTATATAAATATAAAAATGACAGATTCATATGATAGCTAAAACTAGGAAAAAATAGAGACTAAATCAAGAAAATGAACTGTCTTCATATTTTAAAATTGGTGAGAGAAGAACATCTTAAGAGGGCTGCAGGCGTTGTGCGCCACTTATAAATAAATTATTGTGTCTCAGCAGAATAAATCATTTGGGTCCCTGGCAGGTGTAATCTTAATCCTGTTAGGGATTATCTCAGCTTCATCAGAGCCGTCTGCTACCTACCAGCGGGTTTGGAGCTGATTGGAGAGTTGGGGTGGCGGGCTGTGTTGGTCATACGTGATCGTTTCCTCCTGAAGAAGCTGCGCAGGATGCCACATTTCAGAGACTCCAGCAGCGTGCTCTTTCCCGCTCCTGAGTGTCCGAACAGCTTCAGCTTGATCCTGGGCTGCACGGTCTGAGTGGGCCGCAGCTGCTGGATGTAGCTCAGTTTGTGGTTGTCCTGACACACATAAACAAAAAACAAACATATGAGTCAAATGTGACACTCTTTGATAATCTTTGCTGTGAAAAATGCTGTGAAAGGAGCTTTTCTGTAACCTGCCATTAATCTACTTTGGGACACCGACCCTGCAGCAGCAGTTTCATGCATAAACAATAACTCCACATAAATAATAAACCATCGTGCTGAGTGTCTTGTTTGCTTTTGTAGCTCATCATGTGGCATCAATATTAATTTCAGGATGTTTCATTATCAGCCAGAAACTCCTCACAGGAGCTTTAATAGTGAAATACCTCAGTGCAAAGGGCATTGCCATATGCTTTGTTGTGTATATATTATTAAAGCTTTCAACATGATGCTGAAAATGCGGTTGCTGAATCTTAGAAGTATTTTGCAGATGTGCTTTGAAGTCCAAGCAAACATGAACCCCTTTGCAAGACACTGTCTAATAAAAATGAGTCAGAATATTACATTTTGGCCCTCTGTTCTTATACAGCTGAAAAAGATGATTAGGATATATGTCATATGTGAATCAGATGCTGAGTGAAACAGGAATGCGGCTTCACGATGGAAGTGACCTTGCATACATGCTTATTTCTGCTGCAAAAATCAGTATTTTGGGGGCACGTGTCCCACATGTGGTGATTAAAATCTCCAAAGCAGACAGCTCAAGTTTCCCTTCCTTTCAGACAGATCATTCCCCACTTTCTTCCCCTATTTCCTGCTCTAACCTCTACACCTCCCTGTTCTGCTCTTGCAAAATAAAGCCCAAAATTAAAAGCTTACATAGGAGCATTTAAATATGGACTCTAAGGGGGCTATTTCAGCTTTCAGAGCCAGCTCCAAGTGGACACTGGAGGAACTGCAGTCTTTAGCACTTCCCCTCTTTATCACTGGAGATCATCTCTTGCTGAATTATCACCTCTTCATACAGCTGCAATGAGTTATTTGTATTTTTGACATTGAAATCTCTCTCCTGCTTTGTTTGAACATCTCTCGCTCGTGCAGTGAAGTTTTGTTGTATTAAAGAAACAGGTTACTGCATACACACTCAGAAACACAATAAAAAACAAAAGCTGTTTTCAAAGATGACTTAATCCCCTTCACCTGCTTTTATCCCTCCAATTCAATGAAACTGGCTAACATCTGAGACTCTTTCTTAACCATCAACAGATGAGTCACGCATCAGAAGTGGCCTCAAACACTTTGAGTGGATTGGTAGGCTGTGAGCGCACCCTCAACTCCCACTCAGGTTACATTCAATGAATAAAAGTCCTAATAAGAAAATCTGTGATTCATGTCTGAGCAGCAAACAACTTCACATTTGAAAGTGATTAGACTGGATTTGTTTAAAATAAGAGTGAAGGAGATGAGTGTTATATTTCCTCTGGGTGGGTTTGAAAGTCTGCTCCTCCTTCAGTGTGAGAGGGTCTTAAATTAGCCAAACATATGCAGAGGATGACTGTTTTCACAGTTGCTGCTGTCACGTTTTCACACTCTGAACTCAATCCCAGCAGGTTTTCTGGATAAATGGATTAAAGGAGGCGTCAGTGACTTTTAGCTTCAGGTGTGTTCTGGCAGATGGGACCAGAGGCAGACTGGGAACACTGGCCTAATCTCCACATGCACATCCAGGAACAGGGTTTTATTGAACAATATGGATTTAATATACAGTGCTCTGAGCAAGAATACAGATGCCTCACTTTACCCATCAGTAGCTAAGTTTACATGGGCAAAATTTTTTGATCCAATTAAAAATTTGAGGGATTGATAATCTGAATCCACTGTTTATATGGGTGCAAAATCAAATAATCTGGTCATGCACCAGGCTTTATTCAGATTAGAAGCATTTGGACATTCATTTGTCTAATTTTGCTAAAAAAAAACATAGAAGAAGAGTTGTATTGACACCTGTGTTGTTAACAAACAAACAAACCCGGCAGTGGCTCACTCCATCCAATATAGAATTTTTCCTCCTGTTAAATGTTGTCACTAGATGGCGCCCTTGCATACTTATTTTACTGTTCTGTCAAAGGTTGCACTGAGCATGCAGATGTGACATGATTAAGCTGTATGTACTCCTTTTTAAGTTAATGGAGCAGCCAGGTGTTGTGTTTGTTGTGTTTTATGCCAGAGTGTTAATAGAGAAACTTCCTGTACTGGCCTCAATAAATAAGCCAAAGGCTGAAGAGTGAAGACCGAGTCACCAGGTTAGTTTTGCCCATAGACTGTATATAGAATGGACAGAGTCTGCCTCCTTGCTGGGTGAAGCCACTCCGAGAACAGCACCCTCTGTTGACGGGCTGCAGTATAAGTCATAAATCCCACCTCCACCGGCAAAGCTTATGGGGCTGTGGACCAACTTTAGAAATTTATTACACAGAACATAATTTTTTCTCCCCCCTGCTTGCGATGTTGACATGTAGTTACAGTAAGACTGGTTTGTACTTAAGTCCTCTTTTTTCTGTGAAGCTCAGTTTTTAAAAGTTATTAGGGGGTTCATGTTTGCTATGACTGACACCTGATACAGCCTATGGGCGTTCAGGGATTGCGTAGCTCTCCCGGGGATACGCTGTTTGTGCAGAGCGTCATCACAGCGACTCTCGGCGACTGCGCGCCCGAATGCGTACATCGCTACTGCGCAGCGCTGGTTTCAGGAAATGAAGAAAAATCGCACTGAGAGCTATTTGGCTTCACATCCGTTTACAGGCGGGAGGCGGAACCAAGTTGTCCATAGTATATACAGTCTATGGTTTTGCCCCAACAGAGAGTCACAATCGGAATAAGTTCTTAAGTGTTTGCGTTTTGGAATAACTATCTGCATAAACCACACCTCTCGATGGGAATACAATTTCTTTACGATTAAGTCGATTTGGATCAGGATATTCCGATCGACATGTTTACATGATGCTTTTTATTCAGATCGGCCTTTATTCTGATTATTAGTGCCCATGTAAACGCAGCTAATGAGAGAAGGACAGTATTATTTTGGTGGTCCCAGGCTGAAAATTGTGAACCCTTATTAAAGACAACCTCTAAATAATTCACCAGTTGCGTCTCTTTGTGACTTATTCTGCCTCTATGTGTTTGCGAAAGTGTTTCCACACAGTCTAAAAATAGTGAGATGATAAAATCTAACACCTTCAAGCTGGAGACGTCTCTCTCCACACCTCTGGACTGAAATAAACGGAGTGTGAAGAGAGTTTGTGAAACTTGCATCAAACAAAGTTCAGGTCTCAAGTTGAAAAAAAAAGGTCTGTAAACGAGTGTGTGTGTGTGTTTGTGTTTGTGTTTGTACCTTCTTCAGCTTGCCTAACAAAGAAACTATGGGTTCATGCTGATCCTTGTATGCCAAATCCTCTGCCGTCTTTCCATCCTGAGGGTAAGGAGAAAAAGAGATAAAAAAAAGGGATGAATAAATGCATAAGCAGAAACAGATAATCCCTCACATTTCCTTTGACTGTTCAGGTTTGCTTCAGTGCGTCAAACACACAAATCTTTGTTGATGTGTCATTTAAGGGACCTAAAGTCAGATCTCTGGCCATTTAAGATGACGGGCGTTCAAGCAAGTCTGACAGACGTGCTGCAGCATGTCAGCTATGATTTATCTGCATCAGAGGCGATAGTGATCAAATATTCAGCCTGTGTGCTCATCCCAGCAGAAACACCCTGATACTGGGAGACGCTGATCGAGAAATACACAGAATTGAAGGTTTGTTAGCATGACATGTTGGCAGGAAAGATGTCTAAAAACTGGATTTAGGCTTTTCAGATATAGGAAAAAAATTAAATATTCATTTTGATAACTCCATACAACTTCCCAATCCCAACATCCACCTCAAAACCTGAGCTCTGAACCCTCACACACTTCAGAAGGTTCAGTGCTTCAGTCGGTGAAGGATTGAGATGATGCAAATATCCAAAATGAGACCTGCTTTCAAAACTTCATGTTGCCTTAAAGAAGATTTGTCATTAAGTAAATAAAGAAAACAGCTAATGTCCACCAGCATGAATGACTTATTATGGGTCTTATAGTACTGGGTTAAGCAAACCAACAAAAGACATTCATGTGAATGTTTTACCGTGAAACATAAAACCATTACAAAATTGGAATGAATAACAAAAATAAAATAAAATAAAATAAAATAAAATAAAATTATAATTTAGGTCAAAAGTGTGGCGTTCAAGACCATGCTACTCGCTGTTAACAGCTGATAAGTTCTCTGACTACACCGTAACTTACAATACAATAAAAAATGAAGACTGAACAGGATTAAATTAAATCCCTATTATCATCCAAAACACATTTAAAAAATAAAAAGTTCCCATCTGAATAAAGAAAATGTCCTTCACTCTGCCAGACTCCAAATACACAGTCTTAAAGGTCAAAACCAACTTTAGCAGAGACAAAATCGTTTTTTAATCAAACCTTTGAATGTACTCATCAAAGCCCAGTGCCTTCATTACCCATGATTCAACTCAATCATCAAGAGTTAACAAAAAGATATATGTTATAAAAATAGTGTCTCTTTCAGACTTTTGATTCATTTCTTTGCTTCTGATCTTCCAACCCAAAGACACTGACTCAAGATACATTGGCAGACACTGTATATCAGACTCCAACCAGCTCTTTCTGGAGTCACAAACACCTCTGATTCATATGCAAAAACAGTAAATTTACCCTTTAAGAATCTTATTCTATCAGCTGATTCCTGCACAACAGACACCTTGCACATATTCACACTGACAGTAACATGCACTCTGGTTTATTTCCAGAGCTGTCTTTATTTGTTTCTTTGTCCATTTCTCCTGAAACACACTGACACAGAAACACCACAGAGAGAGGATAAGTTTCACGTCTCCTTCACTTTCACAGCCATCTGTCGCGTCCAGCTCTGACTGCTGCTGCACACGGAGAGAAGAACTGACACTGACAGCCTGAAACGTCCACAGAGAGCTTCCTACTTCGACGCTCCGCAACACAAGAGATTCAACAGGGTTTGAAACAATACAGATTACAGATCATTTTACTCTAAATTAAACAGGAATAAACACTTAAAAATCACATCTCATTTAAACGTTTTTTTTTGCTTTATCCTCCGCTTGTTTTTAATGTTTCCAGAAAGGTCACATAACATGATAAAAGCACAGAAGACAATGACCTTTCAGTTGTTTTCTTCGGCTAAATGTCAGAGATGTGAATGTAAATGAAGTGCAGCAAATTTGACCACTTAGTGGGATTTACTTGTGGGTAAATTCATGAGTCTTTCTCGAACAGATGGCACAGTGTTGTGACTTTTACCATCGCTGCTTGGCAACTGAGAGATTATGTGACCGGCTGGTGTTGTGTTTGACTTAAAAACTAGAGAGGAGAGGACATTGGATCATCTGGAGCAACTCAGATTTAATAGAAATGGATATGAAATGAGCTGATTATGATGAAACTGGAGAAACCAGGCAACCTAAAGAGATCCTAGAAAATAAATTCATAATGCTGAAAATGTTGAACACCGATAATGAAGCACTCTCCAATGGCAGGGTAAAACAAATAGTCCAGGACTGAGCTTCCCAAGTCCTCCTCCTCAGCTGCTCCTCAGCAAACCACTGACCCCCGGCCACAAGACAATGAATTATACATCTTCAGATTAAACATGCACAGCACATCAGCTGTCATACAATATTAACAGCTCCAGAGTTCAGAGAGAGAGAGAGAGAGAGAGTGAGAGAGAGAGAGAGATGGAAGAAACCTATGAGAGGGGGTCTGGACACTGAGTGGCTCTTAATATCTGGATTAAACCTGACTAAAAACACATTCAGTCACCAGTTCAGAGGGAAACAGCCTAAACAACAATAAACACTGAGATTAACTGACGACAAATCTGACCCGCAGACTGAACCAGTCTATGCTTTTGGGTTTTGACGGCCTTTGTATTTCAGAGAATTAGCGGCCAGATTTGCTTAAGAGATTTCAACTAATCACACTGTTTAAGGGATGGAGCTGATTCAATCGATGCATGTGAGCAAAATAATGTATAACAGGTGAAAGAGTAAAAAAAAAAAAATCGTAAATAAAAAAAAAAATAAAGAAAAAAGCAAATACAGCTGTTTTTGTCTGATACATTTATAGATTCCCTCATTATTTTTAACATGTTTTATTTCATCTCAATGTTATGAATTGTCTTGAAATGTTAAATTCATGCATATAACTGAGACAAAGGCAAAGTGGTTATACAACTACAGAAAAAAGTATATTTTAGTTTCTTTATCAATAAAAACCTAAACAGTTCAAACTTTCACTGTCCTCCAAAACCTCCACTACCTTCATCGAAAGATGATATAAGATTTAAGTCTGTTACCCTAAAAAAAAAAAAATATATATATATATATATATGTATATATATACAGTATATATATATATATATATATATATATATATATATATATATGTATATATATACAGTATATATATATCCAAATGTTCGGTCATTAAATGTTTATGTATAATAAAAATAATTTTGCTTGATTAACTTTATACTATCATTTCTTTTTTACTTCTTTTGCTGTTTGATTCCTCTCTTTTTCTTTTAGCCCTTTTTTGGTTGCATCTTTCCCCTCTGTCTCTTGAAACATCTTTCTCATTTGGTCTTTTTTGGACCAAAGAATAAAGATGTTTTTCCTGAGCTTATATACAGCATGCTTTTACGTTTTCTAATGATGACAGGTTACAGAAAATTTGAATACAAAAACCTAATATTATTACAATTTAGTTGACTAATCATGCATGTCTCAACCCCATCCCCCTCCATGTGTCAATGAAGGAGATCAAAAAGTAGATACAGACCAAGATTCACATTGGAGGAAGGGAAGAAATCTATCTAAATTTTGGAGCTTCTTAAAAAGGAAAATGAAGGAGAGAGTGAGGGTTCGAGAGGTTAATTTATTTCAACAATATAAAGAAGGGAACATTAAGATTTCTAAGCTTTAAATCCACAGAGGTGAGGCCGGAGGATTGTAGAATTAAAGGCGGTGTAGCCCGGTATCAGGAGAGCAGTGCTAATAATACATTTCAGCAGATTAATTCCAGTTTGAGTTAAAAAGCTGCAATCAGCTTTTCTACGTTTATTGAGAGTGTGTGTGTGCGGGGAGTGAGCAGTGACATGGTCTGCAACTCAAGCAGAAAATAACAACTCACCAACAAGTAAGCAGTTTTTAGAGCAGAGAGGAGCAGGACTGTTTCTGGTTTGTACATTTTACCAGCTACAGTATGTCACTCATTAGGATAAAGCATGGCCGTGTCCCCAAAAAGATGCCACACATCTGTCAGGGCTCTTAATCCTCTCTACATGCTAATGCAGCAGCCCTCTGAGCAGCTGCTTTCAGACATGAACCAGCTTGTTCAGTATAATTAGTACAAATATCAGGATTGGACTGAAATGGCAATAAAAATGGGTTGTACAAAAACCTGCAGAGCCAGAAATTACTTCTTATCACGACGCATTATAACACAAGTCATGTTTCTGTTACGGTTCTAAATGAGGGCAGTCGTGAGAAGACGAAAATCTGCACAGCGACTTACGTTAGTGACAGCGTCGATGTTCGCTCCTGCCAGGCAGAGGTGACGGACAACCTCTAGGCTCCCGTTGTTGGCGGCCAGGTGTAGAGGAGTTCTGCCGTACTGGAGGAAGAGGGAAACATAAAGCAGGAGTTTGGTCAGTATAAATAAAGCACAGCATATATCTGAAAAATGTAACTTGAAGTGAAGCAAAAGAAACTCAGCAGGATGTAAGGAGGGATTTTGTGTCTAGTGTACAATAAAAAAAGTATGGGGATCTTGCAGGGAAGAGAAGTGTCGGGTCTAGCTGGGTCTAGCTTGCTGGACCAAAATATGAATGCGGTTACTTTCAAAGGTCTCTTTAAAGTCGGATCTTTGGTGCAACTAAATTCTGCTTTTCTCTAACTCTGAACATTAACTATGTACTATATTTGTACTCAATACTGTCCTTTGATGTTAGCTATCTGCAGAGAAATGTTGTAATTTTTTTGCCCTTAATAAGGCCGTTTAGACCCACTGTGCCCCCACGGTTGCTATGGGACCCATATTCACTGTGATGTTGGAGGAAATGGTTGTTTCTGTCCACCTCCCAGAATCCTTTTTATTGTGCAGCATTTGTAAATATGTGTTACTGACAGCTGCTTTGTGAAGGCGGCTGTCGCAAGCTGCTTGTCAGTCACACCCTTTTCTATTGAACCATGTACTGTTTATATTTGCTAACAGGACTGCGCCTCAGTCACATGACTACACATGCAGGTGTGCAGGTTCTCAAGCTCTGGATCTCTAAGGGCAGCCCCACATTTAGGGTTTTTTAAGATAAGGCAGCCTGTCTTTGACACTGCAAATTCCTTTGGTCTAGACTTTGTTTTCTGGACTGAGAAACAGGAAGCCAGGCTGGAGCCAACCTGGGACGCCTGGACTTGATCTGGTGATGGTGGAGTGTCTGCATCATACTTGTCATGTCTGTGATTTTTCAGCTAGTTTAGAATTGATAAAAAATTAACCTTGATATAAAAAAACAGGGGCAATGATCAGGAGCAAGACATAGCAATCAACAAGCTACACCGGTAGAACCTTCACACTGTAAAAAAATTGGATGACACCACATCTTCCTAACAGCGAAGCCAAAACAGTTACAGCTCCTCCATGTTGACAGATTGGACATGAGTGAAATGCAGTCAGTTCTTATTAATGTCAGAATGTTAGAAAGTTAATTTTTCAGAGAGTAACTTTTTTCAGAGTCATCATGCACCAAATTAAAACATATCCTAACGTTATGATTAAATCCGCTTTACTTGAGTGTGACAAACGCGCTCCTGTGACAAGAGTCAAAGTACTTCTTTTAATGTTTGCTGATATTTGCTGTCTTATCAGTAAGTTGATATGTGTTTTGGTCAGCATAAGGGTCCAAAAAGAGGTCACTACTGCACAGGTTGCAGCTCAAAATGTGCGATACATCTACATGTCACATGGAGTATTCTGGCTTCACTTTTGCACCACAGGAGGAGGTGACATGTCGCCCATCTTTATACACAGTCAATAATGACAAAAAAAACTTTGGTTGAAGTAAACAGTTCTCTGATTGTTGTCCTCTAAAACTTTTGATGTATCAAAGTTGTTGGTGTCTTTTGAATAAGGATGAGTTTATTCATATCAAAAGACTGAAGACAGGAGAGAGCCGGAAAATATCAACACCCACCAGAAAATACACAGAAAGACAGACAGCATTTCAATCAATTCCTGTTTGTCACAACTTGAAAAGAAAAAAACACAAGGAAGCAAACATTCAGTTTCTATCCTGCTGTAAACACAACAGGAGACATTTCCAATTCCACCCCTCTCATTTTTCTCCAGAGTCCACAGACAGTGAAGATAAACCCTGCCACTGACTCAGCAATGTGTGATTTGCTGCTGGAGATTCAGCCTTAGAAAAACACACACAAATAGAAAGAGTGTAATGAATAAATCACCGCATCTTATGCAGGGCCTGACTGCTCCTGATGCACATCACTCCCCTGATGTGGAAATCATGTTTCTGTGCGTGAAGATGCTGAGAGGAGCAACCGGCAGGACCCCATCCAAGAACACATTAAAATGGATGGCATCAATATAGAAATCACCAAAGGGGGAAATGTGTGGGAAGTCAGGCCTAGCAGAGAGGCAAAATGAGACGGAATATCTTGACAGATATATGCTAGGTATTTAAGAGCTCCTTTAAAGGGCCATGCCAACTAAAAATAGCTGTTTTTCTATAACGGCCCTTTTAAAACTGGTGCTAAAGTTCCTCTTCTGGCTCTGAAGAAGACTCGTCTGAATCACGGCTTTTTATTTGATCTTTCTGGGAGCTGATGCCTCACAATGACTCATGTAAAAGGCCACATAATTCACCTTATATTGTCCTCTTCTGCAGTGCAAGTTGGTTAATTCAAATGACATGTTAACAGCGAATAAATATAGATTTAACATGTATATTGAAGTTCTTTTCAGGTGTAAATGCATGTCTGTGACTGTCAATAACTTTACCTCTGGTATTTCTTTGGGATCATTTTAAAAGCAGTACACTGACACTGAGCCCAGTCGAGATTAGACCGGATCAAACAGCAAAAACCCTTAGGGAGCATGTATTTGAACCTAAAGAAATCCCTTTAATCCCTATAATGTGTTTGCTTTCTATGTTTATTCATCCCTCTGTTTGGCCTGTGATTAGTCCTACTTTGGCCTGGATAACAGAAGAAACAACAGCACAACATGGTGAAAAGACCTTGGATATAAGAGCAGTGCAGTCACATTGAACTCTTAAACAAAATACATTTATCTGCCTCCAATCAGCAATTTTTTCCTCTCAGCTACAGGAGTAACAGGATGGTCTAACACTGATGCAGGTGATTGCACCTGGCCTGGTTTATTCCTCAAGTGATGGATGGAGGGAGTCAAGTTGAGAGAAGTAAGTACTTCATCAACATAACTGGAATCTCACTGTAATGTCAGTAAATCTTCTATGCTTTACTTTTTCTTCACTGGAATAAGGACATCCAACCCAAACTGTGAAAAGTAGAGCAGCATAAGTATTGACATACTTTCAGCTGCTTTGTATTCTGGCAGATTTTTATCCCTTTGCAGCATTTTAACATTTATGGAGAGCTGACTCATCAGTGTGTCTAAATGTATCACTACACTCGACACAGCTGTGTTTGCAGGCTTGTGGTGTAAACAGGAAGTTTTTAATTCGAGGTTTTGTTATTTAGATGTTACTGTAACTGACATTTAGGATCCATGTTTCTGAGGGCTGACAGTTGGCGTCCTCACCTTGTTGGGCAGATCAAGGCTTGCCTTGGCGTTGCAGATCGCTGTGACGACGGGCAGGTTTCCGTCCTTGCAGGCGATGTGCAGTGGTGTGTTGCCATGGCGATCCTGTTGATCCAGGTGGCAGTGATGTCTGAGGAGGCAGCGGACGACTTCAACCTGACACCTTCGCACGGCCAGGTGGAGGGCTGTGTGACCGTCCTGGAGTCACAAAAAGAGAAATGGAAATCAGTCACAGTGTAAACAGAGTGATACAGCATTATACATTATACTGAATTTCATCTTGATCCTGAGCTCATCACCTTGTCGGTTGCTTCCAGATCAGACTTGTGCTCCACCAGGCACTCCACAATGTCCACAAATCCTCGAGCAGACGCAGTCAGCATCGGACTCTCCCCTTCACGGTTCTTTGCGTCTACGTTGCAGCCCGCCTGGCACAGTGCTCGGGCCACCGCTGAGTATCCATGCCAAGCAGCACAATGCAGCGGAGTCTCCTGCTCCTGGGGGGGAGATGTGTATTACAGAGGGATTTAGAACAAGCCTGCTGAGTCACATTGCTGCATGTGTATGTGTGCGTTTGCTTACCCTGTCAGGCAGGTCTGGGTTAGCACGGATGCTGCACAGATAGCTCACCACATCCACGTTTCCATAGCGAGCTGCCACATGGAGAGAAGTTTCCCCGGACTGAAGGAGACACAAGGAAATAAGACTTAATATCATCAAACAACTAACAGTTGAGCAAGATGCTTGTGTCGACTGCACCTGATGAAGAGGTTATTTAAGCTGATGGTTAAGTCTCTTTATGACCCACAAGACCATCAGCAACAAGACTGACCACAACCTGATCTCACGTCATGCCGTCCACTCAGGACAATGGCATAGGAGAAGCTCACTTTATCTTTTTTCCTCTGCTCTGCACTCCTTTGCTTCTGTATGATCAGGAAAGTTAGTTAAAAGTTTTTTCTTATTTGTGAAGATTAATCAGATATTTTCACTTCCTAAAGACACAGGCATCAGAAAAGAATGGGAAGGTTTTACATTGTCAGGATGTGCTCACCATTTCAATGATGATTGTTTTGTAAACAAAGAGCAGTATGAATTCCAGGGTTTCCCCTACATGTAATTGACCGTTGCGCACCACCACAGCAACGTAAAAGCAGCCACACCTTAAAATGGTGTGTGTGTGTGTGTGTTTGTGTGTGGGTTACTGAGCATTGGCTGAGCATTAGCGAGCTGTCGTTTGCGATCACACAGCAGATTAGTACCCCACCCCACTCTCAAAATCACACTCCACCATGCATAGATTCTTGTCTTGTTGGAACACTGAACTGGTTTTGGATCCTGACTGTTTCTGAAACCCGGGGTCGGTCCATACTCCACAAAGGCTTGAAACCGTGAGCTGTAAGTGACGTTATAACAGTGGCTAATGTGGTTACATGGGGAGATAAGTGAGTGGTGATGGATGGCATCAGGCTCTTTCTCTAAAAGATAATTTCCCAGTTTGGGATCAATAGAGTATATCTATCTATCTATCTAAAAGCACAACTTTCAAGGTGTTCTGGGACTACAAAGCTGCATTAAAGTAACACACCCAAGCTGTCTATCTAACTTTATATCTCAAGAAAAGCAGCCAAAATGGAGACTTTCAGACTGTTCCAGGGGGCGGCATGAATAAATTATGCACATAAAGTGATAAATATTGAAGTCAAAGTGGAGTTTTGGCCGTATCATCCAGCCTTTACTTAATGCTGAATAAAAGCCGGTCTTTGAATTCCTCATAATAATGTAAATATATTCTATAGCTGAGACATCCTGGGTGAGGCAATCCAAACTCACTTTCCTTTCAATCATGCCACTTTCACTGAGTCAGAATCTCCAATTTAAACAAATGCATTTACTGTGCTGTGTGCGCAGACATCAGCCTCATTAGAAATCGATCCATCAGCTTCAACTTTATGGCTGCCAGTCAGAGCGGAAACTCGTTAGAGGAGAAGGTACTTATGTGAAATGGCACCCAGGACACCGCGTTCGCATGTAGGTGGGAAAGTGAATGGCTTTAAATAGCTTCTAATGGATTAATGTTGAAAAAAAAGGCTTTACAGCTCTACTTAATGAGAGGAATTATAAAGAAACACAGACAAAAGAGGAGATTCTTCTTGTTAAAAAGGCACTGAAAAGTCTTACAGTTGGATGCAGACACCTCAGCTGGAGATTTCTCACTTGTAGAGTAATAAAGTGAAATGAAACTTTAATGATCCTTGGACAGGAGCTAGATCATAACCGAGAAAACGCATGTGGTGCAGATAAGCGGCGGTCTGGTCGGGGAAAAAAGGACTCTGCTGTCAGTGTGTGCAGACAGAGGAGGACACCAGCAGAGGGTAAAAATGATTGAAGAGATTAGAAAATGCTTTTGGGATTTCATCTGCCCGGGTTAGCTCTGTGATGGAGGCGACACAGGCTTCAAAAGCAAACACACACGTACAAAAAACACACATCCCATCATTCTCAGCAAGACCTGTTTCTATAGCAACTGCAAATAAGCTGATAAAGTGCCAGAGTGACTGCTTTTCTCCACAGGTGTGTGCTGCGAACGTGCGAATGTGTGTGTCTGGCTGTTTCTGGGAATCAGAGTGAAGCTTCTCAGGAGGTTTGGGTGGGTAGGAGTGTGTGAGTAATTGCAAAGAGATAACCGAGTGTGTTGAGGAGTTGTAAGTGCGTGTGTGTGTTTCTGTACATGTGTGTGTGTGTGAGGCATGCATAGAGAAGGGAAGAAGAGGCACTTGATTCACCTTATCTTGGACATCCAGAGGACATTTCTTTTCATGAAGGAATTTCAGGGTCTCAACGTGGCCGTGTCTCGCCGCGTAGTAGATAGCGTTGGCTCCACTCTGGATGTTCAAGAGAGAACAAAATCCAGGATTTATCCCTGACCTTTACTTTACAATCACACACACTCAGAGGGAATAATCCTGCTGCCAGATGATACAAAATAAACACATACTTCACAAGTACGGTGCAGAATGTTTCTGAACTGTTTGAGCTGCTGTAGCTAACCTGCTGCCAATGACAGTTTAAACCAAATCTGCTTAATTTCTGGTGATAAAAGGGGATGTAAATGCTTTTAAATTAGATAAAATAATGTAAAAACAAATGATATACTTCACTCTTCTTCTTGAGTTTGACACAAAGGCTGTATAAATCATAAATACGGTCTACGTGTGGTCGACTACTGGTTTTTAGAGCCACTTTGTGAAGCCCAACGATGGCAGGCGCCACATTGGAAATGCTGATTAAACTTCACTTTCAGCCATTCTTACTGCAGGTAAGAAGGTGGAGCTGAAGCAGTGCACCCACATGACAGTCAAGCCAGTTGTGCCTTACTCTTCACATTATCTCAATAGCTGCATAACACTGCGAACTGCGAACTTGTCCCCTTATACAGCATGCACAAATAAAGACATGAGCCACAAACCTAAGGCTGTTTTAAATTGGCTTAAATTTTGCCTTAAATTGGGTGTTTCAACATGGGTCCTAATTGGATCTCCTGGGCTGAAGTGGAAACTTGAGGAGCTGCATTTATTACTTCCCAGCATTGGCTTCATTTTTTAGCTCTGGAGGTCGCTGCCTGGTTGAAACGAGGGCTGTCATGATAACAGATGTTCACCTCATGATTGATGTCACCATGAAATTTCACACTAACAATATTATCGGGATATTTATGGCTGAATGATTGGAAATTTGGAATAAAGATCAAGATTCTGTATCTTCGAGGCTTCTCAGACTTTATAAATTCAGTTGAGTGCTTGTTATTCTGCTCTGCTGAGTGTCTTCAGTTCATGACCACAATCATTTACAGAGTAATAGCCCCCGTAATAATCCCGATGACAGAGTGTCACATTCCTCTGCCCTCCTTTCTGCGGCTCTGACGCCTTCACTGCCTGTCTGATAAAGTTCACAGCTGTCTGTCACAACAGCACTGATGAGTCTTTACCTTGTCATGGGCCTGGATCTCTGCGCCTTTCCTCATCAGCACCTCGATGATCTGGATGTTTCCACAGCCGGCTGCGATCAGGAGAGGAGGAGTCCCATGCTGCAATTAACACAGAGTGCAAATGTAACTATAATGTGTTTTTAATATCAAAGCTGTAAATCTCATCTGACACCACAGAATTACTAAAAGCTCTGGAGAAGTGGGAGCATTTTTCTGGTATGTCTGACTTAGTAATAGAAACTACGGAAAAAGATTTGAGGATTTTTCTGTCACCATTATTACCCTTTTTCCCTCAGTTGTTTAACCCTCATTATAAACTCCTTCAAGCTCTCTGCAGATATTTCTCCTCTTTTTTTTTTCTTCCAAACGACTCTCTTCTCTCTTTCCTTCCACACCTCATGGATTTTAATAACACTGAATCCTCCCCCATCACACATCAGCTGTCAAACAGCGTCTCTTCTCCATCTACACAGCGAGCAGAATGAAGATGAGGGAGCTGCTGAGGTCTGGTTTGTACCTGAACGTCAGGTGAGGGAATTAATCATCTGTTCTCTGCATTAAAAAAAGGAATACATCTGTGAGCCCCATTTTAACTCAAGTTTGTATTGTATAGTATATCTCTCTTTTTTTAAAATAAAAAACAGAAAAAAAAAACTAAAGTAAAGGACAAATGGAACGGTTTTAACATTTTGTACATATTTAGTCGCCTACTGAAGCCTATTTCTGCATTTTTTTAACCAATCCACAAATATAAAAGAAATGCATACCAGTGTGCTCCACTCCTGATGACAATGAAGAAGTTTGGGTTGGGGTGGGGGTTCAAGTGATAGACAGGATTTTAGAGATATTCTTCAGTTTGTGTTTCTGCACACAAACTGTCTGTGACGAATAAATAACAAAGCTGTTGCTAATGACCAATCAGAGTACAGTTCTTGACACAGCGGTTGGGCCTAACATACTAGACTTGTTGCATTATTAGTTTTTACTTAAAATAGATGCCTTTACAACAAGTATGAGGCATGCATGCATATAAATTTCTTCATTACACTGAAGAATGCTTAGGTTTGGGGTCTTCATAAGACCATGGACTAAATAAAAGAGTTTTTAATGCCTCCTCCAAACAAATTAGAGATCATACTTGGTCAATCATAGATTTTATCAGCCAATTCAATTCATGAAATCAGTGTCACAGTATAGAATAAGCTAAGATACATCTGTGTATGAATACAAACTTCAAGACGAGACTAGAGCAACATTTGAAGCAAAATTGCAGGAACTAATTAGATGTTAATCGACTACAACCTGAGGTGGTCTCCTAAAAGCCAGACCTCACAGGAAAATCACAATCAATGTTCAGTAAACTAATGGTCACAAAGAGGTCCCAGACTCAGCCTCTAATATTCACAGATGGGTAAATGGCCATGAGTCTAGCTCTGCTTGAAGTTTCAGCTGTTACCAAGTTTTATGAGTTTTACCAAATGTTTGCTCATGGTGAGCTCATTTTAGGAAAGTTTTGACTAAAATGGGATTAAACTGAAAACTAAGTTCCCCTGACTAAATGTGAGACATGAGGGGCTGAAATATGAAAGGTGACTAAAAATCAACCACAAATTTTCAGAGGCTGATCACACATCTACACCTACAGATGTTCTGTTTTCCTTCATGCTCTGACAAAGACCACCAAGCTCAAGTAGTGGGCGTGTTTTTTGACAAGGAGAGAATAAATTGGTGAAATTGGGATTAGTCACATCTCTCCTGAAGTTGGGTGTTTGTGTATGCATCATTTGCCTCCAAGTGTAAAACTATTCCCGTCCACCTCATTGTTATTAGTCACCTTGTTGGGCTGGTTGACGTCGTAGCTGTTCAGTGAGCCCAGCAGGTGCTGCAGGCCGGGCACGTTGTCGTCGTTGATGGCGTGGATGATAGCCTTCATCACAAAGGAGTCCTCCTCATCCTGAGTGGGTGGGAAAGACAGTTACTGTTGCTCACAAACATGATCTAATCCTGCGAACATTAATCTGTGAATTCCTTCGATCACATGCCTCCTCTAAGTCTCTCTTTCATCTTCGCTCTCATGCATGAACACACACAGAAACAAACAGACTTTTCTTTTCCAAGTTCAGGGTCTGAGTTTTTTCCCCCGGCTGTGACATGTGACCTAATGACCTTCAGCAGGAGTCAGCCGCACAGGCACAGAAATCAGTTGTGACGCTCCGCTGCACAGGGAGACGAGGAGGAGGAGGAGGAGGAAGGCAGGGGGGAGAGGAGGAGGAGAGGCAGAGAGGGAGGGAGGAGAGGCTGATGTGGCGTTTGTTCTGCCAAGCGTTACGCTGCGGCTACATTCCTCAAAATGACTTCCCTGCTGGGCGAGGTACGACTAAAGCACCTCAGAAAGCTGCAAACACGCTACGCATGTGGGCGAGCAGCTAAACGCCCGCTGAGGGTTTATGTCAACATGGTCGTCAGGGATTTGAACCTTCCTGAAGTTGTTGCTCGGGACCCAGAGGCTGTACAAATCAGCCATATTTATTACTTTCTATGAAACACACACCTCATGAAACTGTCCGTTAGTGAATGATATTAAATAAGCCTCTCTGACATATAAAGGAAAAATATCCTTGACAGTCTGATGACTGTTCTCATAAAAGTCGAACAGTCGTCACACATAAAATTTATACAAAAACAACACCCGATTTAGCATCAGGAAAATAAAGATGTGTTTGGTCTCTCTTTGTCTGCTTTTGAGACCTTACAGAGCACTGGCACAGTATACTGCTCTATCCCTCTGCTGGCTTGTAGAGGTTTTAATTATAAAATGCAATTTAGGGAAGATTAGGTGTGCACAAAAGTGTAATTGAAAACATGACTGGACTAGTAACGAGAGAGAAAATAACCAACGTTGATGAGGTTTGCAAAAATAAGACAGAATCACAGAGTCCTGAGTCGGTGACCTTGAAAATCTGTCCGCAGGGGCCGCACATATCAAACCACTCAGGCCACAGTTTCATGATTAAGATGCAAAGAAAAGCTGAGTCGACATTAACTGTATCAATCTACTCCTGAATTGTGGTCAGTTATGGACAGTAAACTATCAAGTATTTGGTGTCAGGCGATATTTCGATTTCAGGGCCGATTCTGACACTGATTAAAAGTGTTTAATGAGAATAATAACAGACATGCATGACTGAAAAAACGTAAATCTTCCCGTCAAAACTTTGAAAAACTACAAACTCCAACACAAACTTTTTCCAGCAAATGTTCATCCAAACTGAAATGTTGATCATCATATACAGGAGTTAATAGTTAAACAATCTTTCTTAGAGCACAGGCTAGACGTCCCCCTGTCTGGTGACGTCTGGGCGGTCAGTTAGTGTTATGGATGGGACATTAAGTCAAAGCAAAAAGGTCATTCGGTGCAAGAAAGCAGATCCAGATAGAAACACACACCAGCAGTGCTGCTTACCCTTTCATTAACTTTCTTTATCAGGCATCTATAAAATAAAAGGCTGACACAGATAATCAGACAAATGCCAATATGGGCCCCAGTTTAGTGACGGTAATGTTGTCCACAGTGAAGGATGATGAATCACCACCTGAGAAACCATGGACATGTCTTGAGTCTGTACTTGAGGTTTCAATGAGTGAAGAATGGTTCATATCCTTAGATGTTTATTCTCTTACACACAGACATACTTAATCACTTCCTACATAAATGAGATTAGCCGTGGATTAATGTGAAAATAACCGAAACCATCTATGATCATTCCAGAGATGGACAAGAGATAGTGTAAAACCTGGACAATCATTAACACACAGTCTCACACCTACAAGTAATTTAGAGTCACAGATTAACTTACAGTAACAATCATACCCTTGAACTGTGGGAAAATACAGAGTGCTTGGTGTGAACCCGTGCTCGGCTCGCAGAAGGGAAACATACAAACTCCATGGGAAGACTCTTTCCTCATCAGGGTCGAACCTGTTGCCGTGAGGTGTCAGTGCTAGCATGCAGCACAAATCGCTTGAAATCAAAGTGTAGAATTGAGTTCACTGCCTGAGTAGTTTAAAATAACGGACTGGAGGACTCTACAGAGCAGTGAGTATTGTGAAAGTGGAACAAACAACATTTGAGTATTACATAAGCGGTCCCTGCAAATCTCTTTGGAGGGAACGGACATCTGTTTCACATCCCTGATTGGCTCTTTCTCCATGCTGAGGAGTATTGCAGCAGCCAGAACCACAAAACTGACAAAAAATCTAATTACTTATTCATCTGTATGACTCATGTGTTTTTATATCACGGAGGACTCTGTTATCTGGAAAAGAAATCACTTACAATGATTTAAAATGAACTCTGGAATCAAAAGATCCTCAGCTTTTTAACGTCATACGTAACAAGCAGTAACTCAATATTGAAAACAATCTTATTTTTTAGCCCCTCTACGAACACTTTCTCAGCTCTCACAGCACTTTTCCCAGATTTACTTCCACCTCCTGACACAGAGCCATTCAAACACCACACAAACAACTTCTTAGTTGGAAATTCACAGAGGGGCCGCTGCGTTTAAAGCCACCTCTGAGTGGAGTATTAAAGTAAAGCACTTAACCCCGGAGCTGCTCGGCCAATAAAGACAATCACCTTTCAGAAAGCTTGTTCTGGTAAGCATCGACTGCAGTTCTCTTTGCGGACTTCAGGGGGCACAACAGCCTGTTTGCTTCTACCTGGATGCTCACCTGTTGCTCTGTTAACCTTTCATGAGGAAACAACTCTAGCCTTGGCCTGTAGGTAACACTCGGTTAATGATTGAACCTCTGACTCAAGCTTCAGTGTTTACATCTCGCAGGCTCGTGTGAATCATCTTAAACAGACGCACGCCATTACAAGCTCTCCTTTTAATCAATATTTGTACTTAAACTCATAATGAACTGAACGAGCTTCCTTCTCCGGAGGTACATTCCTGCAAAGCTCAACCTGGTTTCACATATGACTAAATTCCAACAATCCCACAAACAACTGACCTGCGGCACTCGGGGGGAAATGAGGAACAGATCGATTACACGAAGGAGCTCGAGATTCTCTGAGAGATTGTGGAGTTAGAAAATACCAGAGCTGTAACTGAGAGCTCGGGGTCTTAATAAGCAAACACACTCCAATAAAAGTAATCAGAAACTCATTAAGCTGAGAGCCTGCTGTCATATCAAAGATCCACTGTGGAGATTAGAGTAATGGGTCCCTCGCTGTCGATGTTTTACACAAGAGTCATTTAAAGCCTTAATGGTGTTAATCACTACAAACCTAATCAAAGTGAATGACTATGGATCAGGATATGGCCTTTCTTTGCCTTTAAATGTTCTTGTACTGCAGGGGCAGTTTTTTAGGTCTTACCAGTGTGTCATCACTGCGCGCCACACTTATGTTGCTCCTGGACAGGAAGGAGCGGGACAGGCGGTTGCATAAGGAGATGAGCCGGACAGATTGCTGCAAACAGAGAGAAAAGAGTTTCATGAATGAGGAAAAAGTAGAGCAAGTTTATGAGGAGTCATGCTCCTCGTGTGCAGGCAGGTGAGTGAAGATGTAAAGTGATTTCCTGCTCTATCTAAAGTGGCTCCACTTACTGTACATTAAAGCTGCTGCAATAAACTCTTATAGTTATAAGCTTCATAAAAACAATTAAAATATTCAAATCATGATAAATAATGAGTATACAGTGATAGTGTGAGCTCCTATCAGCAAGTCATAAAACAGAAGACAGACCAAGGAGAAGAAGCAGCAGCTGCCAGTGAGTTAGCTGTAGCAGCGCTCTGAGAAATGAGTCAGCACTTTTTAAAACTGACTCTCAATGTAAGAGCTTGTGCCTCTTCAGGTAACTAATCAAATGAGTCAGTTAAATGATTTTTATTAAATGATTTTAGTTCTGTAACTCCCAATTTACCAGCAGTAGTACATTTCAAAATAAAAGCTAATTGCATTGTCCTTTTATCGATATATTTCACTATTTTGTCTCCCTGTTTTATGTCTATATCAGGGGCTTTTAGGTTTGTAAGGCAATTTGTAACATCTGTTTGGATAAGTGCTATCTACACAAACATGATCATTATTGTTATTTACAATGAAGGAATAAAGCAAACAATAGCAAGACAGAAAAAAATTTCAAAGTAAAAGCACTACAAACAATCTTTTTTATGAGGCATAACAAGTTTTGCTCATAGTTGACCAGAAACTGAACTTTTTCTCTACACTGTGATTGGCTATTGTAGGGTTAAGCGTTGTGAAATTGACAGGCAGGTCATTCAGGTGTCGTTCTGAACAGTCCTGTAAAAAGACAGCTCAGCTCAGGCACAGCTTTCTGTTCACCAGTTGGTCAGTGTTGCAACCCTCACCTTTGGTACAGGGATTGAGGGGGCTTTGTAGTAGTTTTCTCCTCATTAGAGAGTTAAAGGTTCAACCTCAGCTCCTGCAGCCCACATGTCAAAGTGTCCTTAGGAGAGACACCAAACACCTTAATTGCTTAAAAGTGTGTGTAAGGTAAAATGCGACTTGTAGTGGTCTGAAGACTCAAAAGGAACCGTATAAGTGGTCCTTTCTGCTAACTAAGGGGTTGAGTTCGACTTCTTACGATGATTTTTCTGGTTACTGCTTTTTGAACCTCCAGCCTTCTATCAGTAAAGTTGTGAGATGCATCATCAACATGGCAGTCTCTAAACTGCAGCGTCATGTTTTGGCGCCAGTTTTGTAAGTGCGTACACATAAACTCAAAGTCGATGAAGGTTACTGCGTAGCCAGGAGCTGCCACACACGTCGTGGCAGGCGACAGAGACGTGGCCTGACAGCGACGCCAAACCACCACGGAAAAACGATCCTGGCGTTTTTCTCATAGCCCCGGAGCAGAGCTAGGTCAGCTGTGATGAACCAAAAACAGACAAGCAGGCGACCTCTAAAGCCGCATGGCGGAAGTTTTGATGGCTGTGGCTCGCCTAGAGCACTTCATGGTGACATCAACTGAGGACAGCTAAGAAGGATTTTTGGCAAGAGGCTGTCACGGTCCCAGAAAAATGAGGTGAAACACGCAATATTTTTTCTTTCCTGAAGCTTCTGTTGGTTAGATTTTAAATCTGTCTCATAAAAAAAACTTACTTTCCACTTTCTTCGAGCTGCAAACTTCTTGAACTTCTCCATGTTGACAGCGGACTCCTTTCTGCTCAGAGCTTGTTGAGTGTCTTTTGGCTGATTGAGCAAAAAAATAAATAAATATAGAGGAAGAAAAAAGTCACAAGGATATACATGATGAGCTAAGTACAGATATACAGATATACATTTAATCACTTAAGGTTTGGACATCAACAGTCAGTTTAAGTTTCATCTACTGGCACAAAATTAAAAGGTGACATTTTATCTTTTACAGATTAACTACGGTTTAAAATCAAGAGAGTCTCACCTTGATCCAGGGGTGCTGCAGGCTGTCCTGGATCGTCATTCTCTTTCTGTGGAAATAAAGTGGAAAAAATAAAAAATTCAGGAAGTAAAACGATAAATGTTTATGTATTAAATTCTTCACTGAATCTGCTCTGGTGAATTATTTAGACACAGACACTTGTATTTCACTCAGCTCTGATACTCATCATTCAAAAGAAACTGGAAATGGATCAATTTCTAAAGCCAGAAACACAATTTTGAACATCAGATTTTAAATTAATTTCTCAGCAATGTGTCGAACATTTGTTATTTCCAGCTTCTTAACAGAGAACATTTGCTATCCTTCATGACAGTAAATGGAGAGTCTATAAACGGAGCAGCCCTGTGATCATATTTGTAAAAGTGAAGAAAAGCTTGAATCAATAAAAGCCCTTATGTTGAAAGTCAGAGAGGTTGTTCACAGTCAGTAGCTGATTAGAAGATGAACAGGATTAAATGAACAGACCGTTCACACAGCTGTGTGCAGACGGATATAAAAATCAACCTTTTTATCTGTGCAGAAATAATCAAACTGCAGATGTAACACTAACATACCCTGTGAATACGAGCTCTCATCAAACCTGAAAAACTTGGAAACATATGCAGCGCTTGCAAGTAGCAGTGTGACTCAAAGCTCACAGTATCAAACTTGGTGAATCTTTGAATGTGAATCAGCACAGAGTGGATAAACACGGCCCCCTCACTCCTCATAACGAGGTCAGTGGGTTAATACACCAAAGGAAAAAAAAGGAGGGTAGTCTCCAAATGAAAGTAATCTCTACTTATCATGCACTGGAGATCCGCTGCTTTTTAGACACATTCATAAAATACATCACTGGGGAAAGTTATTCAGTTGAGGGATGAAACCAAAGTACAGTCGGATAGTTTATATAACACACCACATTTGAGTAAACTTGAGATCACATTCCCAAATCTGTAAACACGTCACAGTCACACGACTGATGTCCAATTTCATCCTAAAGAAGAAGTCCCCCGTTACCACTTCTCTGATCACTACAGCGGCAGACAAACAGTGAAAACAACTCCACATTGTTCTGACGAAGTTTCACTTGGTTTAATTATTACCGCGGATGTTCATCACACTCACCACTTCCACTTTCATCTGTCTACGTTTGATCTGTTAAAAAACTTTCACTTCACTGACTGAGGCCTCGCATAACTACAGAGTCATTGTGAACATTATTAAAGAGTAATCTGGGTCTCCTTCATTTATCTTCCTGTCAGCAGAGCGGCTCCATGTCTGCTCACCATGTAGATCAATTAAAAGCCGCCTCGTTCTGCTGCACTCGGACGGAGATTCCTAAAAGCCTCATTACTTTAAATTTGTAAAGTCAGACTCCTCTTTGGCTCCCTGGCTTTCTGTTTAAAGAGTCCTGTCCTGTTTTTACTGTACACTATTGATATACCACACTGATATTTATTCATTCTGTGCTCCCTCTCTATTGTGTTGAAGTAAGCAGAAAACAGTCAGATGCTGGATGGTCCACAGCTTCCCAGAGTTCTCTCTTTTTTAAAAAACTGTTTTAATGTTATGTTATGATACTGTAGAGAGTCATTTATGCAGCTGAGGTGTTTCTAAGAATTGAGAAAGAGATTTGAGAGCGTTTCATACTTGGGGTCTTTGACGAGAAGCCGCGCTATGAAGTCTTTGGCCAGGATGCTGGTCCCGCTGAAGAACTCCTCGTCGAAAGTGTAGTCCACTGCTGACACGTTGGCCAAAGTCTCCTGCTTGTTGTCTCCCAGGAAAGGAGAGGCTCCACTCAGACTGCGGGACAGACAGAGATTAATGGTGAGGTTAGAAGAGTCCACAATTACTGCCATTAGGCAAACTGAAGAGAGCAAAAGATTTAAGACGGATACATCTATTGACAAAGAGAGGAACATGTGAGGATTACAGATATAGCTTCTGATACAGTTAGACGTTAATCAAGAAATCAAAGAGGTGAATTATTTACAAACTGTGAAACTGTTATGAAGTTTTAATGACAACTAGGGCTGGGTGAGATGGCCTCAAATCAATATCTCAATATATTGAGCAGTTCACCTTGATAACGATAAACAGACGATAACTACTCCACAAACTGCTCACCTCCTCCCACATTCACTTTGTCTACTTCAGCCACTGCTCCAGCCGCTACAACTTTTGAACCGTCCTCCATCTCCTCACCTGTCTTTCTCTCTTTGTTACAGACTGGATGGAGTAGAGTCATGTCTCTGACATAAGACAGCGTCTTAAATGGACATGAGACCATAGCCTACCTACAACTTTTATTAATTTATTCATTGACACCAAATATACTGACATGGGCAAAATGACGTCGGTTATTGTTGTAAATTTTGGTATCTGTAAATTTTCGGTTTATCGCCCAGCCCTAATGACAACTGATATTTCTGCCAATATGAGCTGAAAATATGAAATTCCCGTAACCAGGTATAGTCTGGTCAGGTTCCTAGAGACATATGAATTGAACTCCAGCCCCTGCTTAAAGGATGCACAATTCAACCACCAATCACAACCAGCTACAAAAATCATTCAAAATACAGAATCTCTTAACAATATTCAGGGACACATATTAACTATTAACTAGTTGCTTATTTGCATGTATGTATGTAGCAGGTTGGCTCTCAATTAGTCAGTATAGTCACACCTTATCCTCCATAAATGATTCAGAGTCGTTAGGACTCCATTAACACTTGTAATAGCGTGTTTTGTTACAGAGAAACAGACCACATTTATCAGCTCTTATTCATTCTGAATTTCAAAAAAAAAAACAACACTCTTTTGTGATCTTGAATGCATCAGAGTATCCTATACTTAAAGGAAATGAAGTTTGTTAGATTTAAGGTAAAAAACTAGCTTATCGAACAACGATTACAGCAGAAACTATGACTTTACTGTTGGTTGATTTCAGGCCAATTCAATCAGTAAGCTGCGTGGCAACTAGTTAAAATCACAATCACACTGATGGATTTTTCAAATATCAAAACTGCGAAGACAGCTGGTCGATCTCTCAGCTGAGTAACATGAATAAAAATTGATGGGTTTGAACAGAGTGAGGGAATTTAAAAGCAATTTCACTCTTGAACACCAACAGACAAAATACGCAGATATCTTCATGGACAGACAGCCACAGAGCAGCACACTGAGCAGTCAGGCGTGCTGACATGGTCTCCAGAGCTCAGGCAGACCAAACCCTCCCCTCCTCCCTGAAAACCTCTCCAGCTCGTCAGCACCAGCCGCTAATTAACATGCCAGCTGGGACGGACACGGAGGTGGTGCAGGTCAAGCTCAAGTTGAGTGGAAATGTATGAATTTATCCACTGTATGAGGTGCAGCTGTTCACTACAAACAAGTAATCAAGCCAGGCGGTAAAATCAGCAGGGAAGTGTTTAATCAGGACTCTGTGGCAACGTTTTTACCCATCAAATGATCCCAAAAATGAGATGTAACCATGCACCATGTTTTATGCCTACACATACCAGACTGAACAAGCATCAACCCCCTGCAGAAACACTCACTGATTCACTACATTCACCCCATGATTTGAGGCTTTCTTTCTTCTTTCCTCCTCATTTCTCAAAAATAAAAAGAAGGCACTTTTGTTACAGCTCAGGGTTTCTTAAAAGGACTTTTTGTTCTTCTTCCTTTTTGTATTAGAAATTCTGCTCATCACTCCTGCACAATACAAGTTTGTAGATGCTATTATCAATAATCACCCCAAGCCGTTTATTGAATTATTCTAGTTGTCATTTTCCCCTCTCGTTGTTCTTCACAGGCAGAGATGAGCTGTGAGTGCAGCGTACAGTTGCTGCGCTGTGATAATAGGCAGTGAGCGATCTATTTTCTACCTTACCGGGCAGAGCTGTGACAGCTGTGTGGGTGGACGGCATGAGCAGAGGTGGTGTGTATGTGTGCAGTCTGTATGTGTGCATGAATGCATTTGTAAGCATGAGTTCATGTAATGATGAAACAAACAGATGCATCATTTAAAGTCATCTACAGAGCACACCTTTAAAATTGAGGGGGTAATGTTGGCAGCTAGCTATTATGCAATTTGAAGACTACATTTGTGTTTGGCATTTATTTACCTCGCTGGATTTTAATGGGAGCTCTCGACGTGTTTGTGTGGGCAAGTGCACCTGGTGTGTCGTTTAGGGTGTGCATTTTCATGTGTCTCTCTGGAGGATAGAGGTGTGTGGGAGCTCAGAGAGCCTCACAGCCGGTATAAAGAGAAGAGGACAACGTCTTTGAGAGCAAACAGCAGTTGATCTGCGGGTCTCCGAGGGCATGAACTTCTCTCTGACGGTTGAATTAAACTGCACTGACATGTCTGCAGACAGCTGCTTAAAAGCCCTTACTATAGCTGGAGAGGACGATGTGAGCTTTGTGAACTGAATTACGAGCAAACAGGCCACATAAATGAAGCACTTTATCTCATTTTTTATCAATTAATTATCTGGTCTAATGTGTGTGTTCGGTGCAAACAAATCAATAATAATTTTATCATCCTATGCTGGAAATGCTGGTTATATAGTGCATTTAAGCTAAGTTTCAGGGCTGTAGCTTTAGTTAATGGATACTTCCATGGTGCTATGAAGCTCTACTACCTGGATGTAAACATGCACAGATGGTGAATGGTGTAGCGCAGCACAGTTTGGCATTTTGATCTAATGGACATAAAGTTGTATGAAGGCAGTTTTTGGTTAAACTGATATGTGTGCACTCCACCAGAATGATGCATAACAGCACAGGGAGGACCAAAGGCTGGTGGTGCAGCTCTTCTCGTGTTGGCCACACTCTGCAAATCGATGTGTCATTGTTTACCAGCTGACTCTGTGGTTACATTTTAAGTATGCTGCGCTCAATGTCGACTATATTTTCTGAGTGTTTCTTTACCTTTGAGATGTCAGCTCGCAGGAATTTGAAATTCTGCTTAAATGAAGAGGAAATTGGTTTCTGCGGAACATTCCTCAAATAGAAACTGCACTAAGATGTATCCATGGATTGTGTTATATTAGGTGCAAAGAGGAAATATCCAAAAACCACTTCTGTTCTGAGGTAACATGCAAACTAAATCAATGAACACTAAGGAAGATAGAGAACACGCTTGGTTAGGCCTGTAGCCTGATCTTTTTGAAGGTATTTATCTCTGCTTTTTATTGAAACAAAGACTGGAAACCTTTTTTATCTTGAAGTTAATGAGGTATTATTAATACCAATCAATTTTAAGATGGATTTCAGATTTGATGCCAGCTATTGGTTTTAAAAATGCAAACAATCAGATACTGATTGTGAAAGGTGATTTCACAATTACTGATAGTGAAAGGTGTGAAAAGGTTTCGTAATGCCGAGAAGATAAACACATCTCAGATGAACTAATCAGGTTAATCTGCATCAGGTTAGAAATATGACAAGGCATGCAGAAAGCTCCAAGAAGGCTGAGTCTCTCTTAAGTAAAGATGAGGGAAATTATTCAACAATATCAGGATTAAGTTCCTCTGTGTGAAAATGCAAAGAAATAAAGGACTACACCGTCAAACTAATTCAAAGATTCAGAGAATCTGGAGGAACTTCTGTGTAGAGAGGACCAGACCAGTATCGGGGTGGCCAAGATCTTCAGGCCCTCAGGTGCTACTGCCTTCAAAGACATGACTCTATAGTGGAAATCACAGCATGGGCTCACAATCACTTCTAAAAACTATTGTCTGTGAACATGTTTCTTTGCTGCATCCACAAATGAAGGTTCAAACTTCACCACACAAAGAGGAAACCACATGATTCACAAACACCAGCAACTCCTGTGGGTCCTGAAGTCTATTAATTAAAAATATGACATACTTTTGAGAAATCACAAGCGCAGCATCTTCTACTCTAGAGAGGAATCACACAGCTTGTTATCAGTGCAGAGTTCAAAGAACAGCATTCATGATGACTAACAATAAAGGAGAGCCTGAAATCCTACATTAGGCAAATATTCCACCTTCTGAACTATTCTCAGTTAGTATTGAGTTGAAACGATTGTCTTTTTTTGAAATGGGGTTGTGTGTGAACACAGCAGTCCAAAGAAAAAGGGTAATGCATGCAGCGCACGATGGCAGGGTGTTTGTTTTGATGCAGCTCTTCCCAGGATGGAGCCTCTGATGTGTTCATATATGATATTTAATAAGAGACAAATATACGTCTGATCTGCAAAACAACAGCTTGATATGAATAAACCCACCAGCAGTGGCACAGCTGCTTCCTCAACATCACACACAAATGCTGGTTTAATATGCTGAGCAGACCTTGCTGCAGGCTATGACGTTACTAACATCAGACGGACGAATGCTTCAGCAAGTTCAACAGCAACGAGGTCAAAGGGCGGCTGCTAACCTCTTTACATGCTGAAAAGCGTTCTGTCATGTTCAGGGAGTGACGATGCCCTGAGGTGTGTGTGAGGCAACATGAACATAAAGGTGAAGGTAGCTGTTGTTCAAACCCCTGCAGTGACGCATGTTTTGAATGTATACACAGTTAACATTTCACACAGGCGTCCATCAACAGCACTGCTTTTCAGATACTCACAGAATGTAGGTGATCACGCCAACACTCCTGAGGAGAGACACAGAGGAGAGACTTTAACCTTCACATGAAACATGTCTGAGCATCTTGACAGCAGACCAGCACAAGTTTTCTGAGGAGCAGATGCTCCTCAGAAATGAGAATAAATGCAAACAGCCTTTGAGAATAATGAGTTTTTGTTTACTCACCACATGTCTGCCTCCAGGCCCAAAGGTTCATAGTTGACAACTTCTGGAGCTGCAGGCAAACACACAGAACAGACCATTATTACTCACACAAACTAACTTTACTTTTGATTCCCTTTTAAATCATTTCTCCTTTTCCTGTCTGATTCATCCTCTTGTTTTGTTCATGTAACGTCTTCTTGACGACTCTCGTTGAAGTGCTTTATATCATCCTGACAGGTTCACAGACTCCTTTGTTTCTCTGAGGTGTTGTTTCATAAGCTGCTGTTTTTCACTGACACCTACAATAACTGTGATTACTCCTCTTCTTCCCCCTTCTCTCTTTTCAGGTGTGAAAGACTCAATTAATGAATCAGAACTTGTTTTTCTAATCTGTTGAACTAAACCGCTCTACAGCTGTCTCAAACACAAAAAACCTCTCATTTTTTACCAGTCTGCAGTGTAAAAGACATCGTTTTAAACCAGGACTGGAAAAGATTTAAATTGCTGACTTCACCTCCTTAATTTTTGAATCGTCTTTTCTGGGTACCCACTTAAAGCTCCTATGAGGAGTTTTTCTTACGTTTACGAAATGAGCTAAAATTCATACTGGTGCCTTTTTATGATATCCAAAAGCAAACACGACCATCAGTGACAAGAAAGGCTATTTCTATATCTTTATAGTTAAAGCCTGAAACTGGTATGATGGGGTAAGTGTCAATCAAGTGGTCCTGTTTTTACAATTTCCACATAAAATATTCACATTGACTGTCAAAAGTCAGCAGGATGAGTTTTACTTCTAGTCTAAAGGTCAAGTTGTCTACAGGGGGCGCTAAAATTGGCACAAACTGAAAGTTTCTTGCAGGAGCTTTAAGTTACCACTTTAAAGACCTTATCTTTGTATTTTTTAAATTCTATTTTATACAATTTTTTTGATGTTTAATCTTTGTTTTTCTTTCCTAACTCTCCTCCACCCTTGTGTTACACCTCCTCTTTACACAGCCTTGTAAAACACCTTGAATTGCCCTGTATTTCAAAAATGATGCATTCTCACACTAATCAAGTCTAACTTTGTTTATGATAAAAATCCAATTAGAAAGCGTCCTGTTTTTCAGCTCCAACTTTCCCGCTCATCGTTTTGGCTCTTAGCCTCTTGATCTTTTTTTAGACCATTTGCACGCTGTGATCCTCTGAACTGGGAACAAATTCTGCTTTTGGCCGGGATGATGCTGAGAGCTGGAGAACTGGAGTGTTGGCAGTCGCCCCGGGGGCAAAGGGGAACTTGAGGGGACTTTGGACAAAGCTACTGATGTGTCTGTCAGTTCTGTATGTGTGTGTGTTTGTGTGTGTATGTGTTGGCAAGATGGAGGAGTTCTCATAGTCTCCAGTCTATTATCAAGCCTCCCTCACTTTGTCCCTATGGCACAGTTGGCCCCTGCTCTCACATTACTCAACTCCTGGGATAAAGCCAGCAAAACAGGGTGGTGCGGTTCTGTGTTTGTTTTCGTGTGTAAAGTGGAGGGAGGATGGGGAGTTTATTTGTGCTAACTAATCAGAGATGAATCTGCTTAATAAATATTGTGTTAGGAAACAGAAGAGGATGATGAAACCACTCGCAAAGAGATACTGACCCACAAACTCTGGAGTCCCAAAAATGTTTTTAAAATCGTTGCCAAAGTCCATCTTGTGTGCCAGGCCAAAGTCAATGAGCTTGATGCGCGGGTGAGGCACTGAGCGGCTCAGCAGCATGATGTTCTCCGGCTAGATGAACACAGAAGAGAGCGAGAGTGTTAGAAAAAGAAGAAACGAGTTGAAGAGAGAGGAGACACAGAGACATGGAGCCCTCATTTGAATACTTTTAGAAGGACCGAACCTTTATTTGCATGTTCCCAACAAAAACAAAAAAACAGTTACAGTTTCAACAGAAGAAAAACTTGTCCCCTAAATCATCACTGTAGGACACAAACTCAGAGACAACAAGGCAGCGAGCCACAAAGACAAAACCAGGAACAGGGCTGACAGGAAGGAGGCTCATCAGCCATGGAACTCTGATGCAAAACACGAGTTTAACAACCTCTCGAGGAAGTGGGAGAAAGGAAAGGACGGCAGAGATGCGCTTCAAGCAGAGAGACACAACAGAAGCCGGACATTCCTGAGCCATCTTTCTCTGCTCTGAACCTGGTCTTTTCAGCTCCTCTTTGAGCTGAGCTGAGCTGGAGGGTTTTAGTCTGCCGAGGAACAAGAGCAGATTGGCTGTGGGCAGCAGAGGCAACAGGAGGCGCTGAGGAAATACAATCGAGCTCAAGCTCCGCTCGCTGGTTTTGTTCTCTGCTCTGTAAACACTGACAGGCTCATGTTTGGGCAGGGATGAAGGAGGATGGTATCTGAGGTGCCTGATTTTTAATGTTTTGATAGCTTTCGTGACTTTATAAACCTATATCCTGCATTTAAAGCAAGCAAATGTCTATACAAATTATGTTCCAATACAAATTATACTGTGCCCGAGTTAATAAGTATGTTTCAAATGATGAGTCCATTCATCACTTAGAGCTCTGACAGAAAATTAATTGAGGAGGAAGATAAACTCTTTTAATCCCTAAGGGGAAATTCAATTTTTCACTCTGGTGGTGAATCATACCAAACACACACACACACACACACACACACACACACACACACACACACACACACACACACACACACACACACACACACACACACACACACACACACACACACACACAGGACAGACTCCTGTGGACATGCATTCATAAAGACGTGTCAGGGTGAGGCGGCAGCACAAAGACGAACACGGTTTGAGGGGTTGGTGCCTTGCTCAAAGGCACATTTGCAGAGCCCTAAAACCAGCAACCAGCAACCCTACACTCTCTACGCCAAGTCCCTCTAGACCAATGGTTCTCAAGTCCAGTCCTCGAGCCCCCCGTCCTGCATGTTTTGGATGTTTCCCTGCTCCAACACACCTGATTCATATGATTAGCTCGTTAGTAAGCCATCACATATCTTGATAATGAGCTGATCATTTGAATCAGGTGTGTTGGAGCAGGGAAACATCCAAAACATGCAGGACAGTGGGCCTCGAGAACTGGACTTGAGAACCACTGCTCTAGACTGAGCTAGTGTCCCTAATTTTCAGTGACTCTGATAACTGTTCACATTTGACAGCTTTCTTCTGTTTTGTTTCTTTTATTAAAGCAATTTTCTTCCCTCAAGAGGAGCCGCTCTCAGCCTGGTCAAGTCTCTCAGCCGCTGAATAAAGTATCAGTCCCGCCCTCTTATAGTGCTACTGCAGCCTGCATGTGAATGCCATGACTTTACAAGCCAGAAGATTAAAGTTTGTCATGACAGAGCATCTGGAAACCCCACAGGTTTATCCACAAACCATCAATAGTTTTATCAAAAGTACAGCTCTGTTGACAGTGAAGGTAAAAGCAGACAATCACTCCTCAGTCCAGCTTGCTTTAAAACCTGTAGATGTTTTGGGTAGGGGCCACCACAGTAATGGCAGTCTTGGCTCTGAATTTCACAATCCCTGCATCTTTAGTTACATGCTTCATGCAAGACAACCAGCAATCTGTCATGCATTAGTCTGCTCTCCCCAAGGTACGAAGCTTTTGGCCATAATCCGGACACTGACTGGCAATGTGACTGTCTCTGCAGGGTTGATTTGGCACTCTTGAATGAATAGAGCTGCCTTATAGAGTCCATTCTTAGTGATTAAAAGCCGTTTCAAGTGTTGAGCGAGAACATAAGAGGAGCTTTTGTTTGTGACCCTGAGCGTCTTTCACTGCTGTGAGTGCTGATATCAACATTTAATGGATGAAACTGAAACTTTGGCTTTTCAATGGAGTCAAACAGCAGAAATGACAAGATATTATTTTGTAGGATAGATTTAAAAACAGCAAATATCCAAGCCTTTAAAGGTAGGGTTGGTAATCTGACATTTTGTTATTCTGGTTAAACTAATCTTTATGTTTCGATGGCAATAAAATCACATTGTGCGGGCCCCACATTTTTAAACCAATCAAATCCTGTGGTCACTGAGCATCACTTTTACCCTCCAAGTAAAAGTGATGCCATGGTCACTCATTTTCTGTTGGAAAGGTACGTTGAGGGTTTGTTTCAGGGCGATTTTTAATCTTGATCAAGTATTTAGCCATGTTGTTAGTTATGTGGTCATTCCAATGCTAATGTTACCTTCTTACACTACGGTACCATGCACTAATGTTTACACAGAGTGCTGGTGCTAGCCGTACCAGTTTGATCCAGAGTCTGACCCAGAAGGAGAGGCTACTGAAGAAATTCTAACTCTGGTTGCAGCAGGATGTTTTTTAATGGTTATTTACAAATATTGTGTGTCTCAATATTTTTCTTTTTACTTTGTTCGCGTGTTGGTACTAAGTGACCTACATGTAGCTAGGTAACATTAGCTCCTGCTAAAGGTTACATCTATGCTGTTACTTGGAGCTCTTTTGGTGAATGCCCAATATTGTATAGTTATCTGTGTGACTATGTTCTTACGGTCTACAGAAACAGACTTCTGTGCTGCAACTACCGTGCCTTCCTCGTACCTGCGCCATTTTGAACCAGCGTTTGTGAGGGAGGAAAATAGTGTCTAAGTGCAAATTTTCAGGGGGCAGAGCAAACATCATGGGCGCGGTCACCAACCTACAGGGAAGGAGTTATCGCCATCCATGACGCCATGGAGGTGAAAGTTTAAATCCGCCTGTTTCAGCAGACATTTTCTGAAAGGTGGAACAAGCAAGAGAGGGAGAGGATCAAATTTTCTCAATTTGGGGGGAGCTTGTAGACAGGCTGGGGATGAACATTATTGTTAGAAAACCATTCTGAAGTGAATTTTGCAGAATGTGGGACCTTTAAAGAGGAATATTGCAGTTTACAGAAAGTCATTATGAGACAGTAAATAACAGCAGCCAGGACAAAGCTGAGGCTGTGTAGTCGGGAAAAGCTCAGGTATTGATCAGAAGCGTCTCGCAGGTCTGGAGGCTCAGAGGTTATTACTCTGTGCAAACCTGGAGGCCCAATGTCCTGAACTTTAATGTATGACTTGTATTATTGTTCTGTTGGAGTAGGAGAGAGTCTATTTGTTTTGAAGCTGCCATCTATGCTGCCACAATAGAAAACATTGATGGTATTGACTGAGATTTAATTAAGAAACTGCTGCAACAACAGACCAAACACAGAGACAGTTTAATGTGCAGAAACCTCAAGTGGCCTTTAGTGTATCTGTACGGGGTGTGCTGCCAGTTCACAGTGACTTTAACTCATGTTTCCTCAGGGGTTTTTCACCACACACTCACTCTGATAAAAAGGAGAGACTCCAAAATAAGCCAAAACAAGATTAGTCATGGAAATAAGCTTCAGATACATGACTACTAAAACATAAATACTCTGATATGAGACGTGCAAAGACAAACATGCATCAGGGAGAGGAACCAAAACAACAGCATTTCTTTTTTAAATCATGCTGATAATGTTGCTCTGAGCGAGTGTGCAGTTAGGTTTAATGGATGTCAATGATGACTATAAACAAGAAACACTTTATGGTGACCTTTAACAAAGAGAAAAACATTTGTTAGTTTTTGTCCTGCATGTGTAGGAGTCATTTCAAAGAAAGCACGCGGATGTGTTGTGCAATCGTAACATGACCCCGACTGAGCCGCTGTCATCGTCCTTTGTGTTCGCAAAATGGAAATGATCAGAGGAGAGGATCTGGTGTTTTGTTTTGCTTCTCTTTTTGAGGACGTTTCTGAAGCTAATCACTTGAAAAGCCTTATTTGCATTCGCTGAACACAAAGGATTCATGAAGGACAAACGCAAAAGCCTCTATGTGCCCAATCCAAATTAAATACTTGTTTACATAATAAGCTTTCCTTATTTTCATTAAATACATTTTTCGCAGCTATTACACAGTCCATCCAGCTAGTTTGTGTATTTTTTTGCATTGAAAGGGAGGTAATCAGGCGTGTTTTCATCAGTCTCATTCTGAGAGCAATCCTTTCAAAACTTTACCGCTTATAAAGATTCTCCATATTGGCTTTTTATTGTGACATTTCAGTGCTCCAAGGTGATGGTTTAAGTAGCAGTACAGGTGAAGAATGCAAAATTAGCATTAAAGCTTCTGTGAAGAGTTTCACTTCCAAATTTTGACCAAAATCAACACAGTTGCCTAAAAATAAGCTCCAAAAGCAAACCAGAACATCTGCAGGAGAAGTGACTATTTCTATACAGAGATTTCAAATGTCTGAGTTACTTAGTGGGGGATAGGGGCCATTTGTTGTCAGCTTTGCATTTATCTGTCAAAATAAAGCCCAGTGAGAATAAACACTGAGAAAAATGTAATTACAGTTGCCTCAGTACCTTTAGGTCAAAGTGAGCGATCTGTTTGCAGTGCAGGTAGAAGACTCCGTCCAGGATCTGCTTGAGGAACTGAGTGGCTTCTTCCTCACTTAGAGACTCCTTCTCTGCCAAGAAGTCAAAGAGTTCACCACCGGCCACGCTGTACGAAAGGAAAGAAAGAATGAAAGAGAGAGGGGGGAGTGAATTAATACGTGAGATCTCTCAGATCACAGCCAGCTACAAATCCCTGCTTAACAGAGCTGAGCTGATGTAATCTAATCATCCTGCTGCATTAGAGCGCAACCAATTTACACATCCTGAGCACACTTTACCCAACACTGTTCAGATGATGAGAACTTTCCATCAAAGTAGAGGGAAATGCACCTGAGCTACTGGAAATTCAAACGTTTTCTTTACTTTTTGTAGCTATTATTATTTTTTTGTTTTTTCTTTGAAATAAGGCAACGAAATAATAAACAGGGTCAAAGCAAGATAAGACAGGAAAAATAAGAATGAATGAATGAGAAAAAGCCAGAGTGTTGAATAAATTCACTTTTTAAATGAATAAAAATCAAACTTTTAACCAAAACTGATTCAAATACAGTACAAAAAAAAAGGTTAATTAGGCTTTTTTATCGGGCTGAATACCACTCTGACATTTACAATGCTCACTGAAAATTTTAGGAACAGCAAGAATATGATTCATTTTAAACTGTTTTTGACTCAGTTGTAAGGGCAATGAGATTAGATAATAAACTGTGAAAGACCACAACATGAACATTTTAAAGTACCGGCACATTTTGTTGTCATCTGTTTCAGCACTTAGCATAAACATTGACATACAGTATGCTGATGATGTGTGAAAATCCTGGGCTTCGGTTTCAAAAGTTTTTCTGGGAGTTCAGAGAGTTTCTGTGTAGCATCTGAAAGATGCTGCCTCAAATCTCACAAGACAGTCAGATTAAATCTGTTCAAAAAGATACTTTGTCTAAAATGATTTTCTATCTTTTGTCATTCGGGACCATGTTTTTCAAATTGGGAAATTACTTTGGTTTTAATGGTTAGTATTTTAAAAAATTACCTTAAAAATACACATAGAAAAGTTTAGGGACAAAAACAGGATTGTGACTCTGCACAAAAAAGCACATTTTTGCCATACTGTCCATCCCCTGTTGTGACATTATGACACCAAGCCTGTCCTCCTAAGCCTGGTTATAGAAGTGTCAGTCCTTGCTATTCGCTTCAGGGACATTATCTAGATCTTATCAGATGAAGTGAGTACAGGTCTCTTGAGTCTGTTTGAAATCAGAACTGAAAACTGTTTGATAAAACCAGAGAGTGAGTCTGCTTTAAAGAGGAAAGTCGAGAGTAGAGGATTTCTCTTGATCACAGCCTGATAATGAGAGTGAACGCCTGAAACGAGAGGGGAAGTGTGACAGAGAAAGCAGAAGAGCGAGGGAGACAGCAGATGACTGTAATTAAAGCTGAGCTTCACTCAGCCATACTTACACGTGTGTGTGTGTCTTTAAATATGTGTGAAGATTAAAAAAACAAATCACTGTTTACATCTAATCAACATTTATTAAAACTCATTCACTTCTAAAATGTTAAATCTGACTTTTACACCAAATAATTACAGAACAATTTCCACTGCAGCACTACAAACCCCCCAAACACACAACTACACAGTGCTCCTCCCTTCAGGGAGGAAACACCAGACCAGCTGCACAGCTGGGGCCTCCACCGCCTCCTCCCACCAAACACCCACACCACATCGCGAAGGTTTATTTCATCATCTGCATCAGTGGTTTGGAGGGTGTAGACACACATCACAGAGAGAGGAGAGAAACAGGAAAGAAGGGTGCTACCCCAACATGCCGCTCCTGTGTTGTTTTGTGTTTAAAGACAGTCTCTGTCATGATCATGGCAGCAGCAGGAGGTGGGAGAGGATGTGGAGGACAAAGGCGCAAAACATGACGCCAAATATTTTTAGCATGCACAACGTATTCTTTTACTGACCCTGGGCTGAGGAGAGCAGCATGTTACTGCACCAGCTTTGGATGAGAATAGCACTGAATTAAACCAGGGCAGTGTTCCAGTGATATCTATTAGTCATATCTTATGTAATGTATTATAATGAACTGTAATACAGATATCAGATTGGTGTAAGACTCGCCCATTATGTCAACTTGTTATATTTGCATTACAAGTTTTGTGTAAACCTCAAGAACAGCAGCTGTAACTATGACACGGGTGAATTAATGTATGTTTTTTTTAATGTAAGCTGTGTAACCAATAACAAGAAGAAGAACCAATTAATTATATTAATGAGCAAAGAACTAATAATTACAAAGATCTAACTAATGCTGTCTCAACTGTGTTTTTTCCATGCCTGATTTATCAACAGCAAGTTAGCTTTAATCGTACAAGCTGAGAGCATGTCAAGATATGGAGCTTAGCAATTGTTTCATCCCAGATGAACATCATAAAAGACGTCGTCTGGATTAGTAGTAGTAATTTATTATAGCTGTTTTTCTTCTATGGTTGGTCATAGGGATTGACCAATATTGGTTTTCAGGTGGAAACCAATTATTGATATAATTATTGATATATTTTTAAGTGATATGCAATTACAGTAAAAATGAAAATGTAGAACTTCAGATGTAATGAACTCTGACACAAAACTTTGCCTCGGTGCCATAAACAAATGCATAATCATAACGGAAATGACCAACATCATATACTCGGGTTAACAGGTGGTTAACGAGGTCGTGTGACTTCTAGCCAACCAGAGCGCGTTGTGGATGGTATTGAACTTTGTCAACCGACTTCAAAGTAAAAATGGTCCAAATGCAGAATGCCAGCATATCAGAAGTTCAGAATACCGTGTAAATAACGTTTCACATTAAAGAAGTCAACACTTCCTAGTTAGCAGTTCATCTTTTATCGGTTCCTCATGGCAACACGGGTGACACGACACTGACTAAAATTAGCTGTCACTCACCAAGAGTACACAACCAAAGTCAAGAAAGTTTGGAAGCTACAGCCATACAGCTCAACATGCCAAAATCTAAAACACAGTAACGGCCGAGTGCTGCACGTCTGCCCGACAGACAGCCCAACAAAAGCCTTGATACAAACATAGATAATCTAGATCTCTGGACAGGTGCACCAAAGCCATTGCATTAAAATATGTCAGAACAGGCTCCAAACTTTGACCCAGCCTCAAAAATAGCAGTGCCTTAACTAAACAGGTGCTCTCTTTTCTCATGATATGACAGCTCAGGCAGTTTAACTTAACAAGAGTGCTTTCTAGAGGTTAAATACACAAAACGGGTTTATTTTAATCCATCCTGACACACTTTAACAATGCAGTGTTGAAGTGAGCAATTTCATAAGTGAGAGAGCAGCCTGGATGTGTGAGATTCAGCGTGTGCTGTGAAGGTGTTGGATTGAGCTGAACTGAGCCCAACAACAAGCAGGACCGATGCCAACTGGAAGAGAGGAAAAGAGCTAACAGGGCCTGTCTTATCCAGGCTGCAGGGTCCTGGCTGAACAGCTGAACACGCCTCTGATGACCCCTCCAAAGAGCTGGACCACCTCCCAAAAACAGCCGAAAGCTATTATCTGTTTTTTGCTAAGAGAAATGACTCAGCGTTCCTGCTCTTCCTTGCAGCCACTGGGTTATAGTGCCTTGCTTTCAGTGAACGTTGGCAGTAACTGGATTTCTTCTCAGTCACATTCTGGCAGATATTTGAGTGAGCAATCCAATAGTCCTTGTTTACTTCATTGGGGCACTTTCTGGGTTGATTATGGCCACACAAACGTTTTAAAACTTAAATGATATTGATGGATCTCCCCTAATGGATTCAGTGATTTAATTCCAGCAGGGTCATTACCAGACGCAGAAAACTTCCTGCTTTTGAGGGACTGTGTTAAACTGGACTCATTGACAGACACAGAAACAGCCGTAACATTATCACATGTTGTTAATTTTCTGAGTTCTCTCTTTAGCATGTATTTAACAAAATTTTTTTACTGTACTAGAAGAGATTTCAGAGCTCTCTGGGTAAACCCTGAGATTTGAAACCAGTTCTACATGCACACAATCAATTCACTGTTAAAGCTGTGCTCATCTGCTCTTCAACATGAAGTTGTTGACTCACTCGATAACTTCTGATCTTCTATAAGCTGTGCAAATTTGAGAAGTGTGTAGAGAATGATATTAGGCCTTCTATTCAAGATCATATTTAGGTAATATTAAGTCATTGCAAGGCTATTATCCAGTCATGGGACTGTTTTTTTAATGATTTTACAGTATGAAACAAAAATTTAACCCCTGAGAAGCACAGTTGCACTTTTTTCCACACCCTCTCTTAACCCTTTGTCAACAAGAGACAGAGAGACTCACGTGCACGATGGCTGCCTCATGTTCCCTGCATGTCTGGCCTGTTAACTGTGCTTGTCATCTCGCAATATGGGCTGATGTGTACTGCGGGGGCAGTGAAGAGGCTAGGTTGACCAAAAATCCAACCTCCATTCATAGAGTACGGCTGCACTTATACACATCTGTACGATGTGTGTTACTGTATCTGTACAATAACAAACACGCCTGTCAAAGTTGTTGGACAGGGTTGAGCTGAATTTGGGCAAAAACTGAGAGAGAATGGTGCAGGTGGAGGATTGTTTCTACTGCCCATCAGTTGCCAAACTGGTGAGGAGGATCTGGCATGTGCGTAGCTGTACTTCAATAGGTGGGGTTGTAAGATGGACTTTTCTTGGATCTCATATGTTGGGAGGAATGAAGTGATCTCACAAGTAAAAGCTGCTCTTCGTCAGGTCCCTCCAGATTTATCGCCTAGTAGAACACTTAGTGCACAAATATGTTCATGAAGCAGCTGGTTGTGCATGCCTATGTGGGAATTAAATAGCAAGTGTACTTTAGGCCTAAAGGGGAGAAAAAATCAATTCATTAGTTTCTATTTCTTCCGCTCAAGCCTAAATGTTGCAGGCAGCCCTCAACCCAGAATGCAATGGCACTTTGAAAATTATCTGACTGAGAGACTTGTTTAAGTAGAACTTAAACTCAACTTAAAATCCCATTAAATGACTTTCTAGAAGGAAAAAGGAGGGAACATTTTAACTCTTTCTTGTTCAAATGTCACAATTAAATATAAATACCACATAAGGACATTTTTCAGCTTAAATACTACTTGGTCAGTGTTGAATATTATTTCATTTTGGGCCTTCAAAGTAGTGTACCTGTTGTCCTGTAGTACAAGTGTTAAACTGGAACTGAGCCATGAACTTGTTACTCACACACGCGCTGTCCTGCCGGCCTGGATAATCTTTGTTATTTCTTCTTTGCAACTCTATCGAATGTGATCACTGGTCAGGAATGTTGTCCTGCAGCTCTCAACAATCACTCTGGCTGTAAGGTGACCTACTCATGGAGGTGTGCTGTGTTCTGCTTTTGTGCTTGCTGGCTCTTAATGAGCGTGGCGGCTGGATGCTTGTGGTGTAAACATGATTGATCTCAGAGCGTTCGGAGCGCTGTATAAACTGGTCAAACTGGTCTCACTGACGCTTGATGAAAAAAAAGGAGGCTCACTACAGGTTATAGCTACAGTCACAGTTTGCTTTACATGACCTTCACTGAAGGCTGAATGCTGTGAGGACTATAAAACACTTTCTGACAGAGAAAATAAAGAAGGCTGCACTCACAGCTCCAGGATCAGGATGACCTCTGCCTTGTTTTCAAAGACCTCCTGGAGAGTTATGATATTCGGGTGCTGGATCTCCTTCAGGATGTTCACCTCTCGCTCAATGTCTTCCCTTGTCACCCCGCGTCGACTTGACTTGCTGCGCCGCTTCTTGATAAATTTGGCGGCGTACTCCACACCCGTACTCCTGTGCCGGCATCTTCTGACCACAGCAAACTGACCGCTGAGAAGAGAAGGAGAAAGAGAGCTGCATTTAACAAAGAGACATACAAAATAATACAAAATAACCTTCTAACATCCTCCAACACATTTCAAGACATTAGTTTGATTTCCTCTAAGTTACAGTGTTATCATTAGCAGTTTTAAAGCACGTAATATAAACATTTGGCCCTAAGCAAGTGGGGGATTATGAGGCAGTTTAAACTGTTCATCAGAAACAGCTTTAATCCAAACAAATCATGAATCATCACAGACTGCCGGCAAACAGAAATAGCAATGAGAGCTCCATAATTCACTTCTCAGATCCAAGAAAGGGAAACCTTTGGAGGTGTTACAGAGACTTATTCCAATACTAAACACTGATTTCTCTAGGATGAATATGAAACAATCATCTCTATGGGGTTTGTACAGACTTAGTTACACTGTTCCATCTCTAAACATGTTCCACTGTCAGAACTAAGTCAACTGGGCCAAAGTTTACAGAAATCACAAGACGAGAATACATCTGTCTTCACCCTCATCATCAGTCTAACAGTGTGTAAATTACAGTCAGGAAGCAGAGCCCTCACTGATAATGATCACAGCTCAGCGTAACATCAACACAGCTGACAAACACAAACTCCTCTAAAATAAACTTGTCTTTGACGAGAGCGCAGCTTTTCTGAGCTTATAGAAAACACATCTCACAATTCACACTTCAAACAAGCCACAGCTCTGATTTCTACAAGATGGAGAAATCAGAGTCCTAGTGTTTATAAGATACTTGCAAAATACAGTTTCTTCGATTTACCAAGTTCGTCCTGCTTTGTTTTTGTTTTTTTAAAGCATGATCTATTAGGGCTGGGTGAGATGGCCTCAAATCAATATCATGTTATAATAAACAGTTCACCTTGATAACGATAAATGGACAATAAGTACTCCACAAACTGCTCACCCCCTCCCATATTGACTTTATCTACTTCAGCCGCCACTCCAGCCGCTCCAGCTTTTGAACTGTCCTCCATCTCCTCACCTGTCTATCCCTCTTTGTTACAGACTGGATGGGGAGAAGTCACGTCTCGGACGTAGAACGGCATCTTAAAAGGGGCATGAGATCATAGCCCCAATCAAAAAACAACTTTTATTTACTTTTTTTTTTTTGACACTGAATATATTGACATGGGAAAAATGACGTCAGTTATTGTCATAAATTTCAGCATCGGTAAATTTTCAGTTTATTGCCCAGCCCTATGATCTATTATAAGTTTTTGACCCTAAAGGAAGACAGTGTAAAATCATCACTAATGTGGTCATGGTGTGTATCTCTAACGATACAGTGCCTTTGTGTACTGTAAAATAGCCTGGGTTTATGAACCCAGGACATGGGCTACCCAGCTGCTGGTATTTTGCTGAAATTGCTCTGCCCCATCATGACCATAAAAGTAGGGCTGCACAAAACTAGATTTTTGCTGGTGGCCAATATGCCTATGTTGTCAAACTCATATCAGCTAATAAAGCTCCTGTAATAAAATTGACCTATTTCTCTAATTGTTTCAGAAACGGGACATTTTATTCTACCATAAATGATGATTTTCTTTTCAAATATAGAAATAGAGTAGATCAGCTGCTATCTATTACCAACATGTGTAAGACGTCATTTTCTCCATTGTTAATGATGCAAAAAAAAACTTTAAGTTATTATATGCTGAAACCGATATAACTGAGTCTTAAAAGTTGTTTTGAGCCATTTTATTTTCCTTTTTTTTATTTTTAGAAGGAGTATAATCAAGATTGTAAATCAAGTTTGGTATGAAACAATATAAAAATAATAATAATATTTTTTAGCCTATATTATCAATCCCTTGATTCTTGCATTCAGCCAAAAAAATACCAAATTTTAAAGGCTAGTTTTAATAGTTTTATTTAACCCACACATAATAGTCAAAAACTACAGATTTAGCTTTAACAAGTCAAAACACTGTCTGGGATTATAAGAACATTTTGTCTTTTGATTGAAAAAGTGAAAAAAAAGGGCATTTTTAGAAGTTAGGAGACATTTTTAACTTAAAGTGATATTTTGATGACTCCACATTAAGCAGTAACATCATAAATCATGTCCTTCTGAGATATAAGCAGTTTGAGCTACAAATACTGAGTTGGGTCCCTAAAATAAGTCCTCAAGCAGATCTGTCACCCGCCTTTATTTCTCCTGTATTGTGTTAACAGGCTGCAGCAGATACAGTCTTAGTTAAGTGGAATAAAAACCCTGTCAATGCGTGTAATTCCAGACGACTCAAGTGCACACATAAGCACTTTAACCGTCTAGTCGCTCTGGATGTGGTGAGCCTGTGTGACATTTGAGCGTGACAAATTACTCTTAAGTATGAACAACACGGTAGTTGTTATGGAAATTCCACCAGCTTGTTGCTGAGCAGAAATGCTGTTAAACGCTGCCGTCTGACCGGGTAACGCTGACTGCACCGTCACTCCGCCACAACACTGCCAGAAAAATCCACTCGGCGAAGCAAGGACACTTGGCTGAGGGCTGCTGACGCCTCCGCCGATTGTGCCTCCTCGCGGCCCTGGCAATCATGAAGCACTTAGTGTACCAAACACCCACAGAGGAGGAAGGGAACGAGGGAGTAGGGGGTGAGAAAGGGAGGAGTGAGAGAAATGAGAGAGCCACATTCTGTTGCATTTCCAAATTTCCATGGCCAGATTTCACAGAATTTTACAGCCTTAGAGCAAAAGCTTCCTCTGCTTTGGCACAAAGAGAAACATTCCCATTAAAGAGCGAGTTCTGCACTGTCATCTGACTGCCACAGCGCTGCCAGGACAGAGAAAACAGTCAACAAGAAGCAGTGTTGAGATATAGCTTTGAGGTCTGAGTTTTTTTCCCTCTCTGCAGTGTGTCTTCATATTTAATAAATAACAGTACTCTGACAACCACACTCACAGCTGCAGAGGAGCTTTAAAGGAGAAAAGAAATAAGGCAACAGCAAACTGCCTCTGGGGGTGTCAGCGACAAAAGCCTCACTCTGATCTGACCCACTGCTGCAGGGTGTCCCTTGAGCTGATCTGTGGTGTCTGGGGCCATGTCCTCGTTCATGAGGATGAATCAGAAGATGCTTTTCAGACTTTTAAACAGTTCTTGTATCCGCAGTATTTATTGAGAGGGTTTGCTGCTCAAACTTGGATCACAAAAAAAAAATGCAATTCAGTCCAGTTGCAAACAAAAATAATGTGTGATATAGAAGTAATGACTGTGTGATTTTATGGTTGTCTTTATGATGCTTGTCTGTTATCATGATGAACTGTCACTTGCAAAAATAATCTGCATATAATCAGTCATGTAAACAGTCTGGAGTTGCAGCCATCAAACAGCCTCAGAAATGAACACTTAGTACAACATTAGAGTTTGCATTAGTCTTCTTCAAGATGATCTAAACCACATGGCAAAACCAGTTCCATCTGCATTGCTATCAACAAGTCCCACATAAAACCCCATCCAGAAACATATGAAATATCCCTTTAAGAGGAAGTTTTACTGGTGGTGGCTCATGCTAAACAGGTTTCGATGTATAAAATTAGACAGTGCAGCTGTCGTAGTTTTTAGTTAGCTGACTTTATATTTTTGTTTCCTCAAAAGCTGAAACTGCAAAGTAAGTTCTTAATCAATTCACATTTTTTCATACTTTATACATTTGAGGATCTGACGATTAAGCAAGATGCTTCAAAAAACTGTGCCGACTGGGTTTTATTGTGCACTGGCTCCTCACACAAAGACACATTTCAGGATTGCATACCGCTCTTACTCCTCTGCTACAGATGCAACAGTGGGATGAAGGAGTTCCCCCTGTTGAGTTGGCATCAGAGATTGGAACAGAAAATGCAGCTAAGGTTGAATGATTAAACAAATTTGAGACCCTTTAATGATCATAAAAATATGATATTCAAGACTGACTGATTACTGTTCATCCTGCTGTGCTGTGCTCATTTTGCCCTATCTAATGAATGGAGCATGCAGAGTGTGTGTTCAGCTCCTCTTCTTAAACGTGTCTGAAAAGCCAAGGGACCAAATGGGCACAAAGAGAGATTCTGCAGAGACATCAAACATGGACCAACAAGCCAAGATTCTTTTCTGGTCAGATATTCTTAAAGACAGTGTACTTTCCATCCACAACACTATGTAATCAAGTTGTTTTTGTTTTTACCCCTTTGACCACATTAGACTGATTTGGATAAGACGAAACAGAAAAAGAGTAAAGTACTGGCATCATTTTGGGGATGGATCAATGTCACAAGCCCCTTGAAAGCGGAAAAAGCTCCCTAAACAAAACAGGAAAAACAATCCTTTGAGCAAACCTCACTCTTTTCTTACTCAGGGAAACAAATATTTCACAAAAGTAGAAACCACACCACACATATTTACAGGGGGGGACTATAGTAAAACTGTTTGCTAAAAAAACTGAGCTACAGACCAGCAAAAGGAAACAATGCCGCTTTAGGGAAGTGAGATATCCTGAGAGCAAGAAGCAGACAATGTGAGGAAGAAGAGGGAGCTGAGGAAGAGGGCTTTCTAATGCTAATAACACTTCCACCCCCATTCAGTCTGGCTGCACTCCTTTATCAGCCAGGACTCTTCTGTGTAGACAGAAGGGACAGAAACATCATGATTTGATCTTTTTCCTTCAGACGATCTGACACAGAGCTGTTGCTCAGACTGTGTGTATGTGATATTAAACATGCACACACATAAAGAGCTCTGCTACCTGAATTTAAATGATCAAACATCTGCAACGTACATTCCTGCATACTCTGCATTCATGTAAGTCTCCATATTTCTTTGCCTTTAGGTGAAAAATGAACCTGGAAGTTCGGCAGCATAACAGAAAACTTGAAACACTAAAACCAGAAAAGTAAGAAGGACAGAAATCTCAACAAGCAGCTTTCTCACAACATCCATCAGCTCATTCTTGAGCTGTCAAACTTTCCACCGCTGAAAGTTCATGCAGAGGAAAACTGTAATCTGTGAAGCCGTGGGACTTGGTGTGAAAACACTGCTGAGGATGAGAAAGAGAAAAAAAAAACACAACTGATTTCCTGTTCTTGATTATGCACCATCTGTGCGGTTTGGAAGAAATCCTGTGACACATTACATCATACCGTTTATTTTTCCACAGTTATTTGTCCAATCAGTGCAGCTCACTGAATCCAAACAATGGTTTTATTCACTTCTCTTGTGATTGACTGGAATGAAACAAAAACAAACATAAACCATGACAGATCTGGACCGATGGGGACAGAGACAAAAGTGAGAAATGTGAGACCGTTGGACTTTGGTATTCAGCTTCCTAAAAAGTCTCTCCTGCAGAAATGAATCACTGCAGACTCCTGAAAGTGTTCGGTGACATTTTGTAAGAGCTCTCATGCCACCTGACAATTACACAGACATGTGAAGCCTTCACACCTCCCCTGAACTCACCCCCACAACCTACTCCAATGTTCATTCCTCAGTGCAACCGCAGTGTTTTCGACCGCACACCTGAGGACTGTGAATTCCTTTCTAGAGACAATTATCTGTAACTGTAAATCACAAATAAGTGCTGGACGATTAACTGAATCTTAATCATGGTTTCGATTTTTGGCCTGTCATGATCATAAAAACATTATAATCGAAGAAAAACAATTAATGTTTAACAATTAACACAGCGCTGCGTGTATGTAAGCTCCTATGCCAGAAAAAACACCTTGAATGCACCCCTGTTATGTGCAGCTGCAGCTAGCGTGTGTCGTGTGTGTGGATCAATAATACGAGGAGCGAGCGATTGAAAACATGGCAGAAATTCAGTGTTTGATTCAGGAGTAAGGTAGGACAACTTCAGTTATCTGGAGCCTTTTTGGCTTCAATTTCATGGAGGTTGAGCAAAAGGAAATAGTTTGAAAAGTTTGTCATGCTGTTGTGTCTGCTCCCCAAAGCAATATGACTAACTTCAGGGTTTCCCCTACATGCAATTGATCGTGGCGCACCGCCACAGCAAAACAAAAGCCAGCACACCTTAAAAATTAGTTGGTTTTTTTTTAATTTACATGGCCATAACTCTGACTCATACAGTGCTCAGCATAAATGAGTACACCCCTTCAGAGTTGTCAGAAAACCTTTAGTATCCTTTTAAAATCAGCATTTTTCATGTCAGACTACACAACAAAATCCTCCCCCAAATGTAGGATTTTTAAAGATTTTTAAAGCTGCATACAAAAAGTATTTTTTTTCAATTTAGAATCAGGATGCAAAAATGAGTACACCCCAAGCAAAGTTCTGGAAGCAAAGCTAAATTTTAGTTACCATATCACCCTTATTTTTATCTAATGGTAAATAAAATGTTATGTTAAACTCAGCTTTGTCAAAACTTTGGAAATTGTTCTTTTGCTCGTCTAGATATCTGGTAGTACATTACTTTTAGTCGGGGGTGTACTGACTTATGCTGGGCACTGTATGTTCCAGTATACACGCGCTGCACCGCACTGCACTGCACGTGCGCCAAGTATAAGCATGAGCAAGTTATTGTTGGCAATCAAACAGAGCTGATTTTTTTTCTTGTATACTTGTTACCTATTCATTTCCAGCTGTTCTTTTAAGTAATATTTAAAGTTAAATTTTGGTAGCTCAATAAATACTCAAGATTCTAATTCAATGAATAATCGTGCTTAATAATCGTGATTTCAATATCAGTAGAAATGATCGTGATTATTATTCTTGCCATAATCGTCCAGCCTTATCACAAATCTAAACATATTTTAATCACAAACTTTGAAAATTTCCACCTGGGCACACAGATGACGTTAATGCAGTGATACAGGCTTAAATAACTGACATTTTCACAGTTTCTCTTCGGCTATCTGTTGCCCCTCCAGGTCCTGTCTGGTGCTGACGAGTACATCCGTTTGATATTGACAATACTCACTTGAATGGACTTCACCATCTGCACAAGCCAAGTCAAAGAGGTTAAAAAAGCTCTGACTCAGTTTAATGATCAGTTTAATGGGTGGGACAGCGTATTCATAGGGTAATATAACCCCATCCTGACCTGTGTGATACATGTGCTGATACACCGAGGCAAATATCAGTGTTCTAATTGTACAAATAGAGGGCTATAAACAGACCTCCCTATCAAACTGACTCACTGTATCACTACTTCATGGCTCCATGTGGTAATTACACAAGAAGAGGAATTTAAATAACAGTTTATGAGCTGTAGAGGAAGTTGACAGCTGCACAATACCGGAGGAGGGAAATGAAATGTGGTGAAAAGAAGCTAAGAGATGTACGAGTCACTTTCAAACCCCCAAAAAAATCACTTTATGTTGAGAGGAAAGGTAGAGGATGAGTTTGAGTCTGCAGGAAGAGTCTGACGCATCAATTACTGACTTATGATTCCATAAGTCACCCAACAGTGCAAGCACTTTTTTGGTGCATCATTTTACACCAAGTAACCAGAAGCAAGGGCTTGGCAGTCTGTCACTTCTACCAACTGAGTCTTAAAGTGACGGTAAAAGTGCTGTGCTGGAGGCAGAAGGCTGGTTACAGTCCAGAGGTAACAAGACAGTGTTTCTGTCATATACCAATTTCTGCAAGGGTAAGAGCTTCAGGCTGCTATATTTTCCTCTTCTTAGCCAAAGAAGCATCAAACTAACTTTATAACAGTGACTTTTGAAAGACTATACTTAAAGGATGTCAAGAAAAGCACTTCCCTGACTTAAGAGGGTTGCTTCATAAAGGGAGGATGCAGAAGAGGAGTCACGCCTCTAAGATTGGGAAATATTCTGCCCAGATTTTGTCTAATGCCTCCAGTGAGGATCCAAAAGCATGACAAGGACAGTTTGAGTGGGTTCATCTAAATCCAGTTATAAGTTTGAAAGAGTGAACAGAGTGTTTTTCTCATGAAGAACAGTGAAGAGATCCAAACATTAAGAAATAAGTTCAAGACCGATCTCATGGCATGAAAACAAAGTCAAAAAAGGACGGGGAAGTTTGCTCTGTCATAAATAAGCATGGGCAGAATGGTAAGAGACTGTTACAATTCTGTTATTTCTCTCCCACTGTATGAACACAAAGAGAGAGAAAAGTGAGCCCACCCTCTGTTAACAACAGCAGCTGCACACACATACATACGAGGGGAAAATGGCAGCAGTTCAACCCGGCTCTTCCCCTTTGGTGAGGTAGTGGAGGGAAACCAAAACCCAGAGCTGCTGCATTCAAAATTAAAAACCCTTTTCTGTGCTCCAGCTTTTCCCTCTGAGAGCCAGAGTTTAGCTCTGAAACACGCAGAGAAGAGCGAGGTTAACAGGAGTTAATGTGAGGGATTGCCCCTATATGTGTACTTACTAGCAAATGCTAGTTGGGAAATCCCTCCCCCTCCTCCGGGGGTGTTGGGGGAGAACTCTGACAGCTCGAATGCTGCTGAATAAGCTCAAAGATGGGGCAGGAATAATGAGCAGGCAGAGGAGGAAAACCTTCCTGGGAATCACTGACAAACAGAGGCAGGGAGGCTGCTTTTCAAGAGCAGCTCTCCCCCTCAACGTGGTGCAGAGTAAAACCCAGAACTGAGTAGTCTGTGGGATCAAGTTGCTTGGTTTCCTTTGTTGTGTTTAAAGCACAGACAAGGCTTCCCACTTTTGGCCTACTTGTTCCTGCAAAGCGACTGAGAGTAATGGGAGGGGGGGTAAGAGGAGAGGAGAGGTTTGTTTGTGTCTATCAGAGCTGCCTGGGTGTGTGACAATACCTCGCACAGCCTTGAATTACCTAACACTGCCGGCTGCAGAGTGTTTATCTGTGGAAAGATACTGCAGCAGTTCACAGATTTGTTGTTTCATGCTCCTCTTCACCCTCAGCGAGAACAGCGAGTGTGTGCGGCAGAAACTGTTCAGTACTATCTCCATCAACTGGTGTCTCCGGTTTACTGTGTACACTCCTGCCTGTTGAATATACACACATGGAAGCACAGTTGCATATACAAAGTACAAAGTAGCTAACAGTGCTACTAGAAACAGACCTGCACTCCAGTCAATTTACATGCAAACAGACACATAAAAGCAGAGGGGCAGAGCAGCAGCTGAGACACTGCAAACAAGCAAATTCGATTTGATGTCTTTTATAGAGCTGCTTCAAAGCCCAGCTACTGACAGGCCTTCTGGAAACACCTCTACACTGAACATGGAGAATAAAGAAACTCATCAAATGTTGCTGCAGGCGATACCAGCTGCCGTATTAATGTGATGTAGAGCTGAAACAACCGCACTGATACTCTGTTTATCTCTAGATACAAAACTGCCAACTAACTTTCCTGATGGTTTTCATTAGAGACAGTTTTCAGGTGCAGTCCCCAGAGATTAGCTTTTTTCTTTTAAAGTTATATTTTTTGGTCTGTTTTTGCTTTTATAAGAAAGGACAGCTGCAGAGAGATAGGGGAAGACATGCAGAAAAAGGTTGTGGTTGGAAGATGAACCAGCAGCCGCTGATGCGCGGGCTATAGTCTCTAAACGTGGGGCTCTCAGACCATCAACACCCCAGTTTGCTGCCTTTTATTATACTATTGGGAATGACAGTGTCTCTATTGCTACCTAAACCCTCCCGCAAACCCAATTTGTACTGCGAGTGTGTGAAATGTATGTCGCTTACTCCGCTAGCCATCCTTGCGACGGGTCAGCAATTTCCCCCCCCCTAGCGGTTTGCGACAGCTTTGACACTTATTCCACAGCTTCACCCTTAGCAAGCTCGCTTTAGTCTGAATGGATCTTTCAGTTTATCACCAGCTACTCGCTTTTCTCCTAAACAGAGTGCTTCCCCCGACTGAAGCAGAGCGCAGGGAAGTAAAGAGAATGGTGCCCAGTTTCATGATTAAAGGTTCCTTTGCATAATTGTAAAATTGCAACATAGTTATAAAGACTTGAATGAATGTGAATATTTCATTGTTGAATTTGAAACGCTGTATAAAGACACTGAAATTCATTGTCCATAATGTGTAGGCTTCTTGTTAATTAATTTAAAATAAATAAGAATGAATGAAATAAATCCCCCCTTAAATACTTTGAAATGTCAGAGAACCATAGTTTTGACTGGGTTGCAGCGCTCTCTGTGGCCCAAAAGGTCTCACTTTGCTGGGCAGGAGCTCTGGCAAATGCCTTGACATTAGCCCTGGAGCCTCCTGCTAGCTAGCCTGTCACATTGCCAGCTGGATTCTGAAATCGATCGGTAGTATAAATAAAGTTTTTAAGGTGACGTACATTTGCACTTCTGCAGTACGGATCGGGTAGGTATCAATCGTAACGACTAACTGCCATAAAATGCATTAAAATACGAGGAGAAGAAGTGACGTAAGTTTCGCACATGCGCAGTTCAAATTGGGATTCCGGGACAATTTGGGTGGCAACAGACCCCAAGGTGCAGATAAACTAAGGCTGTGTCCGAAATGACTCACTTAATCCCTAACCCCTAACCCTCATATGGGGTTCCCCTATATAGCTGACTACGTAGTGAACTCAATCACCGGAGGTTTCGGACACTACCATTGTGACGTTGCCGCTGGAGATGCAATGCATGACGGGATGCCCAACACTGGTGAGTGACCATCGGATGGTCACTACAGTTTGCAATGCTTTATGGGAAATTTTGAGTCGCCTATATGAGGTATTGGAATTGATCACTAAGGTTTCGGACACCCCTCAAAATGGCGCGAAACCCCATAAAGTCGCCTATATAGGGGTTAGGGATCTATTTAGGACAGAGCCTAAGAGTATAAAAGGTTTCTGGAGTCAGCCGTGTCAACCATAACAAACCAGCTAAGGTACTAGGAAAACAAGACGACACTCAGCAAACATTGACAAAGTTGCTGAACAACAGCACCAGCGCCTCAAGACAAGAACAGCAACATTTGTAATTGTTTCATATTTATTTAAATGACTCAGTTTCGAGTTAACTAACCAGCTAGTTATCATATCCATAAGCTGCTGTAATAAAAGACTTCTGCAAACACATTCAATGTTATAATCAAAATCTATAAAATATCTATATATCATACTTGGTCAATAACATTCTCTGACCCCTCACAACTGAGACCAGCTGTTTCCAACTCCTATGATGCCAGGGGCACAAATGATGAAGAGACATTGAGCACAAAAGTTGCACAAAAGACAGACGGAGACAGATGGACTTTTTTTGAGGTAATGACTACTAGTGCAGCAGAGACCTCCAAAGATAATAAGCCCTGAAACAGAATTCAGTGTATTTGTTTTTGCTGGCTGAGATACTACGCCTCTGTTTTGATGTTATGCTACTAGTATCATATAATTACAGGAGTAATAACAGGAGCTCCACTATAGTACAGCAGGGTGCATGTTGGTAAAAAACAATAAATAATAGAGCTTGAAAGTACACAAAGACATGATAGTACAAATCCCTGTCTCCACTCAGAGAGAAGACTGACCGCTGCTGTGTAGTGAGCTGGTAAATAAGTGCAGCCTCGTCTCAATGACTGGCTGCTGCTAGTTAGAGCTCTCTGGCCTTGTCAGGAAGAGGCAGCGCTGCAGGAACAGTGTTCAGCCGTAATGAGCACTAGAAAGGCCTTGTAAACAAAAATCAGTGAAGTGGGAGTGGGCTGGGTGAGGAATACATTTGACACTAACAAGCACACAACAGGCATGATGCAACACGACAAAGTGAGGCCGCAGCGTATCAGCCTGAGCAGAACAAGCAGCTGTGATGTTTCCTACACTCAGGAAAACGGTCGGTTGTGCAAAATACAGACACACCCAGAGGAAGATACTGCACAACTGTGGCTCTTCACCCGTAAATAACTTGTGCTCAAAGTTAAAAGGCAAAGAAAAGAAAGATTCATACCTATTGTATAATCCACTTTTCTGTCAGTCATGTTACATATTTAGCATTTTAAGCAGAAATGAAGTTTTAGAATCACCAGGAACATAAAAGATATTTGGGTGAGTAGCTGGAACTGCACTCAGTCCAAGCAGAGCTCAGTTTCGGCACAAACAAATGAGACAGACGCTCCACCAGACAACAGATAGGTTTCATTTTGGCTCATACACAGCTACTACTCACAGAATTTAAGCTACTTTGTGTCAGCTGATATGACCTGCGACTGAGGTGTGTGACACTCTGTGTCTGCCAGCAATGACACGCAGAAATCTGAGTCTTCAGACTGACATCTCTTACTCAATTTTGTCTTGCTAACCAAGCTATGAGATTCAAGTAAAAGGTGAACCAGACATAAAAACAATAGTAATCCCAGCTGAGTTTCTCATACACCAAATGTGCAGCATTCAAGTGATACAAACCACAGAACAAGTTTCACTTGAGGAACACTGTCCTAATAGTCTGAATGAACTGATGTTGAAACAGTGATCATATTCACAGTTTAAAACAATAATGCCTCACCTGAAACTACCTTGAGAGTACTTGAATACTTGGGTCCAGGCCCAGGTTCCTGAAATGAAACCACCCTCAGACTCAGGAAAAGAGGAGAAAACCTCAGATATTCAGATTCAACTTTGGAGACTTAAACGCCACTTACACTCTGGGACCTAAGACTTAAAATATAGTATGTTTACTGAAAAAAGGTGACTGATTGTATTTATTGCTCTTAATTGAACTTCTTATAGTCAGACCAACATGACTATATGATGTGATTGGGGATTGATATTCTCCCCGGTGTATATGACTCAATCGAGCTGAATCTGGCCTTAGCGTTTCAATCACAACACTGCTTTTAAAGTTAAATTTTTATGAGTGTGAACTTAAACAGACACTCTGCAGTCTGAGGCAAACCTGTCAAACCTGTGTGCAGACGTTATGACTTATCAGTTAATTAAATCCTTTGGCAAGAATCACAACGTACTAATGCCGCTGAATAGAAGAACCTGGAACGCAATAACAACCAAAGCATGGCATTACATGAAGTTTATTAATGTTCTTTTGTTATTTGTGTTCTGCAGAAATATGAAAATCAATAACAACGCACAACTTAAACACACTTTGTTGAATTATCTGTGCATGTATTTGTCTGACAACTTTTTCAGCTTTAGGTGTAAACACAGGGGTGGTGTTGGACAGGCAGGTTTCTCAGCGAGAAGCAGGTGATAACAAGCTCAGTCTGAAGCTCAAGTCCTCTAAGCAGGGTGTCTGGCACAGCTTGGGCTGATAGCAGCTGAAGATGACACACGTACAGCCACACCGACACACACTGACACAAACACTACCTGCCTAGAAAATGTGTATATCCCTGCAGGGGAGTTGATTTCAGCAAGATCTCCAGCTGGCTGAAACCTTCTTGATGTCTTCATGCATCTGCACTCCTGACACTTAAACGCAGAATAGAGACCTGCTATTCCACCCATACGATTTTTTCCCAGCCAGACAGTGCGTGACCAAACCCTCTCTAGGACTAAGCTAATGCGTGTCTGGACAGCACTGGATGTAAATCATTTACCACAGAATAATCCAATATGTAAGTAACGGTTCCAGACACTGGGCTGGAAGAGGACGGTGTGATATATGCACCCGTCTAATCTTTGGCCTCAATCCTGCTATAATCCATCTATAGGTTACAGCCTATTAAAAACAGCCTACATTGTGGGATTATAATGCGATGCCTATCATGACATTTTAAGATCGGCACTCCTACACACTCCCAAAACACATCCTTCGCAATACGCAGGGATAAAATAGAAGCTCATGCAACAGACAGCCGGTGCAGAGAAACATGTCAAACACAGCACCACACACAAAGCTTCTGCTTTGTATTAGCAGATAAGACATACATCTCTTCTTTTGTAGCATAAAAGAAAACATCTCCGGTTAAAGAAGCTGTCATCCAAGAACCATCATCAACGATTGTTCAAAGCAATTAGCAACCCTACGAGCGACTCCATCAGCATGCAGCTGTCACTCCATTGATTGGAGCTGACTCACTGCTGGCTCCAAAGAAAGAAACACGGTGTAGTACAACAACAAAGTGATGTAATTGGCCGTTAACAGTCATTCCATCTCCTCTAAATCACACACAACTCTGAGACTGACTCAAGTTCAGCTCAGTCAATCTTTGTGACAAACAAACAAGTCCCTAGCTTACCTCACCATACGCTGATTTATGATCGGCTTCAAAGGCAGAAAGTCGGAGAGGAAAATCCCACCTGACAGCAGGGAAAAGATCAAGCTGGGAAACATAAATGTCAGCACACTTTGAATAACAACAGAGTGGTATTTAATACTGATGCTGCAAAGCCGTGATCTGCTGATTTCTTACGACATCGTGAGTCATCGAGTTTCTATTAGTGAGATATGGTGAAAAAACGCACATCCTGACTTCCTGAGGCCCAATGTGATACTGTTGAGTCTTTATTGTTATTATGCAGGTCAACGATTTTTGTGTTATAATAAGAATTAATGGAGGCAGAGAGCAAACTCTCAAATTATTGGCAACACAAAGACAGTAGATTTAAAGACCCACTCCTCTGAAAATCATGTTTTCTTTGTTTTTTATATGTTCATATGGCATTTTTCTGATCCTACAGTCATATCATGAGAAAACTAAGAGCAAAATTGCATTTATGAGTAGTTCCTCATTCAAATCACTGTGAACCTCCGGCAGACCCAAACATCAGATTCAGACACGGTAAGATTTCCTACGTCACAACTCCAAACTCCGCCCCCAGCACCCCACTCTTCAGGCCAGACTCCGAGAAGTAGAGAGGATGATCGCTGAACAAGTGTGTGCGTTAAAGGATTGCAACGCTCGTGAGAAAGCTAATTATGATATTAATTTTCATCCAAGTACCCAAAGACATTAGTGTCCGAGAGCTGAACAACTCCTACATTACCTGCTACTTGTTAGGCTGCAAGCTGGCATGAAGAGGAGGGTGTAGGGCAGAGCAGTTTGCCTCCACGACTCAGAGGCAAATTGCTAATGAGCTGCTGGAGCTCTGCAGAAGAAAAGCCCTTCAAAATGACAAGTAACATGATTTGGCTAAAAACTTCATAATCACAACTTAAAGACCACTGAGAACATTTTAAGTGGTCAAAAAAAAAAAGATCGGAGTGGGACTTCAAGGGGCTTACGTGCCAAAAGTAACGTAATCAAAAACTGTGACCAAACAATGACTGCTCGTCTGTAACTGTTCTTTATTCTCTAGATCAGGGGTTCTCAACCTTTTGCAAGCCGGGCCCCCGCAAAGGTGGGTCAATGCAGTTGAAACGCGAGGCCACGAGCTGACCCTGAGAAACGGGATGTGAATAATATCAGTGGATTATTAAACTGCTGGAGCTGGATGACTGATAATGCTGACTAGTTTAGACTTCAGAGTGAAGGTAAGACATTTTTCCTGAAGGTTTGATCAGTCTTGTCTCTGCTGGGATGTGCGGTGGACTGAGTTTAGGACATTTTATATTTTTTGAGGTCACATTTCCTCCGTTAATTTATATCAGATCTCCGTTAAACAGTGGTGTGGTGTTGTGTTCAGCATCTAAAATGATCATCTGACCTTCACATCTTTTCATGAGGAGAAGGAAGGATTCATTTCCTGTGCTGCAGGTGGTCAGTGGGGGGGACCTCTTGATATTTGGCTTCATGGTCTGTAAACACTTGTAGCATCTATTTTGATGTACAATCTTTGGTTAACACACACAATGGAGACCTGAAGCCTTCAATATGATGTCTTGATGACATAAATAGTCACCTGATTTCCTAAAGAGTCCTCTAGGAAAGTTACGCTCAGTGTAAGAGATGCTAGGAGACCGAACAATAAACACATTTCGAAATTAAACAGCTCTTTTAAAAGCCTTACACTTTATAGCTTTCAAGGATGAGCATTATGTCCTTGTGAGATAGTGTGAGAGTACTACAGTGTACCACCTCCTATCCACTACTACTGTGAGCCAGCTATTGATTGGCTCTGTGCATTACCACTGTGAAAGAGGAGAGGGTGCTGAAAAGCTGAAACGTGTGAAGCACAATAGCAGGCAGCCTTGCAGAGCTCCTTGAAGGAACACAGCCCACACACACACACACACACACACACACACACACACACACACACACACACACACACACACACACACACACACACTAAACTTCTGTCAAATCTGGTGCACATGATGCACATGAACAAGTTCACAAGCAAGAACATGTTGAGTACAGTCTCACCTTCAGGTTGTTCTCTGATGTGACAAAGTTTTTAGTTTGATTTTTTTTTGATTTGGTTCATCTTACTCAGTGACAAGCCGAGCATAGAGCAAGTCACATGACCTGAACCCAGAAACAGAACCTCCAACCATTACTTGGTAACATCATCTCACCATTTTTCGACCTCACCACCTTCTGAGGAGAATTTCTTGTTCACAAGTTCAAACATGTTCTTATTTGAATCTGACAAAGAGGCAGGCCTTTGTGTTTATAATGAGAAGAAAGCTGCAGGTGTGGAGTAGGGGTGGGAGAAAAAAATCGATACAGCATAGTATCACGATATTTTGTCTGGTGATATATCGTATTGTCACATTTACCAAGTATCCAAATTCATTGCTAGTATGAAGTCAAATCTATGATAATGGAAAAATAAAATCAACTGTTTGTCCAGTGAGGTTGTTAGAGGTGATGTAATAGAGCAGGAGAAAGTTAGTACAACAAATACAGCAGCACCTGGGGAAAGACATTAGGAATGAAAGCAGGGCACAAATGAGATGGACCTGACACATGAGGTTTGTAAGATGTGCTACATGAAAATAAAATACAGTGTAAACAAGACGAACAAAAAGGAAAGACAAATGCTAAATTAGCTAAATTACAATATATTGTATAACTCACTGTATTGGAAAATGTTTAAAATCGTAATAATATTGTATCTTGGCCCAAGTATCATGATAATATCATATCGTGGGGCCACTGGTGATTTCCGCTCCTAGTGTGTAGTTTGTGTGGGTACCAGAATTGAAAGAAGTTGGGTGAGCATTCAAAAGTTGGAGAGCACATTTGCTTTCAGGACTTCCCTCATAATGGCAGTGGATAAATGATTTATCCTCACATAATGAAAAGACAAAGAGTCATGTATTTAACACTTTCAATGATACACCTGACCCCAGATTTGCACTATTTTGAACACTGTCTGACTCAAGTAGAGCACCATTTTATCTATATTTTGTTGAAATGCCTCAATTTTTATGAAATTTGGAATGATCTCACACAATGAGACGATCCTCAGGTCATAAAATGTAGTTACACTGTCAAACACAGAATGCAGATAAGATTTAAATGGAAAAAAAAGGAATTTAAGAAAGAAACAAAATGGAATCAGAGACAAGTTGGAAAACGGCTTTCTGGAGTTAACATCTGCTTTGAATGCAGCATAGTAATTTATTTGATAGGTGGAATAAAAATGATATGCTTATGTTATATCAATAATAATATGTAAAATAATGTATTAAATTTACATTCCAAAATAAAATTTTAGAAAACGTACTACATGGGGCCCTTCAATCCCCTATACCCTGTCCCTCACATCTACTTTAATGTTCAACCTATATCCTGACGATGGGGTGCTTAAAGGCTTTAAATATAGGTCTGTGATTCAGGCTGGATAATGAGGCTATGGGTGCGATAATCTGGCATGAGCCTGAATGCTTATCGCCAGCTTTGTATTATTGTGTCCTCTGCGCAGCCCACTGATTGGCTGATGCAACCAGTCATATCATCATGGGAGCGTACTCCAAAAAGCCCAAACTATCTCATATTAAAACCCTTGAAAAAGAGGAAAATACATGTTACATCTTATCAAACCCTTCTAAATCTCCGCAGATGTGTGACCCTACATTACAGCACAATCTACATTAAAGCCCAGCAAGCATCCCTGGAGAGTATAGTAAACAAGGGGATGCATGTGCACAGCAATAACAGCACTGTGTAACCTCGCTCTAAACGGCCTGCTCTACCTTTACTCCCTTTCTTTCAGGATAGAGTGCTCCAATGTGCCCACTCACTCTAAGTTTGCAGCACTCCAACAAAAGACGGTCTCAGCAAATCAATACGTGTGTTCAAAAGAAACTTCGCCATCTCACTGCTGCTTACTGGAAAAGACTGTTTCATCAGGTGAAGGACAAAGACTGAAGATGTATTTACAGAATAAAGGGATGCTTCTAGGTGTTCAAACACCTCTAATGCACAAAAATGTAATTTAACATAAGTCAGGCATGTTAATGTACGACAGCTTTAAAAATGATGAGTAAAAAAGACAGTAAAGAGGTTTTTTTTTTATGTAAACACAATCTATAACTCAGCCTGTGCCAATAAGTCCATTAGTTTGTTATATTTGTACTATGTGGGAGCAGACTTTGATTTTTCCATCTTTCCACGCTTGAAGAAGCAGCAACCCATCTTTCCAGTTTAGATGGAAAACACAGCCACTCCAAAGCTTTATGGATTTTGTGATGAACTTGAGGTTAAAACAGGACCGCTGAAGTAATTTGGATGACAATCCAGAGCTGAAATAAGCAACCAATAAACCTTGGATGTGCTGTGCCGCGGAATGCATTTTGCTTTTCATATCAGAGATTAATATTGTATGGGGATAAACTCATCTTTGCTACGTTGCCAAATTGCTTGGCACTCAAGAGAGTGAAAACAAAGTGAGAAAGAGAGAAAGAAAGAGAGCGCATAGCCGTGAAAGTGGGAAATTGCTCTGCTTAAAATGTGCATCAGATTTTACTCGTTCACTGCCAGTGGAAGAGCTTCCACTTCAACCATTCTCCTATCCTTGAAACTCAATACCTAACCAAACCAAACTCATATTTCAATCAAATGCATCTTTCCATAAAGTTAGCCTATGTTTATTTTCCACCCTCATGCCCACATGAAAAGACAGACACCAACTGTAATCTTTGTTTCTGTGAGAGACGCCACGTCTCCACAATTAGAGTCCTGCTTCTCAAGTTAATTCAATTGTCTCTGGTTCATGGGGGATAAATAAAGTCCCCGAGCACTGAACACGCATCTTTTGTCAGTGTCCAAATTCCTCACATCAGTCTACTCGTCCAGAAATGGAGAGGATACAGCCCTGAGAAAACTGCCTCGACATTTTTCACACTTCTTGGCTGTTACTGTCCTCAAGGAAATGACAAGTATGAATGACGATGATGCAGGAAAAACAGAACAGAAACTGCTGACGGATTATAAAGAATAATCATAGCAAGTTAATCTTCCTTTTCAAGCCAATCATTCTCACAATAAAAGTTAAGATTACTAATTATTCAAACCCTCTATTTTAGTAATAATTCTATTAGTTCCAGTTGATAAATAAACATATGCAGCTCCTGCTCTATTTGATTTTTGAGCAGTGAGTGGGACAAAACAGTCCCACTGAAGAAGTCACCTTCAGCTTGTGTTTCTGTATTTCCAGACGTTTTACAGAGAAAACAATCAAAATAAGACTGATGTGCCCCACACTTCTTTTCGTAAAACTCCATTTCAGCTGAGAAAAGTAGCTGGATGGTTTAGAGGCGTATTGCACAATCACAATGTCCCTGTTTTAAGTCCAGCAGGAGACCTTGGTTATGACTCATACAACTCCCCCTTTCTAATTTCCTGTCTTCACCATCGCTGTCAGCTGTCATATTAAGTACAAAAAAAGGCTTATAAGAAATAAACTCAAAAACCTCTCCTGTGAAATCATGACGCTGTTCAATGAGAGCAGGAAGTGATGATTTCTGCTAATTTGTGTGTTTTTGCTTTTATTTCAAAAGAACAGCTAGAGAAAGGCAGGGATCGTTGGCCATGACCACAGACTGTATCAAGGCCAGAGTCTCTATCACGAGAACTCCCTGGTTTCTGAAGAGAGGTTTTCTAGCCAACTGAAGGCTGACGCCATATTGGAGTTCATTGTTGAGGTAAGAAACCGATAAGTCTGTATCGATGTATGTAACAGGGAAATCTTGGGTCTGGTGCTCCTGCTCTGCACTATAAAAACTCAGATGGTTGGTGTTAATAGATGAGGGGGCACAGAGCTGGAGATGGACCAAACATGGATCTGGTGGAAGTCTAGTGCCAGCTGGTAAGTCAGCTCCACATTGCCTCTATTTATGTCTTCAGAACAAAAAGTCATAAAAGAATAAAAACTCTGAGCAAAGGAGACACAAATAAAGACATGAGCTTTACAGCCTGAAATGTTTTTTTGTAGCAGACTGAAACCATGTATAGTTTTGCAGTAAAGGGCGCTCCAAGTCCCACCTCGAACTTTTTTTACTTTTTTCTTCTCAAAGTGTTCTCAGTGGTCTTTAAGTCATTAGCCAAAATCACTTCACTTGTTTCATTTTCAAGAGCTTTTCTTCTGTAGAGCTCCAGGAGCTCATTAGCAATTCACCTCTGAGTTGTGGGTGTAGCTTGTAGTCTAACATTGCCAGTGCAGTGGAAGTGGCAGGTAACATAGGAGTTATTTAGCTCTTGGACACTAATGTCTTTAGGGGCATGGTGGAAGTTAATATCATTATTAGCTTTCCTACGAGCATTGCACTCTGATACCGAACACATTTGATCCCCCATTGTCCTCTCTACTTCTCAGGGTCTGGCCTGCAGAGTGGGGCACTGGGGGTGGAGCTTGGATTCGTGACATAGAAAATCCCACTGTGTCTGAACCTGCCATTTGGGTCTGTGAGAGGCTCACAGCGATTTGAATGCAAAAATACTCAAAAAAAAAAAGTTGCACTTAGTTTTCTCATGATATATTCTGTAGCATCAGAAAACGCTATATGAACACGTAGACAGCAAGAAAAACAGGATTTACATCAGAGTGGGTCCTTAAACACAAATGGAACTTTTGGGGTTTTTGCAGCCAGACTAAAGTGGACACAGAGCTGACCTGTACCCCAAAGTCAGGTAGACAGAAAAAAGGATCTTTATAGTACATTGAACAATGGCAGCACATGACTAAATGTTCTGATATCACTTCCACTCAGAAATCAGAGAGTAGCCTCCTCCCTTTCTGTTTTACTCTTGCAAAAAAAAAACAACTAATGAACTATGGCTTCAATAAATGTGACGAAAAAAAAAGCCCCCAAACCAGATAATACACATGCCAAGCTGCTGTCTTTTATGTTTAAGGAACTTTGTTGTTTTGACACATATTTTTAATGCAACTTTCAATGAGACTTCAAACTCTTTATTATGAAATAATTGTTTTTATCGAAGTGCAGCACCAGTGGTTTGATGTTGCATGCACAGTCAGAGGTCTGGAGTTTGACATTGTTGGAAAAGATGTCTTCATCTGCTTCAAGAGCCAGGTAAGTCTCACTGGGTTCGGACAGGAGTATCAAACAAACTGCCACTCTCGCATCCTTTGTGGTCCAACCAATGACCATGGAGTCAAAGTAGGTTTCCTCATCAGAGGGGCAGCAACCACAGGCTGAGGTTCTGAGGCTCTCTGCTGTCCGGTATGATTCAGCGTGAAAACTCCCCTGTGAGGCCAAGCTTTTCATTAGCATGGAGCGAAGTGTGGGAGGGCGGCTCAGAGTGCTGTCTGCCCACTCAGCTGTAGTGTGGGCCACAAACTGCACTGGCAAAAAAACATTATGCAACCACCATGCCATTGTGTACAGAGGAAGGGTTACCACAGCAACAGGACTCAGAGACTGAGCAGAGGAACCGGCACTGGTTGGAGGAAGGAAAAGACTGGTAGATAATCCTGGGTGGCTGTAAACAGTGTGTGAGGGACAGTGTGTTTTCGTACAGATATTGATTCTAGTGTAGATGTATGAATGTCCTAAAGGAAGTTTCTTTTTTTAGGCCTGAACAACTTTTATCCCCCCCCAAAAAGACATGCAACTTTCTTGTGTGTTTGTTTGAATACAGACTGGTGTAATGTCTTCAAGTAATAATATATAGCACACTTAAACAGAAATAACTCAGAAAATCTAAGATTTCAGGTCTTGACTTGAAGTGAGATCTCACGACAGATGTTTAGGCTTACTTTGACTGCAAAGCCGCCAAATGTGAACTCAGGAGGGAGGAGTCTCATTAGCAGATTCAGAGACTCCAAGCGACAGCGCTGACAGACAGACCTCTGACAGAAAGCCAAATGAGAGGCAGGCGGTGTTTGCCCTTGTCTAGTAGCCACAGTGAAAAGCCATTCAACATGTCAGAGGAATGTCATCCACCTCCCCCAGCTCCAAGGTTTTAAGGCGGTGGAGACAATAGACACATTGTGCTTAGAGGTAGACAGGGGTGAAAGGTTTCCTTTACCATCTTCAGACCTGTTAAGGTCTACAGTCACTGTGGTTTCACAGCTTTTTTTTAACTGTAAAGAGCTCCAGAACAGATTCCACAAGCCAAAGAACTCTGTTATTAAGATCCTGGGGAAATACAGGTGAGGAAAAAGTCTAGAATATAAAGATTATCATATTGGTACCTGGACTCTTCTTTGTGCTGGTTTAAAACAGATGGACCTGGACAAAAGTAATGAGCCGTGATTGTAACAGTGCAACCAGGATAAGAATAAAACAGCATCACGACTTCAAAATCAAACACTTTACTCTAAGAAAGTGTGAACACCAACAATCCATAAAGCATCCTCACTCCCTGTGTTGGTGCAAGGTGACGGGCACTGCTTGGGATTTCTGGAGAAATGCAACTCCTGACCAAAAATGAAGAAACTAGCAAACGCTTTGATTGATTAGAAGGCTAGGAACATGAACCTGTTTAACTGAAGACAAACACTGAGACCAACTTGATACCCAGCTTTGCATACAAGCTGAGAGAAGAACAAACTGCAGGAGGTGAGAGGGGGCCTGATGGTGCATCAGCTGGTCCATCCATCATCTCCTGTTATATTTCGTGCTTGCTCTTTTAAACGGGGCCCCTCTGTGCAGCTGAAACTGACATTCAGCAGGTTTCAGGGAGGTTAACTCTGTCAGGGAAAGTTGTGCAGACAGGTTTTATCAGTTTTGTGAAGAGGTTGCTGTGACCCTGTTTTTAGGAAACAGTCCTTAAAGTGACATTGTAAGATGACAAATGCCTAATGATGGATGCACTTAATGATTTATGGTGATGACAGCAGGATTAATGGAGATCAATCCCCCTCCATTCTGACCTTTGTTGACATCAATTCAGAGTTTAGAAAGCCCCTGGCTTTCTTCGATTGTCTCCAAGTAGAAACATATCGCTGACAAAACAAAGACTGATGTTAAAGAAAAAGATGTTCAACAAAACCAAACACTGAACCCTGGGTAAGTCTGGATATTTCCAAGGCAACAGTGATCCTCCTGGATACAAGCAACAGAAACTATCTGAAATAAAACTGTGTTTAGATCAAACTGACAAAACAAACTGGGTCAGTTTCAATTTCTGTTGACATACACTATGAGGATATAGTTCAGGTTACTGACCTTTGACCAGTCAAATATAAATCCATGATTTAATGCCCATTCAAATCTTATATACATGGATAAAGAAAGTCCCAATACAGATTAAAAGAAAAGAAGAAATAAAGGAGAATGAAGGCACCGGCTACTTAGTCATTGATTTGAGTGGATGAGTGGAAACAGGACTGCTAATGCGAAGCCTGTCATACAACAGATGGTGATGTATATCATAACGTCAACAAAGCTGGAAATCTGTGCAAAACAACAATGAGGAAATCCACAAACTGACTTTGTCGGCTTAATGATGAGTGATGCTCTAAGAGAAACACAACAGCATACAATTGTAACGATATAAACACACAAACAGACAAACGTTACCGATATGTCTTTTTAAGCCTTGGCTTAAACCTTATAAGCACTGAGGATCCTATTATTTAAAAGAGCTTAGTTTGACAATTTGACAAGCACACTATTTTATTTTTAGACTTTAATCATATTTACATTATACTGCTCTGAGAAAACATATTTAACCAACATATAAGCTTTGTCTGCTGTGTAATCGCCATTTTAGTCCAGTACCGAGCCAAAAAGTTTCCCAACCAGACAGCACGTAGCATCAGACATTCAGTCTGCGGAGAGCCAGCCAGGCAAGCCTGAGCCAGACTGAGGCTTAAGGTAATATATCAGCGCATACATTAGTAATACTTTGAGCCTTCAGAGTATTTTCCAACAATGATCTCAAATCCATCCAGGAGGGCTGAGGATGTTTTTCTCACAGTGCTTCACATCATTTTGGATGCAAATAAAGCCAACCAACAGGGGAAAAAAAACAAACACCATCTATGAGAGTGAATAGAGGCAGTGGAGGATTTTTATAAGTATTTTCCAAAAAAAAAAAAAAAGGCAAAAACTTCAATCAAGATGTACTTTTAGTGTGGAAAAAGAAAAGGCATCAATCCCTCTTGTGCTCCCATACTGTTTTGCGTGATCAGTCATTAAAATGTCAAGAAGAGTGTCACATAATATGATGTTATCAAAGCATGATCCATGTTTATATCTTAGTATAAAAGCCATATATGTCTTGATATCATAGGTTAGATATTGTTGATTAGCTTATGGCACATAATCTTGGGGCTATTACTGCCTATGCTAAAGGTAAAGATGTAAAAGAATGCCAGTAAAAACCAGGGCTGATACTGAATCGATCCAATGTTAATTTACCAACAATACTGTGTGGAAATGAGGAGTGGGGACACTCAGTGGACTAGATCCAAACACATGCGACAAACAGCCAATAGAAACTCTCCATACTGAGTTCTGTGGGAAAACTCTCAGTGCTTAAAGTCAAACATTAACTAATGAGCTTTAGTATTTAATATATTATTTAATCTATCTTAGGAGTTGCCAGTCATCCCTCCTCTAAATGTCACTAAAACATGACTAATAAACTGCATATAGCTGATCTTTCTCAGAGGCAGTATGTTGATCCTTCACGGCAGACATTTTCTGTAACATAAAAACTTATCAGTTTGTCCAGCAGGTGACTTCTTCTGCCAAATCTAACACCTCTCCTTTGAGTTAGGTGCATCAGCTAACCAGGTGCAATAAAGATGCAATTAGATACAGATAAATGCATGGCTCTAAGAGGAATTGATATCAGCTGCAACCAGAATTCAGCTGATACACCAGCGCAGTGCTTGATAAAGTAAAAGCCTGAATGATGACACTTCAGTTAATTTACAGTGCAGGAGAGACTCTTGATGGTTTTGGCCATTAACTGAGAAAACCTGCATTTATTCACAACAGTAATCCTTGAACTGATTGGGAAAAGAAATCTGCATATGCAAAAATAGTCTTAATCCCTGCGTTATAAACCAGTAACTATTTTTGGTTACTCAATGTAGCTTAAGAGAACTGGGCCGTGCAACTGAGATCTTTGTAGGAAGATGTACAGTAGTCCCACGTTTGGTGCTGCTTCTTCTCTGGGAAATGTCTTCAACCTAAGTGGGCGAGCATGTGTGATAAGAAAATAGATATCCTGCAGAATAACCCATCAATAACACTGTTACATAACCACCTTACCTCTTTTGAATGTAATGAAACATGTATTTACACACTCTTTGTCAAATGGAATAAAAGTTTTCACTATTTCAAACTATTCTCCGGCGGAGTCCAACAAAGTTATGTAAAACCATCAGATTTAGTGTTAACTGTCGTTAATAGAGAGTGTGGAGGTAACACAAGGAGGGTGAAGGACATGAAAGGGTGAAAGTTGTCTCTCCACCATGTTTTTACCCCCTCAGTTTCCACGCTCCACCGCCTGCAGTTCTCTCCTAATTGACCACAAAAGGGTTGTAGCTCCCCCTCCATCCCCTCCACACACGCAGGCGCACAGAACATGACACCCCTGCTTTTCACCCGCTAACACAGTTGGCAGGGATCCAATTATCCTCCATTGACTGCGGGGATTAATTGAAAATAACTCATTACGCTTCTTGAGGACATTCCAAATGAGTCTGATTTCAATTTGACTCATAAGCTGACCGTAATTTGAAGAGTCTGACCCCGGTGATCACAAGGCTTAAGTCATCCGGGCAAAGACAGACACACACAGAAAGACACACAGACGGACGGACGGGCCCTGCAGACAAAAGGAAGAAAATCTGACTTCAAACCTGAACCCTGCAGGAGGACTGTCTGCCAGAAAATCTGCACCATGGTTTCCTTCTCCTCTCCTTTTAGCTCTCTTCTTAGTTTTCTTTTTCTGGCACTTCTCTCTTACAGGATGAACTTACAGTCACAGTGAATATCATCATGCCTCTCTGACACATTCATTCCTCACTACTACTAGATGATGTTGGCAATACGGGAGGAAGCTCCGCTTTTGCACTCAGTGAACTCAGTGTTGTCAACTGAATAACTGAGATTTATAAACATGTAAGACAGAGACAACCAAAGGATGTTTTGTTAATATCAATGGCACCTTCTTATGCTGTCTTTCTACCTTGTTGGTTCACTTGATCTCTTACAAGTCAGGGTCGGGCATGTATTTATTGAACTTAAAGACTACACACTGCCCTTACCTTTAAACCATTCAGACTTAGGCTTGTATCTTATTATTTAATGTCTCACACACATTTGCTCCTCCTGCTCCTTTCCCTGTGTGGCTCCTCTTGCTCCACCTGTGGCTGTGTGATGGTTTGTACTCGCCGCTTGGCACTCCTAAACTTGGTTACGCATTAATCTGAGCTGAGGTATTATTGCCTCCTGGCCCCTAGGTGGGTACACTCACCAAGAAAAATGCCCATTATGCCAAATTGCCAGAGCAGCCCTGGCGATGGCTCCCTCTCCCCCTTACTCCTGATACAAAATGAAGTGAGGAGGAGAGGGGGGAGGGGCAGAGCATACATACACACTCACACACACACACACACACACACACACACACACACACCGCTGTGGAGGAAGAGGGGATGCGCAACACAGCAGGCAGAACAAAAATCATCTCTCTCAATTATTCTGTATTTAATGGTTCAAAATATGTTGTGTTCTGTTAGGAAACATTTACAGTTTTTAGTTTTGAAACTGCAAAACTGTAAAACAATCCCCAACTATTAGCTTCTGATTCTGCCCAGGGGGGACACCCAACATGTATTTTTTCTTCAACACAAAGTCACTGGTTCATTTGTTACTTGTCTCCAATCGCCGCAGCTTTGCAGATAATAAGCAATAAGATTTCACTAATTAATAACATGGATCAACAGAAGTAAAATCCTTTGAATCAAGAAGAGGCAACACTGCATCAATGCGACAGCGCTGCAGCCCCCTAGGGAAAGGAGGGTGGGTTAGTCTGGGTGGGTGGTGAGTGACAGGCCTCATCAAGGCCACTCCTGCGACCCAGACTGCTCCTCCGCCCAATAATTCAACCCGGGGTAGGGGGGTAAATCTAGGTCAGTGGATGGGGCACAGTCTGCAGCAGTGTATGCCTGGCATGAGCTGGTAGTTTTGTTGTTTGAGAAAAGCATGTTACAGTTTCCCCTGGAGAATATTCAGCAGAATTACGATCAATGATCTGCATATAAACTAGCTGTTTCTTGAGGGAAAAAGAGACTCTAAATCATATCTCTGTTTAATACAGGAGCCCATGTGAACGTCTTGCATATATAATCCTATTTTGTATTCATAGAAAAAAGTCTTTGGGGTGATTTTTGCAGAGAAATAACCCAAATACAGTTCCAGTTTGATGCTTTTATGTTGATTTGCATTGCAGAATCCCCTCAGAAATACACGAACCCCTCTCCTTCTGCAGATGGTAACACCACATACACACAATGAGGGCCAATTGGTGGAGAGCCACACAGCGGTTACATTAATGCTGGCTAACAACAGAGGCAGAGCGCTGCAGAAATATGCAAAGTGTGAAACTGTGGGCCAGATTAAAGGCAAGGACTCAAAATGCCTTCCTCAGTCGGCTTAGTTCATCTTTTTCTCTCCCAGTCAGCCAGAAAGTGGCTGAGTCAGTGCGCCCATTAACAAAAGTCAACATGGAAACAGAAGAAAGAAAGAAAAAAAAAAACAGAACTCACATGACACCATCAGTAATTCTGCTCGGCCTGTTTTTGTCATGCAGACTTGGAGGCTGCTCTGTTTTGCTAAAGAAGAGCTGAGCTGAAGTAGCCCTCATAGGCTGCCAACAACACCAACATTAGAATAAAGGGATAATTATCTAAACTAATACTGTCATTACATAAAAGATCAGACATCAGTGTTGTCTACTTGTGACATGTTTGGAGTTTCTCTTCTGTCAACAGCAATTATTAAATTCTGTTACAGTAGAGCAGTGTTACAGACATCCTCCTACTAAAACAACCAGGAGGGAATCACCCAAGAGTTGTCTGCCGTGTAGCTTTGATAAAAAGTGACTAGGACTGTGGTTAAGGAGCATTTAAGTTATGGATCAAAGATTAAAAATGTGCTTATTTGAATAGATAACATGATCGCAGAGATGTGAAAATATAGCAAATAGACAGCTGATTATTTTTTATTTGGTATCAGATTGACATCTTTGAGTGTCTTCTATTATCTTATGATGTGAAAAGTATGACACCATGTTTATATCTGACTGAAATGAATTTGCTTTTTTGCAACCATAACTGTCTCCACACACCAAGCGTGAGTTAAAATCATTCGCGCAAATGAATTACATGTTAAGTCAATGCACAAACACGATTAGACACTCCTACGACTCTGGCAGTGCAAATTACGTGAATAAGGTTAATCTCAATTTGAGCGGATATATTTGTATCACAATAACCAATCAACACGAAGGTTTCCGGGTGACGTATGAAAACAGACAGTTGTTCACTGGTATCTAAAATGGAGGACAAACTGATTGAGTCGAGTGTGGGTGCCCCGAATTATATGATACCTTTTCTTTCAATTACCAAAACTAGAATAAAAAGGAGCTCACCTGGAAGCAAGTGAGTGAGGAGGTCGGATTACCTGGTAAATTGTAATAAAACCTTTGTCTATCACTTGATCCCGACGGTTAAATTGGCAGGGATTACCGTTGAAATTACCAATGACACGCAAATGAAGCGAGTAAATACTATTCATACACGCGTCTAGATTCGTGCAAATTAAGCAAGCAGATGATTTTACTCGCAATTGGTGTGAGCGCCCTATAACAGTGTCCACAGGGGGCGCCAAACTGGCAAACCAAAAGTTCCTTACAGGAGCTTTAAAGTGACCCACATGTTTAATTTAAAACTCATATCCCAGAACATAATGCAAGAAAGTTAAATGCTGATTACCCCCTACTTATTTTAGCACCATGTACTGATCAAGAAATAAAAGCCTGATGATAACCTCGGGTCTTCAGCAATTCCTCAATTGGCTGAAAAGGCCTTCAGCACTAATTGAGTGTGTTTATTCCTGCAGGTAGACAGGCCTTATAAAACCACTATGAAACACTGGATGACACTTGAATGGTGCTTTTCCCATCACTTCATTCTGAGGAGGTATCAGACAGAAGACCCTTTGAGATGCTAGACGCTGTGAGGTCTTCAACTAATTCCCCTGTGATCTACAGTTTGAAGAGAGAATTTTCTGCCAATCTGTGAGGCAATTACGGATCAGCTGGGCACAGATGTAGCCAGAGCTCTGCTTATTAGAGGGAAGTATTTGGAGAAGACCAGCAGCGGCAGCAGCGGGGGCATATTCTATGAGGAGCCTTTTAAATGCAGGCTAACTGGTCTTTTTGGACCCAGTTCAAAAGGGAGTATTTGACCACCGATGCACGGATTGTTTCACACTCCCTAACACAGCTCCACTTGCAGGTAACAACTTGACTCCTCTCCTGAGGATCAACAGTATCCCACAATAACTCAAGCAATTCTCTAAATGACAATTCACTTTACACCTCTGATGATTCCACCTCCCTGACTTGCTTCAGGGGGATTGATAAAGGCTCACAAGCTACCCCACATAGCCACACAGCACCCTGACTAGGCTGAAATAGACCGGTTCAGGTCGTGAGGCGGTTAAGTCGAGGTTTGCTGAATAAATCATGCAGGATAGTGAAGACTTGAGAGGCTTTATCAGGTCATTTCAGTGGCTTTAAGACAGGATGAAGCTGCACACCTCATCCTCACACATCCCCTCAGGCTGTTTTTACTGGATCCTGCAGCTGCATTACTTCATCACACCCTCCTCCTCCTCATTAAGCTCACTGTGGCTTGATACTAATGAGGGTTACAAGCTTGGCTTCAGCAGCTTTTGGTTCCACCATGCATGCTCACCATAGCAATGTCAGTATCAATGAAAGGATAAGGTCCCTGCTTGGGCGATTTCCCATTTTCCCATTTACCCAACCAAATGAGACTCATTTCAATTCCAGTGAGAGTCAGGCCTGGAGTGCAGTCAGATTAAAAGCCTCTCTGTCTTAAAGCATGCAGGGCATTACAGTACAGTACAGTGCAGGTAATGCTGCTTTACTTTGGCTGATGAAAAGAGATACTCAGGAGCTTTTAGCATAAACTAGCCAGCTTATCCAACATTAATCAACTTTAAAACAACTGTTTTCCTATCCTTAACTATTTTTTCTTCTTCAAGAGTTTCTCAGTCCTGCAGACAACCACCAGCAGAGGAGAAGTTGGGCTTAAAACAGTATTAGTTAAGTAGTCACGTTTATTTGAAATACAAAGAGTCAATGAACCCTTTTCTTAAAATTGACTAATAAAACTGTTGATTATGGATCAACTAACATCAGTATTTGGCTGATTATCTGTACCTGTGTTTTATTTAACCAAAATTTATTCGTCAGAAAGTGTGTTACTTTGGACTCCCTGGCAGTGTGTCTTCACCCCCACATCAGCCACCTGCTGTTGAAAAATTCATATCAGTCAACCACCAACTGTGAAATTGCTGGGGTCTGTGAAAAACATACTGTTTGCTTACATCAGGATACATTGTTAGGGCCCTTGTACAGCACCGCAGGGCCTCATTAGAAAGCTGTTGTGTCATATATTTGACTTTTTTTTTAATCAAAACTGCAGTTTCTGCAACCTAAATACTGCAAGTTAGGTAAAATTTCCACTGAATGTGCAGCCTCAAAGGAGGAAGCTTGTTATGAAGCTGTAGGCTTAAAAAGACTGCCGGGTTAGCTCAGCAGTTAAATCACATGTCTCGAGCATGTACAGAGCCTAAAGTCCTCAAAGCAGACAGCCTGGGTTCAACTCTGACCTCTGGCCCTTTTCTGCATTTCAGTCTTGGCTTACGTCACAACTGTAGAAACATATTCAAGCGGTTTTAAACTGATTTAGACATACATCATATTTCATGTCTGCTACACTGAATGCCTTGCATACTACAGACTACCCTAAAAGAAAAAATGTGCTAAGAGCTTTTCTCGCATGAAGCCCAGAGTTCATTTCTACTTGTGTATGCAGGTGCAGAGGTTTTTTTTAGCCCATGCAAAAAGCTTCAACCACCAACAGATTATCATCTGTGTTCACAGGTAGATTTTATCAGATTTATCCTTCTATGGAAGCTACTGTGAATATCAGATAAGCTGTAGCAAATGGAGCTCTATTCACTTACCAGGAATCAAAAAGAAGGAAACAATATTTCTTTTTATACTTTAGCTCCGAGAAACAAACAAGTCAAACATGATTCTTTCTTTAAACGGGGGAGCAAAAGCCCTCTGTTCTAAATTTTTTTATGACACAAGCTACTTCTTTTTCTTATGCATATGGATCAACACTCAAGAATGTCAAGGCTGTCACACTATGGATGCAGAGGGAATGGATCCTGATTTTGAAGGCAACAACCAACTGTACATCTCTTTATCCCAGACAGAAATTCAATCCCATTACACAAAGCTTGCCAAACGTCTCTGTTACCAAAGTAGCAGAGTGAAGCAGCCACAGCCTCTCCAGCTCACCCACACAGTTCTTGAATGCAAGTGCTAAAAGAAGAAGTGGTGTTGCCAGACAGGCATAACAACTGGTTGATTATTACCAACATGTAGTGCATGTGTTCCTTTGATAAAGCTCACAGAGATCCATTTTCATGTTTCTGTCATTTGAGAAGACATCTGCACTCCTCTTTGGGAATAAAACACTCTTTGATGTGTAACTTTACCTTCGCTGATACATAATGCAGTTATGGATCAGAGCAGCAGTGAAATTGAGCAGGTTTTCACTCTTGTTTTATTGTAAACTCAAAATCCCATCAAATCAAGACCATCACCAAACCTTGAACCCGACTGTGTCCACTGACTGAGTAACTAAAACAACTTTCCACATATTTCATCCCCATTGTCAAGCTTTCACCTCTCCCCAAACAAAGCCTGAATGAAATGAAGCTGGGCTGTGCCACACGATGCAAATCTCATAAAAGACGTACAATGGATCCAGTCTGCCTCCTCCTGCAATAAATCTCCAGGAGGAGGCAGCCACGGCTACAGTAACAGACGCTAACCTCTTCATCACTGACAGCGCTGCATTATGGACTGCATTAATCAGAGCTTATCAAGATGCACTCACTGAGGGGGGATGTGTGTCCCAGGAAACACTCAGTCACAGGCAATGTGTGTGTGCACGCATGCTTGCTTGAGATAAAGTATGAGTTAACCAAGCCATATGTAGAGTTGTAGATGTAGGATGACACAAAAACACGTATAAATAATGACTAATAAGATGTGATTGATTGGTAAAGCACCTACATTTAAACATTATCTACATCTAAAGGTGATGCTCACATCCCCACTAAGTTTAGATGCATCAGGGATTAAGACAAAAGCCCAGCACAACTTACCTCCCCAATTCATCTCCAATTTCATAATATTCCTCTACATTTTCCTGGCTGAAAACAGTCATGTTGTCCAAGCACTTCCTTCCTTTTCCCCCGACCACAGGCATGTCCTCCCCTGTTCCTCTCTGAAACGGCACACCAGCTCTTCACAGCGGCACCATCTCTACGAGCAGCAGCAGCAGCAGCAGCAGCCTCCAGTCTGAGCAGGGTTACAGCCAAACAATCCACCGAGTCATGTTAGAGCTTCAACGCTAGAGTGAAGAAAAGAGGATAAAACAGGAGGAGAGAAAAACAGTTAGACCTCGACCATGAAACCTAACCACGGCTAATGTTTGAGGGTGAAAAAGGTGTGTGTCCAGATAACTAGTGAAGGGAATTTCAGATCTTTTTAGTGAGCTGGGACTTTTTACTCAGCTCAGAAACAAGCTGCCAAGTTGCTCTGCACACAAACCTACTTGGTTTTTTCCTCATATCAGTGTTGAAAAACAAAACTCAGTTACTTCATTGCTCTGGCAGTGTTTTTTTATTATAATTATTATTAGGCTGTATCCCAGTTTTTGAATCAGGATTTTTACACATACAAACACAAGGAATGGATACTTACAGAAAAACTGATCAAAACTGGGGACTTGAGTCCATGTAGACAATCTCATTTGTTAACATTTAAAGACAGCAAAGTTCATCCCAAATTCCTACAAGTGACTTTTTTTGGTTCGACTTAGCCTCCTTTAAATCAAAATAGAGCGCACTTGTGACAGACAACCTCAGTGGAAGTAAACGCTCCTGTGAGGATCTTTTAGTTTTAGCCCATTTTGGGAAAAGCAGTCTCCACTAAATCTGTCCTGTACATGCATTAGTACTATTTTTGTCACAACACTTAGCCTGTTGCCTTAAAATGTAAATTTTGTAACTCACTGAGAATCTTAACCATGGAGCATGTGAACAACGCTGTATTAGCACTTCTCTCTACAGGTAAACAAGGAGGCTGTTTGGACCCATGAGTAAACTGAGCATATGCTGTATAAGCAGCACAACAACACTGTATAAGCAGCATATAGGTCTGACACCTACTTTCCACCTGTTGTTTCAGAGATTTCAAATATCTATGTTAAATAGCTACCATTCTTGTTGATAGTTCTGGTTGTAAAAGGCATGGTAAAATTCATTTCAGTCTGTTTCAGCATCAGTTCAGAAACTACTCACTGAAGCTTTCGTGAGATAACTGAAACATAAACATACTATATGAGTCATAACCATGCATTATTAAATTCTGTTTTTTATTAAATAATGCAAAAAATTATCAAGATTGTTTTCTTCTATGAAACTGGGGCCTGAATTTTCTCATTTAGTATATTTTTTACATGCTCCGCTCAAAAATGTGCTCACCATTTTGCATTACTCCTTCATAATATCACTTTCCGACACCAAAAACAGGACATATGAATCTGATTTTTGTGCAACATTTTTAACACCCTTGAATTTTTCTTGTTTTACTTGATCAAAAACAATTGATTTTATATCAGCTTTTACACAAAAACCAGCTCCCCCCCGTCACCAAAAAGAGCCGGTTATTTGACCCGACTCGTTCAGCACCTCCTCATCACTATGGTCAACAAAAGGAAACCTGACTGAAAAATGAACCTGCACCTCCAGGGCGACGTCACGACTCCTGTCCCCACTATCTCTGACATTTCCCCAGCTCTGACTGGAGTTACTGAGCCATAACAAGTGCAAATGTTACAGAAGATAGTTTTGTAACCATAACTATGTCACCACCGGCTGGTAAGAAACGCAAACAGTCCTCGTGAAAGCTTGGTGTAGCCATGGGAAACACGCGAGGTTTCAGCCTACTCCTCCTTCTTTCAGCCTGACTGTTGAGTGGTCATATCTGGAGCCTATCTTCTTAAAAATATGTCAAATGCAAACCCAGACAGGTGTTTAACCCAGTTTAACTCTGAACCAAAAAGTCACACCCATTAAAACACAATTTAAACGCCAAACCGTGTATCTTTCTCTCAATTAAAAGCACGACCAGCCCCTCTGTGAGATTCCCTCTGCAGTATGAAATATTCAGAATCGTGAACATTAACGCTTGGCTTTTCCCGTGCGTTCCTGGCTCCTTCGTAATCTCAAAACTGAGAGAAATATAAAGAGTAAAAAGCAAAGTGTCTTACGGTTTGCCGCTGTGTGTCCCGCTGCCAAATGTAGCCGAGATTTCATGCGTCTTGAGTGAGTCCGTAAGCCCGGTTTGGCTCACGGAAGACAAAATGCTGCTGGCTTGAACGGGAGAAATCAACGTTAACAATGTAAGGCAAGTGGTACGTTCAATGTCCGTGGGAAATCCGGGTGAGAAAAAAACGCTGAAGAGGCGCTAGGCGCGGACCACACTGCTCATGAATAAGTGTGAATGAACCAGTGCCCTTACAGAACAACCGTAGAATAAAGGTACAGGCGGAAATGTGATCTTCCACACCAAACAAAACACTTTGTTTGTCTTGCGATTTTTATTTCATGACAAAATTGAATCATCAACGAGGAAGGCGTGATATCCGTGTTTTTACTCGCCGTGAATGCAGCATGCTTGTCTGTCAGTTGGAGCAGCTGTTTCGCTCACAGGAGGGCAGCAAAGCTTTCACTTTTTAATTTAATCACACTCATACGGATAATTTGTGTTTACCATTAAAATCGGTCATTGTATTCTACGTTTTTCGTATTAGATTGTTACATTAAATTTCATGAGGCAAAAATACAGCCATATTTTTATATTTAAAAAAACATATAAAAGTAGACCATAGTTCAGGCAATACAATCCTAGTTTGAAAAATAGTTGCAAAACAATTATAATGTTAATAAAAACATATTTAAAAGCCTTACAATTCATTAAACTCCAAAGGTCTGTTTAATTACAAATACTCAACTTAACAAATGTTAGGACTGAAATAAAGTTTATTGCTTTACTCCACTATTTGTTAAGATTTGTTGCCAGCAGCGCATTTCAATAAAAATGTTATGTAATGCTAAAAGATAAAAAAGAGGCATAACAGAGGATGGAATCTTGTGAGAGACTGCATGGGCAAAAAGTTCAACAGTTTCAGAATAATAGTTCAAGATTACAAAGACTCGGGGGGGGGGGGTTATCATCCCCTTTACAAAATACAGCTCTGCATTAAAAGCAGACAGGACTCTGTAGTGGATATGTCACCTCTAAAAGCCATCATCCATGAAAAACAGTTTGTTGCTTCATCCACAAATGCTAAGAGGAATCAACACTGAACCCTAGAACACTATCACTGTGTGATTTTCACCTGACCAAACATGTCTATGTGATTTTCATTATGTTGTGTTTGTCTGAGTATCATGGGTCCCTGGGTAGCTTCAGCTTTGCCTTTGACATCTTTGAAGGCATATTTGTTTCCCTGATCCAAAACCTGCTTTTTCCTACAGGCACGAGTTCGGGTGATTTTCACCTGGCAACAGTGATAGAGGGTAAAGTAGGTTTGGGTGGATTTGATAGTTGCATGTAGGGAATAAGGTCAGCAAGAGTGGTCCTGGAATTTACATGCTATCTTTATTTAGCACAGTGGTTATGAATAAATATCACAAAGTAGTGATTTACCAGGGAATTCATATGGTGATAAGAAATATTTTAGTCAGCTGGTCATTTTTGCTCACTCAAAATATGCCACATGTTGGTTCTCTCTCCTGCAGCTGTTATTGTGCCGAGGACCCTGACCCTTCACCAGGGAAGACTCACATGCCCCAGGAATGGGTGGAAAAGAAACCAAGTTTGTGGTTTCTATATATATTTTTTAGGAATGTTATTTTGTTGCATTTTTATATGGTCTCCTCATGGCACTTTTTTTCCTCCTTTAATTTGTCACATATTGTCCTATTTTGATATATTTTGATGACAAGTACTTTTTCTTGGGTATATTATTTCAGGTAAAAATCACCCGGCGATAGTGATGGTTTTAGTAATTTTAGCGAAAGTGTACTAGGGTTTAAGCAAGATCCAGAAATACCACTTCTCATTATCCAAGCCAATTTAAGATGGACTGAGGTGAAATTAAACTTTTCTGTGGTCTGATGAACCTTAATTTCACATTCTTCTTGGAAATCATGGACACTACATTCTCTAATCTGAAGAGGACAGGTGTCCCTTAAAAGTGAGGGGCTAAATGATTCAGTGAGAAACCATCCATCCATTTATCCATCAAGCCTTTTTCTTCCAGCTGGGCAGCCAAAGTCTCTCCCAGCATGCAATGAGAAAGAGGCAGGTTTCACCCGGTCCATTTACTTTGAGACAAACTTTACAAATGAGAGCGTGAGGGCCCCTCTCTGAGACTCATCATGACTTTGATTCGTATTGTCCATGCTCAGTGAAGGTGAAGTGTGAAGCTGTGTGACCATCATATCTGATCTGCTCTGCTGTTGTTGAGATAGCACACTGACTGTAAAGATATTGTATCAGATCTGTAGCAGAGCCTGATGCTGCAGCTGGACTTTAATCAGATTAAATAGTGCTCTTCAGTCCTGCTTGTTGAATGTTAGACACGATGAGACAATATCAAGACAGCACGCTACCGCTTCCCTCCTTGAAGTTAAATCACATCAGTATCTCCAATAATTGTGCCAGCGTGGAGGACTATATGTACACAGCACTGGAGAGGTGTGAATTTCAGATTCACACCAAGCCCTCAGAGTTTGAATAAATTGTCCATTCAGTTTTAGTGAGAAGTTGAAACACATCATTTTGCAATTTGAAAAGAAAAGCAGTAAAATTGTCATGAACAAGCTGAGGAGGAGGCAGAATGGGAGATCTCATCCATCAGACATCAATCAGAACTATGCAAACATTTATGGTCCCCCTGAGGATCAATCCTATAGATACTGGTTAATGTTCCCCTATCTTATAATATACATCTGGACTAAATAATAGGACAGACTGTTATTCATTTTAGTTTACATATTCGTGCCCGCTCAAGAAGAATTATTTTAACTTAATTTGGTATTCTTTGATTTCTCTCCGGTGCATCAACAAGCAAACTTTTAATTTGTCCAATATTTTGATTCATGAAAAAAGTACCCTTAAATCCAAAGTTTCATTCTTTCATTCTTTGTTTATACAGAAACCCACTCTGTAATAACTCTAATCCATCACCCATTCTTGATATTACAGCATGTGTATGAAGTGTTTGAAAGACAATAAATCTGAACAGTCATTTTCAGAACAATGTGATCCTATCAGTCCGACTGTGAGTAGTAACAGTCATCAGGCTGCTGTTGCTGTGTGGTTTGGCAGAGACAGAATCACTCTGGTGTAAAGAATGATAACACCACCTGCTGGTTACAACAGAAATGGCTTTAAAAAAATAATCTGGTACAAAAACAGAAAGATAATGAGGAAAGTGATGACAAAACTGCAGACCTGAAAAGAGTAAAAATGCCAAAATGCCTCCAAAACATTAGCATGTCAGGTTTTAAGAGAACAGTCTTAAAATAAAACCTCAGTGATTAAAACAGGCCATCTCTACCCAAATCAAAAATAGATACTTGTGCATGTGGTCTGAAAAGTATGTACTTCAACTGTATAAATATCATTCACTACTAATACTAGTACAAAAATATCAAATTTTAAATTGACTTTGGATGTGTAGAAAAAGATTTTGTAAAATATGACTTAACTGCGAGCACCTTATTCTGAAAAACAGATGATGTTGGAGCTTGGTGGTTGTATTTTTGTGTTTACTCCGCCTTCATTAAAAGCTGTTTGGTTTATTATTTCAGTGTGTTTTTACATCATTCATCTGCACAGGGAAGCTCCAGCTTTGTTGGTGTCCTGGGTGAGAAAAGGATTCAGAAACTTTAAATTGGAGACTTAATCTCAGTGAAATCCACTTAGTTACACTTACATGGACCACAAGGGCGCATGGTGGTGCCTTAGTTTGATGGGTAACAATAATGTCTAACAATACACAAATACTCAATACTCAAAATCCCAGCATTAACCCTCTCATTTAAAGCTCAATACAATGTAATGGAAAGGAGATATACCTGAACAAATAAATGTAAAGCAGCACCTTAGTGTGGTGTAAACGCTGATGCCTTCAGACCATGCCTTTGTATCAACACAACATAATAGAAAACAGATCAATTTACACAAGCAAGCCCCGCAAAATATCACATCAGAGTGTGAGAGCTTTCCTCTCAGTTAGTTTAAGTTGTGCATTTGAAATCAAACAGTTGTGAACAGGATTGGCAATATTTCCTAAATCAAAGGTAGCTGCAGAGGGAAATACAGCAAACAGGGATCCCAGTGTCACCTCTTTACAAAGCTGACTCCTGGATCCTGTCTCCTCAGACCCTGTAATGGCGTCACTGGTCAGTTAAACGATTACAAAAATCTCCTGTTACTTTTATTCAACTGTGTCACAAGGTGAGTTAAGAAGGAAGAGCTGCAGTGGAGTTTGGTCACCAGTAGATGACGTCAGTATTTCCTTCTTTTATTGTTAACCCTGTACTGTGCACACATTAGCAGGCAAAAGAAAACATGTTGAAATCATAAATATAGGCTATTTGTGTGAGTTGTGCGGTCTGAATATGATCAGAAAAAGTCATATAGAGGCTTTGACACCGAAAACAGCTTTATTTTTGTATCTGTGGTCTCTGTGTGAGGACTGAACAGAGAGCAGCAAAGAAGCAGAGAGAGGAGAGCTTTGAAACCTTTATTTCAGCCTCTATCTGATATGCTTCATTTCAACCACTGTCCTTCTGCATGTCACTTTGAGGAGCTGCAGCTGAACTCCAGCAGGGGGCGCACTCACAGAGGAAAACACACAGATGGAGGGCAGCTTCATGCTTCAAGTGTAGTTTCACCAGAAGTTGAGATGTGGAAGAAGAAAAGGCTTCCCTTATTGAATGATTGTGCATTTTTAGTGAGCTGATGGCTTTTTACATATCAACTCACATGAACAAACGTCAGCTTCACCAAAATAAAAGCTCAGAAATGAGGAAATAAAAGTCAGACAGATTAATTAAAAAAATAAAAACTAAAGTGAACATTTTCTTCTGATATCTGGATAATTGAAGCACCAAAAATATAAAAGAAATTTCTGCCTTAGTTAACTCCAAGCACTGTTAAAGAAACAATCGTGTTATTTGCATGTCGTGAAATCAGCTCCATCAAAATAAAAGTTCAAAAATGTTTGAGAAAATTCTACATTAAAATTAAAAGATATGAAAAAATCTTGAAAATTAAGACTAGTAAGCAGGGGGAGACACATTTGAACTCAGAGTTATTCTATGAACTCTAAACAGTTCAAGTTCTTTCAGCATGTTCACATC